CTTGGAATGAGCGGGCGCGTTCTTGGGAAAATTGGTTTCTTCACGGCCATCGCTGGTTTGGCTATCTGCGACATATTTAGCCGACTGCGTTTGCAGCATACCTGTGATATCGACAACCCTTTTTGTAACCGATGCATATTGGCGGCTACACTTGCTTAACCATTTTTGTACTTTTAAGTTTTGTCGCGGTCGGCATTGGTGTGGTGAGTAGTGTTGTTGCTACGAAAGCCAGCTTGCGCTGGCTGAAATTGCTCTTGCTTTAGCAAGGAATAAGCAGGCACCAGGACCATTGGAAACCCTGCATTTTTCCCTTAAGACACCCCCTCCCCACTACTCTGGCCGGCCCGGGTTCAATCGTCGGTCCCTTGGACGCCCTCGACCCTTCCTACACGCTCCCGGCAACTGCCCTGGACCATTGGTTGCGTTCAAGTAAAGGGTCATCATCTCAATAATTCATTTTCAGAATTTATCGTCAACATTTGCATCATCATCATCATCATCATCGAATCAACATCATCATCTTCATCAGGTAGCTTTGGGGCAGGTACGGATTTCTCGGTCTATCTTCGTTTTCTTCATTTTTTTTTCGCGCGTTGTCATCATCATTGTCGTTGTCATCATCATCGTCATCATCATCATCATCAGCATTATTCATTATCGTCAAATTCATTCGTACCCACCATTATCATCAGTTCATCAGTTCATTCTTGCAAGTGAATTGTTTCCGGTACAACACTAGCAGCGTACTCCTGGCTTTCGTACCTCCCCCACGTAGTTTTCAGCACTTAAGACGGGCTAGCTGACTGGCATGCAAAACCGAGGTCGAAGTTTGAGAAGCACACGTTGCAAAAAATGAAGCAAACACAAATTACACGAATTCAAAATCCCACGCCAGTCGAACAATAAGAGTGGAAAATGGCAGAGCATTGCCACTGTGGGACCGAGTAAGTGATCGAATTGACACACTTATTGCCCAAATTTGGAGGGGAGTGGTCCGAAATGTAGGGACACATACAGAGGAACAGGGGTTACAAAACTGTAGAAGGAAGAGCCTAAACGAAACACTGTTTCATAACTCGTACAAAAAAAAAACGAACATTTCCACAAAACAAGACGTGATGGTTTTGAAATGGGGTGCAGCATACGACAACACATATGCAAGGCTATGCGCCCTGGCAAATAAAATGCAAAATTTGGCCGGAAACTGATGAAGGGTAAAACCAAAAAAAAAAGGTTGCTATTGTCCTTCTGTTGGTGCATTGAGCAAAATCATGATGTAATTACGAAAATCATTTCGCCCAACAATTCATTCGTGCCGGAACCAAAAGCGAACCAAGAAAAATAGTTTCCTCACGGCTGCTCGCATTTCGTTGCCCCTACGAAAACACATTTGTCAATGAATTTGTAAAAAGAAATGGCAAAATTTGAACAACTAGTTGTGCGGAAACATCCGTTTTTTCTTGCAAGGTGTTGTTCCGTCACCGAGGTAAAACATTTAATAGTTTTGTGTAGTTTGAGGTGGCACGTTTGGAGGCAATGCCGCGGTGCTGGGGCGAGATCCGTATTTGGAGTGTTTGTTTACAGTTTGTGCCGGATTTTGTCAAAGTCGTTCATGATTAAGAATGGTCTAGGCTTACGCTACGGTGTAGCAAAGTTTGGGTGTGTTGAAATTCGCGCAAAATTTGTTCAAAATTGGTTTGACTGCATGTACGATCAGTGTGGGGTAAGCAAACCGGGGTGGTTTAGCAACTGGTTGGGGGGCAACGTTGATTTAAGGCTCACGTCGGGTCCGGTAAAGGTGCTCTATTTGGCGTCAGCTTATTATCATGGGATTCGTTTCGTGCTGGTGCCGGGTTTGTTTAACATTGGTTCAGGTGCATGCACGTGCGTGAATTGTTTTTTTCAAGGTCTTTCTTAACGTTCGTTGTAGCAGCGCTTCGCCCCTGAGTGTGTTGGCGAATCAACCACAGCAAATCTGTACCAAATTTACCGGACCACGACCGTGGGACGAACAACCACCTCTTCGGAGGCCTTTTCCTACCAAGGTTTGACAGCAACAATCTTTCCGGATTCCAGGCAGCCCAGTTCCAAATGTTCAATCATCTGGTTTTTGATTCAACAACCAATTTTTCTTGGTGGTTTGTTTGCCTCGGAAGGAGAACCACCCCGTTAAATTTTTGTCGCTTTGGACGGATAAACCCGCAGATGAAACATCCTCCGAAGATTTTTCCACACAACCCACCTCACCCACCTTACGTAGTGGGACGGGCAACACGCCGGCCCGGAGAAACCTTCAAGGATGCCATATGCACATGAAGTAGCAATCAGACCAAAAATAGCAAGCGGAGAGGTAAAAAATTTGAGTGCTCATGCGCTTCCAGGTAAAACATATATGATCTGCATTCTCCGTGTCAAATGGTCCACTCATGAAGTCAAACATTCGACAATGTGGAACAGATGGCAAGCAGAGAAGGGAAGAGTCAGAGAAAATAAAAAAAAAATAACACAAATTAAGAAAAAACAATTAGGCGCGCAAAAAGGTAAAAAATCAAAACATGTGTTTCGAATGATTTGTGGCTCCGGGGGGTCGAAAAGGAGGCTCGCTTAAGCGGTAGGTGCGGAGCCATGTGGTAGGGTGAAAGATGAAAAGTTGCGTGCGGTTGTGGCGCGAAACACACTTCCAAGTCAAAATGTACAAAGCGCACCAACGTCGGACCACTTTTGGAAGTTGTGATGTCGAAAAACTGCACGCCGTTGTGGCGCGAAGCGTATGTCTTTGCCAAAATATAGAAAACACATAATGTTCGGACCACTTCTGGACGTTGAGATGTCGTCAGTGTCGAACCACTTTTGGAAGTTGACATATCGAAAAAATGTACCCCGTTGTGGCACGAAACACATTTGGAAGGCAAAGTGTGCAAAACACCTGGCTCGGACCACTTTTGGAGGTTGAGATGTCGAAAAAGTGCACGCCGTTGTGGTGTGAAACGCAGTTCCAAGTAAAAATGAGAAAAACACGACTTGTTTCGCGTGGGAGGCGCGAAGGATTGTGCACCGTGTCACAAAGACAAGAAAACGTGGACGTTTTGTAGATTTTGTAGCATTTCAAAAAACGATGGCAGGCGCGGGACGCTTGAAGAGGAACCGCAAAGTCATGCGCCGCCAAGTTCCAGCAGCAGCTGCCGCCATGCTACACATGCTGGCCAATCCTGCCCAAGCCCCACCGAACATACAGGCAGCACACTCGGCCCGCCAAACAATTCAAGAGCATGGGTGGGACGCCCCCACTTGGCACCAGCTGCTCGGACTCTGACCACCAACCCAACACGGCAGTTTGTTCGCAGGGCCGATACAACCTGAATGGCAACAACAGGCAGCTACACTTTCAACAACGCAGCACGCACAGGGCTGTACAACATCCTGGACCCAGCAAGCCAAGCCATGCTTGACTCACACGCCGGGCCCTTCGCCAGCAGAGCCTTCACAACAATCCTATATAACGCAGAGACCACCTACCCAGACCACCTCTTTCGCATCCTCCTGCTTCGCAGACTCCGGCTTCCACTGCCCTTCACCGAACGATCCTGTCGGTGCCGTCGCATTCTTGAGGACCCATATGGCGACCACCGTTCAGCCTGCGCTCGGGCAGGGGTGCGGCGAGGCTGAGCAGTGCCATTGGAACATGCCACCGCTCGGGTGTGCCGAGAAGCTGGCGACCGGGTCACAATGCACACGCGGCTGGCCAACCTCAACATCCCAGCAATCCAGCGGGTCGACGACCGAACCATAGAAGTCATCGCCCATGGACTTCCGCTTTGGCATGGTTCCCAATTTGCAATCGACACAACCCTCGTCTCACCATTAACCAGTGCTGGCCAGCCACGCCGCAGTGGGGGTGAATACGCGGCCGCAGCATTGCACACAGCCCGGCAAACCAAGGAAAAAACATACCCAGCTTCCAACCGATGCCGGCTGGTCGTCTTGGGACTAGAGGTTCGGGGCCGCTTGGAACATGGAAACCGTTGAGTTCCTCCGCCTGCTGGCACAACACAAGGCAAACGCCGTTCCAGCCCCGTTGCGGCACGGTTGCTGCAACAGCCTTGCGCTCTCTCTTTCTCTCTCTAAGTTTTACTTGTTTGTGAAAAGTTACATCTTTTCCCTGTTGAAGAGGTTCCAAGGTTTGAAGTTAAACAAATATTCTGACCATGAAAAGGTTGCCTGGTCTGGTCCGGGGGGTTGTCATGCGTCATAAGTTGTCAACGGTTGGCACAAGGCCATTAAATTCTTCGGGGTCGGCGGTCTCCTCAGGCCCCGTTTGCCAAAACAGGGTAGATTTCGAAACTTAAAATCATATACGTATCAAATTTTTCCTGTGGGGGAAACTTGAACGCATCAATTTCTAAACAGTTGACACGGTGGGAGTGGGGCTTTGGAGTTGTGATTGTTGAGGCCAAGTGTTTGGCCCAAAACACGGATGAATGATGTGAATGCTTGGCTGTATTGACTGAATCTTGGACGGCCCCCTTCCCATCCCAGCATGACTCAATTTCGAATATCGACAGGGTCGCTTTGAAATGTTGCCATGTGACCATTTAGCAGCATTCAGCCGAGTTTTGCCGTTAGTTCCATTGCTTTCGTCAGTCCAAAATTATTGGAGCCTATCCAGGGCTTCAGTTTTCTCAACAATGGCAATTGGGTTTGTGGCAACGTGTTGCGGAGACTGTTTTTGTTGTCTCTCATGTCCATACCTAGCAGTGCTGCGTTGCTGCCTACGATTTTGCAATTTGATTGGCAAACATGTTTCAGGGTAAGCAATGCCATGTGTGTCGTTTAAGGGTACATAAGGGTACAGTATCAAAAAACGTGTCGGTTTAACGGTTGTCGTCGGCATGATAAGGGGCAAATTATTTGGTAATTGGATTGTGATAGTGTAGGGTTTGTTTCCGGTTTTGCCCTTGGTGATTGTAGCAGCATATTCATGGACAATCAAGACGTTTGGCTCGGGTGTCATCCCAGTGTGACACATGAATTTTGTGACAGCATTGCGATGGTGACGCCTATCAGTGGTTTTCTCCGGAGATTGCCGCTCGCATGGTTGGTGCTAGCAACATTTCCGGAATCTTGACCAAATTTGGGCCAAAGGTGATGGCAAACACATCAAACATGTTGGTGCAGAATGGTGCGGGGTTCAGCCACAACGAACAGCGGCTTTGAGGATTCCTTTCCTGACCGTGTTGTGACCTCTGCTTCAGCGAAGAAAATTGTGTCTTGGCTTCGGCAACGGGCATGTAGGATCATTGTGTAGTGGCACATGGCTGGTCTGGCGCGTGTCTTGAGTTGTTTGGGGGCACTGCATGCATGTCAGGGTGGACCAGTTCGCTTAGCTGGCCCCAAGAAGGAGAACAAATGGAGGCAACTTGGGACGTGTCATTTGAGTGTTTTGATTCCGATGGAGGATTGAACTGCTTCAACGTGTTAGCCACAACCCAGGTACTTGAGCAAATTTGGCTACGACATCGGCAACTTGCATGGATTGTGTGTTTTGCGTGCTCATTTCCGCAATGGACTGGAATGGTTTCTTTTCTCAAAGGATGGGGTTCGTGATGGAAAAACACATTGCCTCACAAGTTCCGTCATGGGAACTCAGGCACTGGGAGTTTCGACTTCCGTTTCCAGTTGTCAGCGCCAAAAAGTATCCCAGAACCTGCGGTGATTCAGCTGGAGGTTTACCTCGCCACTTGGCCACCAGCTCTTATGCATTTGATGGTTTGTCATCAACAGGAGCGCAATGTTCCTTGTACTAAATTGTTTGTGGATGTTTATGGATGCCTGTGGATGTTTTGTTAATAAACTCAATAGGTGGCATGTCAAGTAAAATGGTCTTTCTCTCATGACTTGCCCGACTCCAAGGATGAACAGTGGGCTGAAGTAGAGTCTGAACCTGTGATGTGCGATCGGCAGAGATATGCTAAGCAGGCAGAGGGTTTGTTGTATGCCGTGGGTGACAGGTGATGCAGCAATTTCAAAACGTGCTGTAGCGAACTTCACCCTTGATTTTTTCGTTTGTGTGGTGCTCATATGTGGCTTGTGTCCTTGCAGGTTCGGAATATTTCTATTGGCCCTGGCGCGAATTGGACTGATTGGTCCACAGGCCTTTTGTCACACAACGCCTCTGCAGAACAGAACTTTGCAGGTCGTGATTTTGATATTTTTTTTTCCCGTCCCGAAGGCACCTTGAGCCAAAGTGTCCGGCCTCACATATGGTGCCTGGACCACATCATAACCAGGACGGTTTTACATGTCTATTGACTGTAGAACTTTAGAAGAACAACTTGGATGTTTTCAATCTTATGTTGATACTCGATATGTAATTGGTTTGAACGCATGTTGATCATGTTGCCATTGTGATTCTGATTATCTGCGCTGTATCAGAGGCTGTTGCAAATGATTCTTCGGTGCTTTGAGGTACTTTGTTGTGTCTGATTGTCGGCACACGCTGGCAAACTTCACGTGGCTCGGTGGATTTTAGGAAAGCGATGCGAAATTTGAAGAGAACATTTGGTGAGAACTGGTTGTTTACCTCAGGAGGCAACATTTCAAGCGGGTCATCAGGGGAGAGATGCACCCACTGTGCCACTTGTTTCCGAGGCACAGGCTAAAATTCGAATTCCACGCCAAGCAGGCAAACGGGTCTGAGTTTAGCGTGGAGATGAGACTTGGCTTGCTGTGGAAGCATAACTGGCGACTTGTCGCTGTTGAAACCAAATGTTATTGTAAGTTATTGGATTTGTGTTCTTTGACATTTTTCCGCCATTCTCTCCAAATGCCATGATGTCGAGTTGCAGTTTCTTTTATGAAGTCCCCTCAGGAAAGGAATGCTTCTTGCCAACGTCACGCGGCAGCAGGTTGTGACAGAAAAGTGTCAGCTTGGAAAAGGTCTTAGTCCAGCCAAGTGCACGTCCGAGGCACTATTTCTTGGATCTTTCATTGTGCTGATGCATTGGTTCATAAAGAGGAGCCCTGCTTCAGTTGATTCAGTTGTGGTGGTAGGATTAGTGACTGATTAGTGTTGCAGCCGCGGCTTGAGGGTCAGCTGATGTCAGGACATTGGCTTTTGCAAAAAGTGCAGGCTATGTCCATCCAGTGATTTGGACTCTAGCGTCCGGATTCTCGAAACGCATATGGTGCGCTACCTTTCATGTGTATATTGTCAATTATTGTCAATGGGTGGGGCTTGCTTTTTTGCTGAGTGATTTGGTGTGTTTTCCGGCTCGGCCAATTTGAGGAATGATCACGCAGTTCATTGCTCAGGCGGCATGCGTGGTGGTCATTGCAAGCACTTAGTGCATGGGTACTGCATGGTAGAAGGACCATTTTATATTTGATTCATTGATCACCTGAGCTGATTGCTGGGATGGGGCACACGGTAGGTGATGCACACCATCCACTTGTTGGCCTACAAGTATGATGGAGATGGGCTGAAGGCCTGTGAGGTCCTCTCCGAGATCCTTTTCATGCTAGCGCAGGTGGGGACTGGGAGACACTTGCGATACCTTCTGGGGCAATGCCCGTTGGATGATTTGAGCTCGATGCCACCGGTGGCCACAAGTGGCTACGGGTCAGGTGATTCAGACATCCCTGCTCATATTGATAGCTCTGGGCTATACACTCCTGCAGTCCAAGATTGGGGAGCTAGACTTGATGCGACTCGGTTTGAATCACTGCGCTCCAATATTCAGACAGAGATACAAATGAGACTCGAGTGCTTTCCTGTGGATTCGTGTTTGCATGATGCATGCTCCCCGGCTGCAACTGAGGATCCCAATGTGCTTCATGCCCCTTGGTGGCAGTGGAATGTTGAGTTTGGTCCTGTGTGCTACCATGTTAGATGAAAGCAGTTACAGTTAGCTGAGAATTGCCCAGGATTGGGGTTATACACATCATGTTGGTCGGCTTTGGCAAGATCAAGGCAATGGATGGTGGTTGGGCACTGGTGCTGTGCTGTTCTGCAGTCAACCTTGAGTCGGAACTCCCTGGTGTGGCAGGATGACGCGTCCTACAAATATCACGAAAATGAAGGAGTCATTGGCTGGATCTTGCTGGTGCTTAGGCATGGTCCTGGGCCGGCAACTTTTCGACACTCTGAAACCACGAAGACATTTGAGCAAGGTATATCAAGGTATAGGCTTCAAGGATGTGAGGCTGTCACCAGATGTTGAGCAGGTTGGGTCTTTATGGCTGGTTCTTGTGGGCTGTTCAGTCCTCTGCGCGAGAGGCTGGGCGAGGATTCTTTGTTTCTGAGGGGTCAAGAGCTGACAGTTTTTGGATGTTTTTGGAATTGCGTCCTTGATTCTGAAACGGGTCTATCCAAAAAAGGAGCAGACCCAAAATGGCAGTCTTAATGGAGAGAATGATGGCTGACCAGTGGATTTAGGGGTACTTTATTCTCACACAAAGCCACATTGCGAACCTGGGAGGGTGGCTTCAAGATTGCAAACTTCCTGCAGCAATTCCGTATTGCGGGGTCGCTGCTCGACGAAGCATTTGCAGAAATGGTTCAGATTTGTACAAACTTGTCACCGACCTCCGAGGTTGTATTTCTTGGCTTTCCCAGTCTGAACCCGAGATAGCCGTCTGCGTATGTCTGCGTGCAAGCATTCAAAGTTTTTTTTTGCTTCTTGCCCTCCCCATGGTCTGAGGGCATCTTTCTCGTGCGATTCTCAAACTTCAGCCGCAGCCAATAAGAGCATGCGACACTTTGAAGCCCTGCATTACCAGAAAGTCCACCATGTAACTGATGCACTATAATAGACGTGACCAGACGTACGCACAGATACAAGATTATGTACAATACACACACACATATATATATATATATGTATATATATATATATGTATATATGTATATACACGTGTAATATAGAAAATCACATTATTTTGCAGGTATGTGAGTGTCCACCTATTTGCACTCTAAGCAGCACATGTAATGTTTTGGCATGCCCATGCATATCATACACTTCGCCAGAGCACCTAAAGATTACACTACAAGGATCTACAAGGTTTTGCCATTTTGTGAAGCCATGGGGTCTCTAAGGTAACTCAGCTATTTGCTCCCTACCTGCAGCACTTTGTCATGACAATAGGCAGCCTTCTGCATGCCATCCACAGCGGATCGTGGCGATGGTTGCTACCAACTAAATTGGGTTATGATTCCCAAGAACTGGGGGTTTGCCTAGGGGTTGATGGGTGAAAATTACAGCACCATTTTTTTCCAGCTGCGGGAACTATCAATGCAGGTCAAATGTTCATGCAGACCGGCTTCAACCTCTGGCTTTCCTCCCTCTTTCTGACTCGAGGAGAGTACTTCAAGGCACTGGACCCCCTTCACTGGACTAGTTTTGGCTCCTGCCAAGCTACAGACCGTCCAGAGCCGTTTGCAACGTCTTAATGATCCTTTTCATTTAAAAGGTGCCCCAAAACATCAAGAAAATTGAAGGGCAAAAAACATAAATGGTTGGGTGTATCCTTGGTGTCCCTCCTGCTTCGCACTGCAGCTTTCTGGCTCAATCTTTTGGGAAGTAGCAAACGAGGGGGGGGGGGCCTCCTGTTGGTAGATGTGCTTTGGTTGCAAGATGTTCTAGCCAGCTAGGATCCGTGTCTTTCTCATCTGGGCTTCGTGGCCCCATTGTTTCCAATAGTGTTGGAAACTATCAGCCTTTTTTAAAACAAACAGCAGAAATATATAGAAATATCACAAACGCATGTCAATATGTAGATCGCAGTTAGATTCCCCTGTTTGATCTGTTTGTTGGTGAATGTCAATATGTAGATCGCATTAGTTAGATTGCCCTGTTTGTTGGTGAATACGTGCAGATATTGTGCAGATATTGTGCAGATATGTGGTGAATATCCTCATTTTTCTTTGTCGTTTTTTTTGGGTCCCTGGCTTTGCGCCTTCCCTGCCGTTGCCTAAGGGTGGCAGAAGCTCCTTGCTGCCAGGCCAAGGAGCTTCGCTGCGTGTGGTGCATTCGAATGTGAGTTGCTTTATCTATGGCACACAGATATGTCATATACATAGATGCACATACAGAAAAAATAAAAATACGCATATAAAATCATATAAATATAAATATAAATATGAACATAAACATAAACATGTAACATAAATATAGATATAAACATGTAACATAAATATAAATATGAATATAAATAAAAAATAAAAAATAAATGAATAAATAAACAAGTAAACAAATAAATAAATATACATATATATATATACAAATGCATATATATATATATATGTAAAAATGAATGAATGTATATATAGAAATAATACACATGCAATTCTACATTTGCAAAGTCTATGAATTTATGGAACTTTGATATATATATATATACACAATATATCTGCATATGGTCATGGGCACCTGTGAGGTCCTGGCCTAGCCAATGCCAGGCTTGGAGCTGTTGTTTCACCACATTATTTTCCACTGTCGTTGCATGTTATGGGCGTTGGGCGTGTCTGAAAAAGCACGGTATATCCACGAAAATGGTGATGAATCAGTGGATTTAGGGAAAAACTAGGGGTACAACTCCATTTTCAGACAAGCCTACTTCCTGTTGACAGGCTGTAGTGGAAATGCTACGGCATGCCCAGAAGATGGAGAGGTTGAGGTGGGAAGTTTGCAGTCGTTATGGCTGCTTCTCTGCACGTTACTTGGCAGATTGAGCCTGAGCGAATCATCAGAAAGTTTCAGACAGACAGGGGATACTGTATGTCAAACCCTATTATACCATATGGTTGGGGGGGTGAATCAGCTTTTACCAGCTATTTTGGGGTTTTACCAGGGTACCAGGATCTAACGCATAACCGTACATCACTTGTGTAGGTACCTCCATAGGTATTCCCCAGAATTTGGCAATTATTATCCCACAGATTGTAACAGGTATTTCACTGTATCGGTTCATAACAGGGCAGCAAAAGACCAGCAACATCGAGCCCGGGCATTCTGGTGATGAAGGCAATGATATTGCCTCCTTCTATCCCTATCATCATGAATAATCATGACCCAACTAGTGATCAACAATCGTGATAGTGATCATGAATCATCTAGAAATGGGATCAGAAATTTGCATTTCGATATATTTTGATGGAGGAAATCAATGGAAAATCATACATATCCATATCATTTTCCGGCCACGTTGTAAGGTTCCTGGTTGTGTCTATGCAGCTGGGCTTTGCCATGTTGGAAGTTGGAGGAGTCCGCGAGGCACATCGAATGACTGTTCTGGCCAAGAACCTTGGTGAAGCCTTCGGGAAGCCTTTGGGCCTGGCCTCCTGGGAGAATACTGCTGCAGTTCCTTCAACATCTTCAACTTTCACCAGCTTTATCATGTTTTATCATGTTTTATCCGGATTTCTATGATTCCTATGATTCCTATGATTCCATTTTTTTTTTTGGAGGGAACTTGTTTGACCAAGGAACGTTATGGATTCTGTAGTCACGTGTCTGGCATTTGCATTGGCGACGAGATTCTGGAACCTGACCCTTGTGCAAGATGCCCATGGGGCAGAGTCGTCCCTTGATTACCACTGGTGATTAAGAGTGATTGTCATTGATCTACATCATTTACATCAGATTTGATCTCCACCTCTTGAGCCGGCCATCTGAGGTATGAGAGTTTGCTCTCCAACTGGGCTTTTTGTGCCACATGTGCCACGAAACTTGGCAGCACCTTGGGCCTTGGAAGTCTGACTGGCGAGTGCGAGTGAGAAGCGGCCAGGAGTTGTATTCCAAAAGCATCCATTCAAATGCAGTTCCCTCTCAAATGTCAAATCCTAACTGTCCTAACTCGTTTGTTCCTGCTTCACTACCGGATCAGTCCCAATCATGTTTCCAACGAATGCGGTGCGAGGAAGATCAAATCGTGTATTTGGGCTGAGGATTTGCTCGGGAGCTATGGCAGAGCGAGCGCACATGCTGGCATTGAAGCTGCAAGAGAGATTTGTAGACTTTTTGCAGTGCATGTTTTGGTTTGTTCGTTATTTGACGTGAGTTATTTGCAATCTATTCCCGGTTCTCCATTGTCAGATTCTGAGCCTTCAAACAAATCATGCATTGCTCCCACTGCATCTCTCAAGCTGAGGCATATTTAGCGTACGCAGCTGTTCCTTGGCTATCCAGTGAAGCCACCAGCGCCACTGCCGCAGATCATCCCAGTGGCTGCAGGTCATGGGCTGCGTGGTTTATCCGCCTTTAGCCGAAGGTGTTTGGGGTCGTGGTGTTTTTTTTATGTACGACCAATTGCAGCTTGGCAGCAATACACAATAATACATTTAATACATCGACAGCGAAAATCTGGGAAGCCTGCGAAAAAATATATATTTTTGCATCAGGTACCTATAGTAAGTTCCTCAAAATGGATCAAGATCCTGATTCATCGAGTAGATCCAAGTAGTGACTCCAGAGACTCGCTCCAAGGCATGGACGTTTCAGGGAGGGCATCAGCTATCATGATTGTGCAGGAAGTGGTGTCGTCCTTTGGCTGCACGGATTTCAACTTCATGATCCCCAAATTTGACACATTGTGCACATATTGGACCAAGGGAGATAGTGGGATAGCACTGGGATGCACTGGGATGCACTGGGATGCACTGGGGGTTTTGTCCAGTTTTTTCTGCATGCCTCTCCGCTTCATTTTGCTGTGATCAAGATGAGCTGGAAATGCCAAAATAAGTGAAGTCTTGAGCCTCAGGGCGGAACAAGCCTCAGACTCGCCCCACTTGGGGCGACTCCTGGAGCTTTCCATTAGCACTTAAGTAGAGGATTGGGTGATACGGATCCGGGGTCTTAACCCAATACATTGTGCCACCTGTGCCACCTGTGCCATGGTGTCCGCTGCGCTGCAAGAGCTGTTGCAGCTCTTTGGGATTGTTGGTGATGTGGCCACCTGGCAGACATTTCTTCCTTTGATTTCGTGTTTCGCTTGCAGATGTGCTATGCCCCGGAAACATAGTGCACAAAGGGGCAGATGCTGCTGTTCCCGATGCCTAAAGGCAAGCTTGCTCTCACTGTTGCCGCTACTTGCAGAGGCCGGGTTCACAGTGCTTGCCGTGCTACTACTTTTGGGCATTCAGTTAATTCTTCTGCTCTAGGCAAAGTTCGGATCGCTTTTGCGCCAAAAGCGTGTCGTGACTGCATTGGGTGCAGCAATCCAATCTGACAATTTGTTTGGACACCTTCTACACCAGTGATGGCACAACTAGTTTGGCACAGTTGTAGGCCTTCAGAAGAAACGGCGCTGAGGTGGTTCCAATGACGAAAGGCATATGCCCGCCTTCTGGGTGCTGCTTCTATTGCTGGCCCCTCTTCTGCACGACTTCGCTTTTGGTTTCATGTCTAGTTGGTGCATCAAAAACCGGTCATCATGCATCACCCATGGTATGCTACCCATTGTAGACTGCCCGTTGTATACTACCCATGGTATGCCCATGATGCCATGGCTGGCCACACCTCACCCCAGCACCTCTTCACAGGTCACAGAGGTGGCCTCCTCTGCTGCCTTTTTCGATCCCAGCGACAAGTCGGCCCGGCGCGCCATCGGCGAAGTGATCCGGGCACAGCGCGGCGTCAGGAGCTCAGGCGCTCAGCAGCACTCAGCGCTGGGATGGAGTGCCATGGAGTGCCATTGGTGATGGCCTGAGGCTGGAACAGGCTTCCAGGAGACGGTGACTGGGATGATCAAACTGCTTGAAAAGCGGGATGTTTATGAGACTTGGCCGAATTTTTCACTGGCTTTTGAGGGCTTGGAGATGAGAGTAAGTCTTGGAGCTGGAAGGATAAACTGCTCAGGAACTCACTCGGTCCGTGGCCATGATTGGTGGTCTCACTGGAACAGTTTGCATTGCCACCGTGGAGACTTCTGGCAAAGCTACTTGTCTTGTCGGGGCATGACCCATCGTTTCAAACTGTTGGAATGGTCAAGATAGGCAGTTGTTTGGGGGCAACACTTCATCCATCAGCTTCAATCCAGGCTGGGAGCAGCATGACAGCGCCATTGGTGGCTGCACTTCGCACCATTTGGGCTCCGCGGGTGTGGATGCTTCTAGTCTTGGCAGGGCTCTTCACAACTGGAAACTGGCAGCTCAGCTTCAATCAAAGAGAGAGCCTACTATCAGTCTATCCACGATGAACAAATAAGTGCATACATAACCCCTGCAACTTCTTCTGGCTTCGGCTGTATGTCCATGCGACGTTTGAGGACCGAGCTCGCGAAGCTCGCGCGCAAACCGCAAGTGGGGAGGCTAAGAAATGCTACGACAATGCGATGGGAATTTGTATCACCTCGATCGTGGTGATTTGATATGATCCGCGGACTGCTGGTGGTTTGGGAGGTTGGAGCAGTTTTTGGTAAATATTCCTACTGCACGCTGTCCGCATGTGCCGCATGTGTATGACTTAGGTCGCAAGTGCCCTCCGAAACTTCGATATCATGATGCGGTCCGTCTGCTTCGTGGCAGGAGTCACAGGCCAGGATCCCACAGTGGGGCTCTGCCACAGCTCGGACATTGGCTGTTGCATGGTCAGGCCCTGCCGATGCTGGGCCCATCTCAAGCTGGGCCTTGCTGAATTGCATCGCTTCCGTCGCGCGAATATGCAGGCGCACCGCACCCTCATTTCACCTGGTATGCCTGGTGTGGTGAAATGATTTTGGTTGTTGACCCCCCAACAGTCGGACAGAAAAGTGTGACATGATCAGACTCATCTTCATTGATCTTCTCTACCTCCAGTTCTTGTTTGGGGCGATGTCGTTCCACTATGGCAGAGGCTGGTGATGTATGAGCAGCTGGCACCATTGACGTGGCTGGCGGGAGCGAAGCTCCCTGAGCTGCCTTTGCTAGCTGGACTTGGCCTAGAAGTGTGGCTGGGGGCCCAGTCTCTTCAAGTCTAGAAAAGCAACGCCCCAAACTCTCCACTCGAAAATGTTGGATTTGGGATGGTTATGTGACATTGGTCAAGAAATGGGGCTCTGAAAGTCCTTACTGCCGAACGGGCAGCCCTCTGTTCGCTGTTTTCCTGGCATGGAACTTGGCAAAGGCTTGGCCAGTAGCTCAGATCCCGCTGCTCGTGGCAGGTGCGTCGTCGTGCTGACGCTGTGCCTCGTAAGGCACGGTTGCTCACTTGGAAGGGAACTGACTCAGACTCACCCCACTCACCGGCACCTGGAGCATTGACACAGTGGCGCAGTGGTGGGTACTTTCTGGACCGACTCTGGGTGTTCCTGCTGTTCTTGCTACTGCTCTTGCTACTGCTCTTGCCACTGCTCTTGCCCTTGCTGCCTCTGCCGCCTCATTTGCTGCCTCATTTGGTGCCTCATTTGCCGCCCGCTCAATGCGGTTGTGATGGCGGTTGTGATGGTGACGGTGATGGTGACGGTGACGGTGACGGTGATGCTGAGGATGATGATGATGATGATGATGATGATGAAGAAGAAGAAGATGATGATGATGATGATGCTGGTGATGATGATGATGATGATGATGATGCTGATGCTGATGATGCTGATGATGCTGATGATGATGATGGTGGTGGTGGTGGTGGTGGTGATGGTGACGGTGATGGTGATGGTGATGGTGACGGTGACGGTGACGGTGATGCCGAGGATGATGATGATGATGCTGCTGCTGCTGATGATGATGATGATGATGATGATGATGATGATGATGATGATGATGATGATGATGCTGATGATGCTGATGATGATGATGCTGATGATGATGGTGATGATGATGCTGATGATGATGGTGATGGTGATGATGTGATGGTGATGGTGATGATGATGATGGTGATGATGGTGATGATGATGATGATGATGATGGTGATGCTGATGATGATGATGATGCTGATGCTGGTGAGGATGATGATGATGATGATGATGATGATGATGATGATGATGGTGATGGTGATGATGATGATGGTGATAGTGATGGTGATAATGATGCTGATGCTGATGCTGATGATGATGATGCTGATGATTATGATGATGATGGTGATGATGATGATGATGGTGGTGATGGTGATGGTGATGGTGATGGTGATGATGATGATGATGATGATGATGCTGATGATGATGATGATGATTATGATGATGATGAGGATGATGATGATGCTGCTGATGATGATGATGATGATGGTGTTGGTGATGAGACAGTTTCGCGCCCCTGGCATGCAGCAGTTTTAATGAGTTTGCAGGCGGCCGGGGAAGCTCCTCTCTCTGGCATCTGTCTCGGCGCCTTTGATAGGCCTCGTGCTAGGCCAGGGAGCTTGGGATGAAGTGCTGCACAGGGATATGGGGCCCGGGGTTTGAAGCCTTCCTCAGGTGGAGATTATGCAGCTCCCTTCCAGCCATTTGTTGCACCAACGTTGCAACGTGGCGCTGCAGTTGTGGCAGCCGTGTCAGCAACTTGTGCTGCACGACCTGCCCCCCAAAACAAGTTTGCCATAAATCTGAAGTATTTCTAAGTCTTGATAGTCTTGTGTGGCGCCCACAGCGAACAGGGGTGAAGTATCTTGAAGTCCCGTTCCAAGGCCATGCTGATCTTCATGGGCGGTTTCCCCACCATGATTTCAAGCCTCATCATGGTGCAGGCTGCTGTCGTAGTTTTTGTTGGGCGGACGGCTGAGCAGTGTTGTTTGCTGCTGTGTGTTGGTCAGGCCATCTATGCCATTCATGGCATTGACAATGCGAAACTCTGATGGTGCGAGCTAAAACGCTTGCCTCATGGATGTCGGTGAAAGCGAAACAGCTGCGATTCAAAAAAGGGTAGGAACAGTTTGGGGACTCTGTCCCCCAGACCTCAGCACCAGTGGTTTCAGTGGAAGCGAAAGTTAAATCAGAGTCACCCATTCTAGATTTTTAGAGACACATTAAATATCATTAAATATCATTAAATATCATTAAATATCATTAAATATCATTAAATATCATTAAATCACATGAAGGCAGCGATGCCCAGCTCTTTTGGTTGCAAGGTCCATCTGACCGGAGGCTGCGCCGCCTTGGCCGGTTGCCTGCTGCTGGGCCGGCGGATCATGTGCCGTGAGCTGGAGCAGTGCCGTGGACTTGACAAGTTTGGCGTTGAAAATCCATGGGAAAATGATGATCCATTGGAGAAATGGTCCCGTAATGGGGGAAACATATGGCCCTATGAATGGTCCAGGAATAATATATGGCCCATTATGGCCCTATGAATGCGGGAAACGTAGGAAACATGATGATAATCCATTGGGTTTGGGGGCACGCTATTTTCAGGCAATGATTGGCACATGGATTTTGATGGCTGACTTTTGAACATTAAACAGCCAACAGATGATCGATGATCGAGAAGTTGATGAAAATACAACTGATGCAGAAATGGTAAAATCCTAAATGTTTAATAAATGTCAGTTAGTTAGTTCCGTGGCCGATTTGACAAGTTTGAAGAGTTGTTAGGCCATTTCCACACAGGAACATGAAAGATATTCCGCTGCGTCCGTTGCAGCTGAGGGATGACGAAGGTGGCCTGCCAGCACCAAAGCATTTGCCCTTGGCAGTTTTGCCTTGCTGCGGAAGTGTGGAGATAACTTCAGACGTTCAGCATATGTGGCCTGGAACAGTGACGCACTTTCTGGGGACTTTCCATTGCAGCTTTCCCGAGCTTTCCCGCAGGCCGCAACTGGATGGATGCCGAAGCTGGAAAGGCTGAGGAGTTGGGGCTAGGCGATGAGGATTGGCAGCGAAGATTTGATGATGAGGCAGGGAATCGGATTGAGAGATACAAGACCGAAAGCTGCCGGAGCGAGATGTAAGCATCGACATTGAATCTACATGCTAGGACTTTACAATACTTTACAATACTTTACATTTGGAGGTTTGTTGATTGAAGCAGAACAGAGATGGAAAAGGTTCTGCCCCCTCCAGCTCTACTGGTAGGCTCGGGACAAGCTGGAATTCCAGACGTGCAGCTACTTGCAGGTTATGGGTTGCTTGGCCAAAGGGTGGAGTTTTGTGGAAAAACACCAGGCTTGTGCCAAATTCTGCCATTCTGACGGTCTCTATTGTGGACCGCGGACGAGGCATGTTTACATTGTGGGTTGGCTGGTACGGATTCAACGCTGGGCACCTTGCATGCATAAGGTCTTGTTGTGGAAATTTGAAAGTTGCCAATGAATGCAGGGCAATCACTGGCTTGAAAAGGGATGGCAACAAAGTACGATTCGCTGGTCAAAGTTCCATGTGAAGGTCTGTGCTATCAGCTGATCCATCCGGGAGATTGGTATCTCGGCACAAATGTCCGTTCTCCTTAATGCTGCGACATACTATGATGATCGTGACAGTTGTTGGTTGAATACTCCTTCCATTGGCTAATATCCCCCATTCCTCATTTCCCTCATTTGGCTTTCCGGGTTCCATTCCCAAACGCCAAGTCTTGCCATGCCCAGGCGGGCCTAGTGTCTTGGAATACGACAGCCGCTGGATCTGCAGCTGGTCTCGGAGCTTGTCTCTACCTTTATGGCTTTCATTTGAATTTCGGCTGCAACTGGGGTCTAAACGGTGCTCTTCCCGTTTTGGTGGCAAACTTGTGCTGTTGGGATTTCTTGTGACATGCGATGTGATTCTGACCCTGTTCAACCGCCTTGAGAACACACAATGAGACCCGAGGAATTTGGACGTAGGCTCCGGGGCCCAACATCAACGTTTTTGCTTGTCACATGTTCAACGCAGTGAACGCAGTGTCGGCAAGTTTTGTTTCCTCTGATTTCCTGTGTTTGCACGTGCACAGCACAGGCTTTTTGTGCAATGGAGCTGGGGGCCCTGAGTGGGGAAGGCCGCGGGCTTTGGACCAAACAAAACGGTAGGTCCGGGAACATGGCCGAGGTGTTGAGCGGTCTCGTGGCGTGTACAGCCTTGTGTGACGTGGCAACCCCAACATCATCCATTGTCATCGGCTTGCTGAGTGGCTTAGTGGTGGGCAACTGAGACAGGGATCCAGACATGGCAAGGGGCAGCTTTGGTCACTGCCTGGCGGAGTTGGATGAACATACGCTAAGTGATGATTAAGGGAGCTGAAACTGGCAACTTATTCTTTATATCTCCACTGCTGGTTTGCAATGCACTCATTTTCTTGCAAGTTGTATCTGACAAGCATAGCTACCGGTGGCAACTGCTCAAACATTGTTGTGCCAGCGCATTGCTCGTGCAGGTGTATCCTGCTTGCTCAAGACTCATGCAGTGGGCACGTATAGACGACCCGGTGGATGCTGTCGCGGTGCATGCAGGGCACCAACCTTGGATCTTTGAGTACTGGGATGATCCCTTAGGATTTGCAGGTTGTGGCCCCCCCCCAATGTACCATGAGAATATAATGCTTGGGTAGGGTCTTCAGTGTTCAGGTACGAACTCTGGATGAATAGAGGGATCAGTTCTACATTCAAGTTGCAGAGCATGTGAAGGGCTGAGCCTTTTGTGCGGTACTGAGGTCTGGCTTCTTCGGTTACTTGGCAAAGTCATAAGATTTATCAATCCTTGAGGCCATGGTGCACTGTTCCAAGGGGTGGTGGCTACGGCCTTTTGCACACCTCCCTGTGAAAAGCTGAAAATGGCCAGGGGCCAAGGTGTTTCTCTGGCTTAGGGTGTTTCTGTTGTAGACCAGCCGGCTGTTGCGACATTGCACTGTCAACCCAGGATGAACAAAACACCAATTTACTAATTGGGGGGCGCATGGGGGTAACCCCCCCCTTGATGAATTATAATTGATCAACGGCATCAACGGCATTTCTGCATCTGGGACATTTGTCTATGACTCGACTCCGGCCGCTCCAAGTGTCACTCTTCAGTCCCAGCTCCGTGCCCATGGAGCCCATGGAGGATTCATTTCTGAGTCCGCCTGGAAAGCTGAAACCCTTGCGATGGATCACCTGCTCCTTGATTTCCGTCGGGCTGCTGCTGCCATTGCTGGTGGCCGTCCCAGAAGTGAAACCCATCCGCAAGGAGATCATCGGCCTGTCCTGCGTGATGCTCTTCGTTGGAACGCTGGCCAGGATGAGACTGGAACGATGTAGAATGGAGCTCCTGCAAACCAGCTCCAAGACACTTAACATCACTTAACATGATACGAAGTGGATTCCCCTTGGACAGGTTGGGTAAGAAGCCCAGAAACTAGTAGCTAGAAACCCTGGTGGATTTGTTCTCTTTGTTATTTTTTTGGATCTGCTTCCAGAGGGGCATGATCAAGGGGATGTGCAAGTCTTTTCCTCCGGTGGCCATTACTGAGGGCAGTCCATGATTGGAAAGCAGGAATGCGCTAGATGCGTAGTGGTTGTTGCACCACACCCCGTGCGATCATGCATAGGCTCAGAGGCATGTTTTTCAATGAATGCTTTTTCAATCTTTTTCAGGGAGATGTTCAATGTGACTTGCACTGCGTGTTCAACGCAGGTTTGTAGTATCACGTCACTCAAACATGCATACACGCACAACACAACATTTAAAATGCCACGCTACCTGAAATCGGAGTTTGGTTGGGTTGGTCTGTTGGAAGAGCAAAATGGTGCTAGGGAATGGTGGAGCAATTTTCTGGTGGGCACGCAGAACCAATAAAGCTGATTTGTAGTTCAGGTAGATTCATGACCGGATATTTTTACCTCCCATGAACCAATAAATCTTCGGCTTTGGATCTTCTCCCTTGTCTTTATTTGGGCTGTGTTTGGCTGTCTCAGGAAGCGTGAAGTGAAGAGGCGCTTATGGGCATCTGTCCTCTTTGAGCCTTGACTTTGCAATGAGGTGGTTTCTTTTCTTCGTTTTGAAGAGCTAATGAAGCCACTGCATGCTTGAAGGGGTAAATTTTCTCTTGGAAGTTCACACACACACACATATATATAATACAATATATATTTTTTGGTCCCCCTGGATATTCAGCCCGGCAGCCTAGGAAGAGCTGGAGACTTCAGCCTTGGAGTTCCGCTGTATGCATATCCAAGTCATGCCGGAAGGAGTGGAAGTAGGAGGAAAAACCGCACACGTGGATGTCGTGGAGAAAGCGTGGCATGACAGAACGGGACTTCAAACGTTGGTACATTCCGGGTAGATGATGTACATGGTAATCTGGCAATCTGTGATGTCATATATCACTGAAGTGGGTCAAGCAGCTGGCGGGTGTTATGCTGACACATGAAACAATAAAGAAAACATGTAGGATCCATGCCCAGCACTATTATGCACGTCCTTCAGCCGAGGTCAGTTTTGGAGTCAGGTTTATCGTCAGCGACTCAGAAGACTTGCCTTTGTTGCCTGGAAGATTTCCAACCGTCGTCGCAAGTAGCGGTGCTGCCTTGTGGGCACATCTTCGACGAGGACGGTGCTGCCTTGGCGTCCAATGACAGTCTGGGGATCCGGTGGGTTTGGCACCAAACGCCATACTGGATGCCTTCAATGCATGTTTTTGCCGAAAAAAGGATATCAAAAGTAGATCGTACTAGATCCAAATCCACCAATCCATGGCTGACTTCCTGGTTGCATCTGGTTGCCAAGGCCAACCTTAAATGGATTCTAGAATGATTTACGATGTTCGCAAGTCTTGCCCCAGCCTCGTTCACACTGATGCAGGACTGCATCCTGGCATGGTCAGCTGCAAAGAGGAAAGCTTCTCGGACCTGCCCCACTTGCCGTTCCAATTTCACGGTGCTGTGATGCGGTGCCCTGGTGATCCTCCGGGATCAACCGATCTTCCACCTGCCCCAGTATTCACTGCCTTGGTGATACATGGTGATACGAGAAAAGCAGTTTGACTGCAGCAGTTTGTCTATGCAGTTTGTCTCGGTATGTAATGCGAATAAACTGCACAGGCTCCGGCAAGACTTGGAGTGTCAAGATCTGGGCGCAATCTGCAGGACTCTCAGTAGGCCCCTTGAGTCTGGACTAGTGCAACAGGATTCTCGCAAAGATCAATTTTGGAAAACAAGTGCATTAGCATCATAAATCAGAATGCTACTTAACAAGCACGCATCATTCTAATAATAGTATTATAAGTACTTATGAATACTCTCCATGTTATTACATGTGCTATATAAATCCAACCATTATACGAACAGCTTCCAGCAACCGGAGTCCAGGGGCCTCTGGCGCCTGGTTGTGCATAGTAGGTCGGCCAACTTGCCAGAGGCAAGAGTGGCTCCGAATGAAGCGGGGAACTGGAGTTGTGAATCGCAACTGTTGCCTGATCCCACGAACCAAACGCTGGTTGAACTTGGACCACTACCATGTACATATACATCCATATACAATGATTGCATCTAACTGCTGTAATATCTGTATATATTGATTACCAAGGCTCCTAACAACAGCTACTGGATGACTGACATATACCATACCTATTCATTGTTAAGAAGAAAAATCATGTCAAGGATCAGAGCTGAGGCAGAAACGATTTGAGCTCACGGGACCTGACAGCTTCCGAATTTCCTGCAGGCAGCAGTGATCGGCAGAGAGCAGTTTCATGAACTTTTGGCTCTCATATATAGCCGATGTGCTGCTGGTTTGATAGCAATGGCAAGCAGCTGGCTATGGCACTCGTGGGCCCTTGGGCCAGGGTGGTGAAGATTGCAATGGGGATCAACAGGCATCAAAAGGAGAAGTAAGATCAAATTTAGAAACATCACATTTCAAGCTCGTGGGACTAGTTTGTTTTGTGGTGCTTCCGCTGCAACACTATGGTGAGGTTGCTCAAAAAGGGCATTCCTCAGAGCGCACTGTGGGTTTGGCGCTCTGAATGTGAACAAGCGCTCGCGTCGAATGACGCAGGTCGACAGGCCGTGACACGTTTACATTTGGCGTCATGCTCCTTTTTCAAGACAGATATTGGAAGCCAAAAAAGGAGCTGTGAGCCACTTCATACGCATGACTTTGTTCCAAGAGCTGCAACCATGTGCAGAGTTTCGGCTTCTGCAGAGCCATTGAAGTGCCTTGGAATTTAAATTTGCAAGCCACTCACACCGGAGATTGAGGCCGGCACACTCCGTGGAGCCGAGGTGCGCAAGCTCAGCATGATTGTTAGCCTGGGTAATCTGCCCGTGAAATTGAAACTGGTCAACTCCTTTTGTTCCCCCCAAGTTTTTGCCTAGTTTTTGTCCAGCAAGCTGCGTTCCAGGCTGAGTTTTGCTCAGATGAACATACACTTCTCGGACAGCTAGAGATGCAGCTTTGGGGTTTCTTGGTGGGTTCAGCAGGGCCCGACCCGGGGTCGGTGGTTTCAATTCAAAACATGTCTTACCATTTGTACTCTGGTATGGGGCCACAAATCCGGCATATTTTCGAGATGTGTCTGGGATTGTGATGGTTTCAACTGATGAAAGATCTTCCGCTACTTCCATCAACGTCACCAAGGCGCATTGTTGATAGTCTGCTGGGCATTCCTGCCTCTCAGCCGCAAGGATGCATCGACGCATTTTTGAAAGGTTGCTCGGACCATAGGCTATGCCGGACTTGATGGAGGGCACCAGAGACAGAAATCCTTGTCAATGACTGAAGGTGATTGCTGCCAGCTGAAACGGAGAGCCAAGGATATCCATGTTCTTCTTTCTCTTTTGTGCCGTGTGCGAGCGGGTGAAGAGCTTGGAGCTGAAACATGTCAGGGAGATCCAGGACCCAACTAGCAGATGAGTTGCTGATGTTGACGGTGGTCAGCACAAGGATTGTTAAACACAGACATGTGGCCGTCATACTTGTAGCTTGAGTTCCTCGACTTGGGAATCTGAAGCCGTTTTAGCCAGGACATATTGGCTCAGACGGATCTCAACGGATCGCTGAGCGAGGCACCAGACGGCAGGGCGGTCGATCCGAGATTTCGGTTTCCAGACATGAGTTGTCGCCTTGAGGCCGCTGATTCATTGCTGGGAATTCGCTTAGCCAGCGTGGGGGAACGCTCTTCTCTGGTGCCTCAGTCCAAGAGCTTTTGGGGTGGGGCTGAGGAGCAAAGGGTAGGTGTATGCAAGATGATATGTCGTCTCTGCATGGGGTTTAAGTGACTTTAATAATTAAGATTGGAATGTAAAGATGGAGCCATGAGGTCCTGAAACAACACATTTTCAGTCCCCGCGGGGGATTGGTATGCAACTGCAACACCTGTGACAAGGACCCTGCCCAAATGTTGCCACCAGACTCACCAGACCTATGAAACCCAGACAGGGGTTTGACTCCGGGTGTGTTTGGACTGGTCTCATATTTATATAACAAGGTGCGCCAGCTACTTGAGCAACGTGCACAAGGAAGTCTCAAGGACTCTAGCTGCGCTTTGGGTTGCTGCGGATGATCTTGAATTTGGATGAATTTGGATCCATGAGTAGTAGCTGGCTGGGATCGAACCCCAAACGAAACTTAGCTAGAGTGGGACATAACCCGAGAACCATCAGAATTGATCCGCACATAATCATCCCATTGCTTCACTGCCACCATTCTTGGCGTTTTTGGATCGACCGCTTGATCTGGCTCAGATTAGTCGCGCTTTTCAGCCACTGGGCTGTGAACTCCAGACGCCATGGATGACAGAAGCTCGCCCTATGTGGCATATCGGCCCTACTCAGAGCCGCCTGGACAGCAAGCTTTGACCATTGGATGGTTGGAGATGATCCTAACAGGTCCCAGCTTGTGATTGGGGTGAGGTGATATGATTCATGCCAACGAGCCAGGAAATGGAAGATCCATACTGAAATCAACACACATCCATACAATATATATATATGTATGTATATATATATATGGGTAGAGGCTTGAGGTTCCCCGGAAGGCAATTTAAGTTCATTGTTTTCAACTTTGAAAAATGTAATTATTCACTGTATTTTACAGTGTTTTGTGTTCTTCCCACAACTTGAGAACACAAGGAATCAGTTCAACATGCGGACAACATATCTGGGATATGTTGTTTGCTGTTTGTTTCTTTTTTCTTTTAAATCTTTTTAAAGTTATTCATTTTGTGTCATTTTCGTAGATCTCATGGGAATTGCGTGTTTTTCGGAATTTCAGGTTTCCTTTGATTGACATAAACATGTCATAATCCACCAGAGGATGGGCAAAATGCACATGAGGCTTTTTTCTCTTCACATCCACAAAGCCGTTTTGAAAGCATTTGCAACAACATCTTCAACGTAACAACATCTCCAACGTAACAACATCTTCTGATGACGCAATGCAATGAACGTTAACATCCCCCCATTTATATGCTTATATCTATCAGAGAGAGGCTCAAGGTTCCTCCGTGCCCCGGGGAACCTCAAGCCTCTCCCCTATGTATATATATATATATATATGTATAGTGCACATCCAGATTCATATCTGAGATCTATTGTATTTTTAGATAGGTTCAGATAGGTGGCATTACTAAATCGACGTTTCCGTGGGGTTTTGTTCAGAACGCCTAAGGAGTGCTTCCTCGCAGACCCCAAAGCGGCCAAAGATCTTCAAGCCACAGCGGCCTGCGCAGAGCAGGGCAGTCCAGGGCTCAGAGTCTTCTTCTTCTTCTTCTTATTGTTATATTACTATTGCTGTTATTATTTTTATATTGCCATTACTATTTTTATGATCATTATTTTTGTTATTACTACTATTATTGACTATTATTATTATTATCATGATTCTTTGTGTTAGTAGTATCGTTATTGTACTACTTATTATCGATATTGTTACTATGACTGTTGTTGATGATGATTCTTAGTTATTACTATTATTAGTAGTGTTGTCAGTTAAAAATATTCTGGCTAATGTGTAAACGTCAGCCAAAAGTACTCTGGCTGGCTGGAATCTGTTTAAATTTATGTTGGTAAGCCAACCATTCTTATTTTTTTTCTTGGTTCACTCCTATTCCTGCTGGTGAACTCCCCGATTGTTGCACGCAAGCTTCCCTTTGTCGTCGTTTTGGTGCCAGCAAAACATCCCTCTGAATAGCACTATTTGGCTGCTGCAAAATTCAAACACTGCACTGAGGTCGAAAAGGCAAGCCTTTCTTCCCAAGGTCCCGAGGACAGATCTGCCAGCTGCCCAACGGCCCAGTTGGGCCGTGAACTGCGGTCATTGCCATTACCTCAGGTAATCGAACATGGCAATGGAAAATACCAATTAATCAAACATTATTTAGTTTCTTTTCCCATTAATCCATTTATAGGGGATTTCCTATTGCCATGTTCAATTGCTGAAAGGTATCGGTATAAGGGGCTCATTTTGCTGTGTCACTGCAGGAGTCTGTGGGCAATGTGCTGCATGCAGCGATGCGACGGCAAAGTGCTGACTTCGCAACTGGCAGGTCAAATGCACCACCAGTAGCCCAGCTGCGATTTTGATTTACCATGACAAGCATCGAACACCGCAGTGCCCTTGTGACATGTCATGCGATCAATCTGTGGGGCCGGCCTTCCAATTTTCGACTGCAGGAACGCTTCTCCGGGATGTCATTGAAAAGCTTTGGCATGCGACTCGGCCAAATAGGACGCCTTTAACCAAGTCAATTGAGTTTTTCTCAGGGTGGCTCAACCACCAACCATCTCGAATTCGTTCAGAAGCGAACATCTACAGGAAATCCCTCGATTTGATGAGAAAATCCCTTGATCCAATCCCTTGAAACCAGCCATGGCCCAGGTCTGCCACTGTGTCGGGCACGGCGGCGCCACGAAAGGCCAAGGAACGAAAGGATGGCAGGTGAGGACGGGAGCAGAGCCTGGGACCATCAGTTAAGTGCAGGTATCTGATGGTATATGTGTAGCTACAATTCGATATATTCGATCTGTCTCTTTTGTTTTTTGGGTGTAAAAAATGCAAACACACAAATGAATAGATAAATAAATAAATAAATATAATATATATATATGGTAAAGAATTTGCTAGATAGATAGCTAGATAGATAGATACACACACATTAACACATATTAGTATAGCTATGTATAGCTATATAGATATACATAGAAATACATACGTGTATATGTTTATATGCTTGTCTATGTTTGCAGGTCGATGGAGCTCATGGACCTGGCGTTCTCCAATAAGATGCAACTGGGTCCAGATGGACAGTACGTGCAGCAGTACACCCCGCGCCGTGGCTGAAGACTGGGGGTTTTGGGAAAGATGAAGATCCCTGAGTCACGCAGTTTCCCAGAATTTTTGATATTTTTTGCAGATATTTGATTCGGAAAGGTGTTCGTTTGCTTGGATTTTTGTGGCTTTGGCTTGCGATTCTTTCCAGTTGAGGATCTCCCTGCCATATTTCGACATCCAAGAGGAAGGTGAGGCTTCAACCGATGCGCCAACTCAAGCACAGACCAGGCCCCATAATTGCACCCAAGCCTGGGTTTCTGCAAGACTTTGCCGCACTTTCTGGACACTCCGAGATGGCATACCATCCATGTTTCAGGCGTAATGATGTTATACTAGCAACTTAAAACCAGTTCTAACCAGATTATACTTATAACATCTGATAACCAATATCTATATTAGTGGCTTCACGTCAGATGGGTTGAGCTTTCTGGAGGCCGAAGTTGATGCACATCGACGAGGCCAATTCCCGGGCAGCGGCCAAGCTGCTGGGAGCCCAGCAGGCACGACAGCGATGGGGGCTTGGTATGTTTTTCTAGGTGTCAATACCAGGTTCAAGGTATTTCTGGTTCAACTACAATTTCTTGGGTTCAACTATATTACTTTGTCTCTTCAACAAACTTGAAACCTGAAACCGTCATTTTGAGGGTCAATAATTTTGAGACACATTGATCATTGTTGGTACTAAAAGCTGAGACCATCCATACCCATGCACAGTACCAATAGATCTCTGGAGATCCTTAGCTGTGAAACCTGAAGGAGCTGTTGGAAGACACCTACTTCTTGATGCAGATGCCCTGTGTTTTGCCAGAGATGCGCAATCCAGACACCCAGCCGCACAAAAACGGTTCGTTTTGCTTGTGGTTCAACAGCTGTTTCAAGCACAGGAGGCTAGATAAGGGTAAGGAAGTCCTGGAAGTCCTCAAATTCAAAGTTCTTGTCACAAATGTGGGGTATAAATTACCAAGCTACAAACCAGGATCTTATTGATTGAATCCCAGCCTGGCAACCAAGGAAGATGAGGTCTTCCGAGAACAGGAGGATGCCCTGTCTGCGGGCGCAGGTGAGTCCGGATGGCGATAGATCATCTTAAACCGATTTTCACATTTTTTATTAGCCAAGCTTTACTTGAGCACTGTGGTACGATGCGGTGATGCGTCGTCCCTGGTGTCAACTTGAGGCTCCACGATCACCCGACTCCCAGATGGGAAGCTTGGAAAGCTCCGCATCTACAAGACGCTTGGATAGACTTGGCCCACAAAATGATTGATCATTTGTTTTTTTTGGGCGCTCTGAGCAACTGTTCCCAATTCCAGTTTGATAAACTTGTTTCCTAGACCTCTGCTGCAAGAGGGATCATCCTGTCGCATAGATCGTGCCAGTGGAGATCCTGCAGTAGGAAGATGACTGCAGCTGGCCGCTGCAGCTGGCCGCCAGGTCTGGAAAGGTCCGGATGGAGATTGCGGGCGTCTCCTTTTGCGTCGATCAGGGATGTGACACCTTCTTCCAGCAGGACGGGGGTAACTTCGGGGGATGGGTGGCTTTCCAATTGTCATGCAAAAAAAAACACTGGGTTGAGAATCCTGTTTCATTCATTTCAAACATGGCAGTGATCCATCTCTCTAAGAGGGGCGATGTGTTTGATCCAACTTCAGAACTCGCTCCGTAGCTTCCAGGATTTAGCTCTTGTGTGCCCCCTGGCGGGTGAAATCTTCAACCTGGGCAACATCAACACCAGGCCAAATTCCGGGTACGTATTTTTCCGGGGATTTTTTTTCAGATTTCCCGGGGATTTTTTTTCAGAAATCTATTCACAGGCCACGCAGGGAACAGGCAAGCAAGCAAGCAAGCCAGCCAGCAAGCAAGCAAGCCAGCCAGCCAGCCAGCAAGCAAGCCAGCGAGCAAGCAAGCAAGCCAGCCAGCAAGCAAGCAAGGCAGCCAGCCAGCAAGCAAGCAAGCAAGCAAGCCAGTGAGCAAGCAAGCAAGCAAGCAAGCCAGCCAGCCAGCCAGCCAGCAAGCAAGCAAGCAAGGCAGCAAGCAAGCAAGCAAGGCAGCAAGCAAGCAAGCAAGGCAGCAAGCAAGCAAGCAAGGCAGCAAGCAAGCAAGCAAGGCAGCAGCAAGCAAGCAAGCAAGCAAGCCAAGCAAGGCAGCAAGCAAGCAAGCAAGGCAGCAAGCAAGCAAGCAAGGCAGCAAGCAAGCAAGCAAGGCAGCAAGCAAGCAAGCAAGGCAGCAAGCAAGCAAGCAAGGCAGCAAGCAAGCAAGCAAGGCAGCAAGCAAGCAAGCAAGCAGCAGCAAGCAAGCAAGCAAGCAGCAAGCAAGCAAGCAAGCAAGCAAGCAGCAAGCAAGCAAGCAAGGCAGCAAGCAAGCAAGCAAGGCAGCAAGCAAGCAAGCAAGGCAGCAAGCAAGCAAGCAAGGCAGCAAGGCAGCAAGCAAGCAAGCAAGGCAGCAAGCAAGCAAGCAAGGCAGCAAGCAAGCAAGCAAGGCAGCAAGCAAGCAAGCAAGGCAGCAAGGCAGCAAGGCAGCAAGGCAGCAAGCAAGGCAGCAGGCAGCAAGCAAGCAAGCCAGCAGCAAGGCAGCAAGCAAGCAAGCCAGCAAGCAAGCAAGCAAGCGAGCGAGCAAGCGAGCAAGCGAGCGAGCGAGCAAGCAAGCAAGGGAGGAAGCACGGCAGTCAGCGAAGCGAGAAGGTGAGCAAGCCATGCAGGGAGCCAGCAAGACAGCCAGCCAGACAGCAAGCAAGGAAGGTATCCAATCAAGCATTGTATAAGTATGGCGCGCGATTGCAATACCACCCCCCGTATCCATGTGCATAAGCAAAAGACATTGTAAATATCAGTAGTACCGCACAAGGCGGTGGCGGAAGTTTCAAAAATAGGAAACCTATAGGAGAGGTTGGTTGTTGTGAATCAGGGATGGCAAAGCGAATCCACTGATGGACCGAAAGGTGCTTGAGGTCTCCTCTCTGTCTCTCTCTCTCTGACTATCTACCTACCTATCTATCTTCTATGTATCTATCTATCTATCTAGCTATCTATCTCTCTCTTTCTCTCTTTCATCTAATTACCTATCTACCTATCTACCTATCTATCTATCTATCTCTCTCTCTCTCACTCTCTCTCTTTCATCTGTCTATCTGTCTAGCTGTCTACCTGTCTATCTATCTATCTATCTGTCTGTCTATCTGTCTACCTGTCTATCTGTGGTGCAGTGTCATTCAGTGTATTGTAGTGTAGTACTACTAGTACTACTAGTACTACTAGTACTACTATTATACTAGTACTAGCACTAGTACTACTACTAGTATACTACTACTACTGCTACTGCTACTACTACTGCTACTGCTACTGCTACTGCTACTGCTACTCTACTACTACTACTACTCCTACTACTACTACTCCTACTACTACTACTACTACTCCTACTCCTACTCCTACTGCTACTGCTACTGCTACTGCCACTGCCACAGCCACTGCCACTGCTAACTAGGCTGGAATGTTGTGCGATATGATGATGGGGTGCGCAGATGAGTCAAATTTCGTGCATGGGTGCGCAGATGAGTTAGGGTGCGCAGATGAGTGAAATGTAGGATGCGCAGATGAATGCTTTGCCTTGGAAAAAGGTAGGGGCGCGAACCCTTTCCGCATGGTTGCTGCTTCTGGTGTTGTCTGTTTTGCTATATAGACCCCGTATCCTGAAAAAAAATCCCCGGGAAATCTGAAAAAAATTCCCCGGGGACGCCCACACCCCCAAATTCCACACGGATTCTGGGGGGGAACAAGGGGGAACATGTCTTTTTCTGCCACAGTCGGTGACAAAATGAAGCCAGGATGGTGCTGACGCCAGATCTGGATTCCATCCTGAAGGATGTGCCGCAGCAAATGCCGGAGGACCTGCCCGAAGAGCCCCGGGTCACGAGGGTGGACCGCAAGGACCGGCCAGCGCGAAAGCGGTGCTATGACTCTGAGGTATTCCGAGGGGAAGGTTTTCCAAGGAAGGATTTCTATATCTATTTTTCAAGGGTTTCTTTGGTTCCCTATCGCGTTGTTGCTGTAGTATCGCTTTATCATAAAAATTGGCTCAAGCTGCACAGAAGGCCTTAGACAGTGGAAGACACTGGCAGTGCCGCCATGGCAGAACTTCAGGTCCGAGCCACAACCATGTCCGGGCGCCAGGTGGATTTGCTGCTTGGTGCTGAGGAACCCATAGCGCTGCTGAGGCAAAAGGTGGGTGAAGCTCTGGGCATTCGAAAGTGGCAGTTGCGGCTGATTCATGGTGGCATGGTTGTCAACAATGGAGGTTTGATCAAGGAGTTGGTTGGAGCAGAGGCCGAAACGGTGGAACTCATTGCGCTGGCGGTTGAAGCCACTGACGTGAAAGAGCGCAGCAAGAAACTGTGGTCGGTTTTCAAAAGCCAAACTTTTCCTGGTTTCAGCAAAATCAACCGTGATGACAAGCATGCCGTTCTGAATGGAGAGGTGGACTTCGACTATGATGGCGACAACATGTTGGAATTGTTGCTCAAGAATCCGTGTTCTTTTGTCATTGAAATATTCATGGATTCGCTGCTTGCAGGTGGTGCTTGCGTTAACAGCCCCTCCAATGATGGCTACACTCCCCTGCTCACTGCCTGTAGGCGTGGTCTGAGCAAGCAGATAAAACACTTGCTACAGCTCGGAGCAAACCCACAACAACAATTGCCCAACGGGGACGATGCTCTCGTCTCGGCCTTGAACTTTTTCCACGCTTGCTCCAAAGTGAATGACGTGAATGCTCGTCCACTTCAGGAAGACTTAGATCTTGGCCGGACCTGTTGCATATTTCGAGATACCAACATCCAAAGTGCTACAGGCCTTCTTCCCTTGGAAGAAGCACGACTGAAGTTGTCGCAGGCGGCGATCGAGCTGGCATTGTTGGCGCGTGCAGGTGCGTCCTTGTGTCAGAAGAGGATCTTGGAGAAGTCCGGGATGGATCCAGCCTTGACTGAAGCTTTTGGAGGGGATCTTTGGGCAGGTTGGCCAACAGCCTTTTTCACCTTCTCCCGGCAGATTCCAAAGGTTGGTCATGCCTGGGACAAGGACTTCTTGGCAGCAAGACGCCAAATTCTTCGCTACGATCAAAGATGCTTTGATGAAGAGAGGGTCTACACACAAGACTGCTGGTGTCCATTGTGCTGCCCATCCCTCAATGATTCTCCACTTGAGACAGATTCATTTGTGACCTGCTATCAGCTGCGCAAAGGCCAAAACAAGAAATGGGAGGCTTCCAAAGGCAATGTGCGCCGCAGCAGACTCGCAAGATTCGCGTCATCTTCTGGCGGCGTGTCTCGATCTTCAAGGATGGCTCGCAAATTGCCGCCGTCATACCGTGGTTTTCAGGTTAAAAATATACTTCAAGGACAACAACAATTGCCATCAAAGCAAACCAAGCTTCAAGTCTTGAAGCAGCTGGCATTTGATTGTTATGGACTAGATAGATTGTGCAGGTATAGGTAAGCTGCATGCTGGCTGCGTCCAGCGCATCCGTTGCATGAATGAACTTGTACAGTGTAAAGACTATGCACAGCGAACTGCTGAAATGTACAGTGATACAGAGCGAGCAGGCGAGCAGAGCGAGCAAAAGGAGACACCTCCATCGACACCATCAGTCTGTGACACCCCATTGGGCCACCAGGAGCCCAGTCACGCTGCACCGCCGTGTGGGAAGGCGGCCCCACAGCCGCGTGGCCGCGGCCGTGGCAGGCGATGTCACCTGGCTGAGGTCCAAAGCTGTTGAGATATGAAGGGTGGAACTTTGTGATCCACAACTGATATATAATGTATATAGTATTTGCACATAGATTAAAATACTGTAGATGAATACATACATACATACATACATACATACATACATACATACATACATACATACATACATACGTACGCATGCACGCATGTACGTACATACGTACGTACATACGTACGTACATACGTACATACGTACATACTTGGAGGGCCGGGGGCGGTTATAAGTACATAGCAAGGTTAGAGCACTTTTATAACCTACTTACTAAGTGCTGTAACCTACCTTATAAGTGGTGCTAAGTTACCTTAGAAGTGGTGCTAAGCGGTCTGCTGTCTCTAAGTCACTTACGTAAGTAGTTACAGTTTTCGGCTTACTATATATTATGTTCCATAAATGATTACGCAGTTTATGGCACTTGACTAACCACTTAGCGTATGTGGGCTAAGTGAGATAGGCAGCTTAGGCCCTAAGTGGCCTAAGTCTTGCAAAGGACTTACGCTACTTACGTATCTAGGCTAAGTGCACTTACAAAAATTTGCGGAAACACAAAATCCCGTTTCATATTTGGTGGAAACACAAAATTCTGAATGTGGTTTTGGTGGAAACGCAAAATTCCGTTGCAAGTTTTCGTGGAAGCGCAAAAATCCAAATTGCGTGTTGCGGAAACACAAAAGCCCTCGCAGACTTAGGTAAGTGCTGTAAGCCACTTATGTAAGTGCGCTAAGTGCTGTCCCAGTAAGTCCACAAAGTGACATACTGTAAGCGCTGTATCCAAATAGTAAGTGCCGTATGTACCTAGTATGTCCCCTATATAACCGCCGACCGCCCCCGAGCCTCCAAGTACGTACATACGTACATACGTACGTACATACGTACATACGTACATACGTACATACGTACATACGTACATACGTACATACGTACATACGTACGTATACGTACATACGTTACGTACGTACATACGTACATACGTACATACGTACATACGTACATACGTACATACGTGCATACGTACATACGTACGTATACGTACATACGTACGTACATACGTACGTACATACGTACTACGTACATGCGTATGTACGTATGTACGGTACATACGTACATACGTACATACGTACATACGTACGTACGTACGTACGTACGTACATACGTACGTACGTACGTACATACGTACTACGTACATACGTACGTACGTACGTACCTACGTACATACGTGCATACATAGGTACATACATACGTACATACATACATACATACATAAATACATACATACATACATGCATACAGATACACATACATGCATACACATACAGAGACACATACATGCATACATGCATGCATACGTACAGATACACATACAGATACACATATATGTATACAGATACACATACATGCATACATGCATGCATGCATGCATGCATAGATGCATAGATGCATAGATGCATAGATGCATAGATGCATAGATGCATAGATGCATACATGCATGCATACATACATACATCCATGCATGCATACATGCATACATGCATACATGCATGCATGCATGCATACATGCATACATGCATACATGCATACATGCATACGTACGTACGTACGTACCTACATACGTACATACGTACATACGTACATACGTACATATACGTACATACGTGCATACGTGCATACAGACATACGGACATACGTACATACGTACGTACATACGTACATACGTACATACGTACATACGTACATACGTGCATACGTGCATACGGACATACGGACATACGTACATACGTACAAACGTACATACGTACATACGTACATACGTACATACGTACATGCGTACATACCTACATACATAGATATGTATGTATGTAATGTACTGTACCGTACTGTAATGTAATGTAACGTAATGTAATGCAATGCAATGTAATGTATGTAATGTAATGTAATGTATGTATGCATGTATGGAATGGTAATGGAAATGGAAATGTAAATGCAAACGTAAATGTAAATGCTATGTAATGTAATGTAATGCAATGTTGTGGTATGGTATGGTATGGTATGGTAGGGTAAGGTATGGTATGGTATGGTATGTATACATATCTATCCACCCATCCACCCATCCAGCGATTTATCTATCTATCTATCTATCTACCTAACTATCTATCTATCTATCTATCTTATCTATCTTATCTATCTTATCTATCTTATCTATCTTATCTATCTAATCTATCTAATCTATCTAATCTATCTTATCTATCTTATCTATCTTATCTATCTTATCTATCTAATCTATCTAATCTATCTAATCTATCTAATCTATCTAATCTATCTAATCTATCTAATCTATCTAATCTATCTAATCTATCTAATCTATCTAATCTTCTAATCTATCTAATCTATCTAATCTATCTAATCTATCTAATCTATCTAATCTATCTAATCTATCTAATCTATCTAATCTATCTAATCTATCTAATCTATCTAATCTATCTAAGCTATCTAATCTATCTAATCTATCTAATCTATCTAATCTATCTAATCTATCTAATCTATCTAATCTATCTAATCTATCTATCTATCTATCTACCTACCTACCTATCTATCTATCTATCTATCTAGATCTATTTGCAATGTAGTATGTATTTGTATACTTGCTATTTAAGTCTGCGATGGTGCTTGTTACAAATCAAATATATGGAATTGCCAAATAGGTGGGTGAAGAATCCTAAAGCAACAGGGTGGGTCTTGACTGTCAGCAATGTGTTGGAACCGCGCTTTGTTTGAGATTGTGCCTGCTGGAAGTCCAAGGACAAGAACAGCGTTTTCGATGGTGGCCGATGGTCAAAGTGACAAATCTGTCGCACCATCTCGGCGCTAAGAGAAAAACCTGTCAGTCAAAAGTGTTGGCCCGCCTGCTGGATTTGGGGCCTTGAGTGTGCACTTTTTCCTTTTCACTTCCAGAGGGAAAAGGATGTGACTTGGGAAAAAAAGAAACCCTGAGAGTTGATAAGAACCATGGCTTGAAAACTTTGCTTTTGGATGAACACTTAGCCCTTAAGCTTTTACCCTTGGTGGGAGGAGATGAAGGACTTTCAGGCTGCGCTGGAAGAGTTGCGCTGCGGCTGGCGGCAGAGTGCATTGGAACCGAAGACTAGCTGCTTCGTGGAGGCCAGCGTCTCTTGGAAGTGAACGCCTTCAAAAAGTGTCATGTTTCACATGTTTCACATGTTTTATTTACATGTTCTACATGATGGATGTCCATAGTTGTTCAGGCAATGGTGCACTTGGTCTATGCTTGCTGGCCCTTGCGCAAAATTGCTACGTTGCCGCATCCTTAGTCGTGCCTTGCAGATCACAGCTGTGGCGTTTGGTGCTGCGAGGCGGCTTCGAATTCATCCGTCAGCAGAACTTTCGGGCCTTGGTGCTTTGAAGGCGTGCTGGGCTGGCAATGCGGAACAGTTGGGCTGTGATTGTTGATTTGGCTTTCGTTCGAACAAACCCTGGGGCTCACCCGAAGCCCACAAGTTCCTGACGGTTCAGACCACCCATTCATACTGGCAATATCCGGATTCTTTGATTCTTGTTTGGGATCAAATGCACATTTTTGTTTGGGTGAATGGACGTGTTCCTGGTCAATGTCAAAACCTGGTAAGCACAACCCAATTTCGTTGGTCACCTCCCCCTATGCTTTACTGTCGAAAAATGCCCCCCAATACTTTGTTGTTGAATCACACGCGATGTGGGTTGTTGATAGTATACATGCCCACTTGTTTTGCCTCATTCATTTGTACGTTTGGGTGCGTCAGTCTTGGATTCTTGCTGTTTAGGCATATGTGTCGGATGAATATAATCGTTATGCATCTTTAAGATTCTGCGTTTCTCTAGGTTGCTCAACCTCTCCATCTGCTGGCTTGATTCCCCCATCTTCTTGTTTAAAAACCACCGGTGTGGACCAACATGTCCAAAAAAACAAGAAACTGGATGGTTTCGTATGGCTTCACCAAATCCTAGCGTATTCTAGCATAGGTTCCAGCGTATCCCCCAAAATGTCTCCAGTTTTCCTCCTTTTTGGTTTCTCCGCAGGCTGAGGGAGGCAAGGTCTACGAGGCCCTGCACCGCGCCGCGCATCAGATCGCGGAGCTGAGGGCGGAGCACCGGTGCCGTGACCCGTGGTTCCGGGTTTCGCCGGATTGGGGTGGGAACGGACAACTAAGATGGAGAACGATGAAGTAACAATGAGGGTTTTAGAGTTTAAGTCTAAATTGATAATAATGAAGGGTTGATTTGACTTAATCAACTTGACTTGATCGAGGAAGGATGTTTGGGGGTGCGAAGACATCCAAAAAGATGGATTAAACATGGGCGAAAAAAGGGGTTGGTGACATTTCACCCAAAGACAGGGTGGGGAACTCGTGGTTCAACAACTGTTGACCCCAGAAAAAAGAGGGGTCTTGGAGGCAAAAGTGCGGTACAAATCTGGATCAGAATGGGATGGTGGCCCTGAGTCACTGGAATTCGGGACAGATGGCTTTACCGTTGATGAGGGGAACGTCAGGTGATGCTCGTGGCACATCGCAGTTACACTATTTGTTGTGCTGCTGAGTTCTGTCATGTTTGGCAATGGTTTCTATGTTTTGCTGGACGAGGTCAGTCCATTCTCCATTGAAGAGAAATGTGAAAGAGCTCTCTTTGATCGATGCTTGGCATCAACTGGGAGGGAATATGGAGCCCACAGCTACAGATTCTTTGGGATTTCCTGCTTGAAAAAAGTCAGCTTCACGATGTGAAGCCTCAGGTGAAGAGTCAAGATATTCTGCTCCGTGCTTTGACACGAAAACGATCACCCAGGCAGGGACTTGCACGACAGCAGTACAGTGGTACAGTGGTACAGTGGTACAGTGGTACAGTGGTGCAGTCCGCTTTTGATGTTAATCCATGCAGCTTGGAGAAGGGGCCGAGTATCATGTGCTTGTGCAATCATCACTTTGTGGTCCCGGATTGAAGATAATAATTATATATATATATGTATGTGTAAGCATATGTAAATGTATATGTATATGTATATGTATATATATATATGTATGTGTATCTATATGTATATGTATATGTATTTTTATATGTATATGTATATGTATATGTATATTTAATATAGAACTATAAATGCAATCAAATCCACTTCATATCAAAATACCCGACCCCTTTTTCGAGCGTCTGGTTTAGTACTGGATTTGTTCATTTTGGCATCTCATGTTGGGGGTATTTCACACCAGAGAAAGGGATTAGATGCCCACGTTCTCTGGGAAGTCTTGAGACAACACAGGCGCGGCACTGGTACTCTTCAGTCCGTGGCTGAAGAAGATGAGAGGGAAAAGCACACACCTACGAAGCAACTTGGACGACTGGCGAAACTTGGACCTGTTGGTGTCTCTCGGAAGGGAGTGTGTCCAAACACATCATCACTGTAGGTAAAGATACAAGTGATCAATACAATGGGATACTGCCAGACTGCCAGAAGTCATGCTTTCAGATCTCATCAATTTCGGCAGGTTCCAATGTTTTTTTGGTCCGAAAGTGGCCCCGAAAATCGGAGTGGTCCTTCCCAGGCCGTATGCCGGGCGCGCCTCAGCTGCCGCTGAAGTTGAACGGCCGACCCAGCCTACCCTGCATTCGGAGCTCCGGCTGGAGCGTTGGAGGGATAGGGAACCCTCAATTTCGAATAGGATCTGGAATGTTTGCGGTATGTTTGACTTCGGTGGCTTCAGCCAGAATGTCTGTGAGCTTCATGCGGTAGTCTTGGCAATATTTTTTAGTGGCTTCTTTTGCTAAGGCATTTCCAGCTTCAAGTTCTGAGCCGACCCTTGGAGCAAAAGACTGTTTGCTTGCTAAGCTGCTATTCATCAAACTTACCTTACCTTACAGTCAAACGCGGGTAGACGGGTGGATCAAATGTGGTCTGATTGTTGGGTTTTGGGCAGCCTTTTGACCTTTTGAGGTATACGATTCACCGTGTCCTAAGCGATGCTTGGAAGGAATATTCGTTGGACAATGCTGGGCTTCTGGACCACTTTGCAAGGCACCCTCCGAAACAGAAACTGATGCAGATAACTTCAGGACATCTCCGCTTTAATTACTTCATCTCCCGATTTGGTGTTGATTCAGATCCCCATTTCATAGTTCATAATGTATCATTGCGTGTCATATTATTTCATGATGTTTGGGACATTACACGGCCCCCTCCATGGTGTGACCCTGGTGACAAGGACAGCACCTTGTCGGATGACACCCTGAGTCCTCCCATGTCGAACAGCACAACACCCCGTCCCAGCATTTTGGGACGCGAACTTCACAGGACCGGTGCCCCACACCCGGGACTGGACGTAGCCGAGACGGCAACCAACAAAGATTGGGGGACTCGCAGCGTTTCTTAACCGAGTAATCTGCATAGAAGAAACAAAAACTGGGGATGAAAAAACAGCTAAGAACCATATATAACCAATAAGCAACAAATTTCGGGTGTAATTGGACATACAGCCAATAATATCGTATGGGTTTGTCCAGACGTGAGGTGTACCATATGCCCCAAAATTGCCATATGATAAACTATCTGTTGGGTTTGGGGATACCCTAGATGAAGCCATGTTATTCGTGCATACGATATACAATTAGAATCACGCAGATGCAGCAACCATATTCTCTTGATTTTAGTTTGGACGATTTTCGTTTTTGGAATGGTCCAAGTCCATTTTCTCCAGGATGGGTACTTTTGTAAAAGGAATCATCCAGCAATCAAAGTTGTTGCAATATACGGTTGGCCCCAAATGAAAGAAGTTGGATGCATGGTGGCCCCAACTACTGTGCGCTATTGACTAATCTGCCAAATGGGTTACACCCCAATTCATGATAATTTACCAATCCCTGGGTCTTAGAGGATAACATCTATCTATTTGTTTGTTTGTTTGTTTGGTTGGTTGTTTGTCCGTCTGCAATCTATCTATTTGCATGAAATCCAATCCAATCCAAGCTATATAATCTAATCGAATCTAATCTAACCCGATCTGGTCTAATCTGATCTACTCTACTCCACTCTAATCTGTCTTTCATCCTTTTCGGTTGCTAGGAACAGCAGCAGAGAAGTCAACGAAGTCGCTGACCAGCTCTCTATCTTGTTGCTTGGAAGATTTCTTCTCCTTGGCCCATTGATCCCTCGCAAGGTACACATGCACTCACACACACAGAGAAACAAATGAATAAATGAACGACTAATGAACGACAGAACAACGACAGACACACACACACTTATGTATATATATAGAGAGAGATCGATAGATGTAATGACATTGTGTTTGTTCACTTATGTATTTGCCTAGACATGCCCGAGAAGCTCCGGCAAAAATCACACGATTGAGATACTATATATAAGTTATTCACCGGATTGACCCGATTCACCTAACCTGTGGCAACTATGTCAGCACAACGGCTGTAACTTGCCATTTCCGCAGCAGGCAGTTCAGGCTCAAATCCAGCCATTTGTTGCCGGTGCCCATCTTGAGGCTGTCAGGCTGCACATCCTGAGAGTTTGCATATGCATTCATGAGAGTGGCGAGGTTACTTAGCAACTCAATTGCGGACAAACTGTGTGCGCAATCACGGGCTCAAAGCGAGAGGCTTGAAGTTTTGAAGCAAGCCTCCAACTTTCGAAGCCATGCTGGGGCCAGTCCGTTTCACTTGTGCGTTGGGTGCTGTTGCCGTGGTCGGTTGCCTCTTCCTTACAGTTCCAATGGCCAAAGTGCCTGGGATATCGTGCCTAGGCAGCCTTACGGATGGTTTCAAACATTTCGCCTTAGTTGGCATGATGACCCCCAGTTCACTCATATTGGAGGTTGACTTCATGGTCGTTTGGTCGCTTGTGAGTATAAAGATTTCATGATAGGAGTACGCCATGCTGGCAGCGTTCATGGCCGATCCCGGAGCTCATCTGGAAAGTTGACTCATATTTTCAGGGAGTTGAAACAACCAACTCCTAGCGATCGCCCGATCTCCCTTTGGCCTTGACATGACGGGCCAGGTTGCCACCACTGGAGTCCTTTCGTGGAGAACGACGACTGATGGCATTCCACTTGCAAACAGCATTGTTTGGGTGATGCTTGTGGATATCTTTTCAACATGCCACGTTCGCATCCTCAAGCGTTGGTTTCATGTGTGGTGGACCGCCAAGGGCTCGCGCTTTCCTTTGGGGCAGGCCGCTTGGATCTCCCTCTGATTCTGCTCCAGGATTGTGGTATTGTTTAGGCATCTGATATTGCAGACCCCCAAATTCCCAAATCCATCCAATGTGGCCTTGGGTCAATGATCCGACTACATTCAATCCATGATACCCAAGGTATCCAACCAAGGTATCCAACCCCATCAGGTCATCAGGTCATCAACCATCCGATTTTTCATCCACTGGGCAACCCAGGCTGTTGACCTCTCACAGGGCCACCTCAGAATGGGTGGCAAAGCCATTGGTCGACTGCCTGGCAAGGTGATAGGCAGGATCCTCCGGGGTAAAAACATGAAGAAACTATGGGTATGGCATCGGCCCATTTTTTTTCCACAGTTTTTTTTGTTGAATTACATTTTTTTTGGTATTTTTGACGGGTGATAGTTTTGATTTTTACCACCACGCCAACATGTTTCACTCTCATCGCGCATCCAGCTGAGAAGTGTTGACTGTTCGAGTTTGCATCGGTTCTTGGATCGGATAGGTGTGGGTGGCTACATGCACGCAGCCCTTGCGAAAGATTTAGGCTTTGAGGCCGGGGTCTGAGGCGAAAGGATGTCAAGTTTGTGGTTTCTCAGTATCAGGGCCTTTTGGATTTTTTTGGAGTTTCGGACGGGACTTAGCATTGAATGCCACTAGGCCATCCCGGGCCATCCCTATTTTGAGCAACGCCCAAGGCATTTCGCACATGGGGCGGGGGCTCGACACCCTGGGCCTTGCAAGCAGCAGCGACCGCGGATGCCTTGGTAGTTGCATCTCGGCTTGGCATGTCATGCTAGTATCCGAAAGGGGAGAAGGTGACAGCTTATTCCTCTTGTGTTCCCCTTGCAAGGGTTTCTCCAAGATACAGCCTCTCCCAAGGCTGGTCTTGACATGAAGCGAGATCCGCAGTACTATGTCGGACCGGAGAACTGCAAAAACATGGATCAGAGCAAGTGGTGGCGCAGTGAGGCTGACCAGATTCTGAAGGTCGTGCGACAAAACAAGGATAACCCAAGGATCCTGTGGTGGATAGTGACTGGACAGCAGCAAAAGGGTGAAGTCGAATGAAATGACACGAAAACAGAACAGACGTGACAAGCGGCCTGAGAGAATTCTTGCTTCCAAAGGTAGGGAACGAGCTGGAGAGTCCACATCCACTAGATCAACAAGATTGTGTATGGCGTAGAGTCAACTGGCCGCTGAGCTACTAATCTCTGGATCTCTTGAGGGCATGGGGTTGATCGGTTGATGAACAGATCCTATAGAAAAAGCATGCTCGCCGCACGATCCGAAAGAGCTGATTGCACTCCAAGGATGGCGAACAAGCTGAAGGAAATCGATAAGAAGCACCCTGTTGGCATAGCCATTGCCGGCTGCGACCCGCTCCTTGCCCTCTAACCTTGCATGTCAACAAGTGAGAAATTTATGTGGAGGGCTACGTTTTTTTTTGTTTTCCAGCCTGGCTTTGTGGCTTTTGCGGCTTTTGTGGCTTCTGTAGCTTTTGTGGGTGTGTGGCTTTTGTGGCTTTGCCATGCTTTACCTATCTATTTATGTATCTATCTAATCTAACCTATAGTCGAATCTAATTTAACCTAATCTAATCTAATCTCATTTTATCTGATCTTATCTTATCTCATTTTATCTTATCTCATTTTATTTTATCTATCTATCTAATCTATCTAGTCTATCTAATCTATCTAATCTATCTAATCTATCTAGTCTATTCTATTCTAATCTAGTCTAATCTAATCTAATACTAATCTATCTATCTTTCTCTTCTAATCTAATCTAATCCTATCCTATCTATCTACCTATCTTTCTTTATATACACACATTGTATCCCTATATGTACCTTAATCCAACCCTTAACAGACTTTAAATAGACCCTAAACCAACCCTAAATAACCCTAAATAGCCCTAAATAGCCCTAAATAACCCTAAATAAACTCTAAACCAACACTAAATAAACTTTAAATAAACCTTGAACCAACCCTAGAGAAACCCTAAACCAAACCTAAATGACCTCAAACCAACCATAAGCCAACCCTAAATAACCCCTAAACCAACCCTAAATGAATCTAAGCCAACCCTAAATAACCCTAAATAACCCTAAATAAACCCTAAATAACCCTAAACCAACACTAAATAAACCTTAAATAAACCTTGAACCAACCCTAAATAAACCCTAAACCAACACTAAATAAACCTTAAACCAACCCTAAACCAGCCCTAAATAAACCCTAAACCAACCCTAAACCAATCCTAAATGACCCTAAACCAACCCCAAATAAACCCGAAACCAACCAACACTATGATAGCATCCAATGGCACTATTTAGACCCAACACAGTTGTGCTTCAACCTATATTCTACATGTTCACCAGGTGCATGTTATGCATGGAAAAAAATGATTTAAACCATGGAAAAACCCATTGAAACCATGGAAAACTCCATGACAACTATGGAAAAATCGATGAACCCTTTGGGTAAATCAATGAACACCATGGAAAAATCGAGTAAAACCATGGAAAAATCAATGAACAGTGCAAATGGCAAATTTTAGCCCCAAAATTCAACAAAGTATAGGTTTTTGCTCCAAAATGTAGCAAATAGCAAGGAAAAGTGCCCCAGACTGAGAAAACAAACAAATACCGAAAACAAACAAAAAGAATTCCACCCCAAAAATATGCACCCAATTTATGTGGTGCCGTGGGCATGTGTCACCTGTTCTCTCTTGTCCCAAGCGAGGTTGAAGCTGTCGAGATTTGCAGCAATTTGCAAAGATGTCGACATCTTGGGCATGAATTTGTATGGCCCAGAGCTCAGAACGGGCCGAGGCTTTCATCAAATGTGTCACTGATCACTGCATTTCATATATTTCTTCAGTGCTTGGAGGCAATGACCACTGGGGCATCAGCAAAACCTTGCAGCGAGCTGGATGGTGGAAAGCCTGGGCTTTGACCGAATGTGGAACTGCAGCACCGTGGCAGGTGCCAGAAACCTCGTGGCATGGATTGATGGAACCAATGCACCTTGCCACATCTTGGTACGCTAATACATTGGTTTGTCTGGGGGTCTCCCAAAAGGTTGTGGTCAATCAGTGAGTGATTGCATTTTCAGACATATTTCCCCAACAGCGTAAGCTAATTGGGTCTTCAGCCCAGAATAGCTCCGGTGTGCACTGGTGCAGGCGCCGGGTCAGGTTCAACGAGGTTCCGGAGAAGGTTCCGAAGGTTCCGGAGAAGGTCTGGGAGGCTTTGGTGCAGGCGCCGGGTCAGTTTCAACGAGGTTCCAAAGAAGGTTCCGGCGAAGGTTTGGGGGCTTTGGGGCAGAGCCAGGTCAGGTTTAAAATATGGTTCCGGAGAAGGTTCCGGAGAAGGTCTGGGAGGCTTTAGTGCAGAGCCAGGTCAAGTTCAACAGGGTTCTGGAGAAGGTCTGGGAGGCTTTGGTGCAGAGCCAGGTCAGGTTCCGGAAAAGGTTCCTGGAGGCTTTGGTGCAGCGCCAGGTCATCGGGAGAAGGTTCCGGAGAAGGTTCCGGAGAAGGCGTGGGAGGCTTTGGTGCAGAGCCAGGCCAGGTTCAACAGGGTTCCGGAGAAGGTTCGGGAGAAGGTTCCGGCGCGGGAGGCTTTGGTGCAAAGCCAGGTCAGGTTCAACAGGGTTCCGAAGAAGGTTCCGGAGAAGGTTCCGGGAGGCTTTGGACAGGATTCTTAACAAGTTTCCGGAGAAGGTTTGAGAAGCTTTGGTGCAGAGCCAGGTCAGGTTGAACAGGGTTCCGGAGAAAGTTCCAGGAGGCTTTGGTGCAGAGCCAGGGCATGTTCAACAGATTCCGGAGAAGGTTCCGGAGAAGGTCTGGGAGGCTTTAGTGCAGAGCCAGGTCAAGTTCAACAGGGTTCTGGATCAGGTTCCGGAGAAGGTTCCGGAAATGGTTCCTGGAGGCTTTGGTGCAGCGGTCAGGGTCAACAGGGTTCGGGAGAAGGTTCCGGAGAAGGTTCCGGAGAAGGTCTGGGAGGCTTTGGTGCAGAGCCAGGTCAGGTTCCGGAAAAGGTTCCTGGAGGCTTTGGTGCAGCGCCAGGTCATCGGGAGAAGGTTCCGGAGAAGGTTCCGGAGAAGGTTCCGGAGAAGGCGTGGGAGGCTTTGGTGCAGAGCCAGGCCAGGTTCAACAGGGTTCCGGAGAAGGTTCGGGAGAAGGTTCCGGTGCGGGAGGCTTTGGTGCAAAGCCAGGTCAGGTTCAACAGGGTTCCGAAGAAGGTTCCGGAGAAGGTTCCGGGAGGCTTTGGACAGGATTCTTAACAAGTTTCCGGAGAAGGTTTGAGAAGCTTTGGTGCAGAGCCAGGTCAGGTTGAACAGGGTTCCGGAGAAAGTTCCAGGAGGCTTTGGTGCAGAGCCAGGGCATGTGCAACAGATTCCGGAGAAGGTTCCGGAGAAGGTCTGGGAGGCTTTAGTGCAGAGCCAGGTCAAGTTCAACAGGGTTCTGGATCAGGTTCCGGAGAAGGTTCCGGAAATGGTTCCTGGAGGCTTTGGTGCAGCGGTCAGGGTCAACAGGGTTCGGGAGAAGGTTCCGGAGAAGGTTCCGGAGAAGGTGTGGGAGGCTTTGGTGCAGAGCGAGGTCAGGTTCAACAGGATTTGCGGCAATTTAATTGACGGAAACCCAGCTGAGGTGTTTCCAGCGCTTGGCTTCGCAGCACGCTTCAGAAAGATTTGTAAAAATTCAACGTTGCGGCTGTTGGGGATACCACCGAAGCTTATTTCATATATTTCCATTGTGGAATGGAACATCGGCTGCCTCGGCATCCGGGCTTAACTTTAGGACTTCCACCCGCAAGGGGCAGTTCATCTTCAATGGCCTTCACAGATGCAAGCTGGATGTCGCTGGGTTCAAGATTTGCGGATTTTCATGTGGTAAACTCAGTCATAAACAAAAAGTGGGAAAACCTAGTTATAAACAATACCCATTTGGGGATGGTATTATTAACCCAAACATTTCTGGTGATATTGAGGATCATTCATGATTTGGTTTACTACGTCTATTGGCAATGACGGGCCCGAGCTTCCAATTTGTTTTAGATTTACATTATTCCATTGGTAGATTACCAAGCTGCAACCGCTGGCAGCTACAGCCCGTCATGCCATGGCGCCCAGGACCGCTGCGTTGGTTTTTTCGCTTTCCTTTGGGGCTGGAAGTGGGAGAAGACCGGTACTTGGTTCGGTTTGCTGGACACCTGGACTGAAGCTGGTGGCATTCCGAGTGGTGACTTGGCCATTTCTTTTGGGGGGGGAGTTTTTGAGATATCCCAAGATGCAATAAGTCCGCGAAACGTTTACTTGAGTAGGGGAGAACCAATTTTCTTGGCGGCAGTTTTCAGGGCAAAGTTTTGCCCGTGGCTGACAGGATACCTGAACGATGTTTCGCAGCCCATGCTGGATGAGATCAGTCCAGATTGGGCGTGGCCCATGAAGTTGAGGCGCAGGGAAACCTGGTAGGTTTGGAAGATAGGTAATATCTATGGCCCAAGGTGTCTGGGGGCTCATTGAACTGTGCAGGATTCACCTGGAGAATGTCATCATTTGGAGCCCCAATGGAACGTCTGGAAATCCGGTCCTGGGCTTCAATGCGCATCAGGGTGCGCAGGTGCCGGTGGATCTGAAGATTGTGGCAGCTTGACCAGGGAAATCGGGGCCTGGAAGGTTCCTAGCAGGCTGAGGGTTAGAGAAACAAACTGATTTGCCGACTCTAGTAGCAAAAACTCGCATTTCGAAATATAATCTTTTGAGGAGCATTGAATCCAGGTGCAGGTTTCTTTCACGTGGTCCTCATCACCTGAGCCTCCTGCGGCTGAGGCGACGCCTGATGAAGCTGAAGGGAACATTTGGATGAACTGGTATGTTGCTCCAGCAGCTAGTCCAAAAGCTTGATTCGTTCTTCCCCAGGTCAACTGTCAATGGTATCGTGAAATGCAACTGAATGCACTGAAAAATCACACAGATGAATCAGCACACATGCATAGACTGAGAGAGAGAGAGAGAGAGAGAGAGTGGCCGGCAGGTATTTACCTGCGCGCGCGCACACACACACACACCCCACATATGCACACCCAGATAGAATAAAACAATCCACAAACCTACAGACGGAGAAATGAATGCGTTGTGGCTTCGCGCCTAGGAGACGACTGTGAACCGCAAATCCGATGGCAATGTGCCCGAGAAGCCGATGCACATCATTCCCAATGCCGTTTTTTACTGCAAGAACGGCTACCGTGGTATTGTCCAAACTCAGCTCCTAAAGCCCGGCAGCTACCGGCTCTATGCCTTCGCAAGGAGGAGACGTGGATAACGGAGTGGCTAGTGGCTGTAGCTATTAGAATATCTATTGGAATTGGAGGATGCTGATAAAATAAAAAATAATTAATATATTTTATGTTTTGGCCTCATCATAGGCCTCTCATTGACATTCGTTGATTGATATTAATTGACCCAGTCGTCCAGGACCCGTTATGGGGACCATACTGTCCGTGAAGCTTCAGCTTCGATCCCGTTCCACGTGGGAAATCAGAGCTGCCACAGCGTTTTGCATGGCCAGCACGGGTGCTATACGAAGGTGACAGAGGCCATGACAAAAGCACAGCGAATGGGGGTTTGCCAATGGCAACTTGGCGCAGTGTCATGTCATGATGTGGCTTCTGAAAATCGGATGCCCATTTTCAACGGCCCAGCTTCATAGGGGAAAATCAACGGCTTTGTAAGGGAACCTCCTTTAATTTTTGCCTTATATATCCTTATATATCTTATATGGTACAGTACCTCCATTTTAGGCTCCTGAAATTAATAGGAAAATCATGTACAAATGGGTGACTTTCCAGCCATGTTTGATTACGGGTAACCAAGGCCGGCAGCAGGACTGCTACCATCCTCCACCTTCGAGGACTGGCTGCCACAGGTGGACACAGCTGCCTGTGGCTTTTGGACTGTCATAATTGTCATGACAGCTTTGGATATATACATATATATATATACCCACTGCTCTGCAGGTCTTTGATGAAGTGTCTATCGATTGAGCATCCATGTTGGCCGTCTTTATATTCAAGGGTTCTAACTAGTGGGATTCCCGTGCTATGGACCAGTGGCACGCCATTGCAGGGCTGGTTGGCTTTTCAGCTGGTTTCTGGCTTCGAGGCCAGAGTGAGGCTAAGGTAGATCCTCCAGCTTGTCACTGCCAGTGCCAGTGGAGTGGTGCCCCCATCGTGGAGCACAACGTTTCTGGCCAGAGCAGCTCTTTGTGGGGGATCCTTCTGGCAATTGCGGTGGTTACGGTGGTGGTTCTGAGTAACGTGGCTTTGGTTTGCAAGGTTACTTTACGGGAAAGTTCATCGGGGACCGCTAGAGAATTTCAGGTGAACATCAAGGGCAAAAGTAAGGGCCAAGGAGTCCACGGAGCAGCCCGTGGGTTGGCCATCACTGGCTAGTGGGCATGGCTCTGCAAGCAGGGCAGTTGTGTTACCTCAATTATGGGGAGGCTCCTCCTTGCGTTCACACCCGTCTGGTTTTGGGGCACATTCAAGGGTTTGACCACTTGATTCGTACCCCCGATGGAGACGAATACATTGAGACACTGGATGGATCAAACCCAGAATTGGTGGGATTCCACATCGGGCCGGATGATGGCTCATTGCCGCATGGGGTTGTTCCAGGAGAAGTTTATGGTTTTGCCCCACTTACGGTTGCTCAGCTCAATGCCATTCTCACTGCTGGCAGGAGAGCGGTCGAAGCTGAGCGATTGAGACTTGGCTTGGCAGTTGCGGCTGCCCCTGCACCAAACCAGGTCGTTTGGGTTCTGGCGGAGTGGCTACCGGGTAAACGCATTGGAGAGCAGATAGTACCTCCAGCAGGTTTTCTTCAAGATGGTTCGTATGGGCTAGCTCAGATAGAAGATGGTGAAGGGAACGCCCGTCCCACTTTGATCTACCAGACCCCAGTTGACAGCATTGGCAGCTTTTGTGAGAAAAGGATTGAGTTGGCTAGAAAAAGTGAAGCACTTGAAGGAGAAGACATCAGTGCATGTGATGATGTTCGCACTCTGGAAGTGAAGTTCGGAGTGAATGGAAGCAGATCCAGGCAGTTCAAGGACACGGTGCTTGAGATGGCCCAGGTGGAATTCGAGGACTTCCCACTGGAACCACGCACCACACTGCCTTACCTTAAGGCAGTATGCAGTGTGTCTGAATCAGCCTTCGGACAGCACCTTGCTTGGGTGCAGCAATCCAAAATTCCGGATGGTGATCGTGCTATCCACGAGGATGAAGTGTTGGCTCGAGCAATCGACTTAGCTGTGGGATATGATTCTCTCAACATCTGCAATCTAGCATCATTTGAGCTCCTTGTTCGAAGGCGACAGCTGTTGGCAGATGCACATTCGTATAACCCCAGTGCTCCATCGTATGAAGGTTCCGACCACTATATGGGGACCACTCACCGACCTGGTGGAGCGATTGTCGTGCCCGAGTTGGTCAAACACGTTGCTGATCGAATGCATCAAGAAAGCATGATCATGAAAGAGCGCCGCAAGCAAGGTGAATACAAAGGAAAGGGTCGTGGTGGCAAGCCTTTTCAGCCCCCGAAAGCCGAGCCAAAAGGCGGAGGGGGCCAGGCCAAGTAGGCCAACTGGGGGTCCCCTTTGTTGATTGCCTTGTGCATACAGCTGGCTTCAGTTTTGTGCGATGGTTCGCAAGTGGCGCAGCAGAATTTTTCATGAGCCGGTCTGTGAGGATGGGAGGCAAAGAAGTCTCTTTCCTCTCCCCACCCTCAAAGGGGCTGGGGACATTGCTGGGCAAGCGTGTTCTTCTGTGCGACAGAGATTGCATCGTCGTGAGCACATCAGAGAGCGTGTGAACATGGCCATCGGTGCAATGAATTCACTTTACTTTGGTAGGAGTGGTCCTTGTGGCGGTGAGGTTGCAAACATATCTTCACTTCCCCAAGGTCAACGTGAGTGTATCAGAAGCATAGTCGAAAGTGTCTCTGCCTTTGGTGCTCCGCCTCCTGCAGCAAGCCGCTCAAGAGCCCTTCAGGCGCTCAGGGCATCCAGCGGAGGGTATTGTGAGCCTGAAGTTGGAGTTGGAGATGTGGTAGACATGCAGCTTAGCCAACTCTCTTTACCTAGGGGGTCGGTAGCGGGTGTCAATTTGGATGGATCCTTAGAGGGGCCGCTAGAGATGATGGTACATGACTTTGAACATTGGATGTTACAAGACGCAAGCACATGGAGCTCTATTTGTGATGATGCTTACAAAATAAAACCTTACAATGATCCCTCTCTTGCCCATCGTCCTACCTACATTGCCTTTCTCAAACACTTGAACTCATGTGGTATCCTTGGCACTACCTCAGTCTGCAGGGGACGAGTTGGCGCTTTTAGTGTGTCAAAGAAACCCAAGCTTGTTGGTGATACTCTTTGTCCTAGACAACGACTCATATTGGATTGTAGGCAGGTGAACTTGCAATTCAAAGAGCCACCACACTGCGAGCTTGGTTCTTTAGCTGCGGTTTCTGAGATGGTGTTGGAGAAGGATCAAACTTTGTTCGTTAGTGGGTCAGATATACAGGATTGCTTCTATGCTGCTAGGATTTCATCGGAGTTCTCCAATTTTTTCTGCCTTCTCTCGGATATTACTTCAAGTGAAGCACATAGTATTTTTGGTGATGAATTTACTTGCAATGAGTTTGGACGTATATCACCTTGTATTACTGTGTTGCCTATGGGGTTTTCTTGGAGCTTCTATCTCATCCAGAAGATGCACGAACAATCAGCACTGCGAGCCCTCCAATGTGATCGAAGTCAATTGATTTTAGATGGATACCCCTCACCCAAGCTGTTCGGAAGCCAGGTTGCTGCGATGCCGTATTGTGACAACGTGCATTGCATGTCGCTTGATCAGGAGAGCTGTCAGAGGGGAAAGGATCGCATGTGTGAGGATCTCACTGGTTTGGGTTTTACTTTGCATGAGGATGCAGAAGCTAGTTCCTTTTTCCCCACACTTGGTGGGATCATTGATGGCAAAAATGGCAAGGTCAAGCCAACTCCAAGCAGGGCTTGGAATGTGATTCTTGCTTTCGAGAGCCTTTTGGAGGGACCAGTGGATTGGGTAGTGTTGCAACGTCTTTTAGGACACGCTATGACTATTTGTACAATCAATCGATATGGCATGTGCATTTTTCGTAGCTTGTACGACTATGTGGAAGCTGCTCCCATACCACGGCCTCTGAACAAGAAGGAACGTCAAGAAGTTCTCACTTTTATTGGATTGGTACCATTGCTTGTAGGAGAGATGAAAAGGCCATGGAGTACTACTATATCATGCTCAGATTCTAGTCCAGAAGGATATGGAGTATGCCAACGGCACTTGGAGAAAGACCGAGTGCATGAGCTTGGATCCTGGCAGGACCGTTGGAGGTTCAAGCACCTTGAGCCCAGCCTTTGGCGACCACGTGAGAGAGCCCAAGGACTGGATGTGGTGGGAGACCCGCGGACTGCTAGGGCTTCAAAGAGTGAGGGTGATATTAAGGATATGTACAGTTACAACAACTATTTCCCAGAGGTACCTTTAGATGTAACCGAACCTTCAGCTTGGCAAACAAAACTTATGGGTCGTTGGTCTAACACTGGTGAGCATATTACAGTGAAAGAGGGAAGAGCTTTAGTTTTGGCTATTAAGAGGTTGACTAGGAGTTCTTCATCCAGGGGACAACGACATCTGGTTTTATTGGATAGTTTCGCATTGTGCATGGCGGTAAACAAAGGGCGAGCATGCAACTTCAAGATGTTGAGATGTATGCAACAACTTTCAGCACTTTGTTTGGCCGCTGGCTTCTCTGTTCGAGTGAGATGGGTTCCATCTGAGAGGAATGTGGCAGATGGGCCGTCCCGCGGTCAGATCGCAGCGGGTGCTTACCAAACCCCATGTGCATACTCCAAGCGTTCAGTCCAAACCCAAGCCGATGGTGAGATTGGCAACTACGCAGAAGGTGACGAAAGCTGGGAGAGTGTTGAAGGCGCCAGGTGTGATCAAGGTGATTCAGAAGAGTACCAAGCAGAAGCAAAAGAATCTTCAGGTGAAGGGGGAGCAAACTCGAGCCAGTCAGGCTCACAAACCCTTGAGGGTGATGGCGAAAGCAAGAGCAGTGTCCTTGGAGGCGGAAGCGTTGGCCAAGCAGAGTCGACTGACCACCCTCGAGAGATGCTCAGTGTCAAGGGCTACTTACCAGAAGTTTCAGAATTTCTGCAGGGCGGAAGGTTTGCCGCTTCCTCCAAACGAATCCACAGACGACCACTTGGCCGAATTTATGGATCAGTTGTACCTAGAAGGAAAGGGCATGAACGAGGGAGAAAAGATCCTTGCAAGCATAGAATATCATCACTGCACCTTGAAAGGGAAGATGGTGAGATCTCGGAAAGCACTGAGGGGGTGGAGAAAAGAGGTTCCACCCGAGAGCAGAATTCCAGTCCCCATGGTCTTGGTGTTTGGCATGGCGATGACTATGCTGCATCGGGGCCATCGCACGAAGGCTTTGAAGATGATCATGGACTTCGACACCTACATGAGGCCTGGGGAAGGGATAGACCTGACGGTGAAGAGCCTAGTCCCTCCGATCAAAGGAGGGGGGAAACAGTATCAATGGTATGCCATAGTGGTAAGACCTTTCGACGAGCTGCGACCCGACAAAGTGGGCATCTTCGACAACAGCATCCCCCTGGACTCCAAGGATCGCAAATGGTTGGGTCCCCTGCTTCATCAGATGGCCAAGTTGAGGAAGAGCAAGGACTCAAGACTGTTCGACTTCAGTGCAGAGGAGTATCGGAAGGAGTTTGTGACAGTAGCCAGCATGATGGGAGTGCCCAACCTCCATCCATACCAACTCCGTCACGGAGGTGCAGCCGAGGATCTAAATGCAGGGACACGAAGTTACCAAGGAGTCAAAGCCCGAGGGCGTTGGCAAACAGATGCCAGCGTCCGCAGATACACGAAGGTGGGCAAGATTCAACAGCTCATGAACCAGTTGTTACCAGGAGGTTTGGCATTTTGTCAATGGTCAGTAAGGAACATGGAGAAAGCTTTCAAGGGAGAAGTTCAAGCACGAAGCTTCGGAGTGGCGGTGAAACGCAAGATGTAGCTACAAGTACATGTCTTCCTCATAGCTTTGGTTTGGAAGTTTTCGCGGGTACAGCACGTATCACAAAATCCTTGCAGCAACGTGGCATACAAGCTTTTCCTGTTGATATATGCATTTCTCCTTTCCATAATGTTTTGGACAGTAAACTGGAACATCGTTTATTCAATTTGGTTCGTACTGGAAGAGTGTCTTTTGTGTGGTGTGGTATGCCTTGCACCTCTTTCTCACGAGCACGGAAGTGGGATGGCAGAGGCCCAGGTCCAATTCGTACAGATGACTACCTTTGGGGCCTTCCTGACCTTTCCTTTGCAGACAAAAACAAAGTGGATACTGGTAATGCTCTGCTATATTTCACTATTCGTTTGCTGCGACTCTGTGAGAAGTATCGAATACCATATGTCTTGGAGAACCCATTGTCGAGCGTGGCATGGCTGATGCCTCCTATTCAGCGATTTTTACGCACATATTCACCACACATTATTCATTTGGACTATTGTCAATTTGGCGAACCATGGCGTAAACCCACACAGTTGCTGTTCAACTACTTGGATTTGTCTTCTGTTGCTTTACAGTGCCAACCCTTTCACAGCAACTGTTCACGTTCCAAACGGCCACACTTGCGGCTGGCAGGACGAGACGAAAAAGGGGTCTTTTGGACCCTTCGCGCTCAGCCCTACCCCACCGAGCTGACCGACAAGATAGCAGCTTTGGTGGCCCAGGTCCTTAAAGGATAAGGGATTTGGGATGACATTTTGAAGTTGGGATGTGGTTACTGCTGCAATTTCCGTTTACCATCCAAAGCAATGGATGTACTCCAAGTGTTCAGCAGAACTTTTCTCAAACAAGCTGAGTGCAACGCACAGTCTGGCCAAAAGGAGTGAGGCGAGTGAGGAACAGCGCAATCATACCCACTGCTCTGCAGGTCTTTGATGAAGTGTCTATCGATTGAGCATCCATGTTGGCCGTCTTTATATTCAAGGGTTCTAACTAGTGGCCTCCAACCACCCCAGCCACCTCCTAAAGGGATGACATTTTGAAGTTGGGATGTGGTTACTGCTGCAATTTCCGTTTACCATCCAAAGCAATGGATGTACTCCAAGTGTTCAGCAGAACTTTTCTCAAACAAGCTGAGTGCAACGCGCAGTCTGGCCAAAAGGAGTGAGGCGAGTGAGGAACAGCGCAATCATATATATGTATACGCATATACACACACACACATATAATCCTATATATATATGTATATATATATATATTCATATGACACGCACACGCGCACACACATATTTAAATATAACTAATACAACTATGTAATTTTATTTGATATGTATATATTTGTGATTTAGATTTGGCAGGAGTTTCAAGCAGCCTTCTTTGCCAACCATCAGGGTTGCCCTGCGCCCTGCTCCCTTGTCATGCCCTCCGACTACCACGGCACCTGTGACTTGGACGTACTGCGACCTGTTGCCAGTTGTCGTTCTCACCAATGCCAAGATGACTGGTCTGCAAGGTGATGGTGCCACCTGGGATGTGCGCTACATGAGCCACTCCCAAGCTTCCCAACTGTTGCTGGGCTACCAATGTTGCGGTAATATGGTACAGCAGCAATAGTGGAGATGTAGCACGCTGCAGCTGTGGCCATCACAAACACAATGTGGAGCCAAGGCCACAAAGCACAAATACACTCCGTATTCAGATGTGGAGGTGCAGTAATATGATGCAATATGGTAGTCCTGGTGGTCAACTAGTAGTCAACTGTTGCCATTGTGTTCCACATTTCCCGGTTTGTGTTGGCAAACCCGCAGACGACACCGTTCGGTACGGTTCGGTACCTTGATCTTTTTGGGTACTAAGGCTCTTCGCCAAGGACGTGGAAGCTGACAAAGGTGACTGTCAAGATGCGGCCCATGGGACCGACTGCTTCTGGGGAGTGAAGTGGTTGATGAAAAAGGGAATCCATCAATCCCCGCAGGTGTGGCCCGAGCTGAGTCAGTGGCCCACCTTTGCTGAAGCTCAGCAGGCCTTGTATGTCAGGGATCAGCATGCCTGCAAACGGCCTTGTGCATCTGTCACGGATTCGATCATGCGAATGGCCAAGAAGATATAGACTTAGATGCAGACTTTGCACTGAGGTTTAGCTTGATTTATGTAGCAATACTAGGGCCAAAAGTGCGATCCAGACAAACAGAGTGCAGACTGTGGATGAGCACGGGATCCTGGGTGTTTCAACTGCATGGGGTTTGTTCTTGGATCGCACTGGGCCACTCTGGCTCCTCAAGGGGAACTTCGGAGATCCACAGAACCTGGAGCCAAATTCCTTGCCTCTGACAATCAGAGCAGCATGGGTCAGCATGGCCAAAGGGCAGCTGTTGCATAAAGTTAGCGGCTCTTAAAGAAGAGTTGACCAGCTGTACATTCAGAGCTGAACTCCGCACAAAAACACAGTGGCCATGGAGAATGCCCCCAGCGCCTCGCAGATTTATCCATTTCATTCTGCAATTTAATTTCAGAATGATGTTGCATCCAAGTTTTCTTGTGGATTTCCTGTTAGAGGAGCTTGATGTGTTCGAGGCAACCCCCCGCCTGCATGGCCTGCATGATGGTGCCAAACAGGGCTGCTGCCAGCAGATGCTTGGTTGCGAGAGGTTTTGTTTTTTCATTTGGATCAGCTCCATTGATACCAAGTGTGCGACTAAACCCAGACTTGTCATCAAAGGACAATTCTTTTGACATGCCTTATGCTTCAGGTCCAGACTTTGTGGAGCCTTTACGGAGCTTATGCATGCCTATCTCTGGACAAGTCATATTCCGCAACTTTGTTGATCAATCATATGCTGTAGGGTAGGTTCCCATCACATATATACTGTAATTGGTTTGATGCCACGGGTTCTGATTCGCGCTTGCATAGTGATATCCCCAAATTTGGACTCAACTACTGGCTGATTGCTGGAAATATATGGAAATATCAATTGTTGGTTTCGAAAAGTTCAACGACTTGCCATCTTGCCATCTTGAAAATCGTTGGTAGATATTGGTAGGTGATTCTCAAATATTTCCTGATTGGTTCTTAAAAATCGTACCGTGCGCAGCTGGGACGCTGGAAAAACGCTGGGAAAGACTCGGCCCGCAACGATACTTGCCATGTCACTTGGGCCATGGCGCGGCTGAGGGCAGAAGGCATGGGAGGCTGCCAATCGGGGGAAAAAAGGCTGGTAGGTTTCTAGCAATCAGCTTCGAACCCACAAAAAATGTGGACTAATCTGGATCTTCACCAGTATTTCTTGGTTGGCGGTTTCTAGTATCTGTATGTATTTGTCATTTTCAGTCGTAGTTGCGCTGATGATCCCAAAACAAAAACTGTATTTTTCAGAGGGTTGAGACTGACTGCAAGACTGGCATTTAAGCAACGGAAGTTCAGATGTGACATTATTTGGCTTAAACAATAGTTGAACCAACAATTGGCTTTTGATTGGGATATATAAAAATGATCAAATGCGGATACTACAAATGGGCCCCATTGGCATAGAACCTGGTCATTCTGCCACTGGGATTCCACCAGCTGAGGGTATATCTCAAAATAGCCAACACATTTAAACAGCAAATGTTCGAACATTAGGGTACTTGTAGGGGTGTGATGTAGCCAACAAAAATCATGGATGCACTGGATGCCACATGCAGTGTATCACAACCCCCCAACCAGAGTCACCACCTGTGAAGCTTTCCGTGGCAAAGTCAGGGCAGCGGGGAATGTGGCCTCCCAACAGGCCGGCTTCCAAAGCCTTGGTGCAGGGCGTTTTCAACTGATGAAATGCCAGAGGCTGGGCCGCTGGGCCGCTGCAGTTTTGGCTTCTCGGTGAACATGTCCATTTTGCCAAAGGCACTTCAGAAGGATTCCGTGACCTGGATTTTCGTCAGCCTCTGTCAGTGTGAGGTGACGGTGAATCCTTTTTGCCCTGGCAGGAAGTTCATCAAGCACCCAGGCGTGCAGGTCTCACTCGGCAAAGTAAGGGCTTTGACGAGCCACCGCCTCAAGTTGTTGTGTGCTCCAAAGGGCCAGGGGGTCGTCCACAGGATGTAATCAGCTGCTGAGGTTGGCATTTGACAAGCCGCTACTGGCGGATTCCGTGGACTTGCGTGGCAGCTGGGATGAAACCACCATGCCAAGGATGGCGGTGTAGCTGCAGAGCTCTAAATTTCTGGCACAGAGGGTTCTACGCGCATTCCAAGATTCCAAGTTGTGTACCTAGGGCCTTTGCAAGACTTTGATCCTTTCCGGATGGCAGGAGCAACGTGCCCACAGCGGAGTCCTCCAAACAAGCTGAGTTCGTTCTGCCTGACCGCCGGGCTGTGGCAGCTGCGCTTCAGCGGGCGGAGGCCAGGAGTGCCAGGAGTGCGACGGGCCAAATTTGAAGCGCTTTCTGGTAAGTGCCAAGATCGAATCGCGAATTTGGGGTTTCTTCAGAAGACATGGCTGTTGAAGCTACTTCACAGAGGGAATTCATGTTGAGCAATGTGTATAGTGTACTCTGATTGGGTAAAGTGTTCGGATGCGGCTTCACCTTGTGCCATTTGAGTTGTCCGTGGCAGGCAGTGCCCGCCTTGCTGACGGGCCCTCGGGAGGTGCGGCGCGCACCGCTGGCCCCTCCAAGGCTGTCACCCAGTCCAGCTTATATCGTCGTGTTCCATAGTCTATAGAGCTTCAGGTGGCTTCGAATTCATCTAGCTTTTAAAGTGACGGTATGAATCCTCTTGCAGGCTTCAAGTTGAAGAAGACTGGCCGGAGGAGGCCAGGGCAGAGGCGTGGTTGCTATGATTTGCTTCGCAGGTGTCATTTCTGATACTTGCAAATTACTTGACTTTTAGACCATTCTGGGGTGATTCGGGTGCTGAGTTCCTTCTGGCGTTCCAGCAGCAGATGGATGCCATCAGAGAGGAAGATGAGAAGAAGGTGCAGCATGATGCGGCCAGTTGAGCTATATTAATAATTGATAATGATTGTATAATTGTATAAGCAGTTCTCTGGCAATCAAACATGGCAATCTAAAAGATCCTATTTATATAGTTTAATTCTTTTCCATTTAGAGCCTCCATTTAGTTATTTCGGGGATTTCCATGGATTTCCCAGCCATGCCAGATTTCTAGAGGGTAGGCGGTGGGCCGCCCGGGTAAGCTGCCTCTGAGGCCAAACAGGAGCGACAGGAGCTTTGGGAAACAATTGTTGGAGTCCCAGCGGCACCTGGTTAGCTCCTGGTGGAGCTTGTGCCAAGAATTTTTGAATGTCAGACAATTGGAAAATATGCTATACCTATGGTATACCTATGGTATAGCTCCATGAAATGCCAATTTCACTGGGGAAAGAATTTGACCGATTTGACATATCTTCGACGATTCGAGTTGGCCATGTTGGACTTGCTGCAGGTTCATCACCTGGTTGGCCAATGGCAGGGCGATGGACAAGACTTCACTGTGCAGCAGGCAGCTTCGCCAGTTGGCAAAATCACCATGGAGCTGCATGGCATGGCGTGGTCAGGTTGGTGACGCACTGAAAGTGCGAAGAGAACGCGGTGGCTCACGCCAAAGTGCGGAGGTGCCGAGCAGTGGAGGACATCAAGGGTGCCAGTGGTTTGTGAATCCTGGGTTGGCATCATATGGACCTGAAGGGAAGGTGCAATTAGGATCAATTAGGATCAATTAGGTGTTCCTTGCATCTGAGATGTTCCACCTTGGAGATCAATGGTGAAGATCTTCCCACTGCAGCGCCAACAGTTCCAGGCAACGCTATGGCTGGACAACAGAGGAAGAGTGGAAGTCTTAAATCGGTTCAGATTGCATCGTTGAGATCCCATCAACTTCCAACACACCCAGCCATCGTTGAGGTTGTCTGGGGCAAGCACCAGTCTGTCCTAGTGCGAAGCATCGGATCCAAAGAGATCCAGTGGTGCCGCAGGACCGTGGGCAAATCGCAGCCCATCAGATGCGGGCCCGTCGTTGCCAGGAATGGCCAGGTGCTGCGCTGGCAGAAATTGACAGAGGACTGGCCTGAGACAATCTTCAGTTTGAATCAGTCCTTTCTTTGCGCGGCAGGACTCTGTTGAGAAGCATCGCTTTTCGCGCTGGTTTTCAGTGCGATGGGAGTCGCTGGCAAAGCCTAAAGGCCCTCAGAAACGCCTCGCTGAGGCACGGGGGGCAGCACTTGGTGCTGCGCCAAAAATGGGGGGAAAAAGACATGGCGACAGTAAACGTAAGTGGGTTTGTCCAAAATTCAGCAGCTCCTGAGCAATCCTCAACAATCCAACTGACACCAGAGACCATCATGTTGTACACAGCTGCGGACAGGTCGAACGAAAACTGGGAGAACTGATATTGTACGAAGCCCAACGTCGCAGCCCCAGTGGAATGAGTTTTCATCGAGGGATCTGTGATCCGCGGGGATCCGTGGGGCTGAAGTCCTGAAAAAGGCCTCCATGGGACTGGGGTACCAAATTTGGATCATTTTGTCAGTATGTTAAGTTATGAAAGCGTGCTGGATGAAAGATATGAAAGCATGCTGTCGTCACCATGTTTTGCATGTTGGCTGAGGTTATCACAACAAGCACCTCTGCTTTCTGCCCAAAGCTGTGCAGAACAGGGCCTTGTGGGATGAGGTGCTGCACAATGATCAGACCATTGTAGAGCCCTAGTCTGCAGCTCCGACCTGTCGATGTCTGGCCAGGTTTTCTCATCTTGTGAGGCAGCAGTGAGGACAGATGTGTCAGGGGAATTATCCAGTTGACCCAGTGCAATTCGTTAACTTTAACCCAGTCTCTAGGAACTCGGACCTCATGCAGCTGGTGGCAGAGATTGCTGCCTATGAAGACTTTGTTGATGAAGGCAACTACAATGTGGTCAGTGCCTCTGAAATATGCGCAGTTCATGGGTGTTTGATGGCAGGAAATTTAATCAGTCCAGCTGCATTTCTTTAAGGTGGTGGATGAGAGAAGAGATGTTTGTTCGAATCTCCACTCAGGTTCTTTCTTCTGAACAGTTCTGGCATCGAAGCCAGCTTGGTGTCAAAGAGGCAAATTTGCTCCCTGGCTTGCATAGCATATCAGTGGCTCCCTCTTGAGTCCAAGCAGCATGAAGCAGATCTCAGAGGACAATCTTTCAGCATTTTTTCTGCGTTTGGGGACCATGGCCCAGCCCAAGGCTTCTCCTAGCCACTCCGGCTTTGCAAGCCCAAGTGCTGCACACCTGGAGGCCCAAGGAGGGGCTGTCGCAGGAAGCGCGGGGCCGAGCGCTGCGGAACTTTATGGGGCAGGTTGGGCCGCGCTTGCAGGCTGGGGCCACTGAGGGCAGTCGTTGTTGCTCTGAGGCAGTTGGAGGGAAACCAAATCTACGAGGATTTTGCCAAAACCATGATCGAAATATTCATCAAAGGGAGGCTGCTTCAGGATACTGTCTGCGAGGTGTCAAGCGGAATGAACTCCCCCCAGCTCACACGACGCCGGAAGGAGCAGTGCTTGTGTGAATTGTGAGCTCGCATTCTTCCTTTGTTCAAAAGTTCTGCTGTTTTCCTATTTTTGGCAGCAGTAGTCCTCTCTTTCAAGGTATAGGTCCTTTCTTTCAGGGTACTGGCAGGGAAGCAGCAGTGAAGCAGTGCCAGGAGCTGCAACCACGCTGCATTGAAACTGTGTTAGGCCTCCTGTCGCAGGCACAGCCACTTGGGGTAAACTATGGCCCTGATTTATGAGCAACTCACCAAAGCTAGTGTCTATTTGCCTTCACTATTTTTCACTGTTCTGTTTTGACTGTTTTGTTTGGGTGGATGTGGGCGAGGCTCAGACTTTGCGTTGGTCGCGGCTGCGGCTGATTTTCCTGAAGCGCTGAGCAAAACAGACTGCACTGCATGCTGTTGGAAATTGCTTGGTGTTGACCTTTGTGCTTGTGGGGCAGCACTTGACAACACCACTTGGCTCGAATTTCTCGGAACTTAGAGAAATTGAACTTATCCCTGCTCCAAATTCATTCCATGGGCATGCAACTTTCAATAGCCTGAACATGTTCCACAATGTTGTTGAACAGTATATAAACAGCTTGCCGCAGTGCAGTGGTGCCTACGCCGGCCCACTAGGCATGACATTCCACTTCCGGGATTGTCTAAACTCTCAAACCTAGTGGGCTTCAACCAAATACTGGGGAAAGATGGCACGAATCTTCTGACTGAACCTGCCGAAGCCATGATCTTTGTGTGAAGCTCAAAGTGCTCATTAGGTTTCTGCTGATTACAGAACCTCAGAACTCCCATGGATATGCTGGTACAAGGCCCGTTGTCAACTGCTCATGTTTGCGAGGTCACAGTTGGCACCACATCCTTTGACGATTTGGTGAAGGAAGTGGATTCCCCCTCTTTCCAGGAGCAGGCCACTGGCCGCGCCCACCTAAGGGCCGAGACGGGCCACAACCGGGTCACTGGGGAGCTGCTGCCAGACCAGCTGCTAGGCGAAAGCGCTGGGCTACAACCGCCTGGTGGTGCAGCGTGGTCGTGGTACCTACAGGCTCAAGCAGCTCCAGTGCAACACGAAAATGGCTATGCTGCTATGCCTTGTGGCTATTCTTTCAGACTCTTGTTATATGTTTTGACTAGGTGATTCCTGGGGCAGGTTGAGCCAGCGAGATCCTGCGATTCTGGAAGTGGAGCAGGGTCCTCGGAGTGCTTCCAGGCGCTGATGCATAGAACCTCGAATCCATGTGTAGCGACTCACGCATCTACCGAAGGCATTCTGGATTCTGTAGGAAATTTGACAGTAAATGGACCAGAGCATGACTTGTGGATCTATTCAGTCATTCTTTGTTCATGCGAGCAAGGTCATTTGACCTGAAGCCAAGCTTGGAAGATGAGGCCATGATATCTGATATCATTAGGATATGCCAGTTGCACCAGTCATATACATTTGTGGTTTCGGTACTCACCCAGTTGATGGCTGACTGTACCATTTGTACCTTGCTTTGCAGATGTCCAGTGCATCCTTGGTGATTTCCCACGCGGGTGCCGGCTCCATCATCGAAGCCTTGCGACAGAAGAGGTGGGGGGGTTCCTTGCCTTGGACTCATGGCGGTTGCCCTCAGGGCAATCGAAGAATGCAACGGAGAAGTCCGCAAGTTCTAAAGGGAAAACCCATACACAATTTCGGAGATTGTGGTTTATTTTCATTTATTTCGACTTTACATGTCAATATAGTTTAGTGTGTATCTGAATCCGTTTATTGTCATGTCACATCATGACAGATCTTAAAAGCAGATGGAAAGAAACATAAGAAACACTTGCCAAGAAACCAATGTGGCCCAGTCTCTTGAAGGCGACTTCTGGTCGTAGTAAACCCAGTTCTGATGGACAACCACCAGTTGGAGGTGGCTGAGGCCAGACTCCCGCAGTTGAAGAAATGCAGGGAAACTTCGATGTTTGGCCGTAAAAACGTGTAAAAACGTGAGCATTTGATGTGAAACAAACATGACTGTTTCATGATAGAAGCCATTTTTGGTGCTACAGTTCTTCATGACAGTGACGTTAGTGATGCATTGTTCATGGGGCCTGCGAGCAGAGGCGATGCATCAAAGAGGCCATTGTGTCGGGTGCCCTTGGGGTCCCAAGTGCAGCCAGGGGTCAGCAATCGCGTGCAAAGGAAGATCACCATGTTCAATAGGTAGATCTTTGAGAAGGCGATGGTTAGACTTAGGCAGAAACAGAAACAGGCGAAAATTAATCAATTAATCAATGATGATCAACGTAAATTACCCACATCGATTTTGCAATGCCATGTTGATTCAGCTGGTACTTCCCAATCATGGCCTCAAAATGTCGGGTCACCATGGGTGTTGAGGCCATGGCTGCAGAGCCAAAGCAGCTGCAATCAGCACTGGCTGAGGCCGCCAAGGCGGTGGAAATCCTCATGGTGTAGAGGAACTTCTGAGGTTTGTGGATCCACGGAATCCACGGACAACATGGGACAAGTGGGTAAAATAGGGGGTTCCTATCATTTTCTCTAACCTCAAATCGCAGATGGAGATGCAGCCCTATCCTGCTGCGGACCTTCGTCCCTGGCATCAGCTCTTGGAGGAACTTCTTGCTGGGTGGAGATTGGGTCAGTTTTGGTGACCTTTGGGACCTCAAATTGTCTATCAAAAGATGGTGGATATATATATATGTATATCTATAGTCTATATTCTTTATCTCTACATTGTACATCTATATCATATCTATATGTACCTCTATCTATCCATATCTATTTGTCTGTCTATCTGTCTGTCTGTCCGTCTGTCTGTCTGTCTGTCTGTAAATGCCTATATAAATTAATACACACACACTTGCTCAGAAACATCTTTGCGAATTGGTGATGTGGAATGCATCGGACGTGCAAAAACACCCCAGTAAAACCTATAACAGGAGACATGAAAATTATATATATATGGGACTGTGGTGGCCACCAGCTGCGACTTAAATGCGCCCAGGTGCACCACCACAGTCCCGCAGGTACGTTTGCACGGGTCCCGGGGAGGTGTCTTCGTTGGTCACCGACCCCCCCGGGACCCCGGTGACCCCCTGCAATTAATAGAAGTTTTACATCTATTCAGATGGTACACACACACGCCCCACCGCAGCGGGGCAGATGAAATGAAAATGAAAGTGAGATGAAGATGAAAATGAAATGAAAGTTACTTAACCAGGACGCGAAGAGGGGAACGCAAAAGAAGAGGGAAAGAGCAAACACACACCAACACACCTAGCCCGGAGCGGGCGAACCCTGAAAAGGCAAGGGAAAAGAAAAAAGCGGAGGCCGACGGAAACGCACCAAGACCAGCGGAGGAGGGGGAGGACGGAAGCGCCTGAACCAACCTACCACGGCGAAACCTAAGCCTACCTCGGCACGCGCAGGACCCAACCTACCTAAAGGGAGGAGAACGCAGAAACACATGAGAAAGGGACCCATGGGGAACTAGTTCATGACATGATGCACCCACAACGCATGCAGTATTCGTGATAAGGCTCAAAGGCCCTCGGCTTTCAATTCACAACCCTCTGGACGGCTTACGTGTTCAACCCCTGAATTGCGTGCACAATTGAACCTCACCAACGACCATCAAAAGAAAGAAAAACCACACCTAAAGCATGTCCTGTTGCCTCTCCTGATCATGAGCATGATGCATAATGCTGAGCGTTCTCTCGAGCAACGTTGAAAAAACGGATGTTGACGTGGCTGCCAGCTATGCAGATCGGTAAAAAAGGAATCCCCGAGACAGCGGGAAGCTGTTCAACACTCACCCGACCGACATGTGAAACAATGAAAAATGGCCAGCAGTTCACTTTACTTAGACGAATTACTAATTCAAAAGTGTAAATTCAGACATCGTTTTACTGTCAATTGTTAGCCTGGAAAGGCTTTCCCCGAAGGGTTCCTGCCAACTTGACGTACACAGCAGGAATGACACACTTGCTCAGAAACATCTTTGCGAATTGGTGATGTGGAATGCATCGGACGTGCAAAAACACCCCAGTAAAACCTATAACAAGAGACATGAAAATTATATATATGGGACTGTGGTGGCCACCAGCTGCGACTTAAATGCGCCCAGGTGCACCACCACAGTCCCGCAGGTACGTTTGCACGGGTCCCGGGGAGGTGTCTTCGTTGGTTAATAGAAGTTTTACATCTATTCAGATGGTACACACACACACAGGCACACGCACACGCACACACACACACACTCACACTCACACTCACACCCACACTCACACTCACACACACACACTCACACTCACACTCACACTCACACTCACACACATATATATATGTACACATATGCATGGTATTTGAGTAAATTTTTATTGAATGTATAAAACATTATAAAACCATATAATTTAGTTGGTGTGTTACCATTGTTGGTATTTCAGTATGTTTGAATATATTTTAGCGAATCCTGTGGCTAACATGGTAGAAGCTTAGGGGTCCCAGATTTTTGGTTGGCATGGCACCGCACTGGCGTTGTGCAGGAGACCACAGGTGTTTCGCCAACGGGGTGACAGGGAAAAAGGAACGCTGGTTGAAAGCTGGAATTCTCGGAAGTTTCATCAGTTTTTGCCCGATTCCTGGAAGTTAATTTCCATGATTTTCCCCAAGATTGATCCATATTGATGCATTGTGGTTGGTTGATGTTGGTTGTATCCCCATTCTTGGCGATTTGAAAAGCTGAAGCAAACGTGACAATTGGCCTTTACTATCCTTTGCTTGTTTTAGGGCACCCTGCTTTGCAAACTATTCATTTCACGGGCAGCGTGGCTGTCACACCTTAGTCACATGAGTTGTCATGGCATAGCTCATGTGCTGAACCAGCATTTGCTCCTTTACGGGAACTTCAGCAGTCAAGGATTCCAGCCATGGTCAGACAACCCACATGCCTTAGGTATCACGGTTTGGTGTCGGTGTCAGCGCATGCACTCCACCCAGGTTTGCACCGCCTCAGATTGCCAAATTTAACCGTATGCACCTACAGCCTTTTGCAAAATAACTTTTGCGGACTTGATTGATGCCTCACCATATTCCACACATTTGATGCACCCAGCTGTCGAACTTTGGAGCCATGGCTAGCTTGGCCCATGTATTTCCTTTGCACCGCCTCTGCATAGCTAGATGCCAACGTCCCAGTTCTGACGGTTTTGGGAAGTGTCGATGTCAAAACATGTCCAGGGAGCAGGTGGCCGTGTGGTGGGCATGTGTTCCAATGGCCCAGGCGCCAGCCGCCTGGCCCAAACACGGGCCTTCTCGCTGTTGGAGCAGCTGCCCGACTATGCAGCAGGGTCAAAAGCTCTTGCAGAAAAGCGGTGATTTGGCGGCATCCTGCGGTGGGGCGGGCCTCAAAACTGAGAGCCTGTTGGGTGAAGCTGTTCCGGAGGTTCTCAGAAGCTCTCCCCATTTTGAAGCGAGCCGTTGAGGTGGGAACTGCACGAATTGTGCCTTGATTGGATGCCTTGGATGTCTTGGATGCTGATGGCAGGTGGCAGATGCTTACTTCCCAGCCGACGCAGGTTGGGATGCCCAGGCACCAGCATTCCCTGCTCCAATGGCTGGTGCAGGTGCAGAGCTGGATGAGTGCCACGCCTCATTGGGCTCCTGCTTGTGGTACATAGGTGCTACAAGAGGATGACTGGTGGGTTGGATTGGTCCGTGTATAGGAAATGAAGGGGTGGGGTAGACAGTTCTTAGGAAATGAAGGGATGGAATTACTTGAGATGGAATATGATTCTGTGCATCTTTGTTACATTGAACGGAGGAGCACAACAATAGTTTGAACACATGGATGAGAAACAGGCCAATACGAAGAAGCTACGCGCGTGATGTCCAAGAGTTCTTCTGACCACTTGATTCTTGCCAGAGCCTCAGCCGGGCTTAGGGGTTGTGGTATCGTGGCCCACGGCGATGACCGCTGCCAGGGGGCTGCTCTGATACTTTTTGAGCTCGGACGATTTGAGGAGGCAGATGGGTGCCAAAGGAGCTTGCAACAGATACAGTACACAAGAAATCCACAAACATGTGTCATCATGCGTCCTCTGTCCCCATCTTTCAAACCATGGGTTTCACTTTGACCTCCACAGTTGAAGGTCTCCATGCTGTGTTGCCAGGCCACGAAACTGACCTCCAGCTTGGCAGACGTCAAGGTCCCCGCAGCGTTGCTGCAAAGTGCCGTGCGCGTCGTTGCTGGTGACCAGGACTCTGACAGTGGCAGTGGTGGTTATTCACCATCATCCAGTTGTGTCTGGTTGGCTGCATGATTACAGCTGGGCCCCTGCTTCTGGAGGACATTTCTGCAGATGGATTGTCTGGTGAATCTGCCGCCATGATGAAGCTGAATCGGCTGATAAGTCGCTGCCTCAAGCAACAATCTTGTCACTGTTCTGGCTGTGATATGCTGTGATCACATCTCCTTGATACACAACCGCCTCAGGTTTCGCCCAAAGTTCTGCCCAAAGTTCTGCAGCAGAACCGGGTCCGGACGGTTATGCCACACCCTTTCATTACATGGCTCACATCAGTTGGCTCGAAAAGGCCTTGAAAGACATTCTTCGCGAGCTGGATGAATTGGATGCCTTGAAGCCCGATTCAGAGCTCATGTTGCGCTGTACTGTTGGGGAGCTGGCGGTGATGGCAGGCGGGGTGTGAATGGATTGCTGCAGAATTACCCAAAGCGATGATTAAACATGATGTGGTTTCGTGAATCTATAGTGGATCAAGATCAAACCACATTTCCGTAGATTTTGAGACGAATGTCCGATACGGGGTCTATCTATCTATGTATCACATTAAGGTATACACACACAGATATGTATATATATATAATGTAATCAGCAAACATGTGCAATTTAACATGTGTTTTCAATTGTTTTCAGGTCTTGGGCTCCCACACATTCGGGGTATCTTAGGGTTTTGAGTTTGGACAGTTTTGCTGCGGGGCCTCACAGGTCTGAAGGACAAGTGGGTGCGCGAGAGTTTGGTAAAGACGCTGAAGGACTTTGACCGGCTGCAGCCCAAAGATCCATCGGGTCAAGCCGTTGCAACTCAGCTGTGAGTTGTGATCATGTAGCAGGAAATTAGCACAACATATCAGTTGAATCGCAAGGAGTTGACATTACTATTCAGAATATAATGGCCAATACATTCAATACATGCGGCAGAATATCAGCCCTCCTATAATTTATATAATATCCAATCAACGATGGCTTTTTCAATGGTTCACATGTGTTCACATGAATATCAGCTGATAGTCCAACAACAGGACCAGGTCATAAGAGCTGATATTTGCAGTGGGACTGCCATGCGACGTGAGGTCTTCCGGGCTTTGACCGCGCTGGCGACGCTTACAAATGCAGCGGGTGATGCAATTACTGCTGAAGGCAGTGATGAGTGGCAAACAACCACAGCATCCTTATATTTCACAGCATGTTTCTAGGTAAACATCATTTTTTGGGTGAAATAGGAGTCAATAATCCCCAAAGGTGATGTCCAGTGCTGCTTCTAAAGGCAATCATCACATCCCCCGAAAGATTCCGTGGACCGCTTGGGAACCATTTTGGGGCCCATATGGGTGAATCTAAAAGTAGGGGAAAGGGATTACAAGAAACCATGTCGAGGTATTGCTGCAACGACCCTGCCAGGATTGTTTCATTCAGCTCAAGACCATGTGGCGCGACATTCTGCCCCGGGCCGAGCAGCACTTTGGCGCCGTGGGGTTGCTAACGCCTTCGCCGCCATGTTGGAAACAGGCGGCTGAACTTTCTGTCTGGATAATTGGAGATGGTTCTACCAAAATAATCTTGGTCTTGGTAAAGTTGACCTTCGTGTTGTGAATCCACTGCCACAAGGCTTCCACAAGGCTTTTGTGTGTGATCATAGGCACCCATGGACTTCAATGTCATAGGCACTGAGATCTCCTGAGACCTAGAAAGATCATGAAAGATCACACTGCTGTAGCTGGCTCGATAGCAAGACCAAGGGCCACTGCATTGAGCATACTTTAAAGACCCAGACTGGATTGGAGGACAAACATGGTAGATCATTGTAGTACTCCACATTGAATTTCATAGCAATCCGTGCTGTTTGCAGAGTTACTGGTAGAGTTACTTTGGATCATCTCACTTTGATTGCGCTTGATTTGCTGTTCCCATGCCTTCCATGCCTTTTGACCGCAAAGATGTGACCCTTGCGCAGATGTCCAGCTAATTGGAAGGTCGCTGATGGCCAAAGGTTTCGCCATCAAGCAGAAAGTGGATTGCACTTTGCATGAACTTGATCGACAGCTCACAGAGGTGAAGGGAGCCTTGAAAGGGCAACACTGTGAAGTCCTGTTTTACTTTGCCGGACATGCGGTGGAGAGAAATGGACAGAATGCCTTCTTGTGCTTGGACAGCGACCCTCAATATTCGCAGGAGGATCACAACCTGCACAGCATTTTTTTAAGATTGGTGGAGTGCTCACCAAACGCACGAGACACGAAAATTGTGGTAATCCTGGATTGCTGTCGAGAGCCACACTGCAGCCAATGCCAACCATGGTAAAGTTTCCACGTCACGGACAGTTCTATGTGTTGTTTGCTTGTGGGTCTGGGCAACGTGCCCAGGAGAGCTTGATGTATGGTCATGGGATATTTACCAGTGAGTTGGCAAAATTTATTAATTCCCAATCGAAGTTCAATATGACTTCTGAAACTGTTGCATGTGTGACTGAAGCAGTTGCAAAACGAACTTGCAACCTTCAACGCCCAGAGCTTCTGAGCAGATCATCCAAGCGCTGGTCTGCTCAGGTGTGGAACGTCCCCCACTGCAACAAACGCTTTGTTGGGCGCAGCGTGTTGATAGATCAGCTTGCATCCCGACTTACAGAACCCGGTTTGCTCTGCTTAGTTGCAACGTCTGGGCTGGCCGGAGTAGGCAAAAGCCAGTTGTTGATTGAGTTCCTGAACTCACGCTGCCAAAACAAACGAAAACGTTTGGTGGCTCAATGCAGAGTCAGAGCTTGTTCTGGAGCAAGGCTTGGCTGACCTAGCCACTCGAGCTGGCATTGTGGCTGAAGCTGAAGCCATCAATGAACCAAAAACAGTGGCAAAGAAAGCTGTTTGGGCTCTGGAAGAGGAACTCGAAAGCTGGGTTTTGGCCTTTGACAATGCCAAGAACTACAGCTCCGTAAAAGAATGGGTTCCTGCGCACGGTGGCATTGTGCTTGTGACATCTCGAAGCCCCCATTGGGAGAGGACCGTTACGGTTCCAGTGTTTGCTCCGGAGGAGTCAATGCAATTGTTGGTCGGTTTGGTTGGGGAAGGCGCAGCTTTGGATTGTGCAGCAGATGTCGCCGAGATGTTGGGTCATCATCCTTTGGCCTTGATGCAGGCTGGTGGTTGGGTTCGGGAGACCAACATGGGTTTGGCCAAGTATGAAAAGCCGACCTGAACGCCGCGAATTGCTACGTTCAGCGCCAGATTCGCTCATGCAGCAAGACTACAAGTCGACAATTGCGGCCACTGTTGAGTTCGCCATACCGGTCTTGAAATCTGAAGCAGCTGCAGATTTGTTTGATTTGTGTTCCATTGCATCTCCAGACCACATTCCATATGACCTTCTTAGATCATTCCATGCAAGGCAGGGGAGTGGGGCTGTCACAGAATCAGGCTTTTCGGCAATTCTTAAAGAACTTTGCGATCATTCCCTCATAACAGCTGCAGATGATGGTGACACTGCTTGTTGCTTCGACATCCATCGCTTGGCGCAAACAGTAAGGCAAGATTGGATGCAGGCTTACAGAGATTCAAGCATGAGAGTTGTGAGCGCTGCGGTCGAAACTGCTGCCGATTTGTTCAACTTTGATTTGCTCCGGAATGTGGGGTCAGCCTGTGGCAGTCGAGCAGCCTACTACGCAAGTTTGGCGCCTCATTGTAGCTCAATCGCCAAATTTGCCCAAGAGCTTTGCTTGGAGGATTCTGAGGACCTGGGTTTGTTGCAGATCAATCTGGCAGAGTATTTGTACGAAACTTGCAAGCAAAGCGACGGCGCCATTGACCTGCTATGCACTGCAAGAAATAGTGCGAAATCAGATGTATTGAAGATGAGGGCCACAGTGCTGCTTGCTAGGTTTCAGCATGACAAAGACATCGATGCCAAGCAAAGAGCAGTGGCTGAGCTTGCTGATGCGCTGGAATGTTTGGTGCCGCAGATGGATGACCACTTCTACGAAATCGAAGCCCACAGCATAGCGGCTTCTTTGAACATTTATCTTGGAAGATATGATGAAGGGAGAGAGAGGCTAGCTTACAGGAGGCAGTAGCTTGTGTGGAGACAGCATGTGGTGATATGGCAAAAGCCTTGGAAGCCAGCCACAGCATGTATGATATTCGAAGGACGCTGTTGGGTGACGATGCGCTCCTCACAATTCACGCTTTCCGGACCCTTGTGTTGAAATATCAACCCGTTGACCCCACTCAAGGAGTTCTGCTTGGAGAAGAGCTTGTTCAACGCACTGCGTCATGCTTGAACATTTGTTTTCAGATCGCTTGTCGGTGAAAGCTTTGCAGGATTTATTTCGGTATGACATCCTTGTCGTGCAAGACATTCAATCTTGTTGTTTGAAGATGTTTGAAGACCATTTAGCTGTTAGCTTGCATATCGTTTCAAGATCTGCTAGCTTTTCCTGCAGCTGCAAGCCAGCCGTGTAATTACTAGTTTTTCCTTTGCATTCTCCTTCGCAGGATAGATGGAGGATGTCTTTCATAGTCAGAATGAGTAAAACAATTATATAGTTATAGGAAAGGGTCTCCAGTGCCAATTCCCATCCGATCCATGACTGATTTCAATCTTCTGCTTTGCCGCGCTTCTGTCTGGTCACGATGCTGGAACCTTTTTTCGGTTGAATCACTAGTAAGTAGATAAGGAGCGGTACAAGGTAGACTGCCACCTGACTTGATTCCAAGGAAAGTTTGGTTGGACCAGAACATCATGACACTGCATTTGCCTATTGTGTTCTGGCTGACTGCGCCTATGATTCTGGCCAGCTGAGCCTTGCAAAAGAATCCTGCGAAACAGCCATGCAGAAGTCGACTCCAGGCTCTTATTGGCATGGAAGATGTCTTGAACTGCAAGGGGCCATTGTATTGGATCTATCATGCAAACGATATGGTCAGGTAACCAAAGAGGTTGCCGCGACTGCGGTGGGTTTGCTTCAAGAAGGTTTGCTAGCTGTGCAGGCGACTGAGGTGGGCGGATATCACTTGGTTGAGGCGTTGTCACGATTGGCGACTGCCCAAACTCATGCTCAGGATGCAGAATCCACGAGCGACAGCGCAAAAGGCACTGGAGCTTTGCAATGAGTAGTCTCAAGATACTCGAGAGAATGCACATTTTGCATTTCTGGCTGTTGCGGAAGTAAGTTCTCTAAACGGAAACCATTCCGAGGCTGAACGCTGGTACAGCAAGGTGGAAAGACCTGGGTTGACGGACACCCAGCGAAGCAGCGCATTCTAAGACACCTTGAACGGTCTCGGCAGCGAGTCTCTTTCACCAATTTCCGATCAGGAAACCATACATTGGCCTCCTTGACCCCAGTCTGGTCTTGGTCGAGACCTTTCTACTTCGCCGATTTTTCAAAGTTCAACCTCGATTTGCAGCCTGCAGCCAAAAGCAACATGTGCACTTGAGATAGGTGGCAAACGCAGACTTGGAGGGTCTATATAGGTAGGAGCTAAGATGGGTCATAGGATTGTTCACTTCTTGAATTGGGGATGGTATTGTTCGTACCCATTTCTGGACAGTAATTCGGGGCCCTGGCTTGGAATCTCACGGGAATCGTTGCAACCAGGCCGCCATGCTGAGAAGCGGGCGCCAGAGATCAAACGCTTGCGCGAAGCCGCTGGTGCACCCGCCGGCGCTTCCGAAAAGCGTTGGGCCTTGCTGGTGCTGCCACAGCCTTTGGCATCCAAGGCATGGTAAGACAGGGTTCCTCAAATAAATAGGATACCCCGAACTAACTACTTCATCATAATTTTCTGAATGAACATGGCAATTTTTGGTATGCCCCATTTTGCAGCTTTGAAGATGTGGGCACTCGTTGCCATGCAACTGCACACATGAAAGCCTTGAGCCCGAAGTATTTGACAGGATCAGGTGTCAACTTGTCTCCCTACTGTACCAGCCTTTCACACCCACAGCAGACTGTCACGTATCCTTCAGCCGATGCAGCCCTATTGCTAGTTTTGAAAACTGTTCAGGTGGTGGAGTGAATTGCCAAAGCGCTGCCACAGGATGAAATCGAGCAATTGGCATTTGGTGAAAAAGAAGGTTTGAGCATGCAAGCATGCGTATGCGGCGTGCGATGAAATCCTGTTAGTAGGCAGTAGGCAGGGTTTATGTTTTGCTGGATGATGTGGACATTTCGCTTGAAAATGCTTGAAAGGCTTCCGTTTTCTTTTTTAATATAATCGTTTTTTATTTCAAAGCATTTCTGGGCTCAGAATTGTCGACAAGAAATATCAGAAGAGCAAGCACTACTTTGATGGCATTAAGCTCACATGGATGGAGTGTGTCACTGCCAAGGACTGCACTCGCTGTATCACGAAATCGAGCTTTGCTCCAGGACAGATGTGGCTGATGCTTGTTGCAGTTTTGTTTTGGGCACAATATGGCCAGGCTGTGATCACAGTCAGCTCATGATTGTATGTCTCGTAGCTGGTTTAGTTCATGTTGGATGTTCACGCAGCACTGTTTTTAATCATTGAGACCTCCCTCTCATGCCACACATGATTCACCGCGAAAAGATGAAAGCAGATCCCGCCTGCCAAAACGCATCCCCTGTGTCAAGGTTCTTCCAGTCCAAACCTGGGACAAGATGCTCAGGCATGACATGACAAGACCGTTTTCATTAATTATTTCCAATGCCATGCTCTAGTCGGTCTTACATCCAGATTCACAATGACTTGTCAGGATTGGAATTGCTGAAGAACTGCGCAAAACACATTGCATTCTCCCCACACAACAGCAGCTTTGTCATCAGTTAAGCAGTTTTGAGATAGCCCTCAAGCAGGCCTGACTAAGCAGCAAACATCATTCCAAAAGACACTGCCATGGCTCCGTTACCGAGCCACTGGTGGCGAGATGATGCTGCTTTGCAGAAGTTTACGGAGGAATGGAGTGCCAAACTACGAGACATAGAGGAGCAAGAGATAGAAGAGTTCCTGAGAGCCAAAGAGCACCATGATGCACATGATGGGCACTTCGAGCTGGAGCCTGAGACCAAGGATTCAAAGCCGTCCGCGGAAGCGGCACTTTCTGCTTCATCGCACGTGGCAACAAACGAAGCTGAACAGGCCGAGGCTTCACTTCAAGCCAAAGTTGAGGTACCTCAGGCACCAACTGGGATACAACAGCCACCAGCTGAGGAACAACAGCCACCAGCTGAGGTGCCGCAGCCTCCTGCAGCTGAGGTGCCGCAGCCGCAGCCAGCACCAGCTGAGGAACAACAGCCACCAGCTGAGGTGCCGCAGCCTCCTGCAGCTGAGGTGCCGCAGCCGCAGCCAGCACCAGCTGAGGCACAACAGCCACCGGCTGAGGCACAACAGCCACCTGAGGTGCCGCAGCCACCAGCAACTGAGGTGCTGCAGCCACCAGCAGCTGAGGTGCTGCAGCCACCACCAGCTGAGGCACAACAGCCACCAGTTGAGGCACCGGTATCTCAGCCACCAGCAACTGAGGTGCCAGTGCCACAGCCATCAGCTGATGTGGAGGAGCCACCTATGAAGTCTGATCCTTTGCCAGCTCCAAAGGTGGAGGATACCTCAACCGCGGAGAAGGCCCCGAAGTCAGCTGACCCAACTCCAGTGAGCAGCCAATCAGCTGAAGCAGCAGTGCCATCCAGCACTGGCAGCACTGGCACCACGGAAGCAGTTCCGGACAAGGAGAAACAGGAGAAGGCCCCAATGGACCCCGAGGCCGTCCGTGCAGCGGCGCAAAAGGCGTCGGATGTCCTCAGTCAGCTGCTGCAGAAGCCTTTGGAATACGAAGTGCGTGAAGCGTTGCCGTGCTATTCTGATCCAGATACCAACTCCAGGGAGATTCGGAACTTCTCTGTGGGCCAAGTTCTCCAAGGGTATCCAGGAGGAGGATGGTTGAAGCTGCAACCCAGTGCTGGGAAAGGTTGGGCCCATATAGGTCGCAGCCTGGCTCTCACCTGCCTGGTGCCCACGATCCGTGCCAGATACCTTGAAGCCATCGATCTCACCTGGCCTGGCTTTTCTGGTCTCCTGAAGCCTGGTGTGAAGGTTCGACTGAACATCCGTCGATTGATTCGAATGTGGTGTTGACTGATGAAATCGGCAAGAGCACTGTCATAGGAACAAATAAACTTTAAGCCAACAAACGAGGGCGCGCTTAGGTAGGCAGGTAGGTAGGTATTTCAAGATATTTCCGACACAGACATTAGTATCGCTCGGCCGGTGTGAGCACCTTTCAGGTGATCTACATCGTGGAGTGGCGCTGCCGCAAGAGCGGGGCTGCTGGTCATACCGTGTGTCAGAAGACCCATGAGGTCGTCTCCAATATGCCACTTGGTGGCGATTTCAAGCAGTGTTTTCTATTTTGTTTTCTCCTCCCATGCGTTCAAATGGGATGATGGTCCCCTATCTTCTCATATCATTTTTTCGAATGTGATCCCCAAAACATACGATCAACAGTGCTTTGTTTGAAGGCGATGGAGCAAGAGAGGGGGGGAAATTGCTTAACAAGAAAGAGCATTAGAAAATCCCATCAAAACGTCATTCAAAGCCTAATAGTCCTATATATTAAGAATCAAGAGGGCTGTGCGGGTGCCACTTACACCCACCGGAGAATGCCATAAATCGAATCAACATCCAATTACCGTCCCACCAAAATCCCATAGAATCCCATCAATTGGGATTTTAGTGGGACTTTAATGGAATTTCAACGGATCAAAATTCTATTTACATCCTATTAAAGTCCCATTTAGAACCCCATTGAAATCCCATTAGCCGCCCATAACCTTAATGGGATTTCAATGGTCTTAATGGGATTAAAGTCCATCAATCGGGATTTTCATGGGAATTGAATGACAATTTCATCATATTTCATCCAAAATTAGAATCCCATTCACATCCCATTCACATCCCATTCACATCCCATACCCTCTGGTAATTTAACATAACTATGGAAAATCACAATTTTTAATGGGTAAATCAACTATAAATGGCCATTTTCAATAGCTACGTTAAATTACCAGAGGGTATCATCCCAGCAAAGTCCCATTGCCAGTACCCAGGCCACCTGGCAAGGTCCTCGAAATCCACGTGGCCGTGCGGCTCCGCGGCGCCCTGGCGCCCGGCGTGGATGCCGCGCCCGAGGTGCGCTTCGCGGGGCCCTGGGTGGAAGCGCAGACGTTGAATCCCAAGGATGGCACCTTGGTGGAATGGTGGGAAAATCATGGGAAAAATGGTGGGGAAACGGCATGGAGACAGGAATTTACATGGATTTACCATATTGACCTTGCCATCGTTTGGTGGAACCTGGTGGAAGCGCAGACGTTGGGGGGATAATTTCAGGTGGAAAAAATTGGCATCAAAAATGGGATCTACCTGGGGTTTTTTCCGTTGTGATTCAAGAGAAATCAGTTAACTGTTAACTCATAGGAAAATAATCTATGGGCTGAACTAGGCTGACCCTCCCCTGCCCCCTTGCCACTTATAACAGCTTTTCTACCATTTCACCCTGGTGAGGTTCAAAAAGACTATAGTTAGGAGTGCAATTAGCATTCTTACCCTATCCAAACAACTGGTACAGAACCATCGTTTCCCCACTCATTCCCACCAAAACTTAGCAGTTCTGGATGGTTCCGGCACATAGTTGATCATAATACTACCTATCCACCAAAACAATTGGCACATACTTGATCATAATTGTCGTATCCCTTATATCCTCCATCACTCAGTACCATCATTCCTGGCATGAAGTATATGTCAAAGGTTCCCTACGCCCTATATAAACTATACTTGGCCTCAACAGTACCCGTTACCATAACCACTGAAAGTCCAATCAATACTGGCAGTACCAAGAGTTGTACCTTCACTTGCTGTGTTGAGGTGAGGATGATGAAGATGCGGAGGCCTGTTTGGACCCCTTTGGCACAGCGCGTGGAGGGTGTTTGGATTGTAACTGCTACGGCTTCTTCTGGCGACCGGGTTTGGAGGAACAGGCCGATTCAGAGGAACAGTCCGAACGGGTAGGTCTGAACGCAGATCCCGACACCATCAAATGCATCAGATGTGGTGATCCATTTGCCACACACACCAGGGCTGGCACACCAGCTGCAGAGCGATTGCTGGATAGTCGCCCTGCCAGAACGTTCCTGGTGGCACATAGCCGAGTTTTCGTCCGAAGCAAGCGCAGTACCACTGGAGATGCCATTGGTGCCATCAAGCAGGGCACGGAAATTTCGGGCTGCACCGAGGGCAGATGGCTCCACTTGTCACGTGAAAGTGCGCAGGCAGTGAATGCCATGCCCAAAAACAAGAGCGACACGAGATATGTTGATGCCTGGGTGCCTGGATGGATTGTAGCCATCCCCCGATGTTCAGTTTTTGTCTTTTTGGATCTTTTCGGTGTTTCAGACTTTCAGATTGTTTAAGTTTGTGGGATCACAAATATCAAAAACTTATATAGATGGGTCTGTCATGGTCAAACATCATAATCATCCCATTGCCAGCACTGCCAGCTGTCACTTTTTGAGAGATGACACTGCAAGGTGTTGATGGACGGAAGTCACATTGGCATCGCCTCGGACTTGTTGGTACCCGAAGAGTTGGCGCCTCCAGAGCTGCGCGAACGCGCGCAGCAGGAGGAGGAGGCGCGACAGAAGCGACGGGAAGAGGTGGCCAAGAAGAGCCAGGAGAAGAAGGTGACGCGGAAAGGAAAGGATGCTGCCAAGGATGATGGGTTGAGGGGCTGGTGTTCGGTTTGCTTTGAAGAAGTTAAATTGGAGAACCATAAGGCACAATAGGAATATGTTGAATATTTACTTAACCAGTAGGGAGGGATCGCTCATATGGGGATGTAGTCAGATTATTTTGAACAAAGTCGGCAAAGTCGGTACATATGGAGATGATGAAACCCAGGGAAGATGTGGCTACGAATGGACACCCCTCATCGCAATCTATGTTTTAATGCAGACAGCTCCTCCGCTTGACCATCATCCAAAGTGGCTGCCAGTAGTGTACACCTCTGAGCAAGAACACCTCGCTAATTGGGTGGGGTTATGCTTATCCCCCGCCATTCCGTGGCCAACTTGATTATTTTCTGCATAAAATCCACACGCAATGAAACAGTGGCTAACATCATGGCTGATTCAATTACCCCCAATGGGAGACAGATGCCCTGAAGGAGGTGAAAGAGCCAGACAGCGAAGATGAAGCAGATGCAGTGAAATTGAAGGAGCCGCTGCAAAACTTGATGGAGGTTTTGTACACGAAAGCCGTGGCTGATTTCAAGATTTTCAGTGTTTTTTTCCTCCTTCCTCTTGGATTGAAAGGGTACAGGGTACAACGATCCCAATCAATACACTGTACTAGTAATTTTGTCGTCATCTGTTTTGAGATGAGATTACCATCGACTACAGTGGACAGACAACCGTTTTTTTTCTCGGGGATGGGTGCACGAAGCCAGGTGGACTATCTGATCCTGAAACCCCAGCTGCCGATCCATCGCCGACCCTCCACCAGCTCGCGAACGCTGGGTCAGCTGAAGCGGGGGCAGATCGTCAGTGGATGGCCGCAGGAGTCCTGGCTGCTGCTGGCGGAGAAGGGGACCACACCCAAAAGCACCACGGGTGGCTGGGTCTTGGTGGATGCCAGCTGCTTGGGTCTGGGGCAACAGGCACAAGCCCAGTGGCCTGTTCCCAAGGAGCTCCGGCCCTTTTCGGAGGCCGTGGTGGTGGAATGGACCAAGTTTCCGGCCAGACACGTGGAGTACCAAGTGGAATGGGCGGATGAAAGTGAGAAGGACAAGATCACGGTGGCCAGGTCAAGGGAGACCATGACCATGGCACGAGTGCATGAATTACCTGCAGATTCTCGACTCATCTTCCGGTTGACCGCCAAGGTGTACACTGCACCACCGGAGCAGGGGGGTGAGATCTTCACAGAAGCTGTTGGGCCCTGGGAGGAAGCAGAGACTGGTGCAACCATTGAGAAACTGGAGGAAGGCAACCTTTGCTGCTTAGCTGATTGTAGGGGATTTGTGGGGGGAGAGAGGTGAATACACCTGACAAATGGCACCCAAGCCCAGTCCCTGCTCCTTTGAAGGCTTTGGGTGCATTTTTTGTGGTGTCTTCAAAGTATCTCTAACATCTTCCTTTCAGGAATTATGATGAGATGTGCACATAAACTCATCTACAAGTCAACGTAGACGATTCCACTCACAATGAATGATCTTCCTGTATGCGCACAGTATCTCACTTGCAGCAGCTTTTTCCCGCCAAGGTGTTGACCCTTTGGCAAATCTCCGTGGTCGCTGCATGGACTGCTCCTGTCATGGTTTCGTGCTGGCAGAGTATGGGGAAAGGCCGCGCACCGGGGACACCCTGGAAGAGGTTTCCTGCAGACGCTGCAGTTGCTCGTGCGTAAGGCACTTCATCATTGGAAGCTGGCCACAAACAGTGTCACTGAAGTCACTGAAGCTTTGAACCCATTCTTCTCTTAACAATCTTAACACAACTATGCACACCATAATTACGTTACCATACCGTATGCCACGGGAACACACCAAACTAAGATCGACAGCTTTCCAGCCTTTCGGGTGCGTCATGTGACCCCGCCTCAGTTGCTGGGGCTTCACTTTAAGGAGAGTTCCACTACCGCAATCCTTCGGCTGCCAGTGTGAAACGGCCACCGGTGAGTGAGGCGCCCAAGGCACTCCCAGCCCCAAAAGAAGAGGTGCGACCCATCACGTGGAAAGTGGAGGATGGTGAGGGTCACATCCAATTTGTCCTGGACAAAGTCGGTGAAGCCCATACCTTGTACGAAACCTTGGGGGTGAGTGGCGATGCTGATAAGGCCATGATCCGCTCCGCATACCGGCAGGTGTCCCTGAGCATACATCCGGACAAGGTGGGGCATTTGGAGGATTTGGATCTTCAAAAGCAGGCAGAGAATGCCTTCAAAGTTGTATCCTCAGCCTATGAGATTTTGAACGACGACAAGAAACGTGCGGAGTATGATCGAAAACTGCGTTTGACTGGGGCAACCTTCGGTAGTCGCTCTGGTGGCCGCTTCAACCTTACCAACATCGCATTCTTGAAAAAGTTCCTCAGCAAAGAAAAGGGTGGATTTGGATGGGACCTGTCGGCAAAGCCGCCTGGGGATTGGGAAGAACAAGCCCCGGGCGTTTATGTGCGTGGCAGTGGGAAACCCAAAGAGGCCGAAGAACCCTCTGAAACGTGACTCTTCAGACATCTTCAGACACATGCCAGCAGAGCTTAAAAGAACCGCCTGCAATTTCAGTGGAGTTGGTTGTGTATGTGCGTTCAGGATGACATTCATGCCACTGTGGGCGTTTGGAGTTGCAGCAATTCATGGTTACAGTATTCAGCTTGCATTGAAAACACATGAATTACGTAAAAACAGCTGCTCTGATGCAGGAGGTGTTGTGAACAAAGCAGAACCGCAGGTGGCAAGGAAGTGAGGTGCATTTAGAATTCATTTGACTGGATTCTGGCCGAGACATGTAGAACAGGCCGTTTCTCTTACAGAGTTTCTTTTAGGACCCAATAAAGTGTAGCTGTGCGCGAGGAAAGGCAGGGCTTGCTTGAACAGTGGCAAAAGAGCCAAGCCAGACAACACGGGCTTCCGGATGCGGGGTATTTCGATGAAAGATCAGGGCAAGATTGGGTCAGTGATGATGATGTTGATGGTGAAACAGTGCTAGATTGCAGCGAAGCATGGTGCCCACATCGCTTCCTTGAAAGGGCCCATGTTAAGATATGTTAAGATAGAGTGTAGTGTAATCAAGAAATTGTCAGCTGGAGGAGGCTGAACCAGGGGACTGTGAAGGTATTTGAAGTGTGGGTCCCATGACTTGTGCCACTTGTGGCAGTGCATCAGCTGGGACCTGAGGCTTCAAACACAGCAACAGCTCATGAGTGCTCTGGTCCAAGGCGGGGTGGGGACTCTGATGTGGAAGAATCATGAAGGACGCTGAGCAACAAGACCGCAACTTCTACACGCGGTAGATCGGGGGATTTTCATGGATGACATTAATTTGTATTCATTGATCTCATTTGTATTTGTGTATTAATCTTCATATTAATCTTCATCGATATTTAATATTCAGCAGTCAGGTGGTAATTTCCTTCAACTAATTCCATGGTGGCACCCCGATTCCAGGTGCTGCACCCATCGGCAACCCTCAGTTTGCAGAGCCAGGAGCTGAGACACTGCTCCAACTGAGAAGGTGTTGGAGGGATCTGAAGGGTACGAATCACTCATAAGCCCTAATAGTCACTAATCATATCTCTCTGCACACACCGATATGTGTATGTATATGTGTGTATATATATATATACATATATACATATATATAATATAATATGGAATTCCATGTATATATATATATATATACGTATATATATATATTCTCTCTCTCTCTCACTATATTCATTATATGTAATCATGATCATTCAGGGTCACTATGGTGCCTTCCACTTCAACAACAGCAACACACTGATTTACCCGCAGCTGTTGAGGATAATTTGCATAGAGAAAAAGGATCAGCTCCACGTTGAAGCTCGATGGGCCTGGCTCTACCAATTTTGCTGTCGTCTACCCTGGTGCTTTTTCTGTCCTTCCTTTTTGCGCCCAATCCGGAAATGATTCTTGGTCCTCGCTTGGGCCGCTTGGTTCATATTCGCAGGTCACAGGCGAAGTTGAAGTTTTTCATGTCTGGCGTGAGCACTGCCGAAGCTCACCCTCAGCTGGCTGCCCTAGATCATGTGGTCCAAGGGATCCAAGGGCTGAAAGACAGCCTTTCTAGCAGGGAGAGGCTTACAAAAGTCATTGACCTGGTGGATGATTATGGCTGGAATCATGGCTGGTTGATGAATGTTGGTGACGTCAAGGGGAAGATCATGGATGATGCGCTGCAGCTTCGCTTGGCGCAGGGGGACGTGAAGGTGGCGCTGGAACTGGGGACTTTCATTGGCTACAGCACCCTGCGCCTGGTGCGAACGTTGAATGACACCTCGGCCGAAATCATCACGGTGGATCCAGATATCATGGCATATGTGGCTGGGTTTCGCTGGGGGTCAGATTTTTGGCAATTTTCCAAACTTTTAAATAAACAGCTGCTGAAAGTTGAACAAAGTTGACCCACAGGTTCCATTTTGAAGCCAGTTGCCAGGCCGTTTCAAGCAGCATCTATGAGCAAGCAGGGGTTCGAGATCGCATCACAATGAAGACCGACTTTTCGGCGAACGCATTTCGAAAATTGAAACTTGCCAAATCTCCGGTCGGGATCGTCCTAGAATGGTTCTGCCGGAACCTCCCATTTGAGGGTGGTTGGTTAGTTCAAGTTCCGTGGTCACCTTTTGATAGCAGACATAGACTACTTGCCCTCCTGCTAGTCCCAAGGTGTTCCAATCTGCAATGGCTTGATATACGCTTCAACTTTGAAATCTTACGCCTCTGCGTGTTTTTTGTGGTTTCCAACCAGCTGCGAGGAAAGAGGAAGGCAAACAGATTGATTTCCTGTTCATTGATCATGTGAAGCACCTCTACCTCTCAGACCTTAAACTGGCGCTAGAGCTGCAAATCCTTGCGAAAGGCTGTGTGGTGGTAGGAGACAACATTCTCTACCCTGGATCTCCGGACTACAAAGAGTACATGCTTTCGGAAGGGCGCAAACTCTTCAAGACGGAGGCGGGTGTGATAGCCACTTGTGGGCGTGACGGAGGCTATTTGTTCTTATTGATCTCTTGGGGGGTTGGGAGCGTTAAATAAAATAGAGATAGAGAGAGAGAGATATGATATGATATGATATGATGTGATGTGATGTGATGTGATATGATATGATATATATATATATATCTGCGTGTGTAGGGGCGCTCGCTTCTGCACTTGTATCGTGTCTTGTTTCTCGCCACTGCCGGGGGCAATCTTGACCGACGAAAATGGGGAGAGGGAGAGAGAGAAGCAGCAAGATTTATCTACATGCATGTAATTTAAAATATATATATACACTGTTAAGCATATAATCTGTAGTTGTTCCACATTTTTTTGAATTTCATATCGCGTGATTGAAGATGAAGTGATATCTTGAGTGTTGGTGTCCAACAGCAGGTTTCTTCCCAATAGCTGCGTCAGGTACACAGCACTCACCTTGAGTACTGGCCCGATCAGCCTGATGAAGTGCTGGTGAGCACGTTTTTGGGATGAGAATCTTGCCTCGGCTTGCCTTCCAAGCTGTGGATGCTGAAGATGGAGTGGGATGGATGGCTACTTGGGTCGTTTCATTCTGGAGAGCCCACCTGTACAGGCCTCTGGGGCATGGTGTGCCTAGACAGATCACAAAAAAGATTGTACGCTTGAAGCGTGTCGAAACATGTTACAACTGCCGCGCCTCCAAGATGATTCACCTACAACCCAATGTGATTACCCTCTGGTAAACTAACATAACTATGGGAAATCACCATTTTTAATGGGAAAATCCACTATAAATGGCCATTTTCAATAGCTATGTTAAATTACCAGAGGGTACACACTGCTTCCTGATTACTGAGGCCGCCAGCGCCGCAATGTGAGCCACCGTTGATGTCACAGAGGTTTCCACCTGGCATTCGTATCGTGTAATGCTTCAAGATGTGTAAGCCGTGACTTATGCCTTTCAGGTGATAAACCACAAACTTATACAGCTTGATGATTGATGAGATGCTGAATCACCCCGTATATGTAATTAAAAATGTAGATATATCAATATATATATATACACATATATATATATGTTGTCTGAAGATGGGGCCCGTTGTCACCAGCGATGACACTCGTCAGGCATGTGCTGGCTGCAGCACTGGAAGTTCTTGCAGCGCGGGGCTATTCAGGCCAGGTCGCAGAATTCCACCTTTGGCCCTAGGAATCCGGCCGTGCTGAATCCTCCTAGTCAGGAGTAGAATAGCTGCAGTCTGATGGATTGAAACTGAGGCGATTGCCTGAAGATGCTGTTTATTGCAGTTTATTGATCCTTACTTATTGATGTTTAATTGCTGTTTGGCATCGCCTGTCGATGGTGAAGAACTTCTTGAGGGTTTTGCTTCGTTTGCATCTCCTCCAGTCCGAAGCTGGTTTCCAGGAAACCCCAGTGCAGATGCGACTCCACGGACGCGCGGAACCCAGGATATGGCTTTGCCCAGCATCCTTGGAAAGATACCCGGCCAGCAGCAATTTGCACAACTGAGGCTGGACATGATGAGCAGAGGACCAAGCAGTCTCAGCACCTTGGCTCTACCCCAGTTGCATCAAACGATCATGGAAAATCATGGAAAATCATGGAAAATCGCTTGGGGCATGGGATAGCCATCCGAAGCTGTGACCCGAGGCTTGGGCTCTGCAGGAAGTGCAGCGACGCAGCGAGACCGCTGATCCGCTGTCGCTGTGTTTGAAGTCTTTTTTGAAGCGGGAGCCGGGCCCGGCACGAGGCACGAGGTCTCCAGACTCTGCCCGGAGGTTCTTTCAAAAAGGGCTACCTCACCTCGAAGTTTTCAGGTTGCGGATGACTCATCATCCGCGGCCGCATTCCCATGCTTTCCACCTTTCGAAATTCGAAACGCTTCGCTTTATACAAAGCGGTAGGAGGTATAGGTCGTTAGAGCAAAAACTTGCAGAGAATGTCTGCAATTTTCCCATAGGCTGTGCCATGCGTTTGGCTCAATTGCCTTTGACGCAAGGAGCAGCTGCCATTCTCGGCCACGCAGCCAAACATCATGGCTAAGTCAACCCAAATCATGTGGCACTTGTCTGAGAAGGGCCGATATTTTCTGATTCAATGATGTTCAATGGCCATTTCTGTTGCTTTAAAAGAATCAAGCATTGGCTGGTTAAATCATGTTAAATCTATGTATATAGATGTTTGCCGAATGTCTGCTTGGCGAGAATGCTCACGTCACATGTGGAAAACAGGCAGATCAGAGCCCTAGCTCCCTGATTCAGCGCTGGATCCGCAAAAGTACAGACTCTCCGTGTGGAGGGGAACTTGGACTGGAAGGGAGTTCGGCTATACCATGGCTATACAATGGCTCTATAGCAAATAAATAGCTATGTAGTCACATGATGTCACATGAAACCATTTTTCCATTGCTGCTACTGATTGGCGCGTGTTGCGATATTTCACCATGGATGAATAGTGTTGATATCTTTGACATTTCTGAGAGGAGTCGTCCACCGGAATCCCAGCCACTTGCTGTCCCCAGTCTAAGACCATGGCCAGCGTGGCCGGGGACCCACACTCTTGGAAGGCCCACAGATCGGTTCACAGCGGTTCGCGAACAACTTTAGACTTGCAACGAAATCGCAAGGTCCAACTGTCCAACCAACCAAAAAATATCACTCGCAGCTGGTGCAAGCAGATGTGAAATGCGGCAATGCATTCAAGTGACCAATTAAACTTGGCCCATCGCAAGAAATGTTTGAAGCTGCCAAGGTGGGTCTGTGACATCATTCGACTCTCTTGCGGCTTTGCCTCTGACCTGATGTCCACAAAATGCTGGACCAGTCGAGCAAGCATTTGGAGATTGCTACTGGACCGGGAGTTCTGTCCATGCTCTTGCGGCTACAAAATGATTGTGCGACAGGAGGCTTGCGGCTTGCAACAAGGGTGTTTCAATACCCCATGTTGAAACATGCAACATTTGATATATGTTTCGATATGTTTTGATGATATTGTTTGCTTTTAAGACGAGTCGCTTGAAGATACAGTTGTTGGAGATGATTCTGTAGCTGGATGACTATCAAGGAATCTACGTGCGCAGTTGGGAACTTGTCCTGGTGCAGGTGTCAACCCTCAGTGCTTCAGATTTGCCTGGGGGCTGCAAGGTTGGTGTGGTCAAGGCGGGCTGGAATTGCTGATGCATGGGATATGGGTCCCCTGCAGGGGTGGAATCTAGGGTTTTGACCTGGCATACTGATTGCATTGATTCCATAGTCACAGTCCTTGAGGCCTTGAGGCTTTGCTTTTGTGCTTATTTTCACTTGCCCACCTGCCTTTGCGTCCAGGAAGAGTGATGGTGTGGGAGATGGTGCAGATCCCTGCTGAAGGCTCGTTGCATCTCCTTTTGTTTGTTCTGCTGTGGGTTTTCCATGGTTTTCCATCCCTTTCTGTCACTTGATCTCAAAGAGCTATCGGGGTCCTGCAGGGCTTGTGAGATGGAGATGGTCATCAGGTTCGAACAGGTTGCCTGCTGGCACCTGGCTAATTCAGCAAGACCCGCAGAGGGCAAAGACGATGAGGCCGAATGTATCCCAAAACTGTAACCTTGGCAGGCTTGAACAAACCTTCTTCATCAAGCATCATCAAGCGGTCAGTTGAAGTAGCCAACGGAAAAACAGTACAAACCGAGATTCTCCAGGAGAATCTCAAGTCTCACTTTCATCCCTGGGCAGTGGCTCAGAGGGCAGCCGCGCCAAAACAGAGAGCCGAGAAAGAAAAAGACTGCCAAAGGTAAAGCGACTGTAACTTATGATTCCAGTGATGGCTCTGACCTTCATTTGGTGATGTTTGGTGTCGGACTCCTGCAACATTGCCGCGTCATGAGGATCCTGCCATGCTTGAAGCGGGGAGGTTTTGTTTATTCGTTTCATCTACGGAGAAGTTTCAACCGGCCGCTGCTGCTGTTTCCCGGAAAAAGCTGAAGCATGGTATCACAAGACAGCCGCAGAAAGTATCATGTAAGAAAACACGCTTCTCGCTGTCAGTCAATGCGCTTCTCAAGCCATGGGCAACCAACCAATCGAATACAATCAGTCACAACAGCGACAAAAAGAACGGTCAGATCTGATTTTGTTCATGTCAGCCACGTTGTTCTTAAAGCTTTGAAGGAGGGGGACATCAGGTTCAAGTGGCCAGACAAGCGATGATGAGCATGGAAGCTGCAAGTGTTGGTGGATAAGGCATTTGGTACAGCTATGATAGCAGAATGCAGGAGGAGACTGCAGGCCTGCCTTCATTTCCCTAGACTCCAGCACGATGACAAGCAACAGCAATTCAGCCTTGGACATCATCATCATCATCATCATCATCATCATCATCATCATCATCATCATCCAGTTTTCAATAGTTTTCGATAGTTTCCCATCGTTTTCCTTAGTTTCCCAGCAAAATTTGCAGATGTTTGGTCCATTTCGCCGCAGGCGCCGCGGCATTTGTGCGCTTTGCCATTGCCCAGCGCGGGGGTCCGGTGCACGAGGCGGCAGAACAGCTAGGAATTGTCAATACGCTTTCTAAGCTGGTAGCAATAATGAGACAGCACAGCTAGCAACGTGAATGGGGTCCAAGGCGAGTTCTGACACGTGCAGTTCCAGCTACAAGTCGTTACGAATGCAGACTGTGCAGTCTGTCAGGTGGTGATTCGCACTGGTGAGGCGGGTGTCCAATCTGACTTTGCTGAAGATTCACCAGGATTCGGGCCTGAATCCAGGTCGCCTTTTTAGGACGAGCGCCTAAAGCCAGTGTGATGGTCCAGGATTCTAGCTTGGAGCCCAGAGGGTTGCACAGGTGCCGTCAATAAAATCGCAGGTGAAGTGATAGGTTTCCAGGCGGTGTTTTGTTGAAAGACCTCCAGCTATCAAGACAGCACAATCATGTAGAACCTATAGCACTATACAAAGGGAACTATAGGGGGTCCTATATTCACTTTTTGGAGTTGTGTTGATGATTAACTCTTGGTATACCAGTATACCACCAGAATTCATTCGTGACCCTACTCCCATTCGTGACTCTACTCCGCAGCCGTGTGAAAGCCCATGTAAACGACACGGGCCGGCACCTGAGCACAACGGCGGCTTGGCTTTCTTGGTGGGTGAAGTCTTCGGGTACCCAATGGCATAATGGGATGGTTTGTACTGTTTGTGATCCTAGACAGGATCACTTCATTTGTGCGCCGGTCTGAAAAATTTTGACCATGTCAAAGTTCTCACAACTGGGAATTACGTGAAATGGTTGGTATGGTCGGCCGGGCGTAGAACAAAGCCCTACGAATACAAGTCGATCATTTTTGTATCACTAGTCTTGTGACTCATGCCACAGGTTTTCTAGAATCATCACTTTGGCATCCCTATATACTGGGATCATCATAAAGCATCATAGAATAGTTGGGCTGTATCTTAGCCACCAATGACCACAGACAAACACATACACACATAGCATCACATAGCAATGATTAAAAGTCATAGTAATAACAACAACAGTAGCAAGAACGCAACAGTAAATGAAATAAAATATTAATAATAGTAATAATAATAACAACGACAACCATATATATATATATACAGAATATTATATATATATATTTATAATTACCTATGTATTTATAACATTTTAATATTCAATAATAACAACACTAACACATAAACAATAATGATACTTAATACCAATGCCAGGAGCAAGAGTAACAATAACAACAACCATGAGACGAATTACCTATGATTATATTTATGTCTTAGTTTTTTTGGATACATTTTTGTCCCTCCAGATGAGTTGAGAAACCAACCCTAGCGTTCTACGACAAGCTGAAGTTTTGGAGGTTCATGGCGTCCACGGCCGTGGAGACTCCAGCACCAGAGGTTGCTTGGAAGGTGGCGTTGGATCAAAAGCCTAGGGATTTTCCCATGACATGGGGATTTAACCAACCAATGTGAACGCGGATGGTCATCCCCTCGTTGATAATTTGATAGGGTTAATGTACCACTGTATCCATTACTAGGATTTACAAGGAATCTGATGGTAGATGTCCAGAGTCCATACGCCATACATGTACCATGTTTTGACCGTGATCCAGTGATTCATATGACTGGGAGGCTGCAGATCCATAACTATCAGCTGTTTCGCCGTGAAAACCAGGGTATTTGTTTTTGGATCCATAGTTAGTTGAATATCCCTCCAGCAATCTAATCTAAGGGAAAAGTCCAAATTTACTGGCAGAAACTGTGGGGTCAGTTGTGTTCACTTTTGGACGGCAGGCGACCGAGACATCCTCAGATGCCCAAGCGGAGGATTCCCAGCTCCTTACAAATCTTACAAAGGTCAATGCCTCCAAGGGTACCATAAATCACCAGCAATTTTTGAAGGGTTGGATTCAGTCAGGGCTGTCACCGTCGCCCACAGGAGGCTCCTGGACTTCCCCGAAAGGTCTTTCGCTTCTTTGGAAATGTGGGGCATCGTCCCTGGGATCTGCAAGTTGAGGTCTTCACGTCTTCACATTTCGGGTCATGTTGGATCGACCTGATGCCATACACATCCATAAACAACATTAAATTTGGGGATGGTATCATTAACCGCACCCACTCATTTACGGTGATATTGGGGGATGGCGTCGTTCCATTGGGTTCAAAACACTATTTGATATTAATTGCTTGAAAGTAGCTCCAACAATTCTCCGATTTCTGCTGGTTCAAAGTCCTTGCTGTGAGGTATAGTTGACAACATGAGCTTCGTTGGTGAGGCTCCCTCTCTTGGAAGCTTTTTTGCCGTGGGCAGGGGAGGCATTTTGTTCCGACTGCCATGGTTTCACGAGAATGTGTTTGTCTGGTCAGGTTCTTGTTGAATTCCTGGAGTTGGATAAGCATCCGCACCCTGGTGATGCAAACGGAGCCAGTTCAGCTTTGGGTGTTCCAGCACCGCGTTATCCCAACATTTGGGCTAGGAGAATCTCAGGGCAGAAGGCACCAGCTTAGAATCACGTCAAGCTGCCATTGCGACATATTGTGACCTGCATCTTGTGGCAGGTACCATCGAGAGATGGAAGACCTGAGGAAGGCACAACGGAAGAAACAGAAGACCCTGCAGCAGCAGGAGGAACAGAAACAGGCCCGCGAGGTGCGCCGACTGTGATGACTTGCTGATGACATGGGATGATGACCAGATGATTCATAGAGATTCATAGTGTCTTGATTTGCTCATGGTGTATGAATGTTCTGTTGTAGTCTTTGGCCTTTATCACGAAAGGTAGCCTAGGCTACCTGAGTTCTATGTACTTTAGTACTAGTTTAGTACTGGGGGAGGTGGCTGGTCCTTTCCCGGAAATTGAAACCCGAGAGTCACGAACGGAGACTTAGGGGGGGGGGCCCCCCCGTGCCATTGACGGTTGGCGTCGATTTTGCGGCACCACTTCTTGTGCATGTAGGCAGGGTGGAATGGGTTAAGGTGTCTCGATACATGTAGCGCAGCTGTAACCTGCAACTCTCTTTATACTGACTGGCAATACTGCATATAGGATTTATCTCCGGCGCCAAGCGCCACTTTCAGAGCATGGGTGCTTTGCATTGTGGCGCACCTGGTCCACCGGCCTGTCCATCGGCCTGTCCACCGGCCTGTCCATCGGCCTCATCGGCTCCATCGGCTCCATCGGCCTCATCGGCTCGGCTCCATCGGCCTCATCGGCTCCAGCGGCTTGAGCGGCCTCATCGAGGCTCCATCGGCCTCATCGGCCTCATCGGCCTCATCGGCTCCAGCGTCCATCGGCCTCATCGGCTCCAGCGGCTCCAGCGACTCCATCGGCCTCATCGGCTCCATCGGCCTCAACAGCTCCAGCGACTCCATCGGCCTGCGTCAGCTCCATCGGCCTCATCGGCTCCATCGGCCTCAGCGGCTCCATCGGCCTGATCGGCTCCATCGGCCTGATCGGCTCCAGCGGCTCCAGCGGCTCGAGGGGCCTCATCGGCTCCATCGGCCTCATCGGCTCCATGCGGTGCATCGGCTCCATCGGCTCCATCGGCTCCAGCGGCTCCATCGGCCTCATCGGCTCCACTATTCCTCCATCGGCCTCATCGGCTCGGCCCCATCGGCCTCATGGCTCGGCTCCATCGGCTTCATTGTCTCCAGCAGCTCCATCGGCCTCATCGGCTCCATCGGCCTCATCGGCTCCAGCGGCTCCATCGGCCTCATCGGCTCCATCGGCCTCATCGGCTCCATGGCCTCATCGGCTCCAGTGGCTCCATCCAGCGGCTCGGGGGGCCTCATCGGCTCCATCGGCCTCATCGGCTCCATGCGGTGCATCGGCCTCATCGGCTCCATCGGCTCCAGCGGCTCCATCGGCCTCATCGGCTCCACTACCTCCATCGGCCTCATCGGCTCGGCCCCATCGGCCTCATGGCTCGGCTCCATCGGCCTCATCGGCTCCAGCGGCTTCATCGGCCTCATCGGCTCCATCGGCCTCATCGGCTCCAGCAGCTCCATCGGCCTCATCGGCTCCATCGGCCTCATCGGCTCCATGGCCTCATCGGCTCCAGTGGCTCCATCGGCTCCATCGGCCTCATCGGCCTCATCGGCCTCATCGGCTCCAGCGGCTCCATCGGCCTCATCGGCTCCATCGGCCTCATCGGCTCCAGCGGCTCCATCGGCTCCAGCGGCTCCATCGGCCTCATCGGCCTCATCGGCCTCATCGGCCTCATCGGCTTCATCGGCCCCAGCGGCGTCATCGGCTCCAGCGGCTCCATCGCCTCCAGCACCTCCATCGGCCTCATCGGCCTCATCGGCCTCATCGGCTCCATCGGCCTCATCGGCCTCTTCGGCTCCATCAGCGTCAGCGGCTCCAGCGGCCTCATCGGCTCAATTGGCCTGATCGGCGCCAGCGGGTCCAGCGGCTTCATCGGCATGTCTTTCTGGAAAGCCTATTGCAGCCCGAAGCAGGCGGAATCAGTTGCGTCCATTTTGCGCCTATGGTTTGCTTCGCTGCCTTTTGATTAGTCTTGATCCATAGCCTCTTGGCTTGCGATATAGCCTCCAAGTGTCGAACGTACGGGGCCCCCCCCCCCATTCGATTCCCCCCTGGTCCGCATCTCTTTCTTTCTTTTTCTCTGACTATGTACTTACCTCCTTATCCATCTATCTATCCATGTATCTATCTATTTAGTTGTCTATCTATGTATCTATTTATCTATCTATCCTTCTATGTATCTATCTATCTACCTATCGATCTATCTATCTATTTTTTTTATCGATCTATTTAGCTATCGATCTATCTATTTATCGATCGATGCTTCTATCGGTCTATCTATCTATCCATCTATTTGTTTATTTATTTATCTATCTATCTATCTATCTATATCCTTCTATCTCTCTATCTATCTATCTATCTATCCATCTATCTATATATATATATCTATTTATCTATTTATCTATCTCTCTATCTATATATCATACATACATACATACATACATACATACATACATACATACATACATACATACATACATACATACATACATACATACATACATACATACATAAAAAACATAACATACATACATACATACATACATACATACATACATACATACATACATACATACATACATACATACATACATACATACATACATACATACATGACATACAGACATACGCACATACATACATGACATACATACATGACATACATGATGTAACATAACATAACATTACACGACTTAATGTGACATAACATTACATCACATTACATAACATTACATTCATACATACATACATACAGACAGACAGACAGACATATTTACAAACATACATGGATACAAAGGAGTTATCTGGTTAGTGGCCATAGTCAACTGGCCCCATGGTCTGCAACATACACCTAGAATCTTTTCTCGTGCATTGTAGAAGGAAAAAAAATTACGACCGAGTTTTTCTACTCCGCTCACAAACTCGGTCGTAATTCTGTGGGGCATTTGTTGGCTCTGAATTCGTCACAGCCAAGCAAGAAAGCAACACTGGACACGTCATACCACTTATAATGTTTCATAGCCATCCAAATGGACTGTCGTCTATGTATCTATCGCTCAAAATCTATCTCTCTCTATCTATCTATTTATCTATCTATCTATCTATCTATCTATCTATCTATCTCTCTCTCTTCTCATCTATCTATCTGTCTACCTGGCTATCTGTCTGTCTACCTATCTATCTATCTATCTGTCTGTCTGTCTATCTGTCTATCTGTCTATCTGTCTATCTGTCTATCTGTCTATCTGTCTATTTGTCTATCTGTCTATCTGTCTACCTGTCTACCTGTCTATTTGTGGTGCAGTGTCATTCAGTGCAATGTAGAGTAGTGAAATGTAGTGTGGTGTAGTGGAGTGTATCATGTCATCATGTCGCCGTCGGATATGTTTGGATCAAAGCATTTCGCCACTGGGTGTGCCACGATGAACATAAACGTTAACATCATGCTGACCCCTATTCATATCATTCGCATGGCACCTATCTCACTAGAATTTACCAAAGAACATAAAACATCATTTTTTCGGGGTTGCGCTTCATCTCGCCTCGATGAAGCACAACCAAGTGCTTGGGAGCACAACCAAAGTCATTTATCGCACAAAAATGAGCTTGGTTGCGCCCCCAAACGCTGGGTTGCGCTTCATCTCCCCTCGATGAAGCACAACCTTGGAAAATGATATTTTTTTTATCTTCTTTGGTAAATTTATGTCTTCCAGACCATAGATTATTTTGCCTGTCGAAAAAACTTGAAAGAAAGCGTGAAAAAACAAAAAATGTAACTCTTGTTTCATTTTTCCCTTTGAGCCTCTCCGTGTTTTTCCTTTCTTTTTTCTCCTTTTATTCTGCTTTTGTGTTTTTTAGATTTTGCTGCTTTGCTTTTTCGCTTTTCCGACGTTGATACTTTTTTCGCGTTTTTCGCGAAGTTAGAATATGCTACGGTCTGGATGACATAAATTTACCAAAGACGATAAAAAAATATCTTTTTCCAAGGTTGTGCTTCATCGAGGCGAGATGAAGCGCAACCTAGCGTTTGGGGGCGCAACCAAGCTCATGTTTGTGCGATAAATGACTTTGGTTGTGCTCCCAAGCACTTGGTTGTGCTTCATCGAGGCGAGATGAAGCGCAACCCCGAAAAATGATGTTTTCTGTTCTTTGGTAAATTCTAGTGAGATAGGTGCCATACGAATGATAGTAGTAGTAGTCGTAGTCGTAGTCGTCGTCGTAGTAGTAGTAGTCGTAGTAGTAGTAGTAGTAGTAAAAGTAGTAGTAGTAGTAGTAGTAGTAGTGGTAGTAGTAGTGGTAGTGGTAGTAGTGGTAGTAGTAGTAGTACTACGGCCAGGACGGATGTGCTGCCCGGGAAAGTGCGTTTTGACTGCGCAGGGCCAATGTTTTGTGAGATTCCCCGTGTCGTTCGTTTGGGCAAACGGATGACGAATTTTTCCCTCATTTCATCAACATCATCATCATCATCATCAGCATCATCAGCAACAACATCAACATCATCAACATCCCAATTGACTGTAAAGTTTCACGGGGGTGGGAGTTTACTATTCCCTAATACCCTTGTTGATCTTCCCAATTGAATGCAAAGTTTAACGGGGATGGGAGTTTAATATTCCCTAATACCTTGTTGATCTTCCCAATTGAATGTAAAGTTTAACGGGGGTGGGAGTTTAATATACCCTAATACATTTGTTGATCTTCCCAATTGAATGCAAAGTTTAACGGGGATGGGAGTTTAATATTCCCTAATACCTTGTTGATCTTCCCAATTGAATGTAAAGTTTAACCGGGGTGGGAGTTTAATATTCCCTAATACCCTTGTTAGTGGGAGAACCTCCACAGAGTCAACCCCTAACTTGGTTGACCCTCTGGAGGCCCCTCCACCGGGCCCACGTATTCGGAGTTCGGAACGTACTTGTGCAGAACAAAAAACGATACTTTATGTATACTTAGTAGAAATCACAAGGTCAACAACTAACCAAAAACATTAGTTTCTGTGGACCCGGTTGGACTTTATGTAAACTTGCTAGAAATCACAAAGTCAACAACTAACCAAAAACAATAGTTTCTGTGGACCCGGTGGGAGAGCCTCAACAGAGTCAACCCCTCACTTGGTTGACCCTCTGGAGGCCCCTCCACCGGGCCCACCTATTCGGAGTTCGGAACGTAATTGTACAGAACAAAAAACGATATTTTATGTATACTTAGTAGAAATCACAAGGTCAACAACTAACCAAAAACATTAGTTTCTGTGGACCCGGTTGGACTTTAAAATATGTAAACTTGCTAGAAATCACAAAGTCAACAACTAACCAAAAACAATAGTTTCTGTGGACCCGGTGGGAGAGCCTCCACAGAGTCAACCCCTCACTTGGTTGACCCTTTGGAGGCCCCTCCACCGGGTCCACGTATTCGGAGTTCGGAACGTCAGCGTACAGAACAAAAAACGATACTTTATGTAGACGTGGCGGAAGCGCCTCCACAGCGTCAACAACTAGCTCAGTCGACTCCCTGGAGGCCCGTCCAACGAGTCCACGTGCTGACAACACGGTATACCTACAAGAATAACGATTCACCAACAACAAGCACACAAACATTCCAGCTGCTTGGGTGAGCTTTTCAAACTCCAAAAGTTTCTTTCCAACCGATTCTTGTCCAAAATGCCTACCTTGTACATCTAACGTTAGAAATCGGCAAACTCTTCAACGCAATTTCCACGAAGTCATGAATCCGCTTGTTGATCTTCCCAATTGAATGTAAAGTTTAACCGGGGTGGGAGTTTAATATTCCCTAATACCCTTGTTGATCTTCCCAATTGAATGCAAAGTTTAACGGGAATGGGAGTTTAATATTCCCTAATACCCTTGTTGATCTTCCTAATTCAATGTAAAGTTTAACGGGGGTGGGAGTTTAATATTCCCTAATACCCTTGTTGATCTTCCCAATTGAATGTAAAGTTTAACGGGCCTGGGCGTCGTAGTAGTAGTAGTAGTAGTAGTAGTAGTAGTGGTAGTGGTAGTGGTAGTGGTAGTGGTAGTGGTAGTGGTAGTGGTAGTGGTAGTGGTAGTGGTAGTGGTAGTGGTAGTAGTAGTAGTAGTAGGAGGAGGAGTAGTAGTAGTAGTAGTAGCAGTCGTAGTAGTAGAAGTAATAGTAATAGTAATAGTAGTAGCAGTAGTAGTAGTAGTAGTAGCAGTAGTAGTAGTAGTAGTCGTCGTCGTAGTAGTAGTAGCCGTAGTAGTAGTAGTCGTCGTCGTCGTCATAGTAGTAGTAGTCGTAGTCGTAGTAGTAGAAGTAGTCGTCGTCGTAGTAGTAGTAGTAGTCGCCGTAGTAGTAGTAGTAGTAGTCCTCATAGTAGTAGTAGTAGTCCTCATAGTAGTAGTAGTAGTAGTAGTAGTCCTCATAGTAGTAGTAGTAGTAGTAGTGGTAGTGGTAGTGGTAGTGGTAGTGGTAGTAGTAGTAGTAGTGGCAGTGGTAGTAGTAGTAGTAGTAGTAGTCGTCATAGTAGTAGTAGTAGCAGTAGTAGTAGTAGTAGTCGTCATAGTAGTAGTAGTCGTAGTAGTAGTAGTCGTCGTCGTCGTCGGCGTGCTTGCGTTACAAACAGTCGCACCTTCTCTTGCCTCTCCTCCTGTCTTTTCCCCCCCTACCTTTCGTCCCCCCCCTCTCAAGTGTATCATACTTCATATACGTATATAATCGTACATATATATATATAATATATATATAATATATAATCACATGACATCTATTAAATTTCACGAGCTCCTGGGATTTTGTGATTTTTAGGGAATATTGGATATCAAGGTCAAGATGCAATATTTGGTGCAGTGTACGCGCACAAGGGTGGCACCAAAAAACCTAAGCGTCATGGTTTGCACGGGTTTGCACTGGATCAGCCTTCCATAAATGGAAGTGGTCAAATAAATCGTTCAGAAAAAATGAAACGGTCGGAAACGGTCGGAAACGGTCGGAAACGGTTGGAAACGGTCGGAAACGGTCGGAAACATGATCTGGCCAAAACTTGTTCAACCCGCATTTTTTTTAAAATAAGCATTTCCGCGCAACGCCGTTTTTTTTTTGAAGGTCCAAAGGTGTCCAAGGGGAAACGGTTGGAAACAGTCGGAGATCGCACCTTCGCTCGGCAAAAAAGACATGTTTTTACACAATTTTCAAACATTTTTCATGAACATATGCTACAAAACAACTACTTTTTTGCCGAGCGAAGGTGCGATCTCCGACTGTTTCCAACCGTTTCCCCTTGGACACCTTTGGACCTTCAAAAAAAAAACGGCGTTGCGCGGAAATGCTTAATAAAAAAAAATGCGGGTTGAACAAGTTTTGGCCTGATCATGTTTCCGACCGTTTCCGACCGTTTCCAACCGTTTCCGACCGTTTCCGACCGTTTCCGACCGTTTCATTTTTTCTGAACGATTTATTGGACCACTTCCATTTGTGGAAGGCTGATCCAATGCAAACCCGTGCAAACCATGACGCTTAAGTTTTTTGGTGCCACCCTTGTGCGCGTACACTGCAACAAATATTGCATCTTGACCTTGATATCCAATATTCCCTAAAAATCACAAAATCCCAGGAGCTCGTGAAATTTAATAATGACATCAGATGCATATATATATATATATAAATATTTTGAGATGACACACATTTTGAGATGACGATTGCTGTTTATGTTTTTCTTTCTTCTTCTGTTCTCTCTCTCTCTCAATCTCAGGCCGCCGAGATCGCTAGCTTGGAAGAAGCTCAGAGTGTTGACGCAGCGGAGACAGACATTCGATAACATGTGAAAACTGTTACGCCGTTGCGTTTGTGTTGATCTTCACGTTTTCAATGTTGACCTCCAAATGAAACACAGTGAACCAGCCTATTTGTCCAATTTCTTGTTATACCTCAGGTGTGACACGTTATGTAACAGGAGCAGGGGCAAATACTTAGAACCGCAAAAATGCAGAGATTGAAAGTTTGCAATGAGAGGCAAGCAGCCTAAACACATTGCCCCCCCGCTTGAGCTCTACCCATTTGAGTGGAGTCGATGTAACGATGTAGTTTCCCAAGTTCGCTGAATTCGGGGCGAAATGGCCCACATCGGACAGAACAGGATCGGAAAAGGCCAGGACCGCTGGGCCGCTGGGTGCTGCTACCGTGACTGCCACAGACTGCCACGATGAGTTCATCCGTTGACGCCGTTGACACTGCCCAAGGCGTTTCGTCGCAACATGTGGAGTTCTCCTTGGGCCGGGTGCCGGCGAACAAGTTGTTGCCTCAGTTGGAACGCAACATGGAAAAACATGGAAAACCCAGATAAACGCCCAGATAAAACGCACAGCTTATTCGAACATATTCAAACAACGAAAATAGCACTTGAGCGTCTTGGATCTCTTGAGGCGTCGCTGCAATTTGGCTCATAGTAGTTTGTTTCCCTTTGTGACAAAGTTCATGAAGTCCTGGGCAACGCTTTACAGCCTGATTCGAGTGGCCCATCCCACTGATTCGTTCACACTTTTGAGTCTAAAGATGAATCAGAAATCATCCACTTCACAAATCGCATGTGAGCCAAGGCGGGATTTTCAGTACTGAACCATGACATTTTTGTAGCCAAGTTCGGCCTAGACTCCTAGACCCTGGGGGCCATGGGTGGTGAAGCCTCGAAGGCTGGATACGAAAAGCAGTTGGGTGGAACAGTCAAATGTCACCGTTTTCCCTCAGTTCCATGATCCATGGATTTTCATGGTATGTTTAGACAGTCACCAACTCTCATCAATTGTGTTGGTGGTTGCGTTCATACCAGCTGGGGCTTTCTTTCGCCGGACCGAAAGGGGCAGCGCTTACCGTTTCCCAGCCAATGGAAAGGGAGTTTAATCCTCAGAAATCAGCGAAGCTGAGATGTGAAGGAGAAGTCTGTGGTCCTGTGGTGCCTTTTTTTGTTGCTGTTTGATGTGGGATTATTTGACCAAATCATCCTCGATTGATAGTTTTAAATTATAAACATTTCTACATTTCTTGATCTCCCATCCTAGCTGAACACTGGGATGCTCACAGTTGTGATGTGTGTTCCTCCAGACCTCTGGTTTCAAGGTCTGGAAGATGCCGGGGGGCCCCAGTTTCGTCATCTTGGTTCAGAATAGCAGATGATGCAGATGCGAAAAACACTTGGAGAACTGGAAGTCCCTGGAACTTTCCCAGGAATTGGGGTACCTTTAAGCAGAATTCACTGGATTCACCCCACAGGATCCCACAGGTAGTTCTTCAGCTGAACGCTCAGGCGTTGAAGGTGGTCAATGAGCAGATTCTGCCCCTCAGCACCGAAAACTTCGCATCTGTCGAGGCACCGCTAAAAGGTGACCCCCTTGAAATAGGTAGACATAATTCAATTATTGGTAGACAAGCTATTCTAAGCCATACCTAAGCCATATCTAAGCTCATCATTTTTGTTGGTTGATCCTGTGATCTGCATTTCTTAAGAGATGGGTGCAGGCTCCAATGGTTCAGCTGTCTCCGGAGATTTGGCATTTCGAAGACTTCTTGGACCATGTGACTTGCCAGATGACGGGCATACTAACTGGTTTATTGATGTTTATTGATGTTTATTGGGGATCATTACATAGTGGGGAGACTTCTTTACCAGTTATATAACCAGTTATTTATATAACCAGTATAATTTGGGATGGACTATTGAATGTACCATTCCCGATCCAATTGGTCCAAGAATCGCCCAAGGCAGAAGAATCGCTAGAACGATATCCGCAACTTGGAAAGCGGATCGACAAGATGGTTCCCAAAGTTCTTCTGGAACCAGAATTTTGGCGAGCCTAAGCTGCACCATAGACTGCTCCATAGACGGTCTCTCCAAGAATGCGCAACAGCCAATCAGAAAATAGCACTGGTGGTCAATAGGGATTCCCAGAATGGATCTTGATCATCCGCAACTTTTGGGTACTGTAAACCTGTCCACTGTCTAACCATCAACCTGATGATGACATGACAATTGAAACAGTCTTTATGGGCTACTTATGGCTACTTGGTCAGCTCAGTTGCAATGCACCACTCTGAGGACTGTTTTTTTGCCACCTCTATCGCGGACTGCATGCGAGCCCCCAGGCGCAGGAGATTACATGATTTGATTATATACATATGAGCATATTAATGAGCATTGCGCCAGGAGCTGACTACAGAACTGCTGGAAGAGGAATCTGACAAGACCTCCAATGCCATCATATCTTGCTTTCGAGAAACTTGGGTTAAACATATTTTTGGAATTATTTGGATATATGATATGATATGATATGATATGATATGATATATATATATATTATATTCATATATACTAGATACGGATGAGATAGGAGTTGTCGGAGGGTCCAGTTTTTTTGATTTCCCATCTCATGAGTAAAGTATTGTTTTTGCCTTTTGAAGGTGCCAAACTCCTATCTCATGTGGTTCTAGTAGTCATTTGAAGGATACCTGCATCAAGTTTTTACATTCCCACGGTTTATGGTTTTTTAATGCTACAGGCTACAGTTTGGACACATGAGATAGGACTTAGGGCTGATTTGGGGTATGTTCACATAACCCATGTGTTGGGACTGTAGCATCTATATCCCATGAAGAATTCCCATCTCATGGGTTTCATCCTGAGCCATTTGGCAATATGGTAAATGGCTAATGAACGTAACATTTTTTTTCATTTTCTCGTTGTTTCTCTACTGTTGTTAGCTTTAATAACGGGCAGCGACACGGCTCGCGGAGAACGGACAGCCACGTGTCTCCCTGTTTTTATTTATTATATCTATTTGAAGAAACTGAATGCCAACTTGCGATGTAACGCAGTCTTTCTGACGCCGAGCTGAGGATTCAGCCACCTTCAAGGTCCTGGCGCAAAGCGAGACGGAAGCCATTCTGCAGCGCGACGCGGAGGATGCAGAGAAGCTGGCTGCAGGCATTGCAAAGGCTGTTGCCAAGGGTGTTTTGGAAGCGAATCCCCCAGTCGAAGCCACTTTTAAAGTGGATGTGCTGGGCAAAAGTGCGGATGCAGTGGCTGAGGGCATTATTGATAGACTCGGTAAGGCCCCTGCAAGTGGATGTATCCTTGTTCTAACTGGCTTGAGTGGGACTGGCAAAGGAACTACAGTTTCCAAACTTCAAGCAAGCTTGCCCAATGCGGCAAGTTGGTCAAATGGCAATGTTTTCAGGGCTCTCACCTTGCTTGCAGTGACGCATTGTGAACAATCGAACCTTGAGTTCAAGGGAGAAGTGCTCACCCCGGACTTGTTGCAAAAGTTCATTTCATGCCTTGAGTTCAGTAAGTTCAATGGTCGCTTTGACATCCGAATATGTGGGCTCGGTTATGATTTACTGGTGTCAGAAGTGGCAAACACTGTCCTGAAGGAACCACGGGTGAGCAAGAACATTCCAACAGTAGCTGAGATGACACAAGGGGAGGTGGTGTGTTTTGCTGCAAAGGCGGCTGAACTGATGCGAGCTGATGGCATGAACGTGTTGATGGAAGGCCGTTCGCAGACGTTGGACTACATTCGAACCCCGCACCGGTTTGAGCTGACCTTGCCAGAACCTATCATTATTGGCATGAGACGTGCCGCCCAGCGCATGATGGGCAGTGCGTTGCAAGCCATTCGGTCTGCATCCCCATCACAGCGCAAACGTGCAGATATTAAGGAGTCACTTAACCTAGCCCTTGCCCAGATGCTTGTTTCAAGCATCCCTCAGGAATCCTTTGGTTACTCAAGTCCTTTGACTGCCACAACCTTGCAAAATGGGGATGACTCCGCTAGCAATGCCATCATCTCAAGCTTTTCGTCAGATTCCCATTTCCTCGTATTCTCCCAGAAGGAAACGGAAGCCATTCTGCAGCGCGACGCGGAGGATGCAGAGAAGCTGGCTGCAGGCATTGCAAAGGCTGTTGCCAAGGGTGTTTTGGAAGCGAATCCCCCAGTGGAAGCCACTTTTAAAGTGGATGTGCTGGGCAAAAGTGCGGATGCAGTGGCTGAGGGCATTATTGATAGACTCGGTAAGGCCCCTGCAAGTGGATGTATCCTTGTTCTAACTGGCTTGAGTGGGACTGGCAAAGGAACTACAGTTTCCAAACTTCAAGCAAGCTTGCCCAATGCGGCAAGTTGGTCAAATGGCAATGTTTTCAGGGCTCTCACCTTGCTTGCAGTGACGCATTGTGAACAATCGAACCTTGAGTTCAAGGGAGAAGTGCTCACCCCGGACTTGTTGCAAAAGTTCATTTCATGCCTTGAGTTCAGTAAGTTCAATGGTCGCTTTGACATCCGAATATGTGGGCTCGGTTATGATTTACTGGTGTCAGAAGTGGCAAACACTGTCCTGAAGGAACCACGGGTGAGCAAGAACATTCCAACAGTAGCTGAGATGACACAAGGGGAGGTGGTGTGTTTTGCTGCAAAGGCGGCTGAACTGATGCGAGCTGATGGCATGAACGTGTTGATGGAAGGCCGTTCGCAGACGTTGGACTACATTCGAACCCCGCACCGGTTTGAGCTGACCTTGCCAGAACCTATCATCATTGGCATGAGACGTGCCGCCCAGCGCATGATGGGCAGTGCATTAGAAGGCTTGAAGCGAAATCCCCAAACAGATGCCTATCATGCATTGAGAGATGCATTGTTTCGAATGCTTTATCCCTCTGAAGGGATATGACCTAGCTTTGCACACACTCGTGAAGCTGGCAAAAAATGCAACGCTTCTGCACATCCGAGTGGTGTAAGAAATCGCTGAGCGCCTGACTTGAGTACGGGAATGAAATCCCAGCTGGTTGGTGACCAACCACCAACCAGCCGCACATGACTCATTCCGCTGCTTTAGGTCTCCAGAGAGGGCTGGTCAGCCATGTGTGCTTGCTCGCGATAGGCAGGGTGCTTGTTTGACTTACACTTGTGTTCAAGTGTGCGGAGTGGTCATGCAAACGAACATGTTTAGTACGTTTCGAAAGGAGACCATGATCAGGAAACAATGCTAGTGAGCCATGCAATGACGACCTGTAGGTTCTCGTCAGATTTCCATGGCTCCTAGCAACAGCACATCTTGATACATGTCAAATTTGTGTTGCAGGTCGCAGAACGGCACAGGGCTTTGCAGGTCCGGATTGGTGAGATCGGTGCCCACAGTCAGCTCCAGAGATGAGTGAACCGTGGTTAACCAAAAAGTCTGGATATGTTTGCCCTTGTGCATAAGAATTCAGAATGATATTGATTGATATTGATATGGGTGGAGAACTGCAAGAAATATATATATATATATATAGTAGGCACCTCCAAAATGAGTTGCTTTACATTCAAGAAATTCCAGTGAGATAGATCCTTTGCCAGGCTTGGTCCTGATGGGCTTCCAGACTTGGTCAACATCTGGCGGCTTAGTCCCTTGGTTCGCGAAAGATGATCAACTCTGCTGAAACTGTTGGTTTGGATCGTTGGATGGGGCATCATTGCAGTTACAGTAACGTAGCTTTATTGTTACAAGTTATATGTAAGTATAAATTATATATATAACATAACATAATATAATGTAATATAATATGATATAATATAACATAACATAATATAATATAATATAATATAATATATATATATATTACAACATACACACACACACGCACACACACACACATATATATATAATATATATACGATTTTATACGCACATCCTCATGTGGGGATGTGCAATGATGGGGTACGCTCCAAAATGGCAATGTCACACCTCATTTGTTCCCATGATATAACCCAATTTAGCTGATTACCCTCTGGTAATCAAACATGGCATTTTCTTCCATTTACAGATGCTTTTCCATTAAAACCCCCATTTACTAAATGATTTCCAATTGCCATGTTTGATTTGCCGGAGGGTACCCCGATTTTTGCTGGTTGCCCCCCCTATGTTCCAGCATTTTCCGGTGAACCGGTCCATTTTTCGGGGATGCTCCAAGGTTCAGGCCCCGAGCTTTTGGAGGATGGACAGGTCTTCGCAACTCAATGGCAACGAGAGCGCCGGTCTACATTTTATTTATTCATGTAATTATCTTGTCCTGAGGTAAACCATTAGATAGATACATAAATAGATCACAGAAATGAGAACACACACACACATGGATATAATGTATAATGATGGTACAAACAGATGTCATTGGCCATGATACTTGCAATAGTCGTTCCAAAGATCCAAAGATCATCACGCCTCCAACGATATTTGGTGTCTCTGAGGTGATCCCCTTACGCAGCAAGAGCCGCCAAGTGGGTCAGAACGAGGCGATATCCAGATCCAGTGACCATCCAACATCGAACTGAGCTGCTGAGCTGCTGAGATCTGTGCAGGTCTTGGAGACCAGCTTGTTTCACTTCTACATGGACCCAGGCAGGGCGGCTGGCTGCGGCTGACCTGTGCCCTCAGAGTCACAGTGCCAAGCTTTCTTCCAGGCCCTGGAGGCAATTGGCCTCCAAGGCCTCTAGCATTGATTGGGCAAGGCGGGGTGCACCAGGATGCCACAGAACAGATGAACGATGCCTGCAGTGTCCGTGTGTCCTCTTTGTCAGGAAACGGAAGAGCAGAAGAAGACAGGAGCTGAGTTGAGTTCCTGATGGCATGGTTTACATCAAGGGTAGTTCAGAGATCCAGCTTTCTTTACCCTTCGGACCATTTTCTTGGGCCTTCCGGATCCTTTTGATCCGTTTCTAAGGCAGTCTTGCCGGCCAGAGTCCCTGACAAGCTGTGCCACCGGCTTGATTGGCTCTGGGGGTGGTTCCAAGCTTTGCAGGCATTGTTTCCTATTTTTTTTTCGCGCCAGGGCAGACTCTGACATCCTCCCAGACTGCTATGTGGGAAGCGCAGTTGAGGGATGTCCAGGTCCTGCCTTTCCTCAGAAGGCAGCATTCAGCTTGAGCCAACTTCGCCAAGGATCCCTCCTCTGGCGTTGGTCGCTGGAACTACCAGGTCCTGGGTCTAGATACTTTGAACACTTGAGGCTTCATCAAAAGAGCAGTACATATATTTGAACAATTTTGAACATATTTCACAGAGCCAGTGATCCCTGCCAAAGTGACCGAAAATCAATGCGAGTGGGAGACTGATACCTTCGAAGTTTCGCATCCTGCTGAGGCCAGGTTGGGTGAAGGTGGCTTGGGCCTGGGCCTCAGTTTGCGTGCGCGAACATTGAAAGACTACCGGTGGAGCTGAGATTTGCATGGGCTTGAGACATGTTCGGAGATTTTCGGGAAATTCCTGACTGATTCACCCAAATTTCCAGAGACTCGTTGTGTCAAGATGTGCTAAGGCATCGTGTACCGAGCATATGATTGCCGCGGCAACCTTGGGCATGTCGCCATCAAGGTCTTGAAGCATCCTCAACGAGCCGAGCCCTGAAGTTGCTGTTGCCCCTGGATCCAGCACAGGGTGTAGATGCTTTACCCACCAAGAGGTTAGTGCAGGTCAGCGCCGAGTTGCCAAAGTGGAGCTCTCTTAGAAGAGAGAAATGATGATGATTGATAGAATTGAGAACAGATTAAATCATATTAAATCATATTAAATCAATGATATGGTTTCTCAAACTTTACTTTTGCTTTTGATGTTCTGGTGACACCCTGTCAGCATTCTTATGGTGGTACATTCATCAAACTCTCACGAAGATAAGGCGTACTGGGGAAAGCAGCACTGCTTTGCAATGCATCGTGAGAGCCAATGGTGGGATCCCAGAAACTGCTCTGAAACACTCGAAGCAAGTTGCCTGGTTAAGATGGCCCAGAGTCCCTAGAGCAAACCACACTCAAGCGAATTTTCTGCGGATCTGTTGAGCAAGAGTGTTGAGATGGTTGGGGCCGGGGGGGCAGGGCGGAACATAAATGCAGGAGTGTGTATGTGTGTGCATCAGTTTTTTGGCTCTTGCTCTAGCAAATGTCTCAGGTCCTTACAAAAGATCCACAATAGGCAAGATGGCAGATACTGCCGCGGAACTCAGACAAGAGTGCAGGCTAAGCAGGCATCTTTTGAGCGCATCTCTTGTTCTGCCGCCGCAAAGGTGACAGACCTTTGAAACAACATGTGAACATATGTGAACTCTCCCACGTTTTGGTTTGAGAACTACACGAAAATATCGAACCAACACCATGCCTGCACAAACCAACAATACTACTTTCATTATGTGACGTCCACATCATCATCATCATCATCATCATCATGCCCGTGTGATTTTTGGATATTTTTGGTACGTTTTGCATTTTGGACACTATCCAAACCCGTTTAAACACACAGGTGAGAGTTCTGCCAAACTCTTCGCGAGATACTTGGAGGAGACAGTGCAATGTGAGTTGTTCTCGGCCACCGAGCACCTGTGTAAGTCACATCGATATCCGCAAGACTGGGAGGATCACACTGGGCTGCTCCAGGTTTGCCCAGGCATGTCCGCGATGTCCGCGATCTGGAATTTGGAGTTCTGATCTGAGCAGCCTTAATTTGATTTGTGGTCCCCTTGCAGCGTGAATGTTGAAATTTTGACTTTGGGTTTCCCTCGAAGAAATGTTGATCGTACATTTTCAGGGGATAAAGTAGGAGTATAGTGCGTGCAAAGTACTTGTCCTTGTTCGTTTGAGGTCCATACATATATATATATATAATTATATATATATATACAGCATACATATTGCATATCTCATGATATCACATAATTATATCACGATTATGATTAATTATATATGATTATGATATCATATGATATCCCATGTAATTCCTTGGGATTGAATTTGATGAGTGGAGATGTCATGGGCGACTCGGCCAGGCAGCTTTGATGAGCGGCGGAAACGCTTTGAGACGCCAGGACGGGGGTCCCAAGTTGTGATCCCATTCGGGGTGCCAAACGGATCCATTTTGGGGTGTTTTTTTTTTTTAAAGGATGTTTCACATTCTGACTGACTGGACAGATTCCGAAAAATACTTGATATATCTGGCTTTATGATTGGATATTGAATGATATTCATGGAGAGTTTTTGGATCAAAGTTATTTTTGGATCAAAGTTATTCATTGGATATATCAAAATCAACAGTATTTTTCATCATTCATCTATGAATATATATATATGATATATCCAAATTTTATATGATATCATATATGATATCAAATTCGCTGATTTTGCGGATCTTAATGGCCCTGGCAGGACTGGATTGGGAGAAAGATGGGCTGGGACCTGAGAAATCCGGTGAAAAGGTGGCCTTTTGCTGTGAAGATTCGTTGATTTTGAAAGGTAAGAAATGGGACATTAACATCACACATTAACATCACACAATAACATCATTATGTTCATTAACTATGATAATATACATTGATATTAATGATGATTGATTACTTTGATTACTAAATCTATTATTAATGTATCAAGGAATTGTAATGACATGCCATGGACGCATGGCACATGCCCAGGCCCACCGTCGTGGCAGCGCCCTATGTGGTCATGGAATTGGTTGAAGGTGAAGCTATGCACGTGGCCATGGACCGGGAGTGGCACATGCCCCAGTCGCGAACAGGGCTGGCCATTGATCAGAATGGGTTTGTCTCAAAACAGTGGGAAAACAAACAAATTGGATAGTTTAAACATATTTTACAAAAGTTTATCATTCTATTGATAGTTTATCCAATTATCCAACATGTTCCAATAGTTTATTATTCCATGTCTACAAATGATGTTCCTGTTGGGTCATTTTTCCCTTGTAGACGAAGCTACCTTTGTCGGTCGTGTTCCGGTTTCCCGGCGCCGAGGCGAGCTCCGTCCAAGCACGGTGTCAAGGAAGGGCCTTTGGAGGTGATGCATCTGAAACTTTGAGATATCGATGTGAGAAAATTTGGTCCATATATATATATATATATATCATCATATAATATCATATATCCATCATATATGATTCATATATCCATCATATATGATATGATATTAGATGATATACTTTAAAAAATCACAGAATCCACGGTGATCCACGATTTATTCTGTGAAAAAATCGTGTATAAATTGTGTCCAAAAAAAAACGCCAGATTCTAAGAGGTGCAGTGTCTGATTTTTGCAAAGAAGGGTTACGGTCATTTTCTTGGCGCAGGACCCACCCCCAATGACTGTCGAGGAAAAGCGGCAGGCAGCAAAGCTGGAAGCTGCCATTCTGTGATCGTGGATGCATTCTGAAGCTCGGACCATTTTTGTCAAACAAATTGTCGTTCCCCACAGGAACACGTTTTTGCGTCTCTGGCCTTCTTCCCTACCGACTTCCAGACCTTAGTTGTGATTTATCAGTAAGCTCAAGGATGTGTGTGTGTATATTGTGTATACATACATACATAACATAACATAACATAACATTACATTACATACATACATACATACACTATATGGATATACCCTGTACATAGATAGATAGACCCTGTATACATACACTTTGCTCTTCATTATTGGTGAACGTACTTTGCAGGATATGATGCTTTGCCGGTCGAGCCTGTCGCCAGGTCCTGATTCAGGCTGCTCGAGCACTTGAGTACTTGGCCACATTTGGACTCATCCACCGTGACTTTCGCGGCTGTGTGGAAACCCAGCATGTAACTTCCATGAACTTCCCATAGTTTCCCAGGCATTTCCCCTATTTTCCCATCGCTTCCCTTGGATTTTTCTTCACCGTTCTTCTCAGCTGGGCTAAGGCAACATGCATTTAGCCGAGCGAGCGGTGGACGGTGCAGAATGTGTTCTGAAGGCGGTTTTACTCCGATGGAGAAACAACTCCGACTATGAATTGGGGATGGTTCAGGTTGGTTCACGACTCAAATACCTCAGGCCCTAAGGGATCCAAGGGTCGGATAGTTTGAATTCAGTAAAGTTACGAAAAATTGCTAAAGCTACCACATGTGATCACTTTTTGGTGTATCCATTGAAGCCTGATTGCAGGTCCTGCCCAATTCAGCGACGCAGGTATTGGACCTGGGTGTGATGATCACCGATGAGGATTGGCAGCAGTGGGAGCCTCTGAGTTGCGCTCGAACTGACAAGTCTTTTAAGGAGTTCGACCAATTGTGGTTCTGAGGTCCAACACCAACGATGCAGTGCAGGCTTGGGAGTGACATTGATGTCCGTTTTCAGGGTTTCAAAATCTGTTTTCAATTGGATGATGATGATGATGATGATGATGATCCATTTTATATACCTTCACGACTGATTTCCATCCTGAATTTGTAGCGACAGGGTTCCAAGATCCATTTGCGTTTCCTGCCATCAGGCCTTCCGCCGGCGTGGTGAGACCGAAGAAAAGCGTCGACGGTACGATTGGCCTTAGACTCAGGAAGGGTGCGGGTTACGAAATGAACCCAGAAATTTATTTGATGGTCATATGTTCATTTAAAAACCACGGATTTCCCAGATCTTTCTCCCAATCCAAAGTTGGATGGCAAGGCTGCCGTGGGAAGTGCGCATCTCTGCGGACGGCATTGGGCCACCACTGAACTTCGAGAAGCCGGTGCGTTTGCCCAGGAAACGGATTCTCTCTACTGCTTGGTGGCCAAGTCATGCTAAGTCTGCTAAGTCTAAGTAGAACTTTGAGAAATCACCGACATCCAAAGCACATCTGTTGGATTGTGGGCCGGGTGCATTTTGTTGAGCGATCTTCCAAACTTCGAAGGCAGTGAATGTCGATGACTTCAGGTGCATTCCTTCGACATGTTCTCCCTGGGTGTTTTAGCCTTGCATCTGACCATCGGCCGTACGGAGGCGGTGGTAGCCGCTACATGACAGCCATCAATCATCAGTGATGGTGAGATGGTGAGATCATTCAGCAGTCATGATTTATGGCCACTAATTAAGATCTATTAAGATCTATGAACTATGTATTGATGGCATCACCAATCATGAATCGTTCTTGATGCTTGATTTGTAGCTTATGAGACGCCAAGAGTTTCCAGCAATGCATGGGGCCAGCCCTCGTGCCAGGCGCGTTCGAGGTTGAGCGCCATGGAAAGCGCTGGTGCAGGAAAGGACCCGACAGCAGTGGAGGCGCAGCACGGTTTTTTCAGATTTTTCAGCGCACATGGAATGATTGGGATGATTCCTAAAGTGGAGGTTTCCTGGTAGGATGGTTTGGAAATGTAGGAGTTTGAGTTGGACATAGAATTTGGTGAGAACATAGGTCGATCGGCGATACACCGAAAAAAATTGCACGGTTTGGTCGACTGTTTTCTGTCATGAAAGACCGCTCTGTGCCAGGTCATTGATACCAGCATGTTGGGCCAGGAACCCAGCCTCAATGGATTGGTTTAAGGGAAAATCTTAACCGGAAACCATAGGAAACCATAGATTTTCCCATTAAATATGGGGTTTTCCTCTAATTTTTCCCTTAAACCAATCCAATGACAGCCGCTTCTCCAACCATCAGCCCATTCCCGGCGATGTCAGCGGCAGCGGTGCATCGCCAGGTTTGGATCCCATGCTGCACCGCTACATGCTGGGACCTGTCCTGCTCTCAGGGATGGCCTCTTTGGGGGGTCATTGGTAGACATACACCTAGCCACGACATATATATATATGTTGCATATAATATAGTATATATAGTGTAATATATATATATATACATATATATATATAATTATATATGTATATATATATATATTGAGAGTGTATGTGTATATAGTATATTACGGTATATCACATGATAAATATATCTAAATCGCATAACAAACATCATCATTACATCATAAAACACCATGCTCACACCTTGAGGCCGCCCTTCGACCTGCACCCAGTGTGGTGGTCCGCTCCATCGAGGCCGACCGATGTTGATGGGATGTCACCATCTTTGAAGATTGATAGATTCTGATAGATTTCATTAGATTTCGAATGAATGACACTTACATTGAAATCGTGTCATATTACATACATATTGTAAGTGTAAGTGTCATTCATATTGTGCACATATTGCATGAAATATTGTGTACATATTGTCACATTACATAGATTTACAAAATTGATCTTGACCCAACCCGTCGTGGACAGATTCTTTTGACGGTGAGGCCAAGTTGGCGGATCCTCAAAAGCTGCCCCTGACGAGCAAAGCCAACGTAGGCGCCTCGCCGGGGACCGGTGGCGATTCACGGGTGACATGGTGATTCACTGGGGATTGGGATGATATGGGAGGTAATCTCATCCAAAGATGTTAGACACTCCCAGAAACCATGGTGGATACATATTTGGGACCATAGAATGGGAGTTTTTCATATTTTGGGGGATGTTTTGAGGTTGAAACTTGATGTTGAGAACATTCCGATGCGATGCTGATCATGGGTTGATGTTTGGCATTGAGCTACGCAGGCCGGCTTCCGAGAGGGAGGTCCTTTCCCCGCTGGTCTTTGCTGTCCATGTACACCGGTACCATTGTGTTGCGATGTCTTTCATGACAAACCAATTAGAGGCAGTGATAGGGGAGAAGAGATCAGTAGATCCTTCGAGCATGGTTAGGCATATTCATGGGGTTGATTTAAGGTGATTTAAAGGAATGAGGGGAAACCCATGATTTTGATCCTTAACATGGCTTTAAACGCGGACTGAGCGCCCTTCATCCAAGTCTGGGAGATGACATCATAGATGCAACGCCCGCTGGCCGTTGCCGTTTGGTTCGAGATGGGAGGCGCCTGAGGGGAAAACTCCTCCCTCGGTCACTTGCATGATTGATGGTCGAATAGGGAGACAAAGGTGTTTGCGATGTTTTCTGAAAGACATAGCGAGTTTTCTATAGTTTTCCTAGTAATTGCAGATATTGCAGTTTCTTTATTTGCTTTTTGGTGTCCAGTGAACTGAGCGAAAGACCGGGGTTGGATGCCCTGAACCGCGCGCACCTTCCAGATCCTTCCAGATGCTTCCAGCCGAGGTGCACGTCCACAACCTCAAATGAAAGGCGCGAAGCAGAAGCTTTTTGCAGAGTGGGCCTCCTGGGCCTTGGGGCATAGGATCTTCTGCAGGTCGTATCCATATGGCTATTCTTTACCAACTTTTGTATGCTGCAGCCTCAAAACGAAACGACATTTGAGAGCTGAAACTTGGCAAAGAAACATCACAGCAAGAGAAGCAAAACGAATTTGGACAACTCTTTGATACTGATGCCTCCTTGACCTCCTTGGTATTTGGTGCATGTCCTCAACTTTCTTACCACTCTTGAGAATGTTGACCAATCCTGATGGACAATGACGCACAAGAATTCTGAGGCCATTCTGGCAAATCTTTTGGCTGCTGGTAGCAAGGAGCCTAGCAGTGGAGCTAAGCTGAACAGTTTTGGAGGTTGTATTTGGACATGCTTGGAGTGTCCTCAACATGCTGTGGTTGGGATAAAAGGTGGACATGTGCTGATTGAAGGCTGTTTGTGTCATCTCTTCATGCGACATAGCTTCTAAGGCACAGAATGTCAAGCAAGATCAGAGGCGTGGGGATGAGATGTTCAGATCAGGAGCTTAGGAACTTTGGTCAACCCTCTCTCAGACGTTGGACATGTCAGGCAGATGTGGAACTAGCAGAAGAAAGAGAAATCGCAGAGATGGACGTCCAGTTGCTCCAAACCAAGGCGCGACAGTGGCTAACTTTGATCGACTTCAGCCATACTTCAGCCTTTAGGTTCTTGAGGCAGTCTTTTGGATATCTCTGAATGTGGGGTTGTGCCCGAGGTGCAGGGGACTATGATGCGAGAGGTCTGAAACTCTGAACATGTTGCTGTTCCAAGTAATTAGTCAACATAATCAGAGCCCAGTGGGCCATGTTACATCCACTAGTGGCATGGGCTGTCAATGTCTGTTTTGGTGGCCGTGAATGCTGTGATATGCCGTGATATGCTGTGATGCACAGCTGCACATCCACCTGAACTAAGGGACAAAGCAGTGTCCCGAAACGTGTTGTTTCAAAGGAAGGAGGCGTATGTTGGCCGGATGCCCAGATCAACAATGATCAACATCATGTTGCCAAAGGTGCAGCCCACATCCCATGCATTCCACCGGATGTCGACAGGTCAAATGAGGATTGCTGCCTTGAGGCTCTGGTCGTGCAGATGGCAGTACTGCAAATCATTGCTGCAGGGAGTAATGTATGCTACGGACATCAATTTCCACGAATTTCCATATGGCTATGCATGATATTGTATGATTATGTATTGTCAATTGGATGTATCAAACATTGGGTTCCCATGGGTTCCCTGAAACCATTCCATCCGATCGGGGTCAACAAGTCGGAGCCACAGACTTGTGACAGTGGAAGGGCTCACCAGAATGTAAGGAAGGATGATCTACTCCCCCAAAAAAACTATAAATCAGCTATTATCAGCTATAAATCAGCTATTATCAACTATAAATCAGCTATTATCAACATCAAACAACGGGTCTCCGGTCGTCGCTGTCTGTCATGGATGTCATGGTCCTATCAGACCCCACTGCCACTCCCATCCACTCCCACTGCCATTGCGCCTCGCTTCAGGACGCCGATGGTTACTGTCCGTTATTCTGCCTGCTTCTCAGCACATGCTGTGCTTCTAGCCTTTTGTTTAAAACTGTTTGTTCCTTCCTTTCTACTCAAAATATCTCAAAATCTTGTCTGGATTCTACTTCTGTTTCTAGCCTTTTGAGTACTTCACAGTACAACAGCATTCCGACACTTCCCTCTGAATTGTTCAACCTTTCAGATAGGTCTCGGACAGAAATTGCAGTAGCTGTGGGGGAACGCTGGCTTTGGTACAGCTAATATCACCAGGTATACAAACGTTCTTGTTAGTAAGAAAGCCGATCACATATCACAGCACTCATAGCACTGTGGACAAATTGCCTATTATATACAATTATTATGGACATACAATGTCAAACACACTTATAAGTTATAAGATGTTATAAGTATGTCCATATCACTTTGTTTCGGTGGAATAGAGGCATGCCAGGCATGTTTTTTTATCAACTTTTCAACCCAAAGCCTGGAGTGTTTCAGTCTACCGAGGTAAAGAAGGCACCGAAATCGACACCCACAACGCCAAGGGATGGGAGGCCGTCGCCTGAGACATCGATGAATCGATGGGACGGGGTTCCCACTGGGGTTTAACGCTGTGACGAATGTTCCTTTCCTCATTTTTATATATTTTTTTGGTGATCTTATCATTTCCACGAAGGTGATGATTTTTACTGATCAATCAGGATATATCATGATGAAGATTTTTTGAAATGGAGTCAACTTTTCTGAATCACTTTGAATAATCAAAAGGATCCACATTTTCCGATTGGAATTTGGCTGAACCTGAGGTGAAAGGCCAATGCATGAAGAAATGGCCTGGCTACTGCCGTGAGGAGCGCTGTGTTGCTCTTCTCAGTGGGTCACATGGGGGGACCATTTGGAGATGACATCGCCAGGACGAGCAGTGCAAGACGATTAGCCATGCGAAGGGCGAGAGTGGAGACCCCACCTATGTGCGGAACCTGCGGATGGGTTGATTTGTGGTGAGTTTTTTTGGGGAAAAGAAATTCAGGGGTTTACCCACGGAACAAAATATTTGCGCCGCAATTTATAGTTGGTGACTTGCAAAAATCCATGTTTATTCTGATGGGCTTACCCTCTGGTAATTTAACATAGCTATGGAAAATCACAATTTTAATGGGAAAACTCACTATTTCGACTGAGCCATTTTCCATAGCAAACTGTTGACATAACCAGAGGGTAGTGATGAAACCACAGCATCCCGTCATCCCGTGATCCACAACATTTTGGTGTCGCAACTTCGCGGCGACAACTTGTCGACAGCGCCGAGATCGGGAACGCCATTTGCTTTCGATCAGCTGGCTCGCTGGATGGTACCTGTCGGACCCATGGCGCGCAGGTTTGACACAGCCAGTTTGGGCCATGGGTTTGGGCAAAACATTCCATCAAAAGTTGGAGAATGTACTGTAGTCATATTGGGGAATGGTCATCAATCCAGCATGTTTCTCGGGATGAAAATATGGCAAAATCCACACAAGAACTGGAGGTTTCAATGGGAAGATCAACTATAAATGGATATAAATGGTGGATTTTCCATTGCCAAGTCCATGTTTCACCTATAATGTTTGGATTCCCATTCGATGGATGCCCTGGGACGACCGAGGAACGACACCATGTGCGATGCCATGTCCTGCGGCCGTGGAAGTTGCCGCTGGGGCAAATGCACCTGCGATTATGGTGTTGGCAGCGGCCCCAGGCAGCGTTTTCAGAAAGAGACCACCACTTCACCATTTCTTGGGGGTAAAGAGAATCACTTACTTTGGGGAGCAAGCCACTTGTTGATATACATGGTTTGGGCAAACTTCCACTGTTGGGAACAGGTGACAGCGTCTCTTTTTCCCATTTTTCCCCAGCGTTCATTGGAAGGAATTGTCCTGAGGTGGTGATCGATGTGACAAGTCTACAGAGGCCTGGTGTTTTTTGGAGTGGCACTGCTGCCAGACGAACATTGGATGAATAGTCAGCAACGCAGATAAGATCTGACATCTGCTCTTGCGGCTCTTGGATACTTTCATCAGAGACTAGAATCGTTCCATCCTTTTTTTCTCACAGCCAGATCCAGATAATTCCAGATACACCATGATACACCGCTGTTTTTCAAGGCTTTTGCCTTCCTTCTCTATGGAAATTCCTCTGAGAATTTGATCTCGGTAGGGAGCTCAGCTGGAGAATCACCAGATCATCTGATCGCCCTTGCCGGTGAATTGTTGCTGGTGACATATCTGATGTTCTGCAGTGTTTTCTGAAGTAATTATCCTCTGGTAAATTAACATAGACCCTGAAAATAGCCTAGTTTTAATGGACACTAATCTTCCAACCCCTATCTGCCAGGGTCTATGTTAATTTACCAGAGGGTAAACTTTAAAGACCCGCAAATCGTAGGGACTTATCAACATCTTGGGGCCAAAAGAAGTTGCCTGAATTCGACACAGTGACAGTGGAAAAAGCTCAAGACCAAGAGAAACCAAACAAATCGAAAGAAACACGCATGACAATCCCCTGATAATTGGGACACGTATGATCTTGTAATCAAGACAGGATAATCGTTTGAAAGAGAAAGCTGAGATAAGATCATTGGAACGTTACACATCAGATCATCCCACTTACCAGAGACTATCGAACTATTAACATAAAGTATTCTAATTACGACGAAGTAATCCCTCCCCCAATCCAAAACGACTCCCTTATGTTATCTTATGTTTAGTATTGAATCATTAAGATGTGGGTTTGGATTTAATTTGGACATATCCATATCAGATATATTCAGATATATTCAGATATATTCAGATATATTCAGATATATTCAGATATATTCAGATATATTCAGATATATTCAGATATATTCAGATATATTCAGATATCATATAAATATCCCCATTTCAGGACGTTTTTAAAGCTCCATGGTTTTACCAAACACCAGCAAGGTACGAGTGCTGGTGAAGTCTATGCGAGCGGCTGGTGCCATCCAGGTCGGTCTGGGGGAACTGAGGACTCCAAATCCATATTCAATGGATTGGTTTAGGGGAAAATTTACAGGAAAACCCAATATTTAATGGTAAAAACCATGGTTTCCTGTAAATTTTCCCTTAAACATCCTTAAACCAATCCAATGACATATAGAAACAATGCAATACTAACCCCACAGAGAACTTATCTCACGTGGTTTCAGTCGGATTTTACTTTGAAGATCTTTGAAATTTCTTTTCGCCTTTTCGCCATGTCCGTCCTTTTGGGGGATCTTTTGGTTACTATACCCAAGAATGGACGGTTGATACTGAGATGTGCCAAGAAATGGAACATCAAAATCTGCTGTACTTCCGACCTATACCCATATGATGGGTTCTATGTGGGTAATGACCCGAAAATGTCCGAGCACGTCAGGTTGGTATGTTTTTTTTTTTTACAATTTTTTGCAGATGCTTTTAAGTCGAGACTTACAACAAATCTGAGCAGAGGAGAGATCAGAGACAATGAGTTTGAAGGAGTTTATTGAATTGACAATTCTCATCATGTGCAGAAATGTTCAAGTATGGCGCCACAAGAACTGTACATGGTCTGACACCTGGTTTTGAGTGCTTTCTCTTGGAACAGTTCAGATTCAGTGCAAAGAACTACCCCCATAGTCCCATAGTAGCGTTGTTTCATCGCAGGACATTCTGGCCATTGTCCCCAAGAACTTGATAGCCCTGCACCTACTGTGAAATTGCACGTGACAGCGAAAAGACTTGGATTTGTTGATCACTGATAAAGACAGGAAAGCAGAACACGCATTATTTCTGTTGCGGCCGGCAGTCATGTTCTATTGGAGCCAGTTGTTTGTTTTCCTGAAATGAACTTTTGGCATGTTGAGAAATGAAGCCAACTACATATGCAAACATTTCTATGCAGTCTAACTGGCAGAAAGATGGAGAAAGAGACATTAGCAGCCCCATTCCGCTCCATTCCCAACCTGAACAATGTCACTCAGCATTCTAAATGAGGCGTGGGAAACATTTCTAGTTCTTTGGAGAATGGCAGTCCTGGATGCATGTCCTGCAAATCAGCACCAAGGGAACGATTCCACCCAAGCATTTGGAGATTCTTCAGTGGGATGGTGTCAGCAACTGAGAGGGGAAGTCCGCTCTTGATCAGCACCAATTGCGCATTGTTTGCACCAAAGGGCGAAGCTTACTCCACGTCCTCAGGATGTGTTGCTGATCGATGTGTACATGTATGATATCCTTAGAGACTTATACAGATACATATATATATATATAGATTAATATAGATACAACACATACATCAAGGCATACATACAGTCTATTATGTGTCTATTGTGTACATAATCCGTCTTTACTGCTGTCACATCTAGCCTGGTAAGGTGAAGATTTACCCCACCGACCCGATTCCGATGCCTGCAGTCATGGATGCAGACCCAGCAACTTGGTAGAGACGATGTGCCAAGCCTGGATGATTTGATGATGATGATGATGATGATGAAATACACCAATCTATCCAAAACTATTCATTTGTCCAAGACCAAGAGCGATTGGCAGCTGTTTGAACATGACGCAGCAACATAGTCACTGATCAACTTACTTTTTTCCTATCTAGTTTTTTCTTTCCAATGTGTTTACAGCCTTTGTTGATCTTTTTTGAAACTTCAACGACACGTGTGTCAAACAGAGCCACAGAAAGCACGAGCGAAGCAGACAACTTCAAATAAAAGCTGAACGCCGGCCTCTAGATTTCGAATTTGGCAACGAAGAAACTACTCTAGTACAACTTGTTTCTGAAAAAGTTATCATGGAAGTGAAGATACAGCTTTGGTGGCTTGGTATGCAACCTTTCCATACCTTTCTCACACCAAGGTGATCCACAAAAGATGGAGTGGCGTCATGAACAAATTCGCAGTCTGGGCCACAATGTGGGCACCAGCAATTCCAAAATGCCAAGTTATCCAAGTTGCATCAACTCGCGGTTCCTGTTTTTGGATGATGAATCATTGACGATCCTTTCCGATTGTGTCCTATCAGGTTTGGCGGATGACCGAATACTCCCAAGTAGCTTTGTTGGATACCGACATGGTCTTCGATGTTGACTCAGAAAGTCTGCTGCTCAGCTCACTGGCAGTCCATTGGAACCGCGACTAAAATGGCTCTGAGTGAACCTCCAGAAGTAGCTTGGTTTTCACATCAAAATAGCTGGTAATTGCGGATGTTCATCCCGCCACATATAGGAAAACCAATGAACATCTTAGGATTTGAGCCACATTTTTCTGCAGGCCCCGGGAAGATTTTCTCCGAGTGCAGTGCGCCTTTGTGTGCGGTCCGTACCATCCTCAGTGAAGCTGACAGGCGCTGGGTAGATCTGGCCAGATTTGGTCCATCCCGTTGGGAACTTAGGTGATGGAGACTCGCGGTTCATGAACGCAGGCCGGACTGGGATGACTGGGATGACTGGGATGACCTGAAAATTGCTGGCTACATCTCCAGTTCTGGTGGTAGAATCCCCGTTTCTCTTGGATGTCATCAATTTTAATTGCAATTCCCACTTCACTGATTTTGCCTTCACACTTTTGTTCATGAATCCTCATGGTTTTCCCGTGATTTTCCCATGGATTCCTACGTTTTGTTGGTAGAATCCCCAGTTGGGTCACTGATCTCCCAGGCGTCATGGTCATCACTCCCTCGTCACAGCGATTGGTGCATCTTCTCCAGGTGCCCCGTGGTGCCTTGTGGTGCCCCGTGGGGAAATCCATAGATTTGAAATGGTGGATCTCAGCCCCCAGAAATATGATTTAGATTTCATCAAGTATCCATATCATGGGAAAATATGGGAAATATGTCATGTTTTAAAGATCTTTTGATGGTTTTTGATGCGTTCGGAGATGATTCTTACCTGCTACACATGGTATTTTTTTCCCGTGGCCCTGATGGATGAGTGGAGTCGAGGGTCTGGGTGCTTATTTTTCAAAGAACTGAAATAAGGTCCCCTTAGATTTGATGGTCCATCATCATTTTCCCCATAAGAAAATGCAGGTAAAATTGGGACAGCCGCGATTTTCAGAGAATCCACATGGAAACAGCGTTGATATGACCCGAGTTGGACAGATATCTTCCACTGATGATACTGATGGCTCAGGTCTTGGCAGATGAGCAGCATCATTTTGCAATGCCTGAGCAGCAGGATCCTAAGATATGCACCATCTTGCGTGATGGAATGGTCATGGCAATTGCTGCCTCCATCTGACTGGGAACCCAGCGTTTGGGCCCATTTGAATTACGGTTGGTCAGGTCCTTTTTGACTCAGTACTGCAAGAACAAGAAGTTCAAGATGAAGTTGCAGTCGCCTGGCAGATTTGGCAATAGGATGGTTCCATTCTATGGGCCCAGCAGATTGAATCTGAGATCCCCAACTGGGTGCTGTAAGGTGAGATGGACAGGAGGTTTGAAGCGGCAGTAGCTGTGATTTTGAGATTGAAAGCCTGAAAAAAAACTTGGCTTTTGTTCGAGGCTCAGCCAGTGATGGTTTTGGGACTAAGGTTTCTGGACAAGAAGTGGAACTCCTGTGTGCGGGACCTCAAAACTTCAGATCAGTGATCAGGTCTGGGGGGCCCGAAAAGATCCCAACACGGATTGGTAGTTACCAGAGGGCCAAAAAGTTGGATTGTAAGTGCTTTTTATGATATGTATGTCAACTAAGTTGGTTTATAATGGGATTTTAAATTTTAATCATCAAATCTTGAACACATCCCGGTCCGAGCATTCTCCTGCATACTGGAGCACCTCCGAAAACATGGAACATTGACTTTCATGTGCCAGTTGACATGGTTAAAAGGTCTGGAAACCAAACGGTACCCAAAGTCATAGCTGCTATAGACCATCCTTTGGAATAGATTTTCGCCCAAAGATGGCAAGCGCGGGAACTCAGGTGGGTGGCGGCATGCTGCACAACACCGGTTGGGAGTCAACAGGTCGAGACCTCAAGGGTCAGTCAACTCATGATACTCGTTCTGGCACTCCCAAAGCCATAGCTGGGCCGGTTGACCAAGGCTACAATGTGCTGCATTCCTGCTCATGGACAGGGAAGCCTCCGTGCCCCAGCTCAGCTCAGCACCAGCCACCAGCTTAAGAATCTTAGCCCTGCAGCACCGCTAAGCTAAGGAATATGAAGATGTGCTTCCCTGGGCACTGCGACAGCAATCAGGACCATGATGGTCCATGGTTTTGAACGTATCTTCCAGCACCAGCTTCAAACCATTTGATCTCGGGAGACTGAGAGTAGAAATGTCAGCAGAAATCCACTGGAAGCTGAAAAAGCAAAGATGGAAGGAGTGGCACACGGTCTTGGTCTGGCAGTTCTTCCACATGGAGGCCCGGTTTCACATCATGGGACGGCGCATATATATATATATACGTATATATAAAATTATATAAATATGTGTGTATGTATAACATATATATATATATATTATAATATTTGAGTACTTTCCAAGGGAGTTAGTCAGGCCTCTTAATTCTTTGTAGCCCCCAAATTCCATGGGGATACGGTATCCAAGGTGACTTTCGGTGGATTTTTTTCCTCTGCAAAGGTGGACAGCTGCATTCGACATGCGGACGAGGGTCCTGGGCTCAGCGCGGGAATGATCCAAAGTTGTTGACCCAAATTTGGACCGTGGGTACATATGTCAATTATAACAATAATATGTCACTATGATCTATTATTGTAATGTACCATAATTTACTATTGTAATGTACCATGATTTATTATTATTATGTACCATAATGTACCATAATGTGTCACAACGAACCCACTTTGATCATTTTGGTGGGTACATTATGACACATGATACCATTATGGTTACAGCCCCTTTGGCTGTAGGCAATTGCCACAAGAATTCATGCCAGTGGTTCCAAGCTCAGCTCGGTGATTCCAGGGAGGTCAAACGCTTCAACGCCTGGTGGCTTGGGACGGGGCGGGGCACCTCCCAGGTGCGGAAAGTATTGTGGCACCAAAGAGATCGAGTGCAACAAGAAACTCTTCAACCAGACCTACATCAAGGAGACAGCTGTGGATGGCTGTGGCTAGGGCCGCTAGGGCATGTGAATGCGAGGTCAATTCGACAAATCCAATGCTGATTTTCGGTTTCTTGCACTGATCTACGATGTACAGTAAATATAGACTACTTGGATCATGTCAGACATGTCAGCAAATGCAAGTGGCCAGTAACCATGGAATGGTTGCAATCAAGTCATGTCGCTGTAATTACAACCCGTTCAGTTGTATATATAATTATATAGACACACACACACACATATATATATATGCATGTATATATATATATATCAATATACAACCCAATTCAGAGGCAAAGAGGCAGCCGCACTGACTACTGCAGCCACTAGCTACAGGACAAGGACGAGCCTGACATCCAAGAAGCAGCACGACTGGGTGCTCTCACGCGCAGTGTGTCTGACGGCTCAGCGAAGCTGTCAGATGAGAGAATGGGATTTCTGCTTGGGATGGAGAGGTTCATCAGACAGTCCAGGAGTCTAAAGTGGAATCCTTGTTCGGCAATCTCCTTCAGAGCAAAAGATTGGTATAGGTTTTGCCCTAAATTAAGTTGTGATTTGGGGCATGCAAGAAAGTGAGCCATGCCCAAGTCATAGATGTCATAGCACTTACATAGCCAGATGCAGCCAGAAGCAGCCAATATCACATGTGCTGGAATTCTGGTGTTACCTACTTGGTCTTCCTGGATTCATGGACAGCAAAATATGAGCACCGAGCCTTGCAGGTGGGATATGCCAGAGAACACCTCGCAGCAGGACAGCAAAACAACAACAGATGACAGATTTCATCAGACTTCATCAGCTTCAGTGGCTTCATCTGTTTTTATGCAGCTATCGACCATGGAAGGAATGGCATAACCTGCCCGTTGGGTCCTGGGCCTGGCCACAGGCGATCACCATCAAAACCATCCCTGGGATCTATGGAGATTCATCCAAAAAGCCTGGGTTTTGACATGGTTTGACCCAACCCAAAATGGTACTATATGGTTTTGATATATCTATAGTGATATATCTACCAAAATGGTTTTGACATGGTTTGACCCAAAATATGGTGAATGGTGGAATCGGAAATGGCCGACTGCAGTTGCTGCAGCTTTCATCTCCAAACATTGAAGCCGTCGGCCACACAGGTGGCCATGTACCAGATCCTCATCGATCGGTTTGCCACGCCTCACCCACAACACTGTGAAAAACTGCCACTTGCCAGCAAGATCCAGTAACAAGATCCAGTAAGATCAGCAAGGGCAGTAGATGAATTGAATTCCGCAGAGTTCACCGAATTCTGTGTCAGAATTCCGCAGACAACCAGGGATGTTTCTTGTTGACTCTTGACTGAGCCCCAAGACAAAGAATGCCACATGATATAGCATTCCACATTCACATATTTTTTCATTCCTCAAGGAAAACCCTACATCTGAAATTGTGATGGGTCACTTCCCATCAAGCATTTTTTTTGGGGGGCCAGAAGATTCATAATTGCCAGCGGTTTGGTACCCATGGTTTTGGTCCGTAGCCGATCGTCATAGCGAGGAATGAATACTGCGGCGGCAACCTGCCTGGCCTCATGGAGAAAGTGAGTTATTTGGAGGATGGGTCCGATGGGTCTTGGAATGGCATGATGCTTAGTTCCCAAACATCGAATCTGGGCAAGGCACATATACACACACATGTTGATTCTCTCCTTCTCTTCAGTCCCCTTCAATGCTAGTGCTGCTAGTATCTCATTGTCATTTTTTAACCAGCAGCTTTCGAACAGCGATTGGTTTGAATTGAATTTTCGCTGCACAGCAGCTGTGTCCTATCTCCAGGAGCTTGGGGTGGACGGCATCGTCCTGTCTCCAGTGGTGGATCAGATGCCGCATGGCTACCATGGCTATTGGACAAAGGATCTCACCAAGGTGAATCCAGCCTATGGCACCGAGGACGGGACAAATTTTGGTGAATCCCTGGCCGGAAACCCCTATATAATATATATATATAATTATATATATGGTAAATAGCCGTAATAGCCCCATAGGAACCCTGAATCTCTTGGATCTATTCATTTTTTGGGCTTTTTTTTTTTGTTGGGAAGTATTTTTGTTTGGGGATGGGAGAAATTAACATAGGCTTGACGCAGCAATGGCCAGGAAGATGTTCGGCAGTTGGTGATCCTTCTGCATGAAAGAAGGATGAAGGTGATCGTGGATGTCAACATGACTCTCGGTTTGATAGTTGCTGTACACACACAGTATATGTATATCATATCATAACATTTTGCATTATACCATGTAGACATATCTATCATTTATGTTATGTTTCGTCACTGCTAAAATGATTGCAGATCAAAACACTTTTGCCTGAGGAATCACGCGGGCTCTCAGAAGGTTAATGCCAGCAATCCTCGGGATGTGTGCAGAACTTAGTGTGAGACTTGCGGTTACCCTCTGGTAATTTAACATAACTATGGAAAGATCCACCATTTTTAATGGGAAAATCCACTATAAATGGCAATTTTCAATAGCTATGTTAAATTACCAGAGGGTAATCTGAAAAGATGCAGCTGAAAAGGCTCTACCGGAGGAAAGACTGGGAAAGCCAGTCTGGTTGGTGATTGGAGAAATTGTGAAAATGTAGTCTGGCTTTCATTACCACATATTACCACAGACTCATCCGAGCAAGTTGGCATTTTCCAATTTTTTCCTACACCGTTTCATCGCTCACGTAGACAACCATCAGCAGACTTGTTGACATCGTTGTAAAATCATGACCATCTGCGCCCTTCAGTTCCTCCTTTTTGGCTTGGGAGTGTGTGAAACCCAGGTCCATCCTGAAACCTTTCAACAAGCCAGAGCACTACCACTCTGACAATTGCAGACCCAAACTCAGATTGGTAGTGATGGATCCTTCCGACTATTCCACATCAGCAAAAAAAAACAGCGATGTATATAGTATATATATATATGTATATATATATATAATGTATATATAACATATATATATATATATGTCTATATGCATATATATATACATGCATATGTGTACATGTGGCGTTTGAACGGAGCAGACCGGTTTTGGTTCAGTTTCCATCGTATTCTTCTCTCACTGGAGGCCTTATCCATGATGCTGACTATGAGCGGGGCTCATATTTCCTGGAACGTGGATGCCTTACCAGAACTGTCAACGACATGATTGATTCTCTTGTGCTTTGGATAAGTCTGGCAGTTGGGTAGCCTTCTCAACTTCGTGCCGTGGCTGAGACTGCAAGCTTTACGGATTGCCGGACTTCAACCATGAGAATCCCATCGTGTGGCAAGGGCTCATGCAGTGGGTGTTGCTTGGCAAGCTTGAGGATCAAAGGTGTGCATCGAAGATGTTTTCGTATTGTGGTCTCGCTTTTGAAACATCGTGTGGAGGATGATCAACAATGCATGTATCATTGGGGTTGAAACCACCATCCAGGCAAAAGTTTCAGTAGATGCCACAGCCAATGCAGCCATGATTAGAATCCAAGGCGTGACCATGTTGACAAGTATGGCTTTGATGGAATCCGTGTTGATGCAGCAAGACATATCAACAGGAGAAGTCGTGGGGCAGTCTTTGGTGGTACCTTGCTGTACACTTAGATCCTTTGCCGCTTCTATATTTGTGAAAAGCCAACCTCATACAATACACAGATTCTGAGAGCGAAGCCGGCAAAGCCCTAAGACATGTAGACTCAGACAGGGGATAACGGGGACCAACGACTAGTGCTCCCTTGGTGCACTTGCAACCACCACTGGCAACCACCAGGAATTTCCTGAACCATATCCCGGAGACGGGTCCGCCCATTCCTGCCTACTACGAGGCCTCACAAATGATGATGTTGATGAATGACACAGTAAACATGTTTGAAGCACTGGTTGGAAAATCAGATGAACCATATGTTTTACATGCATTTACACACATTTTATTGAACATGCTGCTGAATGATGCACTTTTAAATGTCAAATCGTTGGAAGCTGGTCCCAAGGTGGTGAACACTGACATGGCATATGTGGCTGGCTATGCCACCGGCGACTATGGCGCTGTTTACAACTACCCCTTGTACTTCGTTTTGAAGGAGCAGTCTGCTTTTTGGAGACAAACCACTCAAATCTGTTCAGCTCCATTGATATTCCCTAATGATCTGAGATGATCTGAGGATTAAAGAAAGCATTGTGACAAACACATACTTTTTGTTGGCGGCCCTCGCAGGACATTTTTGTCCCTGGTCCCAAGCAGAAGCCCATGTCTGCTCTGGGCGATTGGATGGAGAAGCAACTGCCAAAGGCGCAGGCAAGGTAGGACAGCCCTTGTTGTTGATGATATGAACAGGTCCCAATATGGGCCGATGGGGGATGCCCCAGTGTCATAGATCTTCCACCATGAAAGTTACAGTGTAGTGTTCTGTTTTGGTGGTTCGTTTAGGAGTCGAAGGGAGATCCTTAAAGAGCATAATTTGAATGTCGTTCAATGCAGGGCAGATTGATGTTGAACTTCCTGGACAACAATGATCTGCCTCAATCTGAGACTGGATGGGCGGATTTTTTTAACGTGGCACCGGTTTAAACAGACGCAACAATACGGCCCTAAAGATGGCTGGATGCTGGGGATTTAACCTGCAGAAAACATAGGCTTGAGCGGCTTGATAGTGTTTAATTATGTTTAATTTACTTGAAATTTATAATCACCAACAACTTGAAATATGTGCCACCGATGGATGTCTCTACTCCAGTTACGCTCGTTATCTAGGGTCCCCGCGCTGAAGGCCACGCTTCCTGTACCGCATTGGAGAAGGTGGCGGCATTGCTGAAGCCACCATGATGGCGTTCGGCAGCCCATCACTTCTGTGGAAACACCTGGGGATCAGGTGAAAATTTTGGGGTGCAGGGTGATGGGGAACATGTTCACGCTCAGCTGGAAAAGTCTCCAGGAGCAAACATCAACAGCTGACGCTAAGGCTGTACCACAATGCCCTTCTAGCGGTCTGGAGCTTGGCGTCAAGACGACATGGCAGTTATGCACCAGTTGGGGGGTCAATTTTTTTCCACAGCCCATACCGTGGATGGTTCCCAGACCCAGCAGAAAGACAGCTGAGATGATGGGCATGGAGGGTCTGCCAGCCATCCTTTTCGGGTCCGAACAAAATGCTCGGGGCCGCCGTTGCCTCGGTCGTCTGACAAGAGATCCAATTGTCAGTTTGATACTCACCATGGATGCCATGGATATTGCATGCTTTTAGCGATTAGTGATATCCAGGTCTGAATCCTCCTGACACTTTGCAGTGACCTTTTGAATTTTTTCATGACATTTCTGACATTTCAAGCTGAGTCACAACATCTAAGACTTCGGATGACTGCCATCAGACTGGTCACATTGTGGACCCAGGCTTGAACTACTCCGACCCTCTCAAGGCACCTCAGATATGCTGAGAATTGAGAGGAAGACGAGGAAGTGAGGAAGCAAAGGTTCCCATACCGTAACGTACAACAATTGTGCAAGCAAAGAGACCGTGATAGTTCAATGTTGTATCTTTTGAGGCGGGGAGATTCGTTGCCAATCTTGGATTGATTTTGAGGGAACCCCTAGCTGTTGGCATACCTTTTTTTCTCGCGAGAATCTTGGTGTTCGCGAGGTAGACAATTGGCGCCAGCCCCTTTGGCATCATGGCACCAGCCTTAGAACATGAGAGCAGCTGGAGATGTGGAGAGCAGAGAGCAGCAAGGCTACAACACAACTTCGGAGACCTTCAAGCTGATGAAGAAGGCACTTCGGACAATTTTGGACCTTTGGACATCATGCATTCTGCTATTTCTGCTTGTCATGCAACAGACGTGGGCAGCGAACTGTTTTTTTTTCCAATGTCGCTGTCGCTTTCTGGTCTAATCACAACAGCACGACATCGCAGGTGCTCTGGGTCCGTCAACGGACCAACGGCCTGCACGCATTCAAATGCATCCCAGTTTACATGGACTACCAGGCTGGGTGTGGACAATGACATGTGTCAAAGGCGGCATGTGGTTTCCTTGGCTCCTAAGATCCACCATTTGGACCTGACACTCTACGGCCCTACCGTGGTACATGGATGTGACGTGATGTGACCCAAACGGCTCGTCCCTGACTCAACTGAGGTCTTGGTGTGGGCCAGAGGTCCAGCAATTTTTGTCTGCAGCTCAGAGAGGGTGATGCAAAACCGAAACCAAAACAAATCATGATCGAACAACACAAGAACTCAGCACCTCAGCACCTTCAACTTGAATCTTGATTTCTTGTACCCCCCAAAAACTGCAGTTGATGCATCTAGTTGTTGCTCCCTGCAATCAATCTGCAATAGAAACACTGCTGTTTCTACTGTTTCTACTTGAGGTCTTTGCCAATTAATGTCAAGTATTCGATTTGCCAATCAGCTCCCATCTGAGGTTGTTAGCAATGCTGGTCAGCCGAGCAAGATCCCATCACAGCGAGTCTTATGGGACAATGCCACTGCTGGCCTTGGGCCCTATGGGTGCGCCTCCCAGCGGTGCTCACAATGGGCTCATGGGGAGGGAGTGGAAATTCATGGAGGATGCACGATAGATATGGCTATGGATCAATACCTATTACCCTCTGGTAATTTAACATAGCTATGGAAAATCACCATTTTTAATGGGAAAATCCACTATAAATGGCCATTTTCAATAGCTATGTTAAATTACCAGAGGGTAATACCATTTTTAGTGGGATGAACATCCATTTACCAGCTATTTTGATGTGAACTACAGGGGTACAAGGTTTTGACACACTGCCATATTGATAGATGATTATGGATCAAACTCGGCTACAAAGCTGAACAACTGTGAAGTCGATGATGTGTCTGTTATGAATTATTATAGTAATGCCAAACAATGGCCAACATCTGCCCATACCCAGATGAAAACCTGCTTCCTCTGCAGGACTCCATCTCTGGTATGCAACATCCTTGAGGAAAATCCTTTCGCAGTCCAAGCCTCAGTTGGCACGGGAATTCTAATGAAAGCACTGCACAAGTATCACATATATATATATATAAAATGTACACACAACATTACACACCCTTAGCCGGGCCAGTTGCAATGATGTTCCAACTATGTATTTATATATTATGTTTTTCAATGATTTTCAGTCTGACCATTCAAGCGTGGTGAGTGCCAGGACTGTGGCGTGCTGGTGCCGGGCAACATCTCGCGCTTGCACTTGACGGGGGATCCGAAGCTCTATGTCTGGGCCCGGGGATGAACACTTTGGGAAGTTACCATCAAAAATTGTGATTTTACTGTAAACATCTGTAAACAATGATGACATTACATGTATTACATGACTTTACCATCAAAAATGGGGATGTTACCATCAATTAGATAGCCAGCAAGATTATATATATATATGTTTCTGCTTTAGGTCACTTTGCGGATGAACTCCGCTGGCAGGAGCCAATAGCCTTTACCAGCCGTTACGACTCGATCTTGTGGCACGTTGTTCCATGGTCTCCGGAGCTGAGGTGCCCAAGGAGTACATCACAGAATACGTGCAGAACATCAAGCTGAAGGAAAAAGAAGGCTATGGCTGGATATGGCTGGATGAGATCAAGAGATCAGATTGGATCCCATCCCCACTATACTCCACGAATTTTTGGGTGGTAAATGCTGGTAAATCCACCTTTGAAAGCTGGCAACTTTGCGCTTCAACCCTGGCGTGCAGGTGAGCGTGTTGCAAAGGAAGCACAACGGGAACCGGTGGTGCTCCCCTTCACCATGTGGAAGGCCTACAGAGACAGTGCCAGGGGATACCAGGGGTAGATCTGACTCAAGATGGTGAGATCCCATGTCAGGGATGCTTTGCTGATTTTACCGTTGCTGCCGTTGCTTCAGTTTTATCACGCAAACAGTGTGAAGCTAGCAAAGATTGATTTTCAGATTGTCCAGCAGCAAATCATGCATCGCCAGAGCAAGAGAAATCAATCAGGGATGTTTCAAGCCGCTGGGGTCGTACCCTCTGCTGGATTCTGCAGCATTCTCCAGGGCTAGTGGTAGAAACCAGCCAAAGGTGCAATCCAAGACCGGCATGTGCTTTGATGGTTATAGCATCTAAGAAACAATTGAAGCATTCAATGCATGGCTATGCAGAGTAGATGTACAATATATATATATATATAAATGTATACACACATAAAAACACACATATGCAAGAATTTTGCATCCTCGTTTTCCCCTTTGGATTTGTTCAGCTTCTCGGACACCTTTGCAGCCGTGCAATGAAGCGCAAGCCCGCGAGCGGTCAGGTGGCAAAAGAGTCTATCGAACTTAAAGTGTCCTTACCAAGTGGACGACGTGAAACCGTAGCGGTCCCGAAGTCTGGCACCATTGCTGACTTGAAAATTGCTGGACAACAGTCTTTTAGGCAACCTTTCCTGAGACTTGCAGCGCCTGATGGATGTCTTCTAGATCCAACAGACAGTCTTTGTGGGTTTCAGGATGGAGACAGCTTTACTGCTGTTGCACAGCAGCCAAAGATAGCTGCAACACGGGTTGCGTTTGCGCTGTGGTGTGCTGGAGGCAATAGAATTATCACGTGGGGCCATCCAAACTATGGTGACAGCCTGACAGCTCTGGAGTCCGAGATCGGCTCAGGAATGTGCAGCAGATCTGTGGCACAGCACGAGCTTTTGCTGCAATTCTGGCAGATCGAACTGTGGTGACCTGGGGCCATCCCGAATTTGGTGGTGACAGTTCCGGAGTCCGAAATCAGTTCAACTACGTTTAGTGTTTCGGAGCAAAAGATCTATACTGAATGATGAACTCGATTTCAATCCGGCGTCCCATCTTTGGAGACCACATTAGCAGTGTTCAAAACCCTGATTAGTAGGGATTTCCATTCAGCGGATTGTGATCCCCAATATCGGATAGTATAGCCTCCTATAATCATCTATAATCAATATCAGATAGTATAGCCATAATCATCAATGAACAGAGGTTTAGCAGCCAGAGCCATGTCGCTTTTGTTTAGGTGCGCCGTCTGGCAGCGACAGACGGCGCACCTAAACTACGCGCGGGTTGCCTCGAAATCGAAGACTCAGGTGGCTCCTATTACGTGTCTACAAGTCTACCAGGAAAATACTCAAGCAACAGATTTGCCATTCAAAATCTTCAGCCTCTGACCATTCCAACCACCTTGGAGTACCAAATGATCTGCATCACCAAGTCCAGGTGTTCGAGGCATTGCCCCTTTTGTTCAGCAGCCTAGGTCTCCACAGGAAAGCCTTGTCAGATAGATTGCCCAAGATGCAATGATGCATTGACCATTGCATCTTGGGCAATGATCTGACATGGCTTTCCTGATCTTTCCTATGGAGACCCAGCATGCATAAAGGATGAAACACATGAGCCACGCCCGGTTACAAACCTGTGTCAAAGGCGTTACCCCAAGGTTCCAAGGGGGCTCATAGCAATCCCAAATAAGCCTGCTGGTATAAGCCATCTACAGTACTCATGCTGGTTGATCTTGATTCAGCCTCCCGGCCATTACTTTTGTCGTTATCCTGTTAGGGATGCCGCTGGATTCCCTACTGCTGATGAAATCAACCAATGGATGGCCTCAAAAATCCTCAAAATAAAGATTTGATGAGTCAGGGGTAGTTTTTGTTTTTGACCCAGACTTCCGGACCCAACCCATGCTTTTCTTGGTTAATGTCGATCTCATCCCGCTGATTACTGTACTCAATATCATTTTTTTCCCCAATTACATCCCTTTTGATTGATGATATTGATGAAACCCTCATTTTGTCGGTGAGTTTGTGAAACAAAGAGGTGTACCCTGCTAATATCCATTGCTTCATCATAACATTCCCCAGGAACAATGGTCACAAGCTGCAGGGACATATCCCACTAGCACAGATTCCATCCTTTCTGTGACATATGGATAAACCGTTTATAGGTTACCCATTTCAAAACACCTTTACATTCTTAATCATGCAGCCGTTTTGGAGGGCAGACTCCATTGGGCCAAAAATCCTTATCCACCGAGAAGACCATACTCCTGGGTAATTAAATTGACGACCTTAATGGCCGATGTCACGACGTAAATGATGGTAAGGATTAGGGATTTGTTGGCGGAGCCTTTGGTAGTTTAGTAGCTGAAAATGGCTGAAAACACAGGTTGCAGCACTTGGCCGCAGCATTTTTGTTGGTACACTTGATAAAGGCACAAATGGACTGGATGGTTGTGTAGCTGTGGAACTCTTCCTTTTGCCACATTGGACCATTGATATTATTTAGTTGGTTGTTTATTCATGTATTTAATGTCCAGTCCCTACCTCGAATGATGATCTCAATTGAATTTCCTAAGTTTTGGCCTTTGGCAGGCCATGCCGGAACCGCCCATAGTCAAGATTCAGGCGGCAGTCTTGGGAACCGTTTGGGATAGGATTCCAAAGATCTTTGGGTGATTTCATGCATGAATACGGCCCAGCTACTAGTAGGATCTAGCAACCATCCGTAGATTTTCATGGATTTCAGCGGATAAACCTAGATTTCAATTCATGTTGTGGTCACTTCATCTAGCCGAATCTAGCCTTCACCACCCGGTTTTCCCAATCAATGAGGTTCCTTAAGAAGCACATTTCCAGGACATTCCGATATTTTGGCTGTTAAGAATGCCAGTTTCCCCAACTTCCCATCAATTTGGGGATGGTCATCAATACACAAGGGATTTCACTTGCCATTAGATTCCATTCATTGAGGAATCCCATACTGGCCCTCATAAATCAGGCTCTATTTCAGACAAAAATTGGAGGTACCATATCATATGAGTTGTCAGGTCTAAGGGCAAATTTTCAGGGGATATACCAGTCATACACCACCAAAATGGCCATTGAACCAGTCAATAAACCGTTCATCCCATGACGGCAGGCGCAGAAACGTGTGGCGCGCTCCTGGCGCCCGGGGGATGTGACTCTGCTGGGGCCTCGGTGTAACGGGGAAAGTCATGGCTGGGAACCCCAGGAAAATCACAAGAGGTGAGTGGAACAGTAGCACTTAAAATGGAACTGCTAGAGCTGTACTGATTACATCCTGAGCTGAAGTGGAGTTATTAGATTTAAGGAAAATCACGTCGGACCATCAATTTCCTGGAGGTTGGGAAAATCTGCAGGAAGCCTTGCTATTAGGTGGTGAAGGCCATGTTTTTTTGCAGATTTTTCCCTTAGACCAATCCGTTGATTGGTGAATTTACCAAACAAACATGGGCATCAACCCGTAAAGCTGAACATGACAATAATGGACATGCTGGAGGTTTGAGCTGGTTCGCATTTTCCATCCCTGGTCCCTTTTCAAACTATCATAAGAACTGACTAAGGGGTGGCTTAACTGCCTGATTGAAGATATCTCTGAAGATGCGTTGGATTGCACATCCTTGACTGCCTGGATATGCTTCATCATTTGCTCGGTCAAAGCGTTGCAGTCAAAAGTGCCTCTTGATGTAGACCTGGCGTCCTGAGGAATGGCAATCCTTCATGGGTATGGCATGAGTTCCCACAACTCCCGCCAGATGCCAAGGGTATGGTGGAAGGAGCATTTTGGTAAATTCTAGGCAGCAAGGGCAGGCACCATGGGGCTTTTGGTGGTTGGATCTTATCCTCGGCAGGGCACATTTTTACATTTTCCTTTTGAGAGCTCGTTGACTCCGCGCATGGCCCTTGGATTCAGTGGGATCCCCTTGGATTCCGGACTTGAGGCCGCATTTGGACAAGTGGGGTCCACCCTTGGGCATGCCAGTGCCCCATGTGATTAGTGGAGTTCTGAAAGTGCGGGAGCACAGTCAATCCAGGGACTTGTGGCTTGTGTAAGACTATCGGAACATTGAGACACCACTGACCCTGCAAATTTATGCAAATCTTACAGGTTCTCTACATTCTACAAGTACAAGACCATCCAATTTTTGGGGCGATCTTGAGTCAATTCTGTTTTGTCTTAAAAACGGAGTTTTTCAAAACCCAACCTGCAAGATCTTGCAAGTATGATGACTGGGAGTACGTTTGCAGACCACATTGCACATCAACATCACCAGAGTGGTGTCACATTGGATGTTCATTCGATTTCAAAAGCGGTGAACAATCCTGATAACAAGCAGGGCGCAACCATCTTGGTGCGAACATGGAATCATCCAGTGGCGAGCTGTGCAGGATGCATGCTTCCATTTAGGCCCTGGTGAAAAGGCAGGGTCCAACCGTCCAACCTTTACGGGAAATATGTTTGGTGTTGCTGTTGATGTTTGGTGATTGGAGGGGATGGGACGGATCGTCACAAGTCACAAGTAAATTGCATGTTGATTGGGTTTCTTACGATATCATGGCATGAACGTTGAAAGCTACAGGATGCTACAGCTTGATCTTGAGATATCTTGATGCTGGAAGGATGGTGCAGTATTTGCCCGGCGGAACAATCGCACCTACGTGTTGGGATCTAAGTCGAAGGGAACCTCCCATGGCTCACCATGCTCCAATATGCTCCAATCAACTGTGGTGACATGTGGTGACCGTGCCAAGGCTATGTCCCGACTCTCCGCAGTACTGCCCACGGGTGATTGATGATCAGGCTGTCCTGGGGCCAAAGAACCTGGGGCTATTGATGTCAAACCCAGCTGGTTTCTAGCCGGGATGAAATGATGAAATGGATGTCCATGGGAAGCCCATGGGAAGCCCAAAAGCCAAGATTTTTCTTCTTTTTTTCTGCAGACAGTTTTGGTGGACATACCGAGAGGATTTTTGGAGGTGTGAGACTACGCTGCAGTTCTGTGGCAGGTAAACCTGACAGCCCTCCAAAAACATTCCTTGATGGCTGGCGGCTTCAAAAAGGACCGAGTTGAGTTTTCTGCGTCCAAGTTGAGCTTTGAATGGCCAGCCTCACACCAAGGGGATCTCATGGGTCAACGACGTCAACGGTTGTTGAAGACTTCATCGGCTGCCGCGTTACTACAGCACGCTTTACCAGGAGTTGCCAGTGCTGCACTTGACCTTCGATGTATGGCCAGCAGCTCAGGTTGAGTTTCTGCAAGGGCGATGAATTTGCAAAGGATGCACTTAGTATGGAGTGGGTGTCAAATGTGCATCAGTTCATATCAGTTCATCATGGTATATATATATATACTCTGTATACTTGATGTCCTCTGAGCTGAACATGTCCTTTTATGTCCTTTTCCGTGAGACGAACAAATTTTTTGCTTGTTTTCTTGCCAGGTACGGTGTGTACCACATGCTGATCAGTGCCCTTCCCTCCATAGCTCCTCGCTTGGACAAGTTGCGCAACGGCACCATGCAGGTGCGCAGCTGCGCAGCAGCGCAGCTTGGGGGATGTCGTCTGGGAGGTTACCTTTTGAGGGGCTGGATATTGAGCAATAACAAAAAAGGCTAGGGCAGAATGGGCAAAGGTGCTTTTACTTTGCCAACCTCAGTTTTCCGATCCTTTCTGGGTCATGGAACTTGAGTCACCTGCCAGCCAAACGACTTCGATGTTATGCTCGAGCACGAGGTTGCTGTGTGCCTTCCCAGCCATTTCACTGCACAAAGACTTGCGTGATCAGTTGACTTCGTGCCAAGCCAAGATGCTTTACCAACCATTGCCACTTTAGCACAGAGGTTCAGTCAAAGCGCCGCAAAGGTACTTTTCCCTTGGGATTTGACATCATGACTTTGTAAGTCCTCTACAAAAATAACAGCACAGCGTTTAACTATGTTTAACCATATTATATAAACCTTAAGTTTTCCATATATACAGTATACATATAAAATCAAATAAACATATACAGTATACATATCAATATCATTAAATATCTATAATGCATTCATCATATTTGCCATTGATATTTCAAGCCATGGATGGCAGCTCCCTCGGCCACCGCGCTGCTGACGGAGCTGCCGCGGAAGTTTCGGCAGATTCGGAGCTGTCACTGGGAAAATTGGCGCTGTCTTTGGAGCTATTGGAGATATTTGAGATATATTGAGATGGGTCAATACCTATAGATACCATTTTTAGTGGGTTATTCACATCCATTTATCCCAGCTATTTTGATGTGAACTACAGGGGTACTATTGGTTTTGACCCATCCCCATATATTGAGATAATGTATGTAGATCAACTATGATCAACTTGGTTTGGATGAACTCATAGACAGAGACTTGGAGTCTCCACCATGGCCATGCCGCTCCCCTTGCTCTGGTTGAGGTCGGCAGATAGAGGGAACATGATAAACAAAGACGGATGGAATGGGGTATCTGATTTTCAGATAAATCCTTTGGAGACTTTATAAACTAGATAAAGAACACATAGACAAAAAATAGATCTATCCTATTAATGTGTATGAATTGTGACAATCATGAACTCAATCGAATTCAATTGATTCAGATACGTTACTTCAGTTTTATAGGACTGATTTGCAAGAAGTCTCAGAGTCAGATCACCCAGATGGCCTGAGGTTCGACACAGACAGGGCATTGTCGTGGTTTTGGCTTTGTAGACTTGGAGAAGCCACTGGAAGCACTCGCAGATTTTCAGGCCCAGCTCCGGTTAAACTGGTAGTTCTGGTTTTTTTTGCCTGGTAAAATAGGACTTGAAGATACTTGAAGGCATTTTGTACCAGAATGATGATGGTGATTGCATGCCAATGCACTGTTCCAGATGCCAGGGGCAGTCACTGGGCCAGAACTTTTCCAGAAGAATTTTTGTTACACTTGGCTTAAGTGGAGAGGAGAAAGAAAGAGAGAGAGAGAGATACTGTGATTGGATGATGATGATGATGATGACGATGATGAGGATGAGGATGACGATGACGATGATGATGATGATGACGACGACGACGACGACGACGACATGATGACATGATGATCATAATCACCGTCACTGTCGCAATCATGATCATTGCGATCGTGGAGAATCTCAGAATCTTATTGCTGTAAGGCGCAAGGCATCTTCTGCTGACGCTTCGAAGATTTTGTCTCCATCATTAAGAACTTTTGTCGGATGCCACATGACTTCTGGGTATTTAAGCGGGATGACAGTTGCAGGCGGGTATCGTCGTCGACAAACCCATTGACTTCACAGCACGCTTGGATTCGTGCTGCGGAGGCAGCGGGCGTCAGTTGGGACACTGAATGGTTGTGGCAGAAGTTGGGCTTGGCCCCACGACCCTGGGGTCATGCTACTACCGATAGCATTTTGATCGCGCTGTAGAGACGAGCCCCATGTCATTCCCACTGATCATTGGCAGGCAAGGTTGACCTGCTGTTTCCCTTCGTTCCCAGTGGCATCCGGGCAAAGCTGCAGCTCGATTCGACGGCTTTGCCTCCGCTCCAGACAGCACTGCATCCCGATGGCATTATCACTTCACAATGTTTTTTTTTTCCAGATCTTTTGCTGAAAACAACGCAATACATCGAAATACCATGAAATAATATGAAATACCATGAAATACATTGAAATACCATTAGTAACTAACCATGAAATACCACTATGCAGATCTATGCAGATTATGCACATCTCACCCTTCCAAGAAACGGCTGTGGCGCTTTCTCGCGCCAGGTTTTCCACCATGGAGGCCCTGGCTGTTCCCCTCGGGGAATCGATGGCTTCACCAGGGCTTCACCAGTGCTTCACTATTTTTAGTACTGGAGTTTTGACCCATAACCACATGAAACCTCTGAAACTATCTGAAACTCATATTAATATCATTGATCATATCATTGATCATCTCATATGATTCATAGATATAGTGACGATATTTGATATTGAGGATATATCGGATATTTAAGTGATGATTTTCCCATTGACATGCCAAATAAAGGGAGAGGGGGGGATTTCCCAGCTAGCCATGTTTGAATACTGAAGGGTATAGGTTGTTCAGTAATTAGTTCTTATATTGCTCAATAGATTCATAAATGTTTGATCATCACTGTGCATGCTTTGATTCTGTTACTGGTTTGGTTGTAGGATTTTTGGGGTGACAACTTTCCTTGAATCCTTTTTGTAACCGTCAAACAACAGCTACCTCCAAGCCTAGCCCTGACTCAACCCTTCTTCTCAACCCGGGGCATCAACAGCAACCGTTTAGTCTAAAGCTTGGAGCAGGAGAGTTGGTCACTTGATAGCCACCCAAAGGTTGATAGTCCAAACATGTCCAAACTCTACGCCGATGTTGGTCAATTTGAGTCATGTGGAACTTGGGCCGTCGATTTCGACTCCACTTTGGCCGCAATGCCTGTGTGAGTTTGGGGGAGGTATGTGGAGGGGCCTGAGAAACAGTCACCGCAGCAATGTTGGCTCTGCTTCTCCCCAACCCAAAGGTGGCTATATTTGTATCATGTATTCGTGTATGAAATGATTCTTGGCGCCTTCCTGCTCACAGTCATTCTCCCGCTGGTTCATAGCGATTTCTCGAATGGGTGCCCATCTGAAAAATGGGTTCAGAGCAACATCACCCTTCTCTGCCTTGGGCAGATTCAAGGGACCATGACCCATCCAGAATGTGTTTGTGCATGCGCACAGCTGCAGGCTTCCGTTGCATGTGTTCGCTCTTCAGAGGCCAACCAGGAGTTGACCACTCCCGGTGCGTACATTGGTTACGTCCAAAGGACGAACGAATCGAACGCACCGTGGCATTGGGTTTCTGGGTGTGAAAGCAGCTACGTCAACTGGCATCCAGGTGAGCCCACCGGCCAACCCTTCGTGGCGTATTATCCGTTCGAGACATCTCCAACATGGTATGATGTTGGCCCTGACGTTGACCTCTTGTGGGCGCCGAGCTCATGCCTTTGCGAGTACGACCTTCTCCAGCCCGGCGCCAAAATTTCGACTTCATATGCTCAGACATATATCCCAAGTGGCAGTTGCCAGTCGTGGAAGGACTTTTCGGACACCGTGCTGGCCAACTGGCAACCTACCTTCACAACCATACCTGCTTCAGCCGCCTCACAGATGGCCATGGCCATGACAATTCTCTGTTGGACCTTGTTTCACCTTGATCTTTCAATTTGACGCTTGAACTCGCAACAAAGATCCGCGATGTGGATACGGTGGATATTCGGAGATGCCTTTGGCGATGGATACCTTGGGGGATGTCATGCGAATGATGAGTGATGGCTTTAATGAAGATACTTTATGATACATTGTGGAGGCCATTTTGTTGCATTTCATCATACTTTATTCATTGATGCAGTGATTGTTGACAACTATTAGTTTTTTTTTTGAATCGTTGATGTTTGATATTTGCTGATATTTGCTGATTATTGATGGTGGTTGATGGGGACCATTCCGCAGGAAATCGGTGACTCTTCGGCCGAGTCACGGTGCGGGATGCGAACGTTTCGTGGGTTTCGAACCATGGGAGCAACGCTTAAAGTTTGCGAAACCAAAGAGCCACCTGAGCTTTGATGATTTTAATTATTAGGCAAATGTACCATTCGCAGAATTTGGGGGTGAGTGCAATAGGATTCTAGAGCATTTTCAATGAATCACCATATATCTACTGACGTGATATCCATTAATATTCATTTGTTTCAGCTTAAATCAAGGATTTTAAAAATCCTCCCAATTCTTTCCGATCAAACTTGGGTTTATCAATTCGTCTATCAAAAATCTGGGGGGGCTTCAGGTTTACCAGCCACAGGAGGCGGAACATGGGCGGTACCCCCAAAGTGGTGATGCTCATGGAGGAGAATGGATGCTAATTTGTCATGTGATGCGTGTTTTTTTGTAAGATATATGGATGATGGTTGGTATATGCTATATGAGTGTAGGGGTGGTACCTGCCTTTTCAATCCTTTTCACCTTCTGGTTGGACTTTTGTTTGCTTCCAACCTAACATTTTCACAGACATTTTGGGAATTATATGGAATTATGGGATCATAGTATGGGTAGATGATATAGTATGTGGGTATACAACCAACGCGATTAGTATAGGATGTAACACAACCTTGCGTAAGCTACTACAATAGGGTCATCTTGTATCATCTTCCTGGACCGTGGCGCCACGGTCACTGAGGATCCATTCAACGCAGTTGCCGTTTGACCAAGATACCAGTCCTGTTGGAGAATGTTGAAAAAAAAACAATCCAAACAGTCAAAAGTGTATGATAGTATATGTATTCAATCCATTTCAATCCCAAAAGTGTCACTGCTGGAGTCACTGATGGAATGGGGTAGATGATCTTGGATTGGGGTAGCCTATTTTCAAATCCCGTAATCCCGTAATGATCTTTGCATATTACAGAAGCAGGTGTTTTTTTCGCAACTCCTTTTGGAAGCACACTGGGCAACAGGTGGACTTTAGAGCCAGCGGCATCCTGTTCTTCCAACGGTCCAACGGTGACACGCAGCGGACCCAGGACGCTCTGGCCGCTTTTCGGTGGACACGCAGCGGATCAGGCGCAAGCGTGGCAACGAAGCCAACACATCCCAACCTTATCTATGGAATTCTATGGAATATTGATTCAGTGGTGCAATGACCAGAGTGAACTGAGTGAAACCAGCCCTGGAGGTTTGTCAGATTTCCATCCCACTTTTCCAGCACATCAGCCCTCTGGTTGGTGTTTCCATATTTGAAGATGATCCCATGAGGTGAGGCAATGGGAATCAGGTGGCCTGGGAACACCTAATATAAAACCAGAAAACACCATGGGAGATCCTTGATCCTCGATCTTTCCATGAGTTGTCGTTCTTTTACATGGGTATCAATCATGATATTTCTATATATTTCTGACGTTTTGGGATGTTTCCAATGGAAGACGGCATGTACCGGGAGATCATTCTTTGATCCCATCGATCACCCAGGTGGAGAGGCTGCAAGGTTGGAGCCAGAGTTGCGGTTTCCAAAAAGGGTGGCTGATGGATGGTGGATGGTGGAAGAGTTGCTGTGGAACCAGCAAAATATGGGAAAAAAATGGTAAAAGGGGGATGCTGGGGAGCACATGGTTATATGTTAGGTTGTTATGGTTTTTAGGTTTATGTTCAATGTTTGTTCCTTATCTTTGATGTTTCTTGCTATGGGGTTTCTGGGTCAAATTTGTTAAAAAGTGTTCGTCCTTACCTTGTTGATTATTTTTGTTAAGATAAATGCTTGGGTTGGATGAGGGTGGGATTTGTTGAGGTTGTTAAGGTTTTATGTTTTGGTTCAGATGAGGGAGATACTGTGGATACTTTGGTTCTTTCGTTCCGTCGTTGTCTCCATTGATTAAAGTAAAGCCTATCAATAGACTTCTTAAATTAATCCATTCGTTCGCACCGCCTGTGAGATTGAAGCGGATGACGCTGTTAGAGTTGGATGAGTAAGTTGAGACCGAAGAAGGGTAGAAGGTTTTAATCCGCTTGTCGCGAATATAACTTGCCCCACCTTTCAGTCTATATCTTAAAACGTTTTCGTTGAGAACATCTGTAATTTCCAATGCTTCCATACTTATATATATTCTATATAGAAAATATTTTGATATTGTCAAAATATTTACTTTAATAAGTTTTTGTAAGAAACTTATTTCAGAAAATATTTAATGATTATGTTATATCAAATTATGTTATATCAAAATTATATTTTTTAAATGGATTTTTTGTTTTCTTCCCTTTGCTCTGGGGTTTGTTTTCTATAGGTTTATTTTCGTTGTTCTTCATCTCCTTTCCGCTCTCTATGACCTTCTTTATCTCGTTGTAGGTTAAGTGTCTCTTCTCCTTCATATTCTCGTTCTTAAGTTTCTTCATTTCCTGCCTGTTGTTCTTCAAGTATTCCCTGATGATGTCTTCCATATATAATATGATTTATATAAAATAATTACATTATTGCTTTGATGGGTTCTGCTACGTTTGTTTCTGACTTACCCATATCACCGAAATTGACGGCGTGGAAACCGTGGTTATACAAAGGGTTCAAACTGTTCTTGTTGATGGTTATGTCGCCTCCTCGGTCAAACATACTGATAGGGTCGCCTACCGCCCTGAACCGTGTGTTTTCCTTATCATTGTTTTTGAACCAACTGACCGTCGGCGTTCCGTAGTTTCTGGTTGTGATTTTTTTGTTGTAGTCCTCGTTGAGTTTCATAGCGGTCGCTGAACCTAACGAATGACTGACGATTGTGTCAATGTTGTCCATGTTGTTTTTGATGAAGTGGTTTGCCGTCCTGTATCTCTTTGACCTATGAACCATCTTGAAGGGTATGAGTGTGTCGTCTAAAATGTCTCTTGGAAAGTCTTTAGTTCCCGCTATGTATAAAGTTTTGTTTTCTGGATGGTGGTATAGTCCTACATCCGTTCTGTTGTCATACGCCCTTTTCAGCCCCGTCTCGTCGTTGATGTTGTTGAATTCATCTAAATACTTGTTGCCATCTTGTATTTCCTTGCTGAATTTGTTTAGCAAACTTTTCTGTTTGTCGTTGTGCTTTGTCTTGTATTCTTTACCATCAATCTCTTTGAATGGATTTATGTTTTGTAATCGTCCTTGTTTCGTCATATCATCTAACAGTTTCTTTTGAAGCATATATATTAATGTATAGATTAATTTTTATTTAATCTATAGTGTATAGATTAAAATAAAATATTTTCTATCTGTATTTATATCATTATGAGTAGATTTAAAAAGATTTACATTGACAGCAACCACCGAACTCAAAATTCAAACAGTAGTAGTGATTTTGAAATTTACTTGCCAGAAAGTCAGGAATGCGGAAACGACACTAAACTCTACATCCACGAAATCACCATCCCTAACTCCATCTATCCCGTTCAAACGGGACTTAATCATACGCTTTATTTGAGACTGACCGATTTTTCAAACACCACGGATGTTAAAGTTGAACTTCAAAGTTCATCCTATGTTGGTGATACTTTGGCAACAGAACTACAAACAATGATGAATTTAGCAACAAACGGATTTATGACAAACAACGACTACTTCACCGTGGTATATAATTTCGTCACGAATAAAATAACAATAGCGTTGAACTATGAAGATTTTTCTTTCAAAATAATTACCGACTACGAGATGGAATATAACACCATCGGTTGGACTGGGGCATCTTATGATAAGAATAATTTAAAATCCATAAATCAGGTTTTAGGAAACTACACCCCTAACTTGAACTATCCGACTTGGGCGAGTGGGTTTTTAACATTATTAGCGTTGAGAAATTTGTATTTGACTTGTAGCGAATTGAGCGATGCTAAACAGTTCGGTTCAACTGGTGCATACAACATCGTTAAGAAAATACCGATTAATGCCCCTTTCGGGTCGGTCATCTATGACAATGAGATAATTACATATGATTACATAAACGTCAGTATTTAAGAACCTTACATTTTAAACTGGTGAATAGTTATGGCAATGTCGTTGATTTAAACCAAGTAAATTGTTCCTTTTCATTGACCTTTGTTAATGATGATGATATATAAAGACACTTAAAGGGTAATTAACTATAAATGATAATAAACAATGGTAGATTATAGTAAGGGCAAAATCTACAAAGTATGGGATAATTCATATTCAAAATGTTATGTAGGTTCAACAACGCAACCGTTGAGCAAAAGGATGGTTAAACTGTAAGATAGAACTGATTGAAGACTTCCCCTGCGAAAGCAAGGAGGAACTAAAAGCAAGAGAAGGAACATATCAAAAAGAATGCGATTGTGTGAATAAACTGATTGCGGGAAGAAGTTGGAAGGAATGCTATAAAGACAAAAAGGAAGAATACCTAAACCGTATGAAAGAATACCGTGATAAGAACAAAGACAATGAAACCTTTAAAGAAGCGAAGCAACAATCCCAGCATAAATACTACGAGAAAAACAGAGACAAATTACTTGAAAAAATGTCTTGCGAATGTGGAGGACATTTCATCAAGTGGAGTTTGAATAGACATTTACAATCAAAATTACATCAACGATATATGACGAAAAATATGATTGATTAAATCGCTTGGTATTCTGTAAAGTTCGTCTTGTGTGTGTTTCTTCTGTTCGTACCATCTTCCCTTTGACGGTAGGCGTTGTGCTGTTTCTTTGTGTCTGTTGTTTATGATGTTTCCGCAGTCCTTCTTACATAAAGGTCTCGGCATCCAGTCTTTTAGGTTAGTCCATATCCTCGTCCTTTTTCTGTATTCCATTCCGTATTTACAATAATCAACATCGTAATAGTCAAAATCTTTCATAAAGTCCTGTTGTTTCAAAAGTCCCATTTGGGGGGTTTCTATGAACCATACGGAACGATTGAAGTAATTGATTATTTCAATGGTTTTCTTAACAATGCTGTTCGCATAATCTATTTTTCTAATTCCTGTGGTTTTCGCTCTGCTGTATTCAATACAAGGCGGTGATGCCCAGATGATTTTAAACTCATTCGGTTTAAACTGTTTATAGTTCCATTGTAAGATGTCGGCATTGATGTCGGCGTTCTTCAAATCTAACGAGACGACGTCATAACCTAACTCTTTGGCGACTTTGCCTACACTACCTGTTCCACTGAAAAGTTCAAGTAATTTCATATTATAAAGTTATAGATTTAAAATATGAAATTATGTCAATAAAACATAAGAGTTGTTAGTCGGGTCTCTGTTGATTTTGTATGATTTTGTAGTATGCTAATGTGTCTTCTTTGGGTTGAGTGATTTTACCCGATGTAATCCATTCAAAGTATTGCTTCCTTTTGTCTTCCCACGAACCTACCGGTCTGCCTATCTGCTTCTTTTCAAAAGCCTTGTTTATTCTATCCTTGTCGTTCTCCTTCTTCTCACTTCGTAGTTGATGTATGACATCCACATCACTCTTTATGTCCTTTACATCTTCCTTCAATGTTTTGATTTCTCGCGTCATCTTTTTCATATCAGCCAACAAGAGTTTTAAAGTTTCTGGGACTGAAAGTTCCATACAACCTATATATTTATTTATATAATTATTTATTTAAATATTTATTTAGATATTTATTTATCAGTTTGCTTTTATGTTTAAACTACTCTTTATATAGTTTTAAATCACTTGTCAGCGATACACTTTACAGTTTCAAGGGTTGTGTCGTCTTCCGTCGGTGTAATGCCTCTGCCCCATTTGAACTGTATGTTATGAATGTCTGTTTCAACATTGATGTCTCCGTCCTTGGTCTTGTCAATGCTTAAACTCTTGTCGTTCTTGCTTATCTTGAACGTGAAGGGAACGCACTTACACTGACAATCGCCTTTTTTTTTTATAATCAGTTCATTTTGCATTTCCAACCACTGTTTACACATAGGACACTCAAAGCGGATGTTGTTAGATTTCTCCACCGCTTCTTCCTCCTCTTCTTCCACCGTTTGTATTTCAACATCTTTCTTATTGTTCTTTTTCTTTTTCGCCATCTATTTTATATTTTAGAAAAATTATAACAAATTTTCCTAATTCCAATGAATACCTACAGCATCTTTTGACCTTTGTATCCGTGATGACTGGATACTTTCTATCGTCAGCAATCCTATTTTCAATCTCATCTATGGTGTCTATGTATCGTTCATACTCGTCCATTGTGATTATATATATAATTAGATAATATGGATTTTTGATATCATCTAATTATACATGGTTTCTACTGGGGTGGGTAGAAATCAAACTGATGCGGGGGGTCAAAAGAAAAAGATTGGTAGAGTTCCGAAAGCAATGCTTCAAACGAATTCATTTTTCTTTTTTACTTCGCTTTTTTTCGAGAGACGTTAGAAGGGAAAGAAACGAATTAAGCACTTATGGCGATTGAAGCAACTGTCCCATTTTTTCACCCGACACCCTTTCAAGGATGAAAAACGGTTTCCTTCAATATGTTATATCGTAAAATAATTTCTAAATACTTATATATATATGATTGATATCAAGCCATACAAGCACAAATAATATAACTGTAAGCAGTCTTCATACGGATATATGGCACACTTACCAGCAAGAATATTATTGAACGCTCCGTCAGGAACAGGTAAAACGGTCGCTTTAACGAATTTGGTTTTGGACATCTACAAAGGATGCTTTGAGAAAATCTACATCTTTTCACCGACCATCTTTATTGATGACAACTGGACGGTTGTAAAGAAATACATAGCAAACGAAATGGACATCAAACATACAGATGATGACCCGATATACTTTGACACCTTTGAAGAGAAAGACTTGAAGAAGGTAATAGACACGCAGGAAGGAATAATAAAGTATATGAAAGAGAAGGATTACAAACATCTATTTAACATATGTATCATCATAGACGACTGGGCGGACAACGAAAAGGTGGTGAGAAAAAACAAAGAACTAATCAAACTATTCACGAAAGGTAGGCATTGGTATATCTCAACCTTTATCACCTCGCAATCCTACACGCAAATATCGCCGGTAGTGAGAAAGAATGCCACGCAACTATTCATATTCAGACTTCGCAATCAAAAGGATTTGGACGCTATTTTGGAAGAATTGAGTGGGTTGTATGACAAGAAGACCTTGGATAAGATTTACCGCGTTGCCACGGATGATAGGCACGGATTTTTATACATAGACTTGATGGAAAGCGATAAGAAGAAGATGTTTTACCGAAACTTAAATCAACGAATTCAAGTGGAATGATTAATAATAATATTGTTGAATGTTATTATTAATCACTTTTATTTAATTTTTGGATATATACAGGATTTGTAAAGTTTCTGTGCGTCCTTGAGATGTTGTTTCTTTTGGTCTCCTTTGCTTGATTTCCATTTACCATACACTTCTTGGAACTGTTCGTATTCTTCACTTTGAATGGTCTTCCGGTTGTTCATCTCTTCAAATTTCTCTCGCATCACTTGTATTCCTACCTTGCTTGGTAATGGTGCTGTGCCCGATTGTTTGTTTGTTTTTCTTATGGGTGTTTTCGTTGATGAGGATGCTTGGGTTTCTTCCTTTGCTTTCGGTGCTTCTTCTACGTCTGGTGTCTTGTTGTCTTTGCGTATGTTGATTGTTTGAAGTGTTGGTTGTTGTGGTTGCTTTCCTCTTGTCCTTCTTTTTGGTGGTGGTTTGGTTGTAGTGGATGGGTCATCGTGAAACTCTCTTTTTTCTTGGGCTGTTGATGCTGACCTCTGCTTTTTTGGTTGAGTTGTTCCGTGGGTTATGGGTCTTCTTTTATTCAATGCCATAGTTTCATCTGTAATTTGGTTGTGATATTTTCGTAGGACATCGTCTGGTGTTGTATCTACTTCCATAGGTTTTGCTTTCTCCTTTTCTTTCTTTGGGTGTGTGATTTTTTGGATCGTCTTTTTGGGTGGTTTTGGTTTTGGTGTTGTTGCTTCCTTGTCATCGTCTGGTAGGATGGCGTCCGTCAGTTCTCTGCTATTAGTCCTCCTATTGACCCTCCTTTCGCTGTTCCTCCTGCCGTTGCCACTGCTTTGATTATCGGTTTGGATGATTTCAAAAATTGTTTTAAGACGCTTCTGCTTCCTGCTGGTTCTTCGTCTTCCTGTATTCCTGCCGACGCTGTCGCTCCTATTGCGTCGTATGCCCCTTTGTTTGCCATATAGTGGTCTTCGGCGTGGCTCAAATTGACTTGTTCTGCTACTCTCCTTTCGTTCTCTTCTCTCAATTCTCTTTCTCTATCAAAACTCATCTCAAAGTCGCTGATGGCATCGTCCCTCAAATCCGTTATGTCCTCAACATCAAAGGGTTTCATTTCTTCCTCCTTTCTTGCTGTTGCCTCTTCGGTCATCTTCTTAAAGTTCATCTGTTGTAAGTCCGCTGGGTGAGTGTTGTTTGCTGGGTTGAGCGGACTGTCGTGATAATACCACGCATTCCTGTCAAAGACTTTTCTAATGTCGTTTGTTTTAAATTTATCCCTGTCTATTTCTTTTATAAGTTCGGCGTAAGTCGGTCTTCTTACTAATCCTTGCTTCGCATTTGCTACTTGTGCTGTCATTGCTATATATTAAATATTAGAAAAATTATATTAATCTTCCGTTTCTCCTCTTAACCATCGCTTGGATGTTCTCTAATCACTCACATCACCGCTCCGTAGCCATCGCTTATATTCGTCAATGCGGTTTTTCATATTCTGGACGTTTGCCCCGTAATCCTGTAGTCTGTGGTTCTTCCTTATCTCTCTCAACCTTGTCATCTCGTTCTGTAGCATCTCGTTTTCTTCCTTAATCCGTTGCTTCACTTTTAAAACTTTGTAATCGTGCTCGGTGTTGTGATATTCAAGCAGGTTTTTAAGGTATTGGTGGTAGTTGTGGGTTGGCATTCGTGCTGCGTTGTTGCCATCGTGGTAGTAGTGGTCATAACTGCTATAGACTTTTTTGCTTCTGTCTGGCATCTCCGGCGTTCCGCTCCTGTAATTGGCACTTTTGCTTGAATGAACGGTTTGTCGTCTGTTGATGTCTTTACGGACGTTCTCGTAGATGTCTTTTTTGTTGAGTTCAAGTTTCTTTTCGTTGATTGTCATTTATATATGTATATTACTTTACAAAATTTTTGAAACTAAAGATTTCAATTTCTCCCTCTTTGCTATGTTCTTTTCCTCCTTCGCTCGGTAGTAGGAGTCTCTCGCTGTCATCTCTTTCGTCATCTCTTCTTTCAGTTGTTGGACGAGTTCCTTTTTGAATGCTTCTGGGTCAAAGGGTGGTTTCGCTCTTGAAGGTCTCACTCTTTTCGGTTTGGGTGTTGGTGTCGGTTTCTCTTCAACGGGTGTTTCAATGACTTTTTCGGGTTTCTCTTCCTTGGGCTCTTCTTCCGGCACTGTCTCTAACTCTTTGACTGGTTCGTTGCTTTCTTCTTTATCAATGTCTTTCACAACTATCTCTGTCATAGTATATATTAATATATTTAGATAAAAACATATACTTTCAAAATTTCATGTCTCAAATACGGTCGTTTCAATCCTTCAAGTTTGAATGTTCTGTTGCCAACGGTGTCATATACTATCTCCTTTACTTTGTAGTTTTCTTTTGACCATTTGCTCACATACTCCTTTCTGTCGGTGTAGTTTCCTCTGCCCTTCTTGAAGATTTTGACGTTGTCATTTACATTTACTTCTGGATACTTTCTGGTGTTCTTTTCTCTTCTCGTCAGGTTCGTTCTGACGTCTAAATGGTTCTTGTCGTTGTGGGCATCCTTCGGTTTCATTTTGGTTGATGAATGGACGGTGTTGTTGTATTTCTCCAAGGCTTTTGACAACATTTCAGTCCAACTGCCCCTGTTAAATCTAACCCTATCATGTATCATATTTTTCATCGTCCTTATGAAACGCTCCGCGACATTAGCGTGTGTCAATGTGATGATGTGAGTGATGCCTTCGCCGTCAAAGTATTGTTTAACTATTGTTTTAAACGCTCCGTCGTCGTCGCTGTATATTGACATCGGATGACCCACCTTTTCAAAAGTTTCCTTTAATGCTGGTAGGACACTTTTGCCATCTTTATTTTTCATAGGCACGACGTTTGCCAACTTGCTGAATATATCTATCACCACTAACGCATATCTTGGTTCTCCATTCTTGACTGGAACTTTTACCTCTGGCGTCTTGGTTAAGGGTTTCATATCCATAATGTCTATTTGATATTCGTATCTTGTGAAGGGTGCTGTATAAGAATTTGAACCTCTGTATCTCCTAATCTGTTTGTTGGGTTGTTTCTTCATCCATTCCGAGACATCAACCCTATTGATTGAAGGGTCTTGCTCCTTTGCTTTCTTTAGCGTTTCGTCTATAGAACCGAAACCATTTTCCAAATCGTAATAGATGTTGCTGATAATATCATCTTTTGATAATCTCCTCGCCATATATTATAGTATTAGATTTAAAATTATCAACACTAAAAAATTACTTAAAGAAAAAACACTTAATATAGTAAGAGTAAATAAGATGACTAAATTTGACTGTGGATGTCGTATTATGAGCGAGTGTATCAATCTAAACAGTGGCGATTATAAGAAACCTAACTGGGGATATTTACTAAAAACCTTTGTGAATGTTTGTGGAAAGTGTGGCAAGAAACAAATGAAATTCCAACAAATGGAAAACAAAATGTTGGAAGAAGAAAAGAAACGAATGGAAATGTTTTTGAAAGAACAACACGATGATGAAGAAGAGTTTGATGAGGAGTATAAAGAACAGTTTAGACAAATGACAGACGAAGAGATTGAACGACATATCGGTCTTGAAAGAGTCAGAAATGTAATGGAAGGGTTTGACAGAGAACACGGTATAGACAAAATCAGAAGGATGATAGAAGAAGTGAGAAATGAAGAGAAAGAAGAAGAACCCGAAGATGAAGAATATGAAAGTGATAATAGTGAAACACAACGAATGAAGCGATTACAGTGGATACAGGACAACAGGAAACCAAAAAACTGAAAGAGAGCCAAAATTACTTAAAGAAAAAATACCTATATATAGTAAGAGAAAATGAGTAGAGCAAAAATTCAGGTGATAGATAGAGATAATATCGGAATATATGCTGACTTCGGTAGTGAAAGTGAGGATGAAGACTGGGAAAGTAAAGCAATAGAAAAAGAAGACGAGGAGATTAGAGACTTTGTAAAATGTCATCCTATGCCTTCACCCGATGATGAGGAAGGAGAAACATTTTGGAAAAAAGTAATTGATAGGATGAAAGAAGCGGAAGGAGTAAATGGAATGGTAATATATTCGTTCGTAAGATTTGACATAATGAAAAAGATGTATGAAAACCTCACCGATAAAAAAGTAATCATTGACTGTGGTAAGGAACTTAACCGTGATGGTGAATTTAACGCAATGATTATTAATATAACTCTTTTATCAATAGCGATGGATGAACTCAACGATACAAACAAACCCTGCTTAACCCAAATGCGAGTTATTGAACATTGGTGGGATGGAATAGGAAAATGGAAAGCGTAAAACAATAAACGATTACTGTAATTCATAATATCTTAACCAAAAATATTATGAACTAATCAACAGCAAAGAAAGACAACGGAAAAACTGAAACAGAAGACCAGATGAAAGTTTTGAACACATTATCCCCAGAAACCCCACAACAAAATACATCAAAGATAAGGAACAAACATTGAACATAAACCTAAAAACCATAACAACCTAACATATAACCATGTCCTCCCCAGCATCCCCCTTTTACCATTTTTTTATGGGATATTTATGGATATTTATGGATATTTTATGGGACATCCTTGGAGGCAACAATATGAAATTTAGGTCCCACACGTTAGGAGTAGACTTTGAAATACTCTTGGAGTCATAGGAATGAACAGACTCACAGAAAGTGATGTCACAACTATTTGATAAGATTTGACCTTGGAGATACAACGGGAAATTTGATGGAATATGCTGATGTTTCAATGCACTTCTTCGGGAGAATTTGTACACCTTGCCACAGTACACTTCACATTTCGTCGGTGCAGGTCTTTTTACATGCAGGGCATCGCTTCGTTGGACAAATCTTGCTGAGATCTCAGGTTGTGCAGCGAATGAAACCTGTTGATGCTTGGTATCACCGTGTGAAGGTTTGATTTTTTGCAACTGCAGCTGCAGTGCTAATTACCAGCCATTACCAGCTTGTTTGACCTTGCGACATGCACTCGACCCCAACAGTCAGTCTCCCTTGAGGTCTGTCTTGGGGGTGGAGACCAATGTCTTGCGACCGCCGTCTGACCCTCCTTTGAAACAGGTCAGGATGCCATTGAAGGTTGCAGGAGTTCTTGATTTGCCTGTGCAAACAGTTGGTTCTTCCAACTCTTCAGAGTTTTTTTTTGACCTAGGACATACATACAGCATATATTATTAATAATAATAGTAATAATAATAATAGTAATAATAATAATAAGAACAACAACAATAATAATAATAATAATGAATAATGATAATAATGATAATAATGATAACAAATAATAATAAATAATACTGCTTTATTACATAAATTATATATATATTATCTACACATATTTTTCTCCTCCGGGATCCCTTTCCGCACACCTTGGGCTGCAGGCCTACAGCTTTTGTGCGCCGGAAATTCACTTCGATTTGTCGACCCGGTGAGGCCCCTAGGTCTGGCAGGTCTAGGTCTGGGTCAAGGTCTTGAAGGAGGCCTGGGGATGGTGACTGAACAGTGGATGATGGTTGCTATATAATGGATGTTAATGGATGTTAATGGATGTTAATGGATGTTAATGGATGTTAATGGATGTTAATGGATGTTAATGGATGTTAATGGTGTTGTTAGGTGATGGCCTTGGTATATTCATCCCCAAAAAGATGAACCAGTAATTCCTCGGTTTGGTCAGGATTCACTTTTCCATCTGGGGATGACACCCAAAAAAGGACCATTTTGGGCCATCGAGTCATCGAGGAGCATCGAAAAACTGTTCCTCTTTCTTTGGGATGCTGATCCGGAGATCAACACCATTAGTGTTTCAGGGCTTGAAACCACCAACCTGGTGGGATGTCTGTTGCAGAGTCCTATGATGCAACTGTATTTCCTTTCAGGGGTTTAACTCCTTGTAATCAATTACTCCCCACTGTTTCTTCAGAGTTACCTAGACCCGGAGATGGCGACCCTTTGCACATCTGAGGCCGCAGTATCCACGCTTTGAGTTCTCTGCAGAGGACTTAGCTTGGGAAAACGATGGTGGCGTCCATTCAGGGGATGGCAGGAAGCACATGGGCTGTTCGGTATCCTCCTAATTCAAATCCTTACACCATAGCATGACTTTGGTTTGTCTGAAAATAGGGCAATTACCACCAAACTTGACGGTCAGCAAAATATTTACCATTTCAATTGCTGTATGATGACATTTTATACATTTGACAAACCGCATTTGCCAGAGACAGCCATTTGGGTTAAGCCAGTGAGTTGGGTTTTTCGCTGTTGGTTGTGAGGTTCCCTACCTGGCGGAGTTCCGCCGGAACTTGTTGGCTTCAGATGACTGGTTGGATGAGACCAGGTGAGATCAGACTCGAGAAAAACTGGGGAGCTCCAAGGTGAAGGGCTTCCCCCCCATTCAGAAAGCATCAACATCAACTGGGGATGGGTTAAAGCCTATGATATCCTATGTTTTTCCGATGTTTTGGGATGAACAATGATGAACATCCACTTGCAAGTACCAGCTATTTTGATGTGAACAGAAGGGTACCAGGGTTTGGACCTATAGCCGACCGGTTGAACGGGTTGATGTACATTGCTGAACCCAGAGCTAGGCATAGGCTGTAACTCTCATGCTGGGCTTCTTTTCGTCCTCCCACGTGCCCATGAAGTAAGCCAGTTGGATTTGGTTCTGCAAGGGCCTGCCACTTATAAATCAGGCTTCCAAATACGTCAATCCATAGGGCTAAATGACGCAAGAGATTTCTCCTGTAAGGATAAAGCATTATTGTAGCATACGCAGAGAGTGGGATGTCCACTCGTCACAGCCTCAGTTTGTATCATGTTGTAGCTGGGCTCAACATTCGGATTTTTCGTGTGGAAAAATCCGATGCATGCTCACTGTGCTGTGCAAGTTGTTGCAATAAAATTCTTATATATCTACAGTTATACACCATAAAAGTTTGGTGTGAACTAAGCCAATCACATCTGGTCCTCATTTTTTTACAGGGACTACCTGACCTGCCCGCTGCCGTTCAGGCCCTGCGGTGTCTCTAAGAGGTCCCTTGGGCACATCGTGGTGCTGTCGAGAGGTCACAGCGCCCGCGCCCTCGGGAATGAGGACGAGATGGTGCAGGTTCGATGGAAGCCCCTGGGGCCCATGGCGCCCATGGGGGATGATTTTTCATGGGATCTCATTGATGTTGGATATCCCATGAGTAACCATTGATGGGATATTATTAATCATAATAATAGTATAGCTGCGAGTCAAAATGTACAGCCCGATCCATACCCTGAACCCACAGGCCGATCCATACCCCCGATCCATACCGAAACGCAGGTGATCCAGACCGATCCACACGTCCGGATCACCGCGGGCCGATCCATACCCGAAGTTTGACGCAACCCCATATATGATATTACATGGGATGATTAAATATCATCTCATGGTTATGATTAATATCTCATTAATATCCCATTAATATCCCCATCAAAGGATTGTACTAGCTGGTTTAGTGGGGGATGACTATAAGCCATAGGGGTATGAACCTATGAAGCAACTGGGTATTTTTCATGGCTCAACCGGGGGATCGACGCATCAAACTGGTCAGAAACAACCATAACATATCTATAATGATTACTGTATACATGGATTACATATAGAATTCTATAGATGGATGTGATTATTTTACTGCAAAAGTGAAGGATTTAGGACATCGCCACTGAAAAGTTTCACAGAGTCCCAGAGTCTGAAGGTTGGAAATGGCTGAGGGGTATAGATTCTTCAACATTGAAGATAAAGATAGATAAAGTCTGATTGGTGAGATTATTCACCCAAAAGCACCAAGGAATTCCCACATTTCCAGAGATAGTTTTGTTAGGGTTTGCTGAAGAACTGACAGGCTCTGAAGACCTTGGGCAGACCCGTAGAGGCAGGTGACCTCTTGACACTCGTGAATGATGGACGTCAAACGGTGCCACATGACGATAATTTTCACCATAGATAAAACATTATATTATATGTATGTAATGATCTTATGTATTCAATATCATATGATAATATATGAGCACATGTTCCGAGATGTGGGAAATGTGGGTCGATTTGAACGTATTTGGAGTCTATGTCAAGATATAAGAATGAGTATGATATCTTAGATATCTGGTGCTTATCATCATATAAAATTATATAGCATCCCATGGTGGAAGTCCTTTGGGTCGACATGAAATCCATCGATTCAACGGGATGGTCACTGATAGGTGGTGACTCCCGATCCGGAGAACTTCCTCCATACACTGCAGACGCTTTCAAGGGCTGAGGTGCGGCTTTTTGCCGGGCAGGGGTTATTCACCAGCAGATACAGATGGGAATAGATGGGAATAGATTTTGGATTCATGGGATTCAACCAGAATCTATTGGGGATAACTAAGGACTAAGGTGGATGATGGACGGCAGGGAAATCATGGAGCTTGCTGGGGAAATCATCGAACCACCAGCCGGGGATTTTCCAGCCTTGTTGTGAATGTTTACAAAAAACTGATGGGAAAGATCCACCATTTTTAATGGAAAATCCACTATATCTATGGGGGAAAATCCACTATTTCGACTGGGCCATTTTCAATAGCTATGTTTGTTTACCAGAGGTTAATGCGCAAGGAGATTGCATGGCAAATTTCTCTGCACTGCGCAGGTGTTGGTGGGTGCGCATGGGGCCAACATGGCCAACATGCTTTTTGCTCCAGACGGCATGAAGGTTGTAGAAATTGTCCCACAGGCTGGGTGCTGACTTCTGCAGTGTTGACATCATTTGACATACTACATGCCATATGCATCTACACTGGATAATATATATACATATATATATATATTATATTACGTATATTTTTCTAAATAATATACATATACATATAAATGCTGACATGGTTGAACAAGCCAAAGCCACATTTCAAGAACAGCAGCACTGGCCATGCTGGCGATGCTTCTTTTTGTGCTGGCCATGTGTGCATGGCAGGTGCCCTTCAAGATGCAGGACTACCACTTTTGGGATTTAGCTGCAGCCTTGAACTTCACCTATTTGCCCATTGGCGACAAGGCAAGGGTCAGATGGGGATAAGCGGAGTCTTGTCATCGATTCTCTTAGTGTAGTTGAACCACAGCAGTCGCATAGTAGCCAAGACTCATATCGATGCTTGTCCATTGTGGATTGTAAATCTTGTAAACTTATATATATATATAATATACTATACTTATAGAATTTCAAGGGATTCATCACCAAGGCGCGCCTGGCCTCTCCTTTTTTGTTGCGCCTGCCGCACGCCAGGTTATGCCAAACGAGTATGACCACCAGTTGGCCCTGGACCTCGGCAGTGGGATTTGGTGCCTGAAATTGGAAAGATGAGATACCACAAATGGGAACATGATTATGATGATAAACCATTGTATCTTTGGGTATTTTGAGACAAAACCTTGTGTGACTATATGAGATTCGCTTGTCACAGCTTTGCTAGCTTGGTTGCAATCCTTTGCGAGGGTACACTGGTGAGGTGAACGCCCAAAAATAGCTGCTTGGGGTTCATCCTTAGGATATGATAAAATCCCATAAACTCCAATAAACTCCCATTTTTATAGAGGTTTAATCCATAGCCATGTATGACAACCAGATGGCGATCTCCAGGACCCAATGACAGAGGACAAGGCGGTCATTTCCATGCACGTGGATGTGGACGAGGTGAGTCAACTGGGATGCCACTGGGGCTTTCTTTGACCCAAGAATTGTTGGGCCGAAATGAACCGAAAACGTTCTTCTTGAGACCTGGAAAACACTTCTTTCTCGATGACCGTGTGGTTGGAATCATGGCAATGTGAGAATGTACATCAATTTCCAGTGATATTTCAGTGGGGGGAGTATGCTTCTGTATCATTGTGTATCCAAGATTACGAAGTGCTGTGGGGGTTCCATCTATCACCAAACACGATAGATCCTCGCTTATGTCCCGGGAGATGTGCAAATTGCTGGAAGGTGAAGAGTCTTATTGCCAACTTGCTGGTTTGAGAGAAGCACCCAAGGTCAGGCTCCGAGTTCAGCAATTCAGTCAGTCCAGCCAATGCAAGCAACATATATCTCGAGAGTCATGAGCATTACAGTCTAACTTTCTTCCAAATAATGTAGATTGTTCATGATTGTTCAACATGCAAAGTAGATTTCTCATTAGATGGACAGAATTCAGACCACACGACGTTATGGCCGTCATGGCCATCATGGTGTCGAGGTCCTTCCACATGGTGTCCCCATAAAAATGGGCCGCAGTGAATTCCTGGCACTGTCCCGTGACCGTCTCAAAGGCTCAAAGGGCCTGGCAGAGCGCAAGAAAGATGAGATGCCTAGGATTCGATTTTTTCGCTTCGAATATCAGTGATGTTGGCTCAATTGAGATTCACTTATTATCTATTATTTTTATTGATATTTAACTGTTATTGACTTTTGGCTTGATATTTGTCAATTACCATTGTTGTAAATGTGTTTTCTTTGAAAGAAGGCGATTGATGTGGCACGATCCTTTCTTGCTCTCCATTTCGGCCAATACCACATTGTTTTTATACTGAGAGCCTTCTCAGTCAAAGCTTCCATGGTCTCTGCGAAATGTCCAGCTAACAGCGCGGTAACATGCGTGCGGAGACAACGCTCAAAGCGAAGATCCTCTCCAGATGTGAGCAGGAAAGATTGTGAGAAATAAACTGTTCATGAAATGCGACATCTTGCTCCATCCCATCAAATTTCAACTCGCATACTTTGTATTCTATGATGTTCTATGATGTTCTATGATGTTCTATGGATGTTCTATGGATGTGTTGTGGTTGCGCCAAGATTTATAGCGACGCCATTTTGCAGCTTTTGGGATTTCAATTGAAAGATCCACATTGCGCACGGCGCAGAGAAGTTTTCATGGCTGCCCGGTGAGGGAGCACAGCAAGGGCGCTGTTCAAAAAGGCAAAAAAAACAGGATTGATGCATTCAGGTCATCAAAAAGAATGAACGATTTATAGGGCCATGAACCATCATGAACCCATCATAACCCATCTATGGGGGTTAGCCAACAAATATCTAGACTGAAGACCGACTAGAAACTCGCGCAGGGGCGTGAACAGTGGTCCGCTGGGCCCCGAAGTGACCTTGAGTCGTCTGGCCCTGAGGATGCCGAGATCAGGGATGGTTTTGATTTGGGGGAAGCTGCACATGTCCATGGTTTTGGGTTGGTGAATCATGAATTATCATGAATTATTGCTAATTATATTGTTATCCTTGTTGTCATTGCTATTGTTTACTCAGATGGGGATGCGAAACATCAACTTTGTTTTGATGCACTTCAGAATGCTTCTCCCTCGAACTTTGCTTTCTCCTGAGAAAACCAACGAGGTACTCGTAGTCCCACGATATGGCCAGAGGAGAGGACGAGGTGCCGCCCAGGGATTTTGGCTCAGGCTGTCAGGGGACCAGGGGATCCCAGGGGACCTGGTGGACCCGGTGGACCCGACCTGGCGCCAGGGATCCAGCACTGATGAATCAAGTGCCACAGCCAAAGCTCTGATCTCAGCGGAAGTCTGTGTCACATATCAACGATATCAACCCCCATCCACTTAATATATCTTAATATTCAGTGGGGATTCACAAGAGCTCACAACTGGAGAAAAACAAGGATGATATTCTGATATTCCGAGGATTTTTACGGAACAATCATCCAACCAGGGATGGAGAATGAATGATAATGAATCATCAGTCAACTGGAGAATCCATGAAGTCAATGATATCATGATAATCATGATATTGATATTATTTCAGAGCCGCAAAACGGTGTTGGCTCGTGACGAGCTGGACTAGTTCGAGGGTTCTACTACCCGGTTACTAGCCTTTACACATTTTATCAAGGATTATCATCCATGAACTGTCTATTGATCTATCATGATGGTAGTTGAATGATTTGAATGGAATTTTATTTGGGATCTAACCATCATTAACCATCAATGATGGACATTTAACCATCAAAAGTATGGGGATACAACTGATAAATGATGGTTCATATGATTCATCTTAAAACATAAAGACACACAAATCACAATGGTAACGACATCCCTCCTAGCCCAAAACCGAGGCGTTTGCTGCCCCCAGATCCACCCACGCCACCGGCCGTCACCATCCTGCCGCCACCGGACCCGCCGATGCTTCCAGCGGTTCCGGCGCCGGCGCCGGTGGCTCCGATGCCGGAGGTGAATGGCCATAGACAAGGCAGGGCCGGGTATCTTTGACAGTGAATGGTCTTGTGGGTTTGGGATAAAAATAGTATCAAAATGATCCTGGGAATAAAACAAAGAAGATGAAACTGAAGCGGAACGCGAAGCTGAGCCATGCATGTTGTTTGTTGGAATGGAAAAAAACATCTTGACAATTGACAGCTTTCTGATCATTTGAATGTGCTAAAGCGCAGTGTGCAGTGGAGTGTGGTGAAAAACACATCTCTCACTGGGATTCGCAGCAAGGCCTGGCTCTCACAGTGCGCAGCTGTTCGCTTCGGTGTGGATAGGGAGGCATTGCTATTCAAAAAGAGCGATGGCATTGTCATCATGGGTGCTGGTCCAGCCGGGGTTAACAAATCTCCAGCCGCCTGAAACAAATGGGCTACACGATGCTACACGGCTACACCAAGACCGTCCTGTTCGAGCGCTCAGACCGGGTCGGAGGCAAATCACTGATCATCTACATGAACGACACGAGCGAATGTGCAAAAGGACAAGACAGGTCTGGTGGACAGCTTCTCCCGTGCTGCACATGACATGGGCACGTGCTTCTACACAGTGGATACAAGACCATCAGGGACTAGGTGGATGAGTAAGTACAACAGGACCGGAGGGAAGAGCTCTTGTGACCTTCATCATGGATAGCGTCAAGAAAGGAACTATCAAGGTACCTTGGCTTGCCTTGAAAAAGCTGAAAGTGCTTGAGAGTCTGTTGGGAACGTTGGAATTCTCAATGTCGCCTCAACTGAATACACGTGTTTTACATTGTACAAAAGATCAGCATGACATTCGCAGAGTGTCTCGACTGGTCGCCCCGAAGCCACCAGGTGAGATTCTAAAGATGTATTCCCCCCTTCGACGAAAGAAGTGGATGCCATTTCTCTCCTTGAAGGGTGGCAGCCTCTTCTTTCGTCCAAGGGGGGAATACATCTTTAGAGATGTCATATTAACAGACAGAAAAATGGAAGTGACTTCTTTAAGTTGGCCAATGGGGGCTATGTCTATCCATGGCTTGGATCGCATGTCGCTGGGAGATATTTGGTGGATGTTGCTAGAGTCACGATCGGGACCTCGAAGCGGCAGATTCCCTCGGCGTTTTACCAATTTCTTTAGAATGTGATGATGACAGGGCTGACTTCTGTGGTCTGCTTCATGCAAGGATTGTCGGTGGGGGTTCTACCTACAAAAGGACCTGGCGATGAATATCCACCAGCATGTATAGAATTAATAATTAGCGTAAAACAATGTCGAATATTGTGCTGCCAGAAGGATATCAAAAGATTTGGAGCACCATGGCTGAGAACGATTGTTTGGACATACGCGTTGGAGCTGACATCTTGGAGCAAGGCATCGACCGACAGCTCCATGGTGATCAAGTATATCCAAAACGGAGAGAAGAAGATGGAAGAATTTGAGTTCCTTGTCTACTCCGGGCCTCATGCTCACGCAAAGAAGTATGTGAAGGACCTCGTCAGCCAAGAGCAACACATCTCTTGAGTCTTGAACCACTCAAAAGCTTTGTTTTGGCGACCGCGCTTTATGTCAGCGCACCAGTGAAGGGTTACACAGATGAGAAAAAAATATCAGTTGCCAAATGTTCAAGCAGGAGCTGGCCAAATAGCTCATGACGAGTGTCACGATCCTTCGTCAGTATCCATGACCTATCATGACCTTACTTTCATCATTTTGGTCAGAAAGCCAGTACGGAATCCCCTGGGATTTGCTCTTAAGCAATCTCATGCTCTTAAGCAAATACATGGGAGCTCAATTCGATGTCGGTCGCTTCAATAAGTGACGTTGACAAGCACGCACGGCGATCCAGAGTCGAAAAAGGAACTGATCCTGTGAATCAAAGGACCTGATGAAACAACACGGAAGCAAAATAAGGACATCTACCATCTATCATCATCTATAATCATCCATGATTATCCATATCCTATCCATATCCTATCCATTGAATCCATTTTGGCATGGCATGGTGCCGTGGCAACGCGGCAACCTCTCCCAGCAGGCGACCTTCCGAAACGTCGCGATCCACCTGGAGCTTCAGCCAAGCCGGAAGCTATGAATGTTGGCTGTTGTGTGTCTTAGCAGACCTGAATCAGGATAAATTTGATGAATTTGACGAATTAGGTGGATGGTGATGATGATGATGATGATGATGATGATGATGATGACGATGATGATGATGATGATGACGATGATGATGATGATGATGAGATGATGAGTTGATGAGTTGAAGAGTTGAAGGCTGATTATGGGTGGACCACCTTTTATTGGTGCGCTTGCTGAGCTGCAGGGTAGCTATGAATGTCTCAGGTCCGTGGCACGCATTCCGAGAGACTGGGAGAGTCGAGTCCTGAATTGCTTCCGTGAGACATCGAGAGCAGGTCAAATTTTAAACGTCCCAAAGCTGGTTTTTTGAACATGCCAAATGAGGCCTAGTAGCTCATCCCAGTAGCTCATCCCCCCCAAACGCATATTGCCAAGATCCGTTCTGCTGCCGATTCGACATTTGTTATGTTTTTACGGTGAAGTCACAAGGTTGATTTTCAGTAAAACACGTTAAAAGTTGTAAAAAACTATATTACAAACTATATTAAAACACTATGAAAACATATTCATCTCCCCATTGACCCTAGCATGTTGTAGCCATGAGCTGGGAAGGCCTGGTGGGATGACCTCCCCTTCCGTCCAAGGCCGGAGCTCCTCTGAGGATGGCCGTAGCGGATCTCAGGGAGAATTCACTGAATGGAATTCATGTGGGATTTAATATGATCAATATGATTTAATATGATTTAACATGGAGTTTATACGTATGAATTTATGATAGACAACTCAGCAATTGGATGAATTGTAGTTGATAGAGTTGATGATTTTGTGGATGTCATGTGGTGTTCATGATACAACAGTACTAAATAATTATGCTAAGTCATGCGTGTATGTATATGTATATGTATGTATATATAATATACATACACATATGTGATCCACTGATAGTTCCCTTCTCATGACACAAACCTTGCCCAGAACCTGGGGTGTTCACAAAAAAGGGGTCCCACAACTGTTGGCTAAAAATGATGCCGGGCCAAGGCCTGGGCCGTCCAGAGAGGACAGAAATCTTCAGGGACTGATGAGTGGCTGGATTTTCAAGACACAAATCTTCCAATCAGTATATATATGGGTTTGTCTGAAAATAGGGTATATTCCCAATTATAGCCATTTAATAGGGATAATGATCATTAACCATTGGGTTTAGGGGTACACTATTTTCAGACAAACCCATATATATATATAATATTTTATAATTATGAATCATGAACATCCAGATGTGAGATTTGGAATCCACCAAGCGAAGATGTGTGGCCTGATCAATCACTATACCTGGCAAATGGTCAGGATCACGTCTCAGGTGCCGGTCAGCGAGGCGGGTCCTAGCCCTGGGATACTTTTGGGTTTCAGTCTTTGGGATGTTCAGAATCCGATTGAAAAGTAGTGATACCAAAGGCGCTCAACTGCCATCGCATGCCAATCATATGTGGGATTCCAATTTTGAGACTGTGGATACTGTGGTTTGCGTGAAAATTGGGTACCCCAAACCTGATTTTTTATCATAATTTTCCCATGAAAACAACAATTTTGGTGTATCCGTTCTCAGACACCCACATATCGGCGCAGCGCCACCTGATGATGCAGGCAACCTCCGAGAGGAGCCAGCGCGGTGAAGTTGCATCCCGCAGTCCGGACCGCGGAATGACCAGGGAAAGCTATGGAAAGCTGGGGTTACCAGGGGTTGCTTGTTGGATTTTGATTGATATGTTTGGTCAACTTCGGTAGGCTGCTATCAACAGCCTGACTGAAAATTAAATTCGGACAAGAAATGGCCAGAGCATACCTTTATTCTTAGGAGAAGAGTGGCATTGTGCCAGAGAACCATTGGTTGGCTCCCCTTCATGCATTTCTGACAAGAATTTCCTGCTCAGACTCAAGGACGCCCATTTTTTTGCAACGCACCGGATGTTTTATTTGTTACACAGCTGGAGCCTCCAAGTGCGAGGCCGCAGCCGCGGACTGAATGGCAAGGGCAGAGAAGAGAGGCCCTGTGACGCTGCGACGGGACTGGGAACAGCGTTGGATGCTTTTGGAGACAGCAGACAGCTCCTGCCAATTAACACATTTGCCAACTAGAGAAACACGGAACAAGCACAGAGACTTCACTACACAAGTCACATCTAGTCACCAGAACCCCCCGTGAACTTGCGAGTACAGCGAAACAAAGACTTTTCCCATTTGCATTTGTTCAGTCTGAAGTTTTATCTAGCCGACCTCGGAAGAGATACATGTGTGAAGATCTGAGATCAGGTCTATACCAAGAGACGCGGAGGCGGGAAAGGTGTTTGGTTTTTGGTCATGACATGAATGTCATGTCACATGAAACTCAGTGAATCTGTATATGTGAGCATGTAGATTGAGCTTCAAGGGTAGATAGAATAGAGATTGATTAGAGCCCATGATGCCAAGTGACTTGCTGTAAGAACGAAGCAATCATCAAAGAGCGCCAAGCACAGGGCATCTCTTTGGTGTCAGGAAGCGTTCAGATCCTCGTGGCGATCGGAATCGCTGAAGGCGATGATTGCCGCCATAATGACCGCCTTTTTGATCCTTTTTTGATCTCTTGGTTCTGCTCAAAACTCCAGGGACCCCTAAGCTTGATGGCCTATCTCAGGTCTGAAAAGCCAATTGGTTTGGGGTATCGGAGCATTTTTAAAGACCCTCAAGGCATCTCAAGGCTCCTGGTGACTTGCGCCCCAGGATGTGCCTAGCATGTCACCAGACCAAGCAGGCGCTGCGACCTGACGACCTGACGACCTGACGACCTGCGAAAGCTTTACAGTCAAATTGCTGGTACTCATGATGATGATGATGATGATGATGATGATGATGATTTATTATTGTTGTTATTGTTGTTATTACGGTAATGACCGAGTTGGAGTCTTTTGAAATGGATACACCCTTGACTAGTGGAAGGAAAAAAAAGTTTTTTCAAAGCTTTTGACTCCTTGTAACTTCAATTACTTCTCATCCTCCTGCCCATTGCAGAAACCACACAACCACACACTCTCTCAGCATCTCTGATTTTCCAAGTTCAGCCTGGGAAGGATTCAATGAACCTGGCACAGCGCTTTTCCGTTCTTTGAGGAGGTGTTTGCACCTCAGAGTTTGAGACGCAGTAAATGCACAAAAATACTGCATCCATGCTTGTGGGTTGAATCGCCATTGTTTTAATGTTGGATGGGAAGGTTTCTGCTGCCTTCTGCTTATTATTTATATGGTATTTATTGTATTATATATATATATATGTATATATATATATTTATCCGAACGCATTCATTTGTTGATGTTAAAGCTGCTCCCGCATATGAATTTGTACACTATCAAGTTCACATTGATAAGGAAGACAGGCAACAGGGAAGAACCGAGAAAAATGAGAGGCGAGATAAACAAAGGAAGAAAACCACTTGAAAAAGGACACCAACGAAAAACGGACTTGGAAGGAATTGGGCCTTCAGAGAATGTACTTTAAGTCAAAGTGACTTCAAAGACAACGCCACATCCGGTTGGCAACAGATCTTTGCTTAGCATAGTGAACAATTGTAAACAATCCTTGCAAGCAAGGAGCAAAAGTTCTGTAATTATTATTCTTTTTGACCCCTTATCTTCTCTATTTGCTCAGGCTTACGGCTTACTTTTTTATGCATGCCTGAGATGCTTATTCTATCATGCTATAATATATATATATACATAATCGATTTCAAGTGTGCCACCTGTGGTTTGCAGTGGCCTAAAGCTGAGTATTTGGTGAACATGGAACCATGCACCTTTGATGCCCTAGGTACAAACCTATCTTTGATGACTAGTCAGGCCTCGGGCAGTTTGGCAACGCCTAAACGGTCCACCAAGCAATGCAAGATGGATTTCGTAGGGTTGAACATGTTTAAGATCTTGCAAGATCTCGCCACATGGATTGTCCAACATTTAAGCACCCAATAAATTCCAATGGTTCAGAACTTGTTCTAAACCTCAATCTTCCCATGGTTTCAGGGCTATATCTTGGGGGTAAAACAGCGAAGTTTCAGTCTTTTGCCAGATCCAACTGCCCTCAGAGAAGTCGCGGGCAGCTCAGATGTCTGGGAAAATATCTCCCTAGTTGAAAGCACGGGATATTTCCAGCAAACGCTATGTTTTATTTTTTTTCCAATAGGTTTTTCCATTTGAAGCAAGATAAACAAATGAACTTAGATGATTGTTTGAAGATCAAGCATCATTTTGGAGGGTTGTAGGAAAGTTGCAGAACCATGGTTTACCATTTTTTTTCGGGGGCCCAGCTTCTCATGACTTACATTCTCCTCCATCATGGCCTTACCTGGCCTTGCAGAAAGCACATCGACCCCAAGTTGATTGACTTTCATTGTTGCCGCACTAGAATGACCTTGAATGATATTTAATTAATAAACCACAACTTTTTTTTTGACAAAATCCGAGACATTTCTTGAGCTAAGACCCGAGTGAAAACTCTGAGGTGTCATTGGATTCTCAGATTCCCGCTGGACTTGGAGGCCAGCCTGCAGACTGGTTGCAGATGGCCAGCTTCAGATCATATTCCCGAAGGCCCGAAGGCAGAAAGGATATGTGTTGAAAAATCATGAACACACACACACACATAATTATACGTATATATATATATATATGTATATATATATATGTATATATATATATGTATATATATAATTATACATAATATGTAATAGTAGTAGCGATAGCAATGAAAAAACATGATAATGATAACACTAATATAAGATATCATTTACACTAACTTTAAGCAGTGGTAATAAGAGAAGGAAGATGTTTACAGATTGATCAGAGGTCAACGCTGGGGACATGAGGCCGGTCACGATCGCCATCGAGGATGACCAAAAGATGCAAGGCAATGGGGCTGAGTTTTCGAAGTGACCCTGTTGGATGAAGGTTGGCAAAACATCTCCGACATCGACCAAAATTGATTGATCACAAGGAGCGAGTTGAAGAGAATCTATGAGAATCTCACACATTTTGGACTGAGATGGGCAACTTGGGGAAACTCTGGCAATCACGACCGTCGAACTGCCAGGGGCGCCAGACCGCAGCATGTCAGCGGCCTCTGCGACAAAAGCGCTGCTGCCGTGGGCAGAGACCAATTTCAAGAAGTCACATTTTGCAAGTCTGCCAGAGAATACAACGGATTATGAAATGATTTGAGTGCAGTGCGACCGGTGCATAGTTCGCTTCATACTTGATTTCCAATCCAGGAACAGATATCTTGGAGAGTACAACTGCAGCACCGAAGAGCGATACATCATGACAAATCAAAAGCAGAACACAGATTTTTGAGCCGAAGGAAAACAGGATAACCAGGATTTGAGAAAAACTTTCTACATACCAGAAGACAGCAAAGACAAGACCTATGTCAGTCTAGATTTCATAGCGTGTTTCAGTGTTTCCTCAGTGATGCAGCCATTCTTCCTTGTTTTTTACAGTCATGTTAGCCCATGCCGCACCCATCCGATAAAACTGAGATCGCTGAGAGGCGGGACAATCACCTAGCAAATGTTTGACAGCGTCACCCGGAACGAGCCGCTTCGTTCGGTGGCAAGAAATGATGATTCGACAGATGAGTTCACTGATGATTCTGCCGCCGGGAGACACCGCCAAAAAGTCAGCAACCCAGCCAGAAATTTCCAGAAATGTCCTGGTCACTTTGGTGCTTTGAAAAGCACCGGTGCTGGTGGCAGGAGCCGCCTGCACCAGCCAGCATCTCTCCGTCTCCGATTCTGCGTGTTTTTTGGTCGCATTCCTTTCCGATACCACTGCTCAGGTTTTCGTGTGATGATGCGTTCGACGGGGAGCATCTTGTTTGCAACTCGTTTCTTGTGGAAAAAATATTTAAAACATGTGGTAGAACTGTAGAAGCTAGAAATCTTGAATGGCTCTTGCAGCAACTTGCACCCCAAAATCAAAGTCACAAGCACTGCACCAGTGCCAAACGTGTGCAATCATTTTAAATGCACCTGCAGTGCAAGTGACAAAGTGTTGCAGAACTTTAGGTGGGGCTGATTTTCATTCCCATCATTCCCTATGACTGAAGATTTTGAAACTTGAATCTGAATGGTGCTGCGACCCATGGTCTCCATGAGGCTCCGCGCAGCTTCGAAGTTTTCAGCCTCGCATCATTGTTTCATCGTCCCAGGATGTCAGGATCCTATGCGCAACTGGATCTCCGGGGATTACCATATGCCATCCCGCAAAAATCATTCAGGTGACAGCATGAACATATGAAAAACATTTTGGAAAGATTCAAATTACAAGGTGCAGTACTGTCCAGTATTTGCGTTAGGGAACCAGAAAACCAGTTGCATCCAGCTGTGCTCCTGAGGCCGACGAATCAATAGTCAGCAGCCAGCAGCCAAGTTTGTGCCAAGGATGACACGAGTTGTCTACCGTGCGTTGTAGGTGGATGGTGAAGCATCTCTGAAAGCTTGATGCACAAGTTCTCAAGTTTCCCAGTTTCCAATGCATTTTGACACTGCAGCTGGATCAAACATTGACCAAACTAACTGAAAGACCACAGCCACAACATGCCACAACGATTGACACTGGCATCAAGTGACCAGATTTGCATGTTTGATAGAATGCCCTTCATCCTGCCCAGACGTGGAAGTATCGGACTTCTCAATCTCGTTTTTGGATCTTTTTGGTGCCGGAACTTACGCAACTTCCTCGTGCCGTGCAGAGATTCCAGAGATTCCAGTGCTGCCATGGTGCTGTGGATGATTGGTCTGGGTTTAGGAGATGAAGGTGATATCTCCGTGAAGGGGCTCAAGGCAGTCCAACGGATGCTCGACATGTGAAAAATATTGAAAAATGGCCTCAGAGATTGCATGGTAGTCTTGAAATATTCTCTGATTTATCATTGGAACATAGGAATAGATTAATTATGATGAATAATAGGAACTCAAGACAATGATGTGCGTGGAAAAGACGCAACATGATTGAGGGAGCGCATGGAAAGGAAGTCCAGAGATCAACAAGAATTTTGTTTGATCTTGTTTGCATGTGCAATCTGCACCAGCTGAAAAGGAGAATAATGTGATGTGCATCTGCACGGATGTTCTAAATATATGGTAAATGATGTCGAATGTATATGGAGTGGCTGGAACAGTGCCTTCCTCTGAGTTGCCCTGAGGAGCGCATATGTTTACCTGGAAGCGTGGCTCATTTGCACCATTGGTACCATTCGACGTCTGATTTTTGTGCTTCGAAATGCGCGGCAGCTCGCAATGCTGCCCCTTGCCCCTTGCAACATGTTTCTGTGGGGCCCGATGGTGTTCAGTGTCCTCCTTTGTTCAGCACTACTGCTTCAAATTGGACTAAAGAACCCATGGATGCCATTCCTTCTTCATGGTGCATCATAGTGCGAACAAGGTACACATCAATTCTCCCTGGTCTTGACAGAGAGACATTGGCTGCAGCGCAACTCGACAAATAGATACAAATAAAAGACTACAGGAAAACGACCCACGCTTGGCAAATAATCAGCATGACTAGCGAAAGTAGTTGAAACTTAAAAGTAAACCAAGTGATGTACTGTACACTTTAATATAATGATATGTTATAAACCATTATAAATCTATCATCTAGTAATGCCCTAGTCCCTTTGTGTAGACCTTATGTGATGTATATCGACCAGTCGCAGTTCCCGTGAGGTACGGCGTTTCTGAAATCATCGAAGCAGATCGAGAGTTGGTGGAGAGCGGCTGCGAAGAGATGCTGGATCGAGCTAAGGACCAGCCAAAAAGCTCAAGCGATGGTAAAAAAACATGGATTTACCATGAACAACAGGAGATTGAATTTCATGATTAATGGGATTTTTCTATGGGATTTAATGGTACGTATATTTCATGGGATGGTATATAATTGGATTTGAATGAGATTTAGTTGGATTTGAATGGGATTTAATGGGATTTGATTCAATTCATTTATGTTTTGTGAAATCCTGTCCCCCTCACATTAAACACTCCCTATGTGTTCCCAAATATGTTTTCCAGTCCCCTACTAAGCCATGGTTTCTGGGAGGAGGTGTTTAGTATTAGAGGAAGGGATCAATCATGACATTGATGATTACAGCATTATGTGGTAGGAGATCCAGTATCACTTATCATAGATTGACACGTACTATTCAATCCCGCCTATTGTCAATGATATTTCTTAGTTTAGGATTTGATGTGATCCACATATCATAGAGATCCTTATAACTACAATATTCCCAGCTTGGACATTGTTAGTCCAATGATTGGTGATTGTTGGTGCGGGTTATATGATTCTTTGGACACGGATCGTAATTTCTATATAATACTTGGCGGAAACCACCGTTGATTGAGGACTACTTGATAGTAGGTGCAGCATGAATATGTTGAAGTTCTTGATCTTGGACCCTTCATTGTGACTGAATCGACCTGTAGGACAACGAAGTGTGGCTTGGCAGCCTTTTTCAATCAATCTTACCTATCCATCTTAAATACTGTATATCTATCCACTTTTCACCGTTGTTTGACATGCATGTACACCACTTTACAGAGGCACCAGATTTGTTGGGATTGACACCAGCTTTCCTTGGCAGTTTGAGGTCATTTTTGGTTGTTGGAGACCCTCTTTGTGCCACGACTCACACTGACTTGTGGCTGCGTGCGAGGCCGAGAACCGACGGTCTCTCCCCATTGGGAAATCATGGGAAATCATCATGTGGAGAAAAAAGGGTGGGTATTCCCATTGACTTTGCAGGCAAAAGGACATTGCCGTTCAGGTGCTCCACAATGCATCGGTGCTTGGCTCAACTTCAGGTCTTCGGTCTTCATGCTGGGAGAAGCAGCAGATTTGGTGTCATTGATTGGATTTGTTGGAATTATGGAGGAATCTACCATATCTTCAGAAGCCCTTTTTTTTCCGTGTGTTTTCTTTTTTCCCACCAGAAAATATGGGTTTCCTGTAAAATTTCCCGAAAAGCAATCGAATAAAACGGCAAAGCAACAAGTTGGACATGGTATGGCTTTAACCAACTCCTTTTCTACCAGAGGTTAAGAGGCTGGCTGCAACTGAGGTGATGAACGCAGTGGCCTCCTGCGGGCTTCAGTTGTATCGTTTTGGTGAGACCGTGTCCATTCCGTATTGGCTGGATGATTGGCGGCCAGATAGCTGGTATGATTCCTGGCCCGATTTAAAGCCACCAGCAGTAGGTCACCAGCAGTGCAGTTCTTCTTGGTGACGAGAGAGTTGGGACCTTCTTGGACCTAGGACAAAATCATGAAGAACAAGAAAGCAGGCCTTCATACATTGTGCTTGCTTGACATCAAAGTCAAGGAGCAGACAGTTCCTTGGAGGCAGTGACAGCTACTGTGTTGAAAGGTGCTGAAGAGCGTTGCTGCAAAAACTGCAGCATTTGGACTCAATCCCTACTGTATTCTCCCTCAGCAAAATGTATGTATATATTATATAATATATATATATTTACATATATATATATATATCTTTTTTGAATGAGCAAACCTTATCCAAGACTTTCGCAGGATTCACCGGGTCACCTTTTCACCATCCCTTTAGCGCGGAGACAGGTTGAAAACCTCATGCGCGGCCGCAAGATCTATGAGCCGCCAAGATTCATGACAGTGACTCGGATGAGCCAAGCGCACGGTGTGAACCAAGTCAAAAAATGATTGACCGTCAACATGTAAAGGTTTGGACGCTTCTGACCTGTTTGGTCAAGTGACTGGAGGTTCAATCTCAAGACGTGCCCAATCTCAAGTGCCAGCTTTCCTACCAAGTTTTGGCCCAGGTAAAGCAGGCCTTGGATCAGCTGTGCAAAGTGGAGGAGGTTCGGAGATGTTTCTCTCCTCCAAGTGTTGCACTTTTCCTGTAACATTGCATTTTTCTGCTGGTATCTCAGAGTCTCAGAGTAGCCAAAAAGACTCCAAAAAGTCATCGCCAGGCTTATCTCAAACTCAAAGTGATCCAAGATCGTTTACTTTTACTACGTGGATTAATGGCATTAAATTAATGGGGAGGATTGTCAGCAATACATAGTAGTACATAGTAGTACATAGTAGTACATAGTAGTACCATGTAGTACCATCCAATATTCAAATTCCTATCAACCGACTTGTCGCATCTTCCAAGATGTCAATCTTATCAACCAACTTTTCTGATATTCTATGTCATATTCTCTGTTTTTTCAGATATGTCAAGCATTTTAAGGCCATATAAATCATATAACCCATGAAAACCGCCACTGGAACCAGCAACCGGCGGCAGGATCGCCAAGAGGGCGTGGCTCCCCCAGACGCATGCTGCTTTGGCTTGGCTCGGCTGGGCCGGGAAGACCAGGCGACATCCTATCACAATCTCATGATACTGATGATACTGTATATATATATATATCATTTATACATGGATATATTATGATATATGAGTATTTATGAAAAGTATAATCAGACATTTAGGATACATTATGACTATAATCCATGATATGTGCTAATTATTTAACACATCAAGTGGCATTTAACACATCCCTTTTGAGCATTGGATGCATCCCACACTCGAAGAATCTCGAAGACATCGGACTGGAGGTGATTCGAGCTGGTCCCGTGCACAAGATCGCGGAGCTGGATTTTGGAGGACCTTTGCACTCGTTGGTCCTGACCCTGGACGTTTTTTTCGGCCAGTAATCACAGGGGGGGCAGCAGCCGGTTACAGTCAAATCCAGAGAACACCACCAAACCATGATTGACATTGCTAGTGATGATTTGACAATTTCGTTGAACCTGTTGGACGCTGAGGTCATTTGCGCAGAAGAGCTGCATGAGCTTGAACAAGAGTTTGTTGACTTCTACGCGTAAAAGAGTATGGTGCATCCGTTTGCGATGTCTTGATCCAATAGATTTAAGAAGCACCTTGAACTTCAACTCTAAGGTGTTTTCTGCCAGGGTAACTTGCTCCTCGAAGTAGGGTTGGTTGTGGTTGGCTGCACTTGCACACTTCTGCACATTTCTGCACTTTGGAGAAGCTGAATCTATGGACGTTGCTCAGACAGAACCGGCTCAGGTTCGATTCGTCAATTTGGAGGTGCTGTTGAACGGCAGTTGATTTGCAGATATAGAGTTGATGAGTTGGAAAGATGGCCCCTGTGGCTTGGGATGGTCGTGAGGCACCAGTGCACAACAAAGAAGGAACCGAGTGCTTTTGACACTGGGCTGGAGGTGGGGAGCAAAGTTTTGCTTTTCTCGAGATGCAACATCCAACAGCTTCCAATATATCCAATATGGAAGTGAGTTCAAACTTGCCAGGAGATGCGGTTGTTGGCATCTCTGTACTTTGCTGGGTGTGGCATCCCAGCACACCAGTGGGATAGCCCATGGTTGGGTGTCCACGGGGTAGGGCATGGTTCCAACCTTGGGCAGGTGATTTAAATGCCACCCTGAACCCCTGGTTTAGTCTTGAATCTATTCATGTCGCGGGCTCTTACTGGGGGTGTTTAAATTATGTGAAATGTATACGTCATATGAACCGGAGAAGGGGCCCTCCCAGAACCCCATTTGTTCTCAGCTCAGGTGTGGATCATCTGCACTCAGAGCCTTCTCAATCTGCGGATGTGGAACCTTTGGAAGGACGGCATCTCTGCAGGCTTCATGGGGCACTGGCCATGACTGGATCCATTAGGCTATGGCCAAGATGTGTTTCCAGAGGCACGTAATGGCACCTAGATTCTTAGATGATTTAGATGTATTTTCCTCTGACAAGGAACTTTCAAGCTACAAGTAGCCTCATGTTTGATTTTCAGAGGGTAAACCCACTAGCAATCCCTATCCTGCGCTAGATGAGGCCTATGGGATTGTTCCTCATGGCGCGCAGTGAATGCAGTGATGATTATGACAACACCAAGAATCAATGGATCAATACATCACCCTAAAACATCTTTTTCATGATATTTGATGATAGTGTGGTATTTTCATCAATACAGTCAATACATCATCAATGATGATATACGATACAACGAGTCTTCTATAATCAGAATTAAGTGCATTAATTTATAACAGTTCTTCATAATCATCCATAGTCATCTGCAGTACGATCATTTACCCATCATCACTAATAAACCATTATCAACCATTATTAACCATTATCAACCATTATTAACCATTATTAATCATGAAACACCACTATCAGATCCCATCATCCATTGATCAATGAGATCTGACATACCCTGCCCGGCTCATCTCATAGGACATAGGAAGCACGTGGCGCTGCAGGTTGTTGGCCCAGATGATCAAAAAGATGCGAATCAAACATGGCACTGGACAGCAGCCATTCATATATCTATATCTGTACATATATATATACGTATATATATATATGTGATATATTCATACATACGTTACATGCATTGCATCGCATTGCATTACAAGACATGGTTTGACCCCTTTGGTACTCGTCGCAAATATCGGTTTTCATTCCCAGGTCACGTTGCGATTCCCTTGCAATTTCCTGAGCAGGCGACAAAGACTTCGCATCACAGATGGTTTCCACTATCAGTTTGAGTCGTTGGAAGAAGCTTACAGTAGAACATGTATCAAGAGTGAGACTTTTGAGACTGGAATTGCATGCTCCAAATCTTCCGCGGATATATGGCCTACCCAACAGAAAAAAGCATCACGTCAGGAAGGGCTGACCGCCCACTTCTTCGAGACAGAGACCAGTGCGGACGAACGAAGCGAAGGTAGTCGTTCACAGCGTTCGCAGCATTCACAGCGGCGGCGATCGTAAGAGCAGAAGGAACTGCTTGAGGCACCCCCGGTGATTGCAGAATAGGTGGTGGACTGGCGGACGATTTTTGTTGAAACATGTTGATAGGTTGAGCCTAGTTGCCCTTTAGCATTGAAGCCTTAGCAATGGAAGGCTCATTTCATTAAGCGTAGCAAACAATTCAAACAATTATAGATATTATTGGAGGTTTCAGTTCAGTTGATCCAAAAGCATATCCAAAAGCCATTGATGTGACTTCAGCTGTTGGCTCAGAACGCTCACCCGGTAGCCCGCCAGCCATGGATTCGAATGGGTCAAGCATTCTCATGGTCTGGGTGAAAGCATGGCTGCTTTATTTCGCTGTCGCTGATTCAATGCTAACAGTGGCAGTGAATCTGGGCCTCCTGCCTCAGTTTGTCTTCGTGCCATACCTGATCGATGGTGCAGGCAGGATGAACCCAGTAATTGGGGTCTTGCCGAGTGCAGGAAGGCCCCAAGTTGTTGTGATGAAGAATTCATCTCCTGGCCCTTGCGAAGGCCCCGCATTTGACAAGTGTTGCGATTTGTTTTTTCGTGACGACCCTGTGTGCCACAGGGATTTGGGCCCTTCTGGCCCAAGTGGTGGTGTATCCGCTGTTGATCGGATTCTCTGCCATCAAAGCTCAGTACTTGACCAACATCTTCATGGATTCCCTGGGTCCAGGTAGTCCAGGACCACTACAGGAGATGGGACACGGATATAGTGACTATAGTGACATACTGGGAAGGGGAATCAAGGGGAATCATTGGGAAAGCCTAGCTAGGTCCTGGCGAGCCAGGACACAGCTGACACCATCGCAATGGCGCTTGGGATCCAAAGCAAAGAGGGGAAGGAGAAGGTGATCTCAGCCTTACAGGTGTCTTGGACGATCCATTTGATATTTACATATATTTGCAACATTGATATACATTGATCACATTTATATTTCACATATTTTTACATGTGTTTCGATGTTTCAACCATATATTGTATGTAGACTGTATGTCGTGGATAAATGAGTGCTAGCATTTCGAGGTAAGAGACATGCTGAGACCGCAATTCTCAGCTGATTTTGCTCAGGTTTCTTTGCTTGTCTTCCTGGCGATATCCTTTGGTCTGGCATATTATTTCACTGCAGAGGGCGTTGACCTTGGCTTCATCACCGGTTTCTTGGAGGGTTCGCTCTTGATGACCACCGTTCTGAGCTACGTTTTCCTGCTGGCTGAAGCAGTTGTGGTCCTCTCGTCTCGACGTGAGTCGCGATTTGGATATGCCAGCCTAGCAGCACAGGCCATCCTTCCCACTGAACCACCCAGCGGAACGAAATGGACACCCTTAATCGGAGTCGTCCTGTCAATCTTGGCTCAGATTGTGGTGGGTGTACTGGTTTGGTTTGAGCTCCTAGGTCCGCGCTCGGATCAGCTTCTAATCCTTTCAACGGCTGCGGGATTTCTGGCTGTGGGATTCGGACTTCAGAAGCTCTTTTCCCGAATTCTGAAGCCCCTGGTATTGTGTCCCTGCATCTCATGCTTTGGGCTGGTCATTCTGCTGGCCTTTGGGATTGCAGTTCTTACAACGCCGTTTGGCGTCAGATTCTACTACTGGTAGATTGTTGTGTTGTGGCTGTGAATGTGAATGCTATTACTGCTGTCATCTTCATGTTGCTGCTTGTTACATTGTTTCAAGATTTGATTCTCATTCAAATCACTGTTGATTTTCACTTGCTCACCTTAGTAGTCACTATGGCCACTATGGCATTTGACTGCCCCTGAGTCCCTTCTCAAGGTTGGTGCCTGCACTCTTTGGAGACAATCCGTACTATCAGCTGGATGAATCATTCTTTGAGCCGGCGCCAAAGGGTAGTAGCTTCAACACAACGCACCGAGCACCTGGGGATCCCCTTGGTTTCGGGGCCTATCCCGTCTGCAATTTGATGCAGTGGGACACTTGGCTACTGTGATATGATATGTGATATGTGATATGTGGGATTATGTGGGCACTTTGCATCTAGGAGCCCCTGTTTCTTGTTTTGGTATCGAATGCATGACGATATTCTATTCCAAACATTTTATACATATACTTATATATATATATGTCGAAGCATGCCACATGTCTTTTCCAGCTTTGGGGTTTGACAGAACAGCTGTCATGTCGCAGGGACCTTACGCCACTCGAGCTAGAAAGAGCCCATTTGCTCCTTCAGGTGAAGGGTCGTTCCTCCGCAATTGGTAGCGGAGCCCGGTGCGCCGGGCTCCCGCTGATGGCTTGCCTCTAGGAAGAGGCTTTCTTCGAAGCTGCCACGTGGTGGTCCAGGGACATCACAGATGGCGACACCCAGTACCAGTTCCACGACTGAGACTGGGCCGATGCGAACTTTTTCTGGTGAGTCGGAAGATGGCAAAGAGTACCGACGCTGGAAAACATGGGTGCTGAACAAGATGGTCACGATGGACAAATTAGCGGAATCGTCACGAGGAGCTTTCATCATGACACTTCTGACTGGAAAGGCCTATGAGGCCGTGGAGCATCTGGAATTTGCAGATTACCACAAGAAAGATGGTGACGAAATCATCTGGAAGCTGCTTGACGCTCGGTTTCCCAAACTGGAAGTGGTTGATGAACTGGCTGAGACACTGAATGAGGTCTTCACCCTTCGTGCCAAAGAGGGTGAGACGATGAAGCAGTGGACAGCCCGAGCCACTGAACTGTTTGACAGATGTAGCAGGAAAACCAGTGTCTCCTTTCCGGAAGAGGCTCGTGGATGGATTCTGCTGAACCGATCGATGTTGAGCGATGAACAGAGGGCCGTTGTGGTGTCTCGCTCACGGGGCGATTTGAAACGTGAGTCCATCGCCTCGGCCTTGAGGTCGTGTTATCCAGATCTGGTAATTCGCAGACGGGGTGCCGCTTTGGTTGAAGAAGCGTTGGCGGTCCAGGGTATTCAAGATGAGGTCAACGAAGAAGATGAAGCAGAATTTGATGATGTCTGCCAGTTTTTGGCCGACCACAGCCTTGAGCCAACAATGCATGACACAGAAGAAACGTTTCACGAGGACGACGTAGCGGAAGTCTTAGCCGCTAGCTGGAAAGATCGAAGACAGGAGCTCAACAAGCTTCAAAAGAGTCGTCAATTCCAGAAGGCGAAAGATGTTCGCCGGTCGTTCAGAGTGGAGATCGAGGAGTTGAAGAAGCAGACTACCTGCAATCGTTGCGGCCGCAAAGGCCATTGGGCCAGGGAGTGCAAGGCTCCCGCCTCCAAGGGTTCTGGCAAGTCGACAACACCGACTTCGACGTCTGGGGCCGCTGTCGTGCAAGATGAGCCAGATTTTGTGGCAATGGCCGAGATGCAACTGACAATGATCGAACAACTGCGACAGAAGCGGGCGTGTGTGTCTACGCTCGCTGAATGTGCTGAAGTGATGTTGATCTCCAGTCCTGGCTTTGGAGTTCTGGACAGTGGATGTGGCCGCACCATTATTGGCCGTGACACCCCGGAAGAATTTCAACAACTTTGGGAACAGCAAGGAGTGATCATGCCGCCCCTTGTCAACGAGACGCATCAATTTCGATTTGGAAATGGTCAGGTTGAAACGTCAACTCATTCCATTTGTCTGCCTGTTTGGATTGCCAGGAAGCGTGGAGTGATTCGGGCTGCCGTGGTGAATGGAGCAGCTCCTCTGCTCATCAGTCGCTCTGCCCTGAAGGCGCTGAAGGCGTCGCTGGATTTCCAACATGACCGACTTCAAATTTTTGATGGAGTCTCAATTCCTTTGAAGTGCAACAGTGCAGGACAGTATGTGATCAATTTGATGGATCGGAATGTAGCCGAGGAGCAGCAAGTGTCGGGGTTTTCAGAGGTGATGCTCACCGAGGTCAGGGACAAGGACACCGAGAATGTCTCTGAGCAGGTAATGGATTCCTGTGATGTGAGTGCGCCTTTGGAGGAGCCTAGTGATTCCTTTGCCCTGAGTGCTGTACCTCCCTCTGCAGCCACGCCATCTTGCTGGGTCCAGGACGACTGTGGAAGTCAGAGTATTCCATGGGTGTCCAGGGATGGTCCAGCCTGGTCCACTGTTACTAAGCGGGTAGTAATTGATGGGATAACCAAAAGGGTTTTAGCCTCACATGATTTCCTTAACCATGCCAACCAGCGAGCTACCCTACAGCCGCTGCCCCCAAACTCCGGATGCGTCATCACCAAGTTTTTTTCATCTTGACCCACGGATTGAGTCTCATGATGCTACAAGCATGGTTGACACATCGTGGAGACCAACAGTGAAACAGAGTCGTCAGTTATCGTCTCAAGTCAAGTCTTGCCATGAAGCGCTGTTGTCTCAGGTGAATCCATGTTTGGTCCAAGAGGTGTTTTCCCCTCCCAGGTTTGCTCCGTCAGCTGAAGCAATCGGCATGAAGGGTTTTTCATATGATCTCAAAACCGGATTTGATCTGTCAACCGCTGCCGACAGGAAACGCGTGGAAGATGCTCTGGAGAAGTCACCACCTGAACTGTTGGTCTTATCTCCTCCATGCACCGATGAAGGCGGATGGTTTCATCTAAACAGTACCCGGTGGGATCGTATGGAGTATCTCAGAAGGGTCGCTAGGAGCCGTAGCTATATCAGGTGGTGTTGCAAATTGTTTAGAGCACAAGCATCTAGGGGTAAGCGAGCAGTGTTTGAGCATCCCACAGGCGCCAAGACATGGACTTATCCTGAAATGCAATCGCTGTGCCGTCAGTTTTTCACGTGTAAACTGCACATGTGTAGGTATGGCCTCAGACTCCCGGGCAGTGAGAATTGCATTCGGAAGAGCACCCGTCTCCTCGTGACTCATGAGGATATGCAAAGCCTGTCTAAGTTGTGCCCAGGTTCAGGTGAACACTCAAAACATGATGTAGTGGCCGGTAGCTGGCCGGGGATAACTTCAGTGAGTCAATATGCAGGTCAGTATCCTCCAGAGTTCGTTGAGGCAGTGCTGCAAACAGTTCCCGCATACCGCGATGCACGTCCATCCGAAGTGATGGTAGTTGTAGATGACACGGTTCCGCCTGAGCAGTGGGAATCAGTGCTTGCCGTAGCCAGCCTGTCCGAAAAGTCCGATGAGGAGCTGTTGCCCATCATCAAGAAGTTGCACCAGAACTTGGGTCATCCTCCAAACCATGATCTCATCCGTGTTTTGAAGCACGGTCAGGCTAGCGAACAAGCTCTCCGGCTGGCCAAGGATTTTTCCTGCGATTTTTGCAAGACGCAGTGCCGTCCGTCAGTTCCGTTGCCTGCACAGCCACGCCGAGTCTCTGAGGTGAACCAAGTGGTTGGGTTGGATGTCAAGTATCTAAGAGGATGGCGCCCAAATCAGAAGGTGAAGGCTTTGAACTTGGTCGATTACGCAAGTGGATATCAGAGGGTCATTCCGTTTTTCGAGCAAGAAACAGCTCAGCTCATCCGCAAGATGTTTGAAGAACATTGGATTTCTTGGTTAGGCCCTCCTCGTGAACTGATTCTAGATGCAGCTAGAACCAATTTAGGAGAAAATATGGCCACGCCATCTGAGCTACAGGGCACAGAGATTCGTCCGATTGCCGCTGGTGCACACTGGCAACTTGGAAAGGTAGAGTCTCATGGTGGCTGGTTTGGCCGCTTGGTGGAGAAACTTGTGGATGCTCACCAGCCGTCCAACAAAGAGGAATGGTTGCAATGCGTGTCCCATGCCCACATCAAGAACCAAATGTTGCAAGTCCATGGCTTTTCTCCTCACCAAATGTTGTTTGGCCGCAATCCTAACATCCCCGAAGATTTGCTTAGCGAACCGTTGAATGTTGTTGCAGCCACAGCTTCCCTGACAGAGCAGGGAATTGCCAAAGCACAAGCCATGAGAAACACAGCCCGTTCAGCCTTAATTCAAATGCAGGACGACCGAGCGTTGCGTGTAGCTCTTCTGGCCCGTCCAAGGGTGTCCAAAGAATATGCTCCTGGAGACCTTGTTGCTTACTGGAGAGACCAAAAATGGGTTAAGGGTAAGCTTCAAATAGGGGGTCAATGGTGGGGAACCGCAGTCGTCCTGGGTAAAGTAGGCCGTAACTTTGTGCTGTTGCATCGTCGCCAAGTTCTGAGATGTGCTCCTGAACAGATTCGTCCAGCTACATCCGAGGAAAAGACAGTCCTCGGAACTCCTCAGGCTGAAATGTTGGGTATCAAAGACCTCATAGAGCAAGGTAACATCCGTAGTCAGCAATTCCTGGATTTGTTGCCTCAGTCTTACCCTCCTGAAGAATCACCACAACATAATCAACAGCCTCCGATGACCGATGAGGATATGGAAGAGTCAGGTCCAGTCAGAGCACCAGAACCTAGATCTAATTCAGTCGCCACCGCTCCGGGAACCAGTGAACACCGGGCTGCAGAGTTGACTCCTCAATCCGAAATGTCGGAACCAGATGTGACTGCTCCCGAGCCTTCCGAAGTGAATCATGAACAAATAGGTCCCAATGTATCCAACACTGGGGATAGTACCTATGGTCCCATTAGGCGTAGAGTGACGGGTAAAGATGGTCCTTTGTCCCTCTGGCGTCCAGCAGCCATGAAACAAGACGACTTTGTAGAGATCATGAAAGAGGTAGTTCCTCCTCTGATTGAACAAGCAATGGAGTCGTCTGGAGAAAGTTCAGGCGTCAAGCGCTCCTTAGATGAAGTGGAGTCAGCCCGAGCCGGTGAACCAGCTCCTGCCCGCCCTCGTATTGAGGAAGCCTTGAGCGTTGTAGAGTGTGACCAGCTGTGCGACAGTCTCCAAAACCAGCCTCATGAAGTTTTCATGGCAGAGTTTCTCAAAAAGAAAATGAGTAAAGAGTTACCCCATAGCAAGAATCCGCCGTTGCTTCAAAAGAAGGTTGATGAGGGTAAACGAGTAGAATGGGAAACAATAGTGTCCAAACCGCATGCCGTGAAAATTCACTATGGCAAAAAGGCTGCGCAGATCAAAGCTGATCATCCTGATCGCTTCATTGGCAGTAGGTTTGTGCTGACACGGAAACCGGTGACAGAAGGCCAAGAAGTCGATCCGAACGATTGGCAGACCTTCTCTGTAAAGGGTAGATGGTGTTTGCAAGGGCATCTGGATCCTGACCTGTCTGAGAAAGCTTCCGAGGGCATGCTCAAGTCACCCACTTTGAGCCAGCTAGGTCGCATGACGTTAATGCAGTTGATCAGTTCCTTAAAGTGGGATTTACAGCTTGGAGACATCCGTGGAGCTTTCTTAGAGACAGGTCCGAGAGACAGTCGGTTCAAACCTTTGTTTGCACACCAACCTCCGGGAGGAATTCCCGGCCTGCCTCCTGAAGCGGTCATCGAGGTCTGCGGAAATGTTTATGGTCAGAACGATGCCCCGGCAGCATGGTTCAAAGAGTTCTCATCATTTGTCACGTCTTCTGGTTGGACTCAAAGCAAGATGGATTCCTGTTTGTTTTCTTTGCGTGATCCTCATGACCCAAGCAAGCTGATAGCCCTAATGGGAGTTCATGTAGATGATACTGCTCTGGGAGGCGACGCTAGTCATCCATTGTTTCAATCAGCCTTGAACCAACTTCGTTCTAGATTTCCATATCGGAAGTGGCGTACAAAATCTGGAGAATTTTGTGGTGCTTGGTACACACAGATGGATGACATGTCAATCCACATGAGCATGAGATCGTTTGCCGAGAACATCCGGCCTGTGAATATCCCGAAGGGCAGCAATATTGATGATCCGCTGAATCCATCACAAATGAAGGTTCTTCGCGCAGTGAATGGTAGCCTTAACTGGCTGTCTAGTCAATCTCGACCTGATTTGAGTGTACAGACTAGCATGAGTCAGCAGTCTTTTCCAAAGCCCACCGTCAAAGACTTGCGAATGGCAAATCATGCCGTGAGACATGCTAGACAGGAAAGTTCGCTAGGAATCACCTTCAAGCCTATTCACCCTGATGATCTAACCTTGGTTTGTCATTCCGATTCAGCATGGGCAAATGTTGGAGTACATACTCAGGCGGGATATATGGTTGGCTTCACACATAAGGATCTACAGCATGGTCATGAAGTGTCTTGGTGTCCGGTGAGCTGGAAGAGCTACAAAATGCCTCGTGCTGTCAGCAGCACACTGGCTGCGGAGAGCCAAGCAATGGCCACGGCATCTGGAACTGTTGAATGGCTTGCACTGTTAGTGTCGGAGTTGCTGGATGGACCCTTGGTAGTTCGCGAATGCCGAGAGCGGTTGAAAAAGAGACGTCCTATCTTGGTGACAGACTGCAAGAGCCTGTATGATCACCTTCACTCTCCATCCTCCCCGACATCCATCGAAGACAGAAGAACCAGCATTGACGTAGTCATTATCAGAGAAAGTGTAAGGCTATTGAGCGCCTTTGTGAGATGGGTTCCAACGAACCGCATGTTGGCAGATGGACTCACGAAAGATAGTGGCCCACCTATAGACCTGATGCGAGCCTGTATCAAGCATGCTAGCTACCAAATCAGTCCGGAAGAAACAGTACTAGAATATCAAGCGTTGGAACGTGACCGTAGACTCCTGGAGAGGCAGAAGAGCAGGTCCCAACATAATTCATAGTGTCCCAAGGATTTCACTTCGAGAAGTGAAGTAAATGAAATCATGGTCCATTGGTGGTGATGATTGTGAGCAATCCGCAGTGACCGTGTTCAAGTTGTTGCATGCATTTGAATAGTAGCTAGCCGATTGCGATCCCTGTTTTTGCCTTTTGCCCCATGCCTGAGATTTCCAAGGAGCAAGTTTCCAATGTGAAAGCCTTGCTTGAATCAGCCCGTCGTGATGGCTGCCTCGAGTTGCTGATGACTGCCTTGCGTGATGAGCCGTTTCTCAGTGAAGCTGACTCGTCCGAATTTGAGGTGCTCTCTCCTCACAGTCTGGCTGCAGCCAGCATGACTGATGCATCCAAGCGCCGCGGAGACGACGGTTCCTTGGATGAACCTCCGTGTTCCAAGCAGCGTCCCGTGCTGTCACCCGAGATCAAGACCAAAGATGGTGGCAAGCCGTTTCCTCCAGGGGTTCGATCCATGGAAGAGTGGGGACGTACAATTCTGCCTATGGGTAAGTATGCCAAGGAAAATCTCACCTATGCTGATCTGAGCGACTCCACGGAGCAGGCCAAGCAGGCGTACTGCCAGTGGATGATTTCCCAAAAGGGCCGTGATGATTTGAACCCAGTGTTTCGCGACTTCATCAAGTATCTGCAGATGCGTGAGTCGGCAACTGGTTCGGGAGAGATTTATTATCCTGGCAGCACCATTGTGCGGAAGATGCGTCAGTGAGATGTTTTTGAAAGAGATTGAGCCCCAGCAAGGCGTCCTTATGCTTTTCACCTGTGCTTCTTCGTCTCATCTATAACCGCTTGGATAGCGGATGGAACTGGTGAATTAAAAGATTTTTGATCAGTGTCGAAGCATGCCACATGTCTTTTCCAGCTTTGGGGTTTGACAGAACAGCTGTCATGTCGCAGGGACCTTTACGCCACTCGAGCTAGAAAGAGCCCATTTGCTCCTTCAGGTGAAGGGTCGTTCCTCCGCAATATATATACACAATATTATAATATGTTTGTGTACGCAATAAGTTAAACATCCATTGTCAAGTTTTCGAAACGACTTGGAGGATCGGCTGCAGCCTTTGGATGGCAGCCAACTTTTGGCTCTCGACCTCATGATATTCGCATATTCCAGCTGGCTGAATAGTAGCGAAGACATCATGGCAGACGTGAAGAATATGAGCCTCAACACAGAGATTGAAAACATTGAACTTGAATTTGTGGCACCAGTTCGCCAGATGGCCCGAGTGGTGTCGTGGAGACTTCCGGACGTCAAAAAGCGAGTGGTGGCAATTCGAGGCTCCAGCTCAGCAAATGACTGGCTCTTCAACCTTGACACTTGGCGTATGATCAAATTGATCAAGCCGCCAGGGATGATTTTGTTCTGTACTACTAGGGCAACTGACGGTTTAGCCATACTTATCAATGTTGTTGATCATTTGGCACCTTGACCTTGCCATATATATATATACATAATATTATATATATATACTGTATATATATAATTATATATATATACATATGGAACGCCATCCCCAATTTTCAGACCTCTAAGTTTTCAGCCATTTCTCCAACCATTTCTCCAACCATTTCTCCAACTATTTCTCCAACCATTTCTCCAACCATTTCTCCAACCATCTCTCCAACCATCTCTCCAACCATCTCTCCAACCATTTCTCCATAAGGACATTTGGGGCCCTGCCGTGTTCTTCAGCCTGGTGCGTTCGGCCTTACCCTTCGGTGGTGCCATCCCGAGCAGCTTCATCCACCAGGTGCTGTCGCTGGATGTGCGGCTGCTGCTGGGCTTGCCAGCACCATGGCAACCCGTCGTGGATCAGATCAAGAAACTGAAGGCTGATGGAATTCGGGGGGTTGAGTATGTTTGTTTATGTTTGTTTAAAGGGGGGATGATTTTTCCTCGGGATGGAAATACATGGAGGATGTTGGGGTGGGTGTGGTTGGTTTCAGAGATGTTTGAGAGTTTTTTTTTGGGGGGGGGATGGATCTGGGGGGGATCAAGTTTGCTTCATTTTTGGTTGGCCATGAAATGCCACCGCAGGCGAAGAGCAAGGAAGATGGCTTTGATATGGTGCTCACAGGAGTTTCTCTCGGTGGTGGAATGGCAGCCATGATTGGAAGCAAAGAAGGCGCGGCTCCCCATAGGGTGCCGAGAAAGTTGTGGACAAAAGTTAAGAGGTGGCTACTGACCCACTGTAATGGGTCTCACAGGCAATACAAAACAACACATCACAACAGCATTCTTCTCACTGTAGATGTGTCCTTTTGCTGCTAATTATACACCATACCATAATACCACAGAAGGGTTACCCTCTGGTAATTTAACATAGCTATGGAAAATCACCATTATTAATGGGTAAATCCACTATTTCGGCTGGGCCATTTTCAATAGCAAACTGTTGACATAACCAGAGGGTACAATCTCAGCAGCCAACAAACTTTGGCATCCTCCATTGGTTGGAGCCATCACTGAACCATGGAGCAACTCCCCAGTAAAAACCATTCTTTTTGGTCATACATCAAGTCACAAATCCCCAACTTCTTTCCTAAAATTGCGGGTTTCTGCCAGAAATCCACATTTTTGCTTAGTGAAACTCATCCCCTCAAGAAACCTCATAAATTTTCTATTGATTAAATCTGTTGGAATAGAGCATTATCTTCAAATCCTATAGAGCGTCCCAATAAGATTATATAATATCATTGTTGTTTTAAACACCCCCTCAACAAACTCACAGTTGGCTTCAAGAACCTCCCAATTTTGCTGCCTAGTGTCCTGTTCCAGGTATTCAGACCTTGGCCATCGCACCTGTGGGCTCAGCCATGACGCAGTACCGGGTGACTCAGGGCATTGTGGGTGAAGAGGTGCCATTGGAAAGCACCGTGGTGGAGATCACACCTTGGGGTGATCTGACCTTTGGACTTTGGCCCATTTTTGGGTGATTTTTAAATGGAACACATATTGAAACATATATATATATATATAATGTAAAATCAGGGATAAACATGGAAAAACATAAGGTTACCTTTGAGGGGCAGGAACACACCGGTAGGTTGAAGTGGTTGAACAGGGAATTTTTGGGAGGGATTGAACCACCAACCTCGACTGCTTGGAGTTGTGACCACGTTTTTGATAAGAGTGTGGCATGGCTGCAACAGCTCAGGATTCCTTTGCTACTCGACCAGCAAGAAGGCACCGTACAAAAAACCGCCTGCACAGCATTCAATCCATGGACCTGCCACACGCCCAGTCAGATCATTTGCGAGCTTGGCAGAAAATGTGGCCCGGTGAAGTTTGATTTTGATCTCAGCTTGAGATGAAGAACACAAATTATACAACATATCTCAACATACCAAACAAAATCGCCAGAGAAAATCAATGGACATCATCACATTTCTGGGTAAATTATAACGACCTCACTGTTCTCCCTCACTGGAATCATGGTGAATAAGGGAAATCATCCCCAAATGGCCCAACAATTCAGGTTAGTGAAGTATTATAATTTAATATAATTTACCCAGACATGTTTGATCCATTAAAAAACCATCCTGTTTTTGGGGATGGTGGGCCACGTGGGCCACCCAGGCGGCGATCCGCGAAATCGCAGTTTGGAGAGGCATTGCTCGAAGCAGGTGGGTGAAGATTGGACACTATTCTCGCTGTTGAGAAGAGATTTTGCTCGGTGAGTTCTTTATGATACTGTGTGATTCTTTATAATGTAACTATAACTAATTATGTATTATACGTAGTATTAACATGTATCAACTAATTATGACATATAACTTAACATATTATAACGATATATTAGTATGAACTAATTAATTATCATCATATTTTAAAAAACAAATGTATAATACAAATGCTGCAGTTACATATTACACTTAACTATATCCGGATGATGTGAACGTTTCAAAGAAGTGGAACAACCCAACGTTCGGGTGAACCTCTTCCGTCAGAGGTTTTAACGATTCCTGTTCCCGACCAAGGAAACAGGTTCCCTGGAAACGGTTTGCTTGGCACAGCTTCCTTTAATGCGCCTATGCTACTCGCTGGGCAGGCCGTACCTGGTTTCATTGTCCCAAAGCCTTGGACATCTTTCATGGAAACATGTGGAAACCATTTGAATTAAGCCGACAGACTGTAGAGCGCCAATGATGTGCTCAATGGTGATCCTGTCGAGTCTCTGCTGAGAGCCACTTGATGGCGTGCAAACGCGAGAACGCCTCAAAAGGTCTGCAAGTTGCATCAAATTGCAGGTTTGACAGAGACCAGCATTGACCCGTGTAGAGATTGATGAATACAGAGGGCATATGCGCGTACCACCCTACCACCCTACCACCCTACCACCCTACCACCCTACCACCCTGATCCTTCTGAACTGCTCAGATGCTGCATCGCCAAAGGCACGGATGGGGGAGTGGATAACAAGGATTGGAAGTCCTAGAAGAAACTCTGGGATGACGAGAATGATGACGATGATGACTTGGCATTCCCGTTGTTCCATAGTGTTCCCAAGTTTGGGGAAACACACATTGACGGACATGGTGATAGTGATGGAACAAGAGCTGAGGCTTTCTTTTCTTCATTGTGATCAATGTCCTTCCGTCTGATGTCGCTATGGGCCAATATCTCTAAATACCATGTTTAGGGGGACGAACATCCATTTACCATGTGAAACCTGATCTGTCCCCATGTCGAAAAGGTGCAGGAAGGTCAGGAAGGTGCTGCCATGCCGTTTTCGCACCGATTTCGCCAGGAAAGCCGCTTCTCCCTCAGAGCTTGGTGATGTGAACGCAACTCGCAAGGAGAAGCCTGTCAAGGAACTTCCATCGGTTGCCAAGGCAGGAGAAGTTTGGATGGGACTTGTGGCACTCCAAAGTTTTTTGGGCTCGGGTCTCCCTATGTCGCCCTCCCTGCCAGCAGTAAGAACATGTAAGAACAACACTGCGACTACCAGCACTAGACCTTCTGCTGACGTTTCTACCTGCCATTATCGGCCAACTTTGTCAATATATTCCATAACTAGTCGCAAAAGGTCCCAAAGGTACAGTAGTGACACGATGCAGGACTTTCTCTTGTCGACGATGCTAGAGCCAGAGCCCCATCAAGATTGCCATTTCGAGGGTGTCCCATGGTATCCACCATTTTCATACACACCCACGTTTCAATCAAATCTGCACTCTTGCCTTTGATGGGCGGATGATTCTTCCAGCTATTCTTGTGTAGTTCCTGGCTGTAGTGCGGGAATGTCTCAATATCATCATGTAGCTTGGTTTATCAGATTTGCCTCAGGTGGAAGCACATAACAGCTACAGACGAAATGCGACTTGGTTCAACCTGAGCTGGGACACCGGGAGATGTCGTCGGAGCTTCCACGGTTGGCACAACGCCATACTGAGGAAAGATATCGGCTGGGCGTGAAGCTGAGAGTCTTGCAGAAAAGCTGGGCTGGGACCCCACTGAAGCGAGGTCATTCCTTCCAGACATTCGCTTCGTGTTTGGCCAAGGATCCCATCTGGAGGAGCTGAACATCATTCTTGAAACGATTCACGTGCAGACAACGATTGAGGCTAAGAAAAAGATGAACATTTCCACTTGGAAGTTGTTGGTCGACCGCTAGTGAAGGGCCACTGGGAAGAAATTTCAAATGCGGTGCGCTGGTTGCCGTGAACATGAACCAGTAGTTTCGAGCACTTTTGATTTTGGTCCTTTAAAGTCATGTCCAAAAGGCTCTGCGGTTGGCCACATGGCCAAAACATTCGGAAACCATGTGGATTTCAAAGGTCTCAGAGTCTGAGTCTTATCTCTTCCTGGGATGATCACCAATTGACCTTCATATTCTTCAGCTTGAAACCACCTGGTCCTTCTGGACATGAAAATGTGCCCGCGACGGTAGGACAATGGCTGAAATTTGCCTTCCGGTCGCAGGCATCAGGTGCAGTTGGAAATGGGACGAGGATTATCATCAGTTTTCCCATTAAGACATTAAGATCGCAACTTTATTCAACTTTGGGATATACTGCTGGTAGATGCTGGTTGAATTATCATGAATTATCCATTTCTGGACAAACCCAAACTGTCAGTTCACGGGTGTGGGCAGCCAGGATCCAAGTACAGTGGATCCTTTCGACCAGACTCACGTTGTGGCAATGAGTTTTTAGCAGAAAGGGTATTGCAAAGCCTGCTGACACTACGGATCTATAGAAGCCAATCTTATCCTATGTTGGATCTTTGAGCATTCACAGACTATGCTCTTGCAGCAACTTGCACCATCTAGTGCCATCGCTTGGAGTCAGCTTCGCTTGGAAAGAACATTTTTCCGATGCAATGGGAGACATTGTTTCCACATGTTTCCACATGTTTCCACATGTTTCCACATGTTTCCACAAGGTGAATCAACGAGAACTGCATTGATCCAACAGGTTCCAGGCTGGGATCTGCCAGGAGCTTCTGTCACACGGAGCGACAAAAGATGGACCTGGATCTCCAAGGACGACACCGTGAGGTGGAGGGACTTGTGCCCAAAAAATGTGCCCCAAGACGAACTGAAATAGTTGGGAGGTGGGAAACTAGACGACGGATGGCCCGAGAGCGTAGAGGAGGAGCAGGGTCTTCTCTTGCTAGTATGGAGACACCATCTTACAAAACAATATATTAAAGATATGTTATAGGCAGTCGAGAAGAGGAGTATCAAGACAATATAGCACAAGTACAAGACAATAGTTTGCATCGCAAACACTTTTACACACAGAAGCTTTTACACACAGACGCTTTTACACAAAAGTTTTTACACACAGAAGCTTTTACACACAGAAGCTTTACACACAGAGACTTTTACACACAGAAGATTTTACACACAGAAGCTTTTACACGCAGAGGCTTTTACACACAGAAGATTGCACACACAGAAGCTTTTACACAGCCGCTTTTTACACACACGCTTTTACACACAGAAGTTTTTACACACAGACACCTTTACACACAGAAACTTTTACACACAGACGGCTTTACACACAGACGCTTTTACACACAGAGGCTTTTACACACAGAAGATTTTACACAACAGACTCTTTTACACACTGACGGTTTTACACACAGACGCTTTTACACACAGAGATTTTTACACACAGAAGCTTTTACACACTGACGGTTTTACACACAGACGCTTTTACACATAGAGACTTTTACACACAGAAGATTTTACACACAGAAGCTTTTACACACAGAGGCTTTTACACACAGAAGATTGCACACACAGAAGCTTTTACACAGACGCTTTTTACACAAACGCTTTTACACACAGAAGCTTTTACACACAGACACCTTTACACACAGAAACTTTTACACACAGACGCTTTGACACACAGACACTTTGACACAGAGCACACAGAAGCTTTGTACACACAGAACAAGTCGCAATTTTACTTCAGTTTTTGGCGATTGACCATCATTTCGTGCGAAAGGGTTGCAACGGGAACCCGGAAATCGCAATTTTACCTCAGTTTTTGACGATCGACCCTCATTTCGTGCGAAAGGGTTGCTCCGGGACAAGTAAAATCGCAATTTTACCTCAGTTTTTGACGATCGACCCTCATTTCGTGCGAAAGGGTAAAGGGTTAAAATTCGCAATTTTACCTCAGTTTTTGCCGATCGACCCTCATTTCGTGCGAAAGGGTTGCTCCGGCACAAGTAAATCGCAATTTTACCTCAGTTTTTGACGATCGACCCTCATTTCGTGCGAAAGGGTTGCTCCGGCACAAGTAAAATCGCAATTTTACCTCAGTTTTTGACGATCGACCCTCATTTCGTGCGAAAGGGTTGCTCCGCACAAGTAAAATCGCAATTTTACCTCAGTTTTTGCCGATCGACCCTCATTTCGTGCGAAAGGGTTGCTCCGGGACAAGTAAAATCGCAATTTTACCGCAGTTTTTGACGATCGACCCTCATTTCGTGCGAAAGGGTTGCGTTTCGTGCCGTCTCGTTGGCACTGCCCCTGCTCCCGCCTTCAAAAGAGAAATAGAAAAGAAGGAGAGGGCAAGAGGGCAAGAGGGCAAGAGGGCAAGAGGGCAAGAGGAGAAGATGTGAGATGAGAAGATGTGAAGGTGAGAAGATGTGAAGATGAGAAGATGTGAAGATGAGAAGATGTGAAGATGAGAAGATGTTTTACAGACCCCCACTATTGGAAGAACCCTGCGCTCAGACGCTCTCGGGAAAAACAAACAAATACATACAAATACATACAAATACATACAAATATATTGATACACAAATACTAATTTGAAATGATTCTCGATGATTCTCGCCTGTTTCCATCTGAACCCGAAGCAAGGAGTCGGACGAAACCGACGTCAGCTCGGAGGAAGATGAGGAGGACATGGGTTTCCTTGGTGCCCGTTACGAAGCGGCCAGACACATAGTCCCAGACCGTGCTAGCCATGCTCCACTGGCTCTCCTATCTATTTCGATCTGTCCCATTCTATTCCTATCTGATAGGCTGATAGACTCAATGCTGCTTGTTGTGAGGTCGATCGGATCATGCGCGGTGAAGCTGCAGGCCGTGTCAGAATCTTCGGGATCATGTGCTCATTGTACATGCTGGCACAAGACCGCTTACATCCGCTTACATCAATCGGTCCAAGAATGTCTAAAGTCGAGACTTTTGTTCTGGCAAAGTGATGGTGCTGGAACGTGTGGAATGTGCTCGGCTGTTACATGCTATTTGGTCATGTCAGGTGTTACAACACCATATGTATCCATATGTTGCAACATGTTGCAACTGTGGGCAGGTTCAAGCACTGATCGAGTCCTTGCCTTGATTGACTGTGGGTTCTGAAGAGAGATTTGTTGAAACAACTGAAACATGTTGAAACGCGGAAACAAGATGGGTTGAAACATGTTGAAACAATTTGCCGTGAGTGTTCCTTGTGCAGACTACATAGACTACAAGTGAGAGTCGTGATTCTCGCGATTTGAGATGATACCTTGGCATGCGGGTGCTGTGTCCGCATGCGTCCGCAATGTTTGCTGGGTGCCTCTCTTTGTCCTCCACATCTTCTGCATCTTCGACATCTTCCGCTTAGATCATCTTACATCCACTGTACCCTACTTTACCCATTCTCCAAGGATGCTGTGGACCAGAACGTGTGCTGTGCAAACCTTTCGCGGCCGACCCCAAGTCTTGCAAAGTGAAGGGTTCCGTTCAGGAACACTTTGCACAACTTTGCACAACACATGTGCCAAAGAGTATGCTCCTGGCGCGCTGGAGAAGTCACTGCTGCGCAGCCTGTGTTTCTCCAGTTTCAAACAACATACAGTTTCCATGGGCTGCTTTTGAGCCACTTTGGCAACTCGTATCACCTTGCTCCTTCGCCTGCATTAAAAATGCAGAAACTGGGGGCAGAACAAAAATGTAGAGGGCAGCTGATGGCTCAATGCGATTTCATGATCAGTTCGTTATTCTTAGGCATCCGTGGATAAGCACTGGTGATTAGACAATTCAACGTTGGTTGCCCTGAAGCTTTCAAATCGCAACCGCGCCCAGTCTCGCAGAAAGGCTTTGAATAGGAAGAAGGGGTCCTTTGGAGTCTTGAGATGTTCTGATTGTTTTTTGAAACCTGGACGACCTCATTTGATTGGAAGCACGCCACCTGTCCGCTTGTCGCAGGCAAATTTTGGCCACTAATAATAGTAAATATACGTAATATAAGTATATATATATAAAATGATATGACGTGATATGATATGATGGGATTTCTCAAGTTTTGTTTCCAAACACGAGCATGATCAGACATGTGTATTGCGCAGCTTCTCAAGCTCAAATGTAAAAACCGGATGCAGCTCAACACTATTACTTGCGTGCGCGCATCAAGAACATTTTGCCAACAGTCACTGGTGCAATTTTCCCGGAATTATGTCTTGCGACAAGGCTTTGTGGCCAGTCCATGGAAGAAATCCCCCCAAGCCCCAGCTGTTGCTACAAAAACCTATCTCCCTCAGCACTTTCTTTATTGCTTCTTCAAGCCCTGCTTGAGCACGCAGAAGGGCAGAAGAGCCTCAACTGCAAGGAGCCAGGCTGTGGAAAGGACTGACAAGCTTCCAGAATGCGTGCTGTCTAGACGTTCAAAGCATGCTAACAGACCTACTTGTAGGGTCCCTCTGAGTGGGCTCGACATGAGTTGAAATTGAAGTCACGCTCTAGATATGTTGGCATCGATTGCTCTAGCGGTGACTCCGCCAAGCTGCCAATGGTAGCTAGTGGTGTGCTAGTGGTATGCTAGTGGTATGCTGAAGATGCACTGGTTTCATTCTCGCTTTTTGTATCTTTTGTAAGGACAGACAGACCGACTTGCCACTCTGGCACCATGATACGGAGTGATCAGGCCGTGTTTGTTTTTTCAAGGGTCTTTGCTTGTCATCTTGTCCTTGTTTGCTTTGGATCACTGGCGATTCACTGGCACTACATGGCACCAAAGCTCAAATGCCTGAAGCTGTTTGAGGCTTGAAACAAATAAGATCAGATAAGACTGTTGCCAAATCATCAGATAAGGAATTGAATCCCCGACGTTGACCTCCTCAAACAGAGAATGGACAATAAAGATTGCGGGATGTTACAGTATGCTGACATGCTGGTGTTTATCTCATCTATGTAGTAATGCGATTTTACTTTATTCGATATGATATGTGTTTAATTGCTTTCATATGATTGAACAACATCTAGCAAATTGTTGAATAACAAGATTCGAACAGATTCCAAGAGATTTCAACGGATTCCGTTATTGTAACTTTAAGGATTCCAAGTGCTTTGCAAAGTCTGCCAACATGAGCAGCTCTTGAAGGCAATCTGCCAAGGAGCGGAAGGCTTTCGTATGGATGAAGAGGAGCAGGACTTCCCAGATGAGGTTGCCATAGAGGACGAAAGCATCACAAAGTACCAGACTGTCCCAGAGACCTTAGAGGAGGTGCGTTTCCCGAAGGATGTCATCGAGGAGGCCCAACAGGCATGGATGTCTTTTACAATGGCTTCAACGAAAGAAGCAGCAGGTGAAGCGCTTTATTCTGCGATCTTCCATGCAGCCCCCAGCCTGCAAAGTCTTTACAAGATTCCCAGGCCCACTATGGCCTTGAGATTCATGAACAGTATCAACGCAGCGGTGGCCATTGCCCACAGACCTTCTGCACTTAAAGCACAGGCAGAAGCCTTGGGTTTCCAGCACTTCGACATAGACGTGACACCTAGTCGTGGAGATATATTCCGAGAAGCTATCCTGGAAGTCCTCGACATGGAATTGGGTTCTCGTTTTACAACGAGGGCTAGGATGGCAATCGGGGCCATCCTAAACTATTTGATTGGGGCCAACATCTTCGTACGCCGTGAATATGCGGGAAGGATACATCTCCTCCAGGATAGCTGGAACATGGCCAACCAACAGGCTCTCAGTGCCGTCGAAATGGCAGAGCAAGAGGATGCGCTCTTCGAGGATTCAGAACGTTTGGATGAAAAGCGCACTGCCAGTCCAAAGACGACGGATGTGCAGGTTCCGACGAGTTTTACTGAAATGTTCCATTTCAACGCAGCTGTGATGGGCTTCAACAGCAATTGGATGAATTCAGTGCTTTACTCACTGAATGATTTGGTGGCAAATGCTGCAGCCTCCTATCGACTCAACGAGGAGTGCTCCGTGCTTTCCTTGGTTCTTGCTCAGCAGACCCAACCGGCTGTTTTAAGCGAGTTCAAAGCAGTGATGTTGGCTTCCCTGCGTTCATTGGTGGCAAAGGAGTGGGGCTCTCAACACGAGCTTGCTTGGAACTGGTTCTGGGAGAATGTGACACGCCTCCTCAAAGCTGAGAATTTCAAGCCACAGGTTCAACTGAAGGCGCTGGAGGAATTCTTGACCAAGCTCAGCCCAACTGAACTCAGCTCTCTGTATCGAAGTGTCTACAAAAAGTTTTTTGCACTTGCACCATCAGGCCAGGATTTCTTGAAACAGTCTTCTGCACGGCTGGACTACATAGTGGATCAGATTCTGTCAATGACCGTGGATATATACAGAGAACCTCGCGATATGGTCAGAAAGATTTCAGCAATTGGACTCAGGCATGTGGGCTACGCGGTTCCGACGGAGCTCTTCCCTCCCTACGTGACTGCCAGCATTGAAGTGGTCCGCACAATGACCACCGACGAGGCGGCTGAAACGGCCTTCAGATGGTCTCTCACCTTGATCTCCAAAATCTTGGTGCGCAGCATCAACGAAGGCTCCACAGTTGTGATGAAAGCTGTGAACACCAATCAGGAGAAGGCACTGCGAAGGGCTGTTTCTATGGCTCCACGCGGGAAACGAAACATGGCGATGCTCAATGTGGCAGTTGGCACTGAGTCAATCTCACCTTTGTACTGGGCCATCGAGACCGGAAGCCACCGCGTTGCCAAGGCCATGATTATCGACTTGCTCACCATCAGAGCTGATCGGGATCACTACTACTACGGCAATGAAGCGCTGTTCACACGTCATCCGGATATCATCCACAAACTTTGCGTGGATGCCCCACCTCTTCTGTGGCCTTTACTGGATGGTCTCATTTGGCGATCTCGCTTAGTGTCACAAGGCATGCGCCGAGTCAACTACTACATCCAGCATTTGGTGCAAGATGCAGAGGGCAACATGAACAAGGCGCTTGAGTGGATGGCTGGTGCCCAAGATCCAAAGTTGATCGCGCATCCCATCGTAGAAGTCTTCTCAGATCTCATGTGGGGCGATCTCGTGAGTTACCGCGTCTTTGCACGGAAACTCTACCTCTTCTTCTCCCTGATCATCTTCATATTGGGTCATGGCTTGTACATGAAATATAGCGAGCTGCTCGAGCTCACAGACATGGAGCGTGTCTTCATCTTCGTTTGCCGCTCTTTCAACTATTTGGGTGGAATGTTGCAGCTGCTGATTCGCTTTGTCTTGCTTTGCGTGGCAGACATCCGGGGCGGCCAAATCGTCAGGATCTACAGAGTACCCCTACCACGCTTTATTTGCAGTATGAAGGAGATTTGCTTTCTATTCTTGGCTGTGTTATTGATCTGCATGTGCTCGCTGGAGCCACTGTTATGGTGCCTTGACAACATGTACGGCGACTTCCCAGGGTCCGGGCTCTTCACAACTACGTGTCCAGAGGCAGCAGCCAATCATGATGCCTATGTGCTGATATCAGGAGCTGCTCTAATGCTCTACTGGCTCCTGATGATTGACGTCTCCATTTTCTCAATGCGAGCATCTGCGTTTTCGCTGGTTTGCTTCCAGGTCTTGGTTGAGTTTTGGCTTTACTTGCTTGGGTTGCTTTTCTTGATCATCGCCTTTGCAACATCGCTGAGTGCGCTAAAGCACGAGATTCCTGCTGTCACAGGCATCAATGCAGCAGCTTTGACCTTGCTGAGAGTGTCTATAAACCTCTACTCAGCAGAGGAATTCAGCGAACTTGAGGCTTCAGTTTGGGTCTTCATGGTCTCGTGCATTTTTCTGATCTTGACCTCAGTGTTTCTTCTGCATCTTCTTGTGGCCCAAGTGAGCGAAGCATATGCTGCAATTGTCACAGACATGTACGGCTACGCCCGGCTCAACCGCGCAGCTGTCACAGTGTCTGTCATCAAGACGATCTGTCCCAAACGTTGGAATCGCTTTCTCGGCTCTCTGTGCTTTGAGCAGCCTTTGGAGTTCAACGAGGGTGATATTGGTTTGGCAGGCGGTATCGCCATCACGGAGCCTGCAAGCGTAAATCCTACATCTGTGGATCAGATCAAGCGATACGGCGGCACAACATCATCTGAGAAGCCTTGGCCGGAAGAACCAGAAGCAGTGACAGACGAGGACAAGTTTCTTCGGTTGGAAAAACTGATCATGGGCCGCATGGGCCGCATGGGCGGTCAAAGATCTAGGAGGCATCGTGGCAGCGGATCCAACGCCTCCAGCCACAGCAGCCACAGTGGTGGCAGTCAGAATGAGCCTGACTCCGCTGACTCTCAGCAACAGGCTGAGTGAGACGCGCACCAATAGCAGAGCTGCCATGACAATCCATGACATACAGTACTTATTTTATCTTATTTTATGTTTTAAAGTCGAACAATATATACAATTTTATATACTCTGTCTGGCGCAGCTGCAAAGCCCCTCGCGGGCGCACATGCATGGATCAACGGCTGGCGAGGACAAAAGTCCCGGAGCGGACTCTTGGAGTTTTCTTTTGGTGTATCTTTTTGTGGACGGGAAGGACAGACAGACCGACTTGCCACTCTGGCACCATGATACGGAGTGATCAGGCCGTGTTTGTTTTTTCAAGGGTCTTTGCTTGTCATCTTGTCCTTGTTTGCTTTGGATCACTGGCGATTCACTGCCACTACATGGCACCAAAGCTCCAATGCCTGAAGCTGTTTGAAGCTTGAAACAAATAAGATCAGATAAGACTGTTGCCAAATCATCCAATGCAAAATTGAAACAGGGATCAGTTGGATGTAGGAGATGTCACAGATGCCGTATGAAATCAATTGAAATCATATAAATTTCAACTGTGTCCATGCCTATAGTTTTAGGGCCCAGTTGTCAAGGACGGATACGAAGACTCTGAGGAGGAGAAGTGCGTCACATCCTGCTGTTGAAACTTTTTCGATCTTTTTCATAGTTTCCACACAGATCATACAGTTCTAAGATGTCCAAATATGTTGAAATGATTCTCGTTTGTTTCCATCTGAGTGCAAAGCAAGGAGTCGGACGAAATCTATGTCAGCTCCGAGGATGAGGAGGACATGGGTTTCCTTGGTGCCCGTTACGAAGCGGTCAGACACATAGTCCCAGACCGTGCTAGCCATGCTCCACTGGCTCCCCTATCTATTTCGATCTGTCCCATTCTATTCCTATAGGCTGATAGAATCTGATAGACTCAATGCTGCTTGTTGTGAGGTCGATCGGATCATGCGCGAAGCTGCAGGCCGTGTCAGAATCTTCGGGATCATGTGCTCATCGTACATGCTGGCACAAGACCGCTTACATTCGCTTACATAAATCGGCCCAAAATGTCTAAAGTCGAGACTTTTGTTCTGGCAAAGTGATGGTGCTGGAACGTGTGGAATGTGCTCGGCTGTTATAAAAATGTTGTTTGGTCATGTCTGGTGTTATAACTTGCGATTGTGGGCAGGTTCAAGCACTGATGGAGTCCTTGCCTTGATTGACTGTGGGTTCTGAAGAGAGATTTGTTGAAACAACTGAAACATGTTGAAACGCGGAAGCAAGATGGGTTGAACATGTTGAAACAATTTGCCGTGAGTGTTCCTTGTGCAGACTACACAGACTACAAGTGAGAGTCATGATTCTCGTGATCTGAGATGACACCTTTGCATGCGGCTGATGTGTCCGCATTTGTCCGCATTGTTTGCTGGTTTAACTCTCTCTTTGTTTTCCACATCTTCCACTTAGACCATCTTACAATATCTTACATCATCTTGCATCCGCTTTACCCTACTATACCCACTCTTCAGGGATGCTGTGCCCATCTCGTAGCTTGTCCCTGACTGTGCCTGACCTGAGGCTGGTGGGCGACTGGCAAGAGCCACGACGTGGCCAGCAGGGCAGGTCTTCAAAAGGTCAGCGTTGCGGAGGAGCTCCGAACCCTACCAGGAGAAGTCTGTTTCCTTCGCGGAGGAGCTGGTGGAAACAGAAGAATTTGTTGCCTTTGACCGATCTCCCGGAAGCTCTGACGGAGAAGAGTCTGAAGGAGTTGGGCCCATCCAGGAGTCCAAGAACCAGAGGCTACCAGAGCTTCATGAGTCAGCTGAAATGGCCGAGACTGGCATAGATGTCAGCTGGGAAGATGGACCAAGTCCATTGAACCAAGAGGCTGCAACATCCGCAGCTAGTGGCGGTGGCCATGCCTTCTCTTCGGGTCTCCCTGGCAAGGCCATGCGAGCGATGGCCTCTCAAGCAAGTGATGCACTTGAGGAGGTGCCACGCATCCGGTCTGACTGACTGGCACAATGCAACGTAGAACAACCGAAAGGGGCCAGGGGCCAGGGGATGATGTCAGTAGATTGTATGGAGTTTAGGCATATTTCTACAGCACATGACAAGAATGACTGCTTAACACATCACAACATGTCATAAGAAGTCCATAGAAATCCGATCCTGACATGGTAGCCTCAAATATTCAAAGTCATAACATCACCTTCTCTTCCGGGCTTTGCAGGCAGCTAATGCTGATGGAGTTGGTTCGTTGCAGGAGTCTTCCACGTTTTCCACGACAGCGGCAGAGTTGGGCGTGCAGAGCCACTGTGCAGAGGATGAAGATGTTCCACAGCCAGAGCACGAGCCAGCTGATGAAGCAAGCGCCCAAAATGTCCTGGAGGTCAAGGAGGGTGAAAAGGATGAGGAAACGGATGAGGAAAAGAATAAGAAAAAGGATGAAAAGGACGAGGATGAAGAACTCACGGCGTCATTGGTTGCTGGCGCCTTTGTAGCATCAGATGCAGAGCAGCCAGAGGGGGAACCACCGAGTTATGTGGAGTCGCAGGCGGATGGCGAGGATCCCTTTGAGGCCTTTGGCCATGTACCGCCTGAATCGGAATCCGATCTCGGAGAAGCTGCAGCAGGAATTGCAGGTTTCGCACCAGTGCTGGGAGCATTTGATATGGAGGCTGCCTGGCGAGCTGATTGTGCTGCGCATGGCGCGCCTGGTGGGCAGAGTGACTCGGATATGCAAACTGATGACAGCCGTGCGGTAAAACCAAGGACCCTGGAAGAGGCTGTGAAGAAGATAAGCAGCAAAGAACAGATGGCAGCAAAGATGGAGGAGAGGCGGAAGCTTGAAGGTCTGCTTCCACAAGAACCTCAGGAGGCTACTTGGCATGTAAATGCATGTGACATGTGTTTGTGAGTGCTTACCGCCCACGTCGTGAACGGATATCTATCTATCTATCTATCTACCTATCTATCTAGCTAGCCAGCTAGCTATCTACCTACCTACCTACCTACCTATCTATCTATCTATCTGTCTATCTATCTATCTGTCTATCTGTCTATCTGTCTATCTGTCTGTCTGTCTGTCTATCTATCTCTATCTATCCATCCATCCATCTGTCTATCTAGCTAGCTATCTATCTGTCTATCTGTCTATCTATCTATCTATCTATCTTTCTATCTTTCTATCTATCTCTTTTTATTTTATGCATATATATACATACTTTTTTTTAAATCTTTTTTTTGAATGTTGGTAGCTGGCAGATCCAAGCAGGTAGCGGCATATTAGCGGCATGAGTTGAATTTGAACGGAGGGCACCAACTCTAGCCGCACCAGTTGCAGCAATGGATTACTGTCACCGACTGTCACCACTGAAGCAAAATGCATATTGGAGGCGATGCTTTTTTGCCTGTGCTCATTGCAGGCAGAACCGCTTCAGCAGTTCTTTGAGAAGCCGGGGGAGGAACCGCAGCCCCCGCAGGCTTGCCAGATTTGAAAACGTAGTCTTGGATGTTGCTCATGGCATTTTCGTGTCCACCAGAGGGCCCACCACCCTTGACCCTGGTCATGATTCACACAACGACATGAGAGGAGACAGCCTTTCAAATGTTTGTTTTGTAGAGTGGTTCCACAAGAAATTTGAGTCGTGGCGGATCGTCACAAAGATGACTTCTCACCCCTGCAAATATCTTGGACGATACATCGTTGTCATTGAGCACCTAGTGGCCTAGCCTTCACATGCCTTCACCACTGCAAGAATGTCAAACATTGTCACACTTCAGAGTTGGAAGTTGGCAAAGTATGGCGAAGTGGAATGACACAAGCAGATTCAGCCACACTTTTCCCATCCCTATGAACTTTCAGGATGGCTTCTCCAAGTTGCTGCAGGACAGGGGAAGGGTCGGAATGAGCCTTGCGTTACGGGCAAATTTGCTTGACACTGCACAAGTGCCAGTCGAAAATTGCACGCCAGGAGTGGTTGGAAGGCGCCAATGTCATATTCTCAGTATTTCTTAGTTCTGATATGTTCTGATGCAATCGGGATCAATTTAGTGAAAGGGTTGTCACGCTGTCTCATGTTGCAAGGCCGTCCATGCATTGATGGTTGAACCGCAGCTTAGTGGAGGTTTTGGTCACATGTGGTCACTTTGGACATGAGTTGAGATTGGGGTGGGGCCTGGGCGGATGATGTCAGCCCCTATACTCCTTGGACCTTGGAAAGTCGTGGTGACAGCAGCATGATCCAAGGCCTTTCTGGCACTGGGTTGCTGCGGCAGGCGGCAAAGAGAGGTGCAGTAGAATTTCTACAACACCTCTCTTTGCCAATGAGCGCCGTGGGGCTTCCGGGCATCGCAGGTAGCTGAGCACGGCGTCCAAATTCATCCTCGCCCGCATCAATGAGAAAATGGGATGTCTAGGAACATTGTCAAGTTTTGTATTTTATAATGTCAGTACATGATGTCTGGATAAAATACGTATTTCACACACAACCCAATGTCTGGGGATTGGTAAATGAAATCCACGTACCACTGCAGCCCTGCTGCGGGAAATCGCTGCAGCACATTGATTTAATGATTTGCCGCAGCTTCAGTCAGCATTTGTCACATCTTTGCTGAGCTTCCTTGGGGCGCCAAGATTTCCAAAATACACACCATTTTTATCCATTGGTCCATTGGTCCATGTGTCAAAAAGACCCATGCGAAGACCTTTGCTTTATCTTGCTTTCTCTTCTGCAGTGATATAGCTTGCATATTTGCCCAGCGCATTCAGCTCAGCAAGAAGACACAAAGCCTGCAAGCCATTGTTGCTGTGATTGCGTGCGTGTGACCACCAAAGAGGAAAACAGGCGCTCCGCGCTGAAGCCAGTTCGTTATTCTTAGGCATCCGTGGATAAGCACTCTGGTGATTAGACAATTCAACGTTGGTTGCCCTGAAGCTTTCAAATCGCAACCGCGCCCAGTCTCGCAGAAAGGCTTTGAATAGGAAGAAGGGGTCCTTTGGAGTCTTGAGATGTTCTATGGTTTTTTGAAACCTGGACGACCTCATTTGATTGGAAGCACGCCACCTGTCCGCTTGTCGCAGGCAAAATTTGGCCACTAATAATAGTAAATATACGTAATATAAGTATATATATATATATAATGATATGACGTGATATGATATGATGGGATTTCTCAAGTTTTGTTTCCAAACACGAGCATGATCAGACATGTGTATTGCGCAGCTTTTCAAGCTCAAATGTAAAAACCGGATGCAGCTCAACACTATGACTTGCGTGCGCGCATCAAGAACATTTTGTCAACGGATGTCAACGGTCACTGGTGCAATTTTCCCGGAATTATGTCGTGCAACAAGGCTTTGTGGCCAGTCCATGGAAGAAATTCCCCCAAGCCCCAGCTGTTGCTACAAAAACCTATCTCCCTCAGCACTTTCCTTTTTGCTTCTTCAAGCCCTGCTTGAGCACGCAGAAGGGCAGAAGAGCCTAACTGCAAGGAGCCAGGCTGTGGAAAGGACTGACAAGCTTCCAGAATGCGTGCTGTCTAGATGTTCAAAGCATGCTAACAGACCTGCTTGTAGGTCCCTCTGAGTGGGCTCGACATGAGTTGGAATTGAAGTCACGCTCTAGATGTGTTGGCATCGATTGCTCTGGCGGTGACTCCGCCAAGTTGCCAATGGTAGCTAGTGGTGTGCTAGTGGTATGCTAGTGGTATGCTAGTGGTATGCTGAAGATGCACTGGTTTCATTCTCGCCTTTTGTATCTTTTGTAAGGACAGACCGACTTGCCACTCTGGCACCATGATACGGAGTGATCAGGCCGTGTTTGTTTTTTCAAGGGTCTTTGCTTGTCATCTTGTCCTTGTTTGCTTTGGATCACTGGCGATTCACTGGCACTACATGGCACCAAAGCTCCAATGCCTGAAGCTGTTTGAAGCTTGAAACAAATAAGATCAGATAAGACTGTTGCCAAATCATCCAATGCAAAATTGAAACAGAGATCAGTTGGATGTAGGAGATGTCACAGATGCCGTATGAAATCAATTGAAATCATATGAATTTAAATATGTCCATGCCTATAGTTTTAGAGCCCAGTTGTCAAGGACGGCTCCGAAAACTCTGAGGAGGAGAAGTACGTCACATCCTGCTGTTGAAACTCTTTCGATCTTTTTCATAGTTTCCAGACAGATCATACAGTTCTAAGATGTCCAAATATGTTGAAATGATTCTCGTTTGTTTCCACCTGAACCCGAAGCAAGGAGGCGGACGAAACCGATGTCAGCTCCGAGGATGAGGAGGACATGGGTTTCCTTGGTGCCCGTTACGAAGCAGCCAGACACATAGTCCCAGACCGTGCTAGCCATGCTCCACTGGCTCCCCTATCTATTTCGATCTGTCCCATTCTATTCCTATCTGATAGGCTGATAGAATCTGATAGACTCAATGCTGCTTGTTGTGAGGTCGATCGGATCATGCGCGAAGCTGCAGGCCGTGTCAGAATCTTCGGGATCATGTGCTCATCGTACATGCTGGCACAAGACCGCTTACATCCGCTTACATAAATCGGTCCAAGAATGTCTAAAGTCGAGACTTTTGTTCTGGCAAAGTGATGATGCTGGAACGTGTGGAATGTGCTCGGCTGTTACATGCTATTTGGTCATGTCAGGTGTTACAACACCATATGTTGATATATGTTGCAACTGTGGGCAGGTTCAAGCACCGATCGAGTCCTTGCCTTGATTGACTGTGGGTTCTGAGGAGAGATTTGTTGAAACAGCTGAAACATGTTGAAACGCGGAAGCAAGATGGGTTGAACATGTTGAAACAATTTGCCGTGAGTGTTCCTTGTGCAGACTACATAGACTACAAGTGAGAGTCGTGATTCTCGTGATCTGAGATGACACCTTTGCATGCGGGTGATATGCCCGCATTTGTCCGCATTTGTCCGCATTTTTTTTGCTGGTTTAACTCTCTCTCTCTCTCTTCGTTTTCCACATCTTCCACTTAGACCATCTTACAATATCTTACATCATCTTGCATCCGCTTTACCCTACTATACCCACTCTTCAGGGATGCTGTGCCCATCTCGTAGCTTGTCCCTGACTGTGCCTGACCTGAGGCTGGTGGGCGACTGGCAAGAGCCACGACGTGGCCAGCAGGTCAGGTCTTTAAAAGGTCAGCGTTGCGGAGGAGCTCCGAACCCTACCAGGAGAAGTCTGTTTCCTTCGCGGAGGAGCTGGTGGAAACAGAATTTGTTGCCTTTGATCGATCTCCCGGAAGCTCTGACGGAGAAGAGTATGAAGGAGTTGGGCCCATCCAGGAGTCCAAGAACCAGAGGCTACCAGAGCTTCATGAGTCAGCTGAAATGGCCGAGACTGGCATAGATGTCAGCTGGGAAGATGGACCAAGTCCATTGAACCAAGAGGCTGCAACATCCGCAGCTAGTGGCGGTGGCCATGCCTTCTCTTCGGGTCTCCCTGGCAAGGCCATGCGATGGTGTCAGTAGATTGTATGGAGTTTAGGCATATTTCTACAGCACATGACAAGAATGACTGCTTAACACATCACAACATGTCATAAGAAATCCATAGAAATCCGATCCTGACATGGTAGCCTCAAATAGCACAAAGTCATAACATCACCTTCTCTTCCGGGCTTTGCAGGCAGCTAATGCTGATGGAGTTGGTTCGTTGCAGGAGTCTTCCACGTTTTCCACGACAGCGGCAGAGTTGGGCGTGCAGAGCCACTGTGCAGAGGATGAAGATGTTCCACAGCCAGAGCACGAGCCAGCTGATGAAGCAAGCGCCCTAAATGTCCTGGAGGTCAAGGAGGGTGAAAAGGATGAGGAAACGGATGAGGAAAAGAATAAGAAAAAGGATGAAAAGGACGAGGATGAAGAACTCACGGCGTCATTGGTTGCTGGCGCCTTTGTAGCATCAGATGCAGAGCAGCCAGAGGGGGAACCACCGAGTTATGTGGAGTCGCAGGCGGATGGCGAGGATCCCTTTGAAGCCCTGGGCCATGTACACCTGAATCGGAATCCGATCTCGGAGAAGCTTCTGCAGAAATTGCAGATTTCGCACCAGTGCTGGAAGCATCTGATATGGAGGCTGCCTGGCGAGCTGATTGTGCTGTGCATGGCGCGCCTGGTCCTCACAGTGAATGGATTACTGTCACCGACTGTCACCACTCAAGCAAAATGCATATTAGAGGCGATGCTTTTTTGCCTGTGCTCATTGCAGGCAGAACCGCTGGTTCAGCAGTTCTTTGAGAAGCCGGGCGGTTCCTCCCCCGGCTTCTCAAAGAACTGCTGAACCAGCGGTTTGATGACAGCCCTGCGGTCCAACCTCTGGAAGAGGCTGTGAAGAAGATAAGCAGCAAAGAACAGATGGCAGCAAAGATGGAGGAGAGGCGGAAGCTTGAAGGTCTGCTTCCACAAGAACCTCAGGAGGCCACTTGGCATGTAAATGCATGTGACATGTGTTTGTGAGTGCTTACCGCCCACGTCGTGAACGGATATCTATCTATCTATCTACCTATCTATCTAGCTAGCCAGCTAGCTATCTACCTACCTACCTACCTACCTATCTATCTGTCTCTCTGTCTATCTATCTCTCTGTCTGTCTGTCTGTCTATCTCTATCTCTATCTCTATCTCTATCTCTATCTCTATCTCTATCTCTATCTCTATCTCTATCTCTATCTCTATCTCTATCTCTATCTCTATCTCTATCTCTATCTCTATCTCTATCTCTATCTCTATCTCTATCCATCCATCCATCTGTCTATTTAGCTAGCTAGCTAGCTATCTATCTGTCTATCTATCTATATATCTATCTTTCTATCTTTTTTATTTTATGCATATATAACATACTTTTTTTGAATGTTGGTAGCTGGCAGATAGCGGCATATCAGCGGCATGAGTTGAATTTGAACGGAGAGCACCAACTCTAGCCGCACCAGTTGCAGCAATGGATTACTGTCACCGACTGTCACCACTGAAGCAAAATGCATATTGGAGGCGATGCTTTTTTGCCTGTGCTCATTGCAGGCAGAACCGCTGGTTCAGCAGTTCTTTGAGAAGCCGGGCGGTTCCTCCCCCGGCTTCTCAAAGAACTGCTGAACCAGCGGTTTGATGACAGCCCTGCGGTCCAACCTCTGGAAGAGGCTGTGAAGAAGATAAGCAGCAAAGAACAGATGGCAGCAAAGATGGAGGAGAGGCGGAAGCTTGAAGGTCTGCTTCCACAAGAACCTCAGGAGGCTACTTGGCATGTAAATGCATGTGACATGTGTTTGTGAGTGCTTACCGCCCACGTCGTGAACGGTTTTTGTTGTGGTTTTTGTTGTGGTTGTGGTTTTTGTTCTTATTTTTGTTCTTGTTCTTTTTCTTGGTCTTGTTGTTCTTGTTGTTCTTGTTGTTCTTGTTGTTCTTGTTGTTCTTGTTGTTCTTGTGGTTGTCCTTGTCCTTGTCCTTGTTGTTGTGGTTGTGGTTGTCGTTGTGGTTGTCGTTGTCGAACTTCCAAAAATGGTCCAACATGAGGTGCCTTTACCATTTTGACTTCCAGATGTGCTTCGGGCCACAACGGCGTGCACTTTTTCCACATCCGATCCTCCAAAAGTGGTCCAAACATGTTTTTTTATTTTAAACATGTTGACTTGGAAATGTGCTTTGCGCCACAGCGGCGTGCACTTTTTCGACGTGTCAACTTCCAAAAATGGTCCGAGCATGGTGTGCTTTGTGCTTCGCCACAACGGCTTGCAACTTTTCATCTTTCATTTGGCCAGAGGGCCCCGCACCCGCCCCTATAGCGAGCCTACTTTTCGACCTTCCGGAACCACAAACCATTGAAAAAACAGTGTGAATTGCGACTTTCCTACCTTTTCGCGCACCTGCATTTTCTTTCTTCCCACTCTTTCTCTTCTCTGATCTTCTCTCTTCTGCTCTTCTCTTCTCTGATTCTTCCACCTCTGCTTTTCCATGTGTCCATATTGTCGGAAATTTGACTTGTAAACTTCCTTCGATGAGATCCTTTCAATCTTTTTCATAGTTTCCACATATCATACAGTCGAAATATGTTGAAATGATTCTCGCCTGTTTCCATCTGAGCCCGAAGCAAGGAGTCGGACGAAACCGACGTCAGCTCGGAGGAAGATGAGGACGACATGGGTTTCCTTGGTGCCCGTTACGAAGTGGCTTCGTAACGGGCACCAAGGAAACCCATGTCGTCCTCATCTTCCTCCGAGCTGACGTCGGTTTCGTTTTGAGGGGATGAGGACGACATGGGCTTTGTCGTTTTTCATTGCACAGCGGCCGCGGCCAGACACATAGTCCCAGTCCGTGCTAGCGATGCTCTTATCAGTATATCCAATTCTATCTCACTTTATCCCTATCCCGATAGATTCAACACAGCTTGTTTTGAGGTCGGACAGATAATGCGCGGTGAAGCTGCAGGCTATGTAAGAATCTTTTGGATTTACAATACCGCTTACATAAATCGATCCAAAAATGTTTGAGGTGTGGACTTTTGCTCTAGCAAAGTGATGGTGCTGGAACGTGTGGAATGTGCTTGGCTGTTATATAGATTCTGTTTGGTCATGTCTGGTGTTATAACACCATATGTTGCAATTGTGGGCAGGTTCAAGCACTGATGGAGTCCTTGCCTTGATTGGCTGTGGGTTCTGAAGAGAGATTTGTTGAAACAGCTGAAACATGTTGAAACGCGGAAACAAGATGGGTTGAAACATGTTGAAACAATTTGCCGTGAGTGTTCCTTGTGCAGACTACATATACTACAAGTGAGAGTCGTGATTCTCGTGATTTGAGATGACACCTTTGCATGCAGGTGCTGTGCCCGCATGCGTCCGCAATGTTTGCTGGGTGCCTCTCTTGGTCCTCCACATCTTCTACATCTTCCGCTTAGACCATCTTACATCCACCGTACCCTACTTCACCCATTCTCCAAGGATGCTGTGGACCAGAACGTGTGCTGTGCAAACCTTTCGTGGCCGACACCAAGTCTTACAAAGTGAAGGGTTTCGTTCAGGAACACTTTGCACAACTTTGCACAACACATGTGCCGAAGAGTATGCTCCTGGCGCGTTGCAGAAGTCACTGCTGCGCAGCCTGTGTTTCTCCAGTTTCAAACAACGTACAGTTTCCATGGGCTGCTTTTGAGCCACTTTGGCAACTCGTATCACCTTCCTCCTTCTCCTGCATTAAAGATGCAGAAACTGGAGGCAGAACAAAAATGTAGAGGGCAGCTGATGGCTCAATGCGATTTCATGATCTTTCATGCGAGTTCGTTATTCTTAGGCATCCGTGGATAAGCACTGGTGATTAGACAATTCAACGTTGGTTGCCCTGAAGCTTTCAAATCGCAACCGCGCCCAGTCTCGCAGAAAGGTTTTGAATAGGAAGAAGGGGTCCTTTGGAGTCTTGAGATGCTCTGATGGTTTTTTGAAATCTGGACGACCTCATTTGATTGGAAGCACGCCACCTGTCCGCTTGTCGCAGGCAAATTTTGGCCACTAATAGTAAATATACGTACGTACGTATATATATATATATATACATATGATATGACGTGATATGATATGATGGGATTTCTCAAGTTTTGTTTCCAAACACGAGCATGATCAGACATGTGTATTGCGCAGCTTTTCAAGCTCAAATGTAAAAACCGGATGCAGCTCAACACTATGACTTGCGTGCGCGCATCAAGAACATTTTGTCAACGGTCACTGGTGCAATTTTCCCGGAATTATGTCGCGCAACAAGGTTTTGTTGCCAGTCCATAGAAGAAATCCCCCCAAGCCCCAGCTGTTGCTACAAAAACCTATCTCCCTCAGCACTTTCCTTTTTGCTTCTTCAAGCCCTGCTTGAGCACGCAGAAGGGCAGAAGAGCCTAACTGCAAGGAGCCAGGCTGTGGAAAGGACTGACAAGCTTCCAGAATGCGTGCTGTCTAGATGTTCAAAGCATGCTAACAGACCTGCTTGTAGGTCCCTCTGAGTGGGCTCGACATGAGTTGGAATTGAAGTCACGCTCTAGATATGTTGGCATCGATTGCTCTGGCGGTGACTCCGCCAAGCTGCCAATGGTAGCTAGTGGTATGCTAGTGGTGTGCTAGTGGTATGCTGAAGATGCACTGATTTCATTCTCGCCTTTTGTATCTTTTGTAAGGACAGACCGACTTGCCACTCTGGCACCATGATACGGAGTGATCAGGCCGTGTTTGTTTTTTCAAGGGTCTTTGCTTGTCATCTTGTCCTTGTTTGCTTTGGATCACTGGCGATTCACTGGCACTACATGGCACCAAAGCTCCAATGCCTGAAGCTGTTTGAAGCTTGAAACAAATAAGATCAGATAAGACTGTTGCCAAATCATCCAATGCAAAATTGAAACAGAGATCAGTTGGATGTAGGAGATGTCACAGATGCCGTATGAAATCAATTGAAATCATATGAATTTAAATATGTCCATGCCTATAGTTTTAGAGCCCAGTTGTCAAGGACGGCTCCGAAAACTCTGAGGAGGAGAAGTACGTCACATCCTGCTGTTGAAACTCTTTCGATCTTTTTCATAGTTTCCAGACAGATCATACAGTTCTAAGATGTCCAAATATGTTGAAATGATTCTCGTTTGTTTCCACCTGAACCCGAAGCAAGGAGGCGGACGAAACCGATGTCAGCTCCGAGGATGAGGAGGACATGGGTTTCCTTGGTGCCCGTTACGAAGCAGCCAGACACATAGTCCCAGACCGTGCTAGCCATGCTCCACTGGCTCCCCTATCTATTTCGATCTGTCCCATTCTATTCCTATCTGATAGGCTGATAGAATCTGATAGACTCAATGCTGCTTGTTGTGAGGTCGATCGGATCATGCGCGAAGCTACAGGCCGTGTCAGAATCTTCGGGATCATGTGCTCATCGTACATGCTGGCACAAGACCGCTTACATCCGCTTACATAAATCGGTCCAAGAATGTCTAAAGTCGAGACTTTTGTTCTGGCAAAGTGATGATGCTGGAACGTGTGGAAATGTGTGGAATGTGCTCGGCTGTTACATGCTATTTGGTCATGTCAGGTGTTACGACACCATATGTTGATATATGTTGCAACTGTGGGCAGGTTCAAGCACCGATCGAGTCCTTGCCTTGATTGGCTGTGGGTTCTGAAGAGAGATTTGTTGAAACAGCTGAAACATGTTGAAACGCGGAAGCAAGATGGGTTGAACATGTTGAAACAATTTGCCGTGAGTGTTCCTTGTGCAGACTACATAGACTACAAGTGAGAGTCGTGATTCTCGTGATCTGAGATGACACCTTTGCATGCGGGTGATATGTCCGCATTTGTCCGCATTTTTTTGCTGGTTTAACTCTCTCTCTCTCTCTCTCTCTCTCTTCGTTTTCCACATCTTCCACTTAGACCATCTTACAATATCTTACATCATCTTGCATCCGCTTTACCCTACTATACCCACTCTTCAGGGATGCTGTGCCCATCTCGTAGCTTGTCCCTGACTGTGCCTGACCTGAGGCTGGTGGGCGACTGGCAAGAGCCACGACGTGGCCAGCAGGGCAGGTCTTCAAAAGGTCAGCGTTGCGGAGGAGCTCCGAACCCTACCAGGAGAAATCTGTTTCCTTCGCGGAGGAGCTGGTGGAAACAGAAGAATTTGTTGCCTTTGATCGATCTCCCGGAAGCTCTGACGGAGAAGAGTCTGAAGGAGTTGGGCCCATCCAGGAGTCCAAGAACCAGAGGCTACCAGAGCTTCATGAGTCAGCTGAAATGGCCGAGACTGGCATAGATGTCAGCTGGGAAGATGGACCAAGTCCATTGAACCAAGAGGCTGCAACATCCGCAGCTAGTGGCGGTGGCCATGCCTTCTCTTCGGGTCTCCCTGGCAAGGCCATGCGAGCGATGGCCTCTCAAGCAAGTGATGCACTTGAGGAGGTGCCACGCATCCGGTCTGACTGACTGGCACAATGCAACGTAGAACAACCGAAAGGGGCCAGGGGCCAGGGGATGATGTCAGTAGATTGTATGGAGTTTAGGCATATTTCTACAGCACATGACAAGAATGACTGCTTAACACATCACAACATGTCATAAGAAATCCATAGAAATCCGATCCTGACATGGTAGCCTCAAATAGCACAAAGTCATAACATCACCTTCTCTTCCGGGCTTTGCAGGCAGCTAATGCTGATGGAGTTGGTTCGTTGCAGGAGTCTTCCACGTTTTCCACGACAGCGGCAGAGTTGGGCGTGCAGAGCCACTGTGCAGAGGATGAAGGTGTTCCACAGCCAGAGCACGAGCCAGCTGATGAAGCAAGCGCCCTAAATGTCCTGGAGGTCAAGGAGGGTGAAAAGGATGAGGAAACGGATGAGGAAAAGAATAAGAAAAAGGATGAAAAGGACGAGGATGAAGAACTCACGGCGTCATTGGTTGCTGGCGCCTTTGTAGCATCAGATGCAGAGCAGCCAGACAGGGAACCACCGAGTTATGTGGAGTCGCAGGCGGATGGCGAGGATCCCTTTGAAGCCCTGGGCCATGTACCGCCTGAATCGGAATCCGATCTCGGAGAAGCTTCTGCAGAAATTGCAGGTTTCGCACCAGTGCTGGGAGCATCTGATATGGAGGCTGCCTGGCGAGCTGATTGTGCTGTGCATGGCGCGCCTGGTCAGCACAGTGACTCGGATATGCAAACTGATGACAGCCCTGCGGTCCAACCTCTGGAAGAGGCTGTGAAGAAGATAAGCAGCAAAGAACAGATGGCAGCAAAGATGGAGGAGAGGCGGAAGCTTGAAGGTCTGCTTCCACAAGAACCTCAGGAGGCCGCTTGGCATGTAAATGCATGTGACATGTGTTTGAGTGCTTCCCGCCCACGTCGTGAACGGATATCTATCTATCTATCTACCTATCTATCTAGCTAGCCAGCTAGCTATCTACCTACCTACCTACCTATCCATCTATCTATCTATCTATCTATCTATCTATCTGTCTACCTATCTGTCTGTCTGTCTGTCTATCTATCTCTATCTATCCATCCATCCATCCATCCATCCATCCATTTGTCTATCTAGCTAGCTAGCTAGCTAGCTATCTGTCTATCTATCTATCTATCTTTCTTTTTTATTTTATGCATATATACATATTACATATTTTTTTTTGAATGTTGGTAGGTGGCAGATCCAAGCAGGTAGCGGCATATTAGCGGCATGAGTTGAATTTGAACGGAGGGCACCAACATGCACCAACTCTAGCCGCACCAGTTGCAGCAATGGATTACTGTCACCGACTGTCACCACTCAAGCAAAATGCATATTGGAGGCGATGCTTTTTTGCCTGTGCTCATTGCAGGCAGAACCGCTTCAGCAGTTCTTTGAGAAGCCGGGGGAGGAACCGCAGCCCCCGCAGGCTTGCCAGATTTGAAAACGTAGTCTTGGATGTTGCTCATGGCATTTTCGTGTCGACCATGAGAGGAGACAGCCTTTCAAATGTTTGTTTTGTAGAGTGGTTCCACAAGAAATTTGAGTCGTGGCGGATCGTCACAAAGATGAATTCTCACTTCTCACCCCTGCAAATACCTTGGACGATAGTGGCCTAGCCTTCGCATGCCTTCACCACGCAAGAATGTCAAACACTGTCAAACTTCAGAGTTGGAAGTTGGCAAAGTGGACTGACACAAGCAGATTCAGCCAAACTTTTCCCATCTCTATATATCTCTATGAACTTTCAGGATGGCTTCTCCAAGTTGCTGCAGGACAGGGGCAGGGTCGGAATGAGCCTTGTCAGCTCGTTGGCATGCTTGACATTGCACGAGTGCCAGTCGAAAATTGCACACCAGGAGTGGTTGGAAGGCGCCAATGTCATATTCTCAGTATTTCTCAATTCTGATATGTTCTGATGCAATCGGGGTCAATTTAGTGAAAGGGTTGTCACGCTGTCTCATGTTGCAAGGCCGTCCATGCTTTGGGGGTTGAACTGCAGCTTAGTGGAGGTTTTGGTCACATGTGGTCACTTTGGACATGAGTTGAGATTGGGGTGGGGCCTGGGCGGATGATGTCAGCCCCTATACTCCTTGGACCTTGGAAAGTCGTGGTGACAGCAGCATGATCCAAGGCCTTTCTGGCACTGGGTTGCTGCGGCAGGCGGCAAAGAGAGGTGCAGTAGAATTTCTACAACACCTCTCTTTGCCAATGAGCGCCGTGGGGCTTCCGGGCATCGCAGGTAGCTGAGCACGGCGTCCAAATTCATCCTCGCCCGCATCAATGAGAAAATGGGATGTCTAGGAACATTGTCAAGTTTTGTATTTTATAATGTCAGTACATGATGTCTGGATAAAATACGTATTTCACACACAACCCAATGTCTGGGGATTGGTAAATGAAATCCACGTACCACTGCAGCCCTGCTGCGGGAAATCGCTGCAGCACATTGATTTAATGATTTGCCGCAGCTTCAGTCAGCATTTGTCACATCTTTGCTGAGCTTCCTTGGGGCGCCAAGATTTCCAAAATACACACCATTTTTATCCATTGGTCCATTGGTCCATGTGTCAAAAAGACCCATGCGAAGACCTTTGCTTTATCTTGCTTTCTCTTCTGCAGTGATATAGCTTGCATATTTGCCCAGCGCATTCAGCTCAGCAAGAAGACACAAAGCCTGCAAGCCATTGTTGCTGTGATTGCGTGCGTGTGACCACCAAAGAGGAAAACAGGCGCTCCGCGCTGAAGCCTGAATTTTCTTTCCAACCCCGCATCTTCACCGCAGTTCGATATGCTCACTTCAGCAATAGTTGTGAAGCTTGGACGACCTCCACCTGTCCGCTTGTCACAGGGATGACATTGGAAACGAATCTAAGTTTCCCGGTAGGACCATGGAAAAAAATACAATTGAGGGACAAAAAAATTGAGGTTCCCCTGATCTGGACCCCTGTCTGCTCCTTTACCCTCTTCGTCCTTTGATCTCCGGAACTAACCCTATACAAGCCCGAAAGCAACCTTGAACAGGCCACAAACCAACTCTCAATAAAACCTAAACCAACCGTCCTACATAAACATACCTAAAACGAACTGAAAGAAGCACAAAAACAAACCAAACAACTCCAATTCCCAAATGACAGTTAAAGAGCTGAGCCAAAATACAATGTCAGAAGTCATTCCAGTGTCACTTGAACCATTTGGTCACGAGGCAATGCATGAGACTGTGGCATGCATCTAAAGCGGTCGGATCAAGAGCCAGTAGCCCCGTTGTGGCTGTGCGTAAGCCGTATCATTCACCATTTGCTGGTGATCTATTCTTGGTGTGTTGAGATTTGTATGGTAGCGGAGCCAGGCCGTGGGGGCTCCTGAAAAATACCACCGGGAATGACGACAGGGTACAAGGAAGACGTACCATCGTGGAGTTGAATTTGAGGCATATTTGAGGCATATGCAACGTCATGCAAGTGGTATCAGAGGGCAGATGAGGGCAGCAAAAGAGGCAGATAGACTCAGATAGTGGATTGGTGGTGGCTCGACTATGGGGTCAGAAAATTCAGAAAACACAGAAAATTCAGAAAACCAAGACAATTCAGAAAATTCAGACAACACAGAAAATTCAGAAAACCTAGAAAATTCGGAAAATTCGGAAACTTCAGAAATTTTCCAACATTAGATGGGAATGTCTCAGAAGAGGGGTGCCATAACTGAGTGCCCCAAGCCTTTCTTTTTTTTACTTAAAAAAAGTGAGCTTGGGGCACTCCTGATTTGAGACATTCCCAAATAAAAATACAAAAGAAGACAATTAAGAAATCAAATTGTTTCAAGTAAAGACATCTTCCAAGGAAATCTGAAATTCAGAAAAACAAATGACATTCCTCTTGAGGAAATATCTTGAACCTAAACTATTCTTTGCAGAAATTACCCCCTTTGCAGGAACTATCCTGTTCTTGAACTATCCTTTGCAGGAACTATCCTTTTTTACAACTGTTCCTTACCAACAATCATTTGCCTCTCTCATCGTTTGGATCCTGTAAGTTTTGAGCACCTTGTGCTCGCCCCCTTGTGTGAGCCAAAAAGTCACCATATCATTGCAGTACCATCTGGGATCCCAATCGGAAAAAATACTTGAAAAATGCAGGGAACTTATTCCAAATATTTTCAGATATTTTAGAATAATATTCAACTATATTTGATTATATCTTCAATATCACGTAGTCAGTTCAAATATAAAATAAGTGGAACTTAACACAAAATAGATTTTAAAAACACTTTAGACAGGATATTAGTAGGACAATAGCAACTTGTAAGATATTTACTAAACTCGTTAAGTGCCTGAAGTGAAAAATATCTAAAATGAGTGGTCTTAGTACGCCCCTGAATCCATGACGCGCACGGGACTCACTTGCATCTAGCTCTTCTGGCAAGGGCAAATCGAGCAGCCCTTCCGTTGCAGGGAGAGGAAAAGGGAAGCCAAAGAAAGGTTTTGGTCCATGTCTCATTGGTGGTAAGCCCGGTCATTCATATGCTCAGTGTCCTGATCGTTTTTCAAAAGGAAAATCAGAAGGGAAGTCTTTTGCTAAAGGAAATTTGGTAAGAGCCACAAGGAAAAGGAAACTCATATCAAACTATGACGTCCATCTGAATGTCCTGACAGCGGAATGGGGTGAGCTGGCATCGAACGGCAGAGCGTTAGCAATCATTGACACTGGTGCCACAGAAAATGCTGTTGGTGTAGGTTCCCTTCGTTTTTCCTGCAGCGTTTGCAATGAGGACCTTCCGCCCTGTCGCTTTGGCAATGGACATCGAGACAGGCACTTAGCCGGGTGGATCCTTGTGGATGTCTCATTTAACTTTTTGGGTGGCCAAGGTGGCCCAACTCCGCCACTTGGGTGCAGGCATTGTGATTCTGTATGACAATGGACTTTTTCTCCATCGATCTACTTGTGAGGAATTTTCGTCAATGCAAATGCCAAGCTTTGACTTCATGGACATGTCACCATAGATTTCGCTGAGCATCCAATTGTTTTTGATGGAAAGAAGATGTTTCATGATTCATGACACATGGTTTCAATAATGTTTGAGTAGCGACGAGAATGGTATTTTTCGAGAGCGCAAGTGGAATTTTCCCAATTCTTTTCAGCCTGCCATCCATCACGTCCTCATGATGAAGACAGCTGAAACTGATTGCAGTGATCTTCACCACCGTACTGGCCTGAAGGTTATCTGAGCTGAACCTGAAGCTGCGCAAGAGCGGTGGTGACATCTCGGACTCCTTCGGCATGCGACGATCCGAGGGAACATGGATTCCCATGTTTCGGCAGCCAAAAACCGGCCAGCTGGGTGACATGCACCAAGTGCGGTGCGAGGCTCCAGTATGTCTCCAAGAACAGTCAGCATGGCAACCGCCGTCAGATGGGTCCGGAACCACATTTGATCAAGTTGGCCATGGTGGATCTGGAGATGAGCACTCCGGCTGCATCAGTGACTTCAGACATGGTCAATGGCAAGTTGATGGAGACCAAAGGAAGGATGTTGCAGTGGGCCATCCCAACGTCAATTGCCCTGAAATGCCCTGAGCATGGCATGACCCACGCCCAATACATGGAGCAGCTGAAGGAGAACGGACCAGCGGATCACCCCAAGATCGATCCCAGTGCGCCAAGTCATGGGCTATCCCCTGAACAATGTGAACAGCAACAGCCTTCCATCCCGAGCTCTGGGTCCGGAGGAGGAACGGGCAGTTCAGAGCCAGCCACCTGCCACAGTGACTCCAAGTGCAAAGTCAGCGGTTGCGAAGAAAGCCCCAAGTCCGACTCCCAAGGTGCCAGTCAACAAGGAGAAGCCGACCACACCAGAGCTGATGGAGATCCACTCCAGCGACAGCGAGGGACCATGGAAGGTCACACCTACACCTTCGGATCAGCGTGGAAAGCTTTGAATGACTTAAAGAAAAGGATGAAAGAGGTTGCAAGTGCCGTCACTTCGAGCAAGCAGGCTTGTGATGAGCCCATGACACAAGAGCAATGTGACACTACGAAAAATTCAAAAACACAAAAATGGCATTATGTTCAGTGGCCTTTCCCAAAGGGACACCAATCATATGAACTATGAGGTGGACTCTTTGATGACTTCACCTCACACGTGCACTATACGTGCGGAGCTATTTCTACATCAGGGCCAAGTTCCGTGTCCTTGTGGAACACGGCGTCTTCCCTCTTCCAAAACCTCGCAACGAATGCGGCAGTTCTTGCAGCTTTGGTGTTGTCTCCGGTGAAAGGATTTTTTGGACATCTTCAAGGAGTGCCAGACTTCATGGACAATTCTCCAGCCATAAAGAGGAGATCCGTGAGGAACTGGGGAGTGAAGGACCAGCTAAGGACACCAGAGGAAAGGGTAGGCAAGCTTGAGGAGGAACCACACAGAGCACCTCTCCCTACTGGCCCCTCACAGCAAATAAAAGGAAGGTTGTAGGTGGGGATGGCTTGACTCCACTAAGCGGGATGGCTTGATCCATGAAACTGCCCATCTCATCGAGGTTGCAAAGGTGGAGGACCTAGTGGAGAAGGTGGTGGTCTCAGGCAAACGTGCCAGCCCATCGCAACCGAGCCAGCATCTGGAAGGTGGTCGTTGAACCGCACACTGCACTTTGGACAGCCCCATCCAAAACAATCAAAACACCAATGGAGCGCAAAAGTGCGGGACTTGCCACTGTCACACGGCGGTTATCTCAACCCCTCTCGGGAAAAAACCGTCTCCATTCAACACAGGCCTTCCCCGCCACAGCCCTGCCGTGGTCGACTGGGCCACTTGTAACGTGGCGGCCAGGCCTTTACTTTTGGGCCGTCATTGGCCGCTGCATTCGGGGCTTCAGGGCACAAGCCGTTCTCCTCCACAAGTAGTCCTTCAAGCGAGTTCTACAACTAGACTTGCTCGGCCAACTCTTTGGTGCATTGCTGAGAATAAGCCACTTGCCACAAGGGGGGCCGGCCACTTCATGCCTACCAGGAGGAGCTCTCCAATCTCCAAAACAGTTGTCGCAAATCCCGTGGCCTGCCTTCACTCATGGGCTATGATGCGAACTGCCGCTTAGTTAGCGCTCGACATGTCTGCCCTGGCGAGCCTGCATGAAACAAGAACAGCTTTTTCTCCCACAGAAGCCTTTGCACACAGAAGCCTTTGCACAGAGCAGCTCATACACACAGAAGCGTTTAGACAGAGAAGTCTTTATACACAGAAGCTTTGACACAGTGCAGCGTTTACACAGAGGCCTTTTACACATAGACGCTTTGACACAGAGCAGCTTTTACACACAGAAGCCTTTACACACAGAAGCTTTTACACAGAGCAGCTTTACACACAGAAGCTTCTACACAAAGCAGCTTTTACGCAAAGGAGCTTTTCCACAGGGAAGCCTTTACACAGAGCAGCCTTTACACAGACACGTTGTTACACAGGAAAGCCTTTACACAGAGCGAAGCTTTTACACAAGACAGCCTTACACAAAGGCCTTTCAGACACAGACCCTTTTACACAGAGACGCCTTTACACAAAGCAGCTTTTAGACAGAAACTTTTACATAAGAAACCTTTACACTGATCAGTGATCAGCTTTTACACACAGAAGTATTTTCACAGAGAGGCCTTTACATACAAAAAACTTTTACACAGACCTTGAGTGCCGCCTTCTGCGCAAAGCAGCCGCCCAGCGCCGCGGCCAAACTTGGGCGACCTCATTTGATGGGAAGCACGCCACCTGTCTGCTTGTCACAGGCCAATTTTGGTCATTTACAAGTATTTACAAATATTTGCAGATATAGACTGCTCTGATCAGATAAGATAAGAGAATATGATATGACATGATATGATACGACATGAAATGAAATGATTTCTCAAGTTTGCGTTGCAGTCACGAGCATGATCAGACACGCGTAGCTTTGTGGGAATGCAGATGAGAACACATCACTGCGTAGCTTTTCAAGCTCAAATGTACAAACCAAAAGCAGCTCAACACTATCACCTGCGTGCGCGCATGAAGAACATTTTGTCAACGGTCAGCGGTGCAATTTTCCCGGAATGATGTCGTGCAAGAAGGCTTTTAAGTCCAGTTCATGGAAGAATTCCCGCCAAGCCCCAGCTTTTGCTACTAACACCAATCCCACTCAGCACTTTCGTCTTCGCTTCTTCAAGCCCCGCTTGAGAAAGCAGAGGGGCAGAAGAGCCTCGACTGCAAGCAGCGAGGCTGTGGAAAGGATTGACATGCTTCCAGGATGCGTGCTGCCTAGATGTTCAAGCATGCCAACAGACCTAGGGGCCCTCTGCGTGGGCTCGTCATGGGTTGAAATTCAAGTCATGCTCTAGATGTGCTGGCATTGATTGCTCCGGCCGTGACTCCATGAAGTTACTAATTATAGCTACTCCCCAGTGTGGAGGTCGTCCTAAGTGGCAGGTGGAGGAGGTAGCGTAGTTCTGGAAATTGATACGATTCTGTGTCTAGTTTGTGTTTTGTATGTTCTGGTTTTTTGGTGTTGTGGCATTTTGCAGCTGATACGTACAGATCGGGCTTTTTACGAAAGCGAGCCGGACAAGCTGGCCAGTTGTTTTTTGCGAACATAGTGAGAGAATGTGAGAGGTTAGGGGTCTGGGGGGAGGTGTTGCCAAACAGGCTAGTTTTTCCAGCCTCAGTTGGTGTTCAGGGTGGTCGTGGGGAGTGTTTTACTGGGTAGCGTACCAGGTCGCAAATGGGTGACAGTGGGTATCGATTCTAAGATGGTCCGTGACATTGGTGTTAATTGGTGTTAAAAATTAGACCAATACTAGGGCTAAATAAGTAGACAAAAAGATCAATAGATAGGCAGGTAATAGATGGATGGAGACTAGACCGAGAGAGGAAATTTATCGATAGCTGGATGACAGCTAGATAGAGAGGTAAAGAGAGATAGCCAGATAGCTAGCTAGATAGCTAGCCAGATAGATAGATAGACGGATAGATGGATAGATGGATAGGTGGATAGATGGATAGATAGATAGATCGCAAAAGATATCGCATGTGACATTGACACTATTCCACGGCAGAGCTGCTGAAGGCCAGAAAGAAAGGGCCTGCTGATAGATAGATAGATCGATAGATAGATCGATAGATCGATAGATCGATAGATAGATGGATAGGTAGATAGATTAGATAGATTGACAGATAGATAGATAGATAGATAGATAGATAGACAATGAGATAATGAGATAATGAGATAACGGGATAATGAGATAATGAGATAATGAGATAACGGGATAATGAGATAGATAATTAAATTAGATTAGATTAGGTTAGATTAGATAGATAGGTAGATAGATACATAGATAGATAGATAGATGGATAGATAGATAGATAGATAGTTGGTAGTTATGCTTGCGGATTTTGAATGAGAGAAAGGACCGCAGAGACGGGCGGCTACTATCCAGGCTGCGCCTTTAGAGACAGCAAATGCGAAGTGGTGTGGCTAGATGTGAGATGGAGACGTGGATAAATGGATAAAGGCGTCCGCATATGGTGAGAACAGCGAACATGGCAGTTGTAATGCTAAGGAGAAGCGGCGGAATCAAAGCTGGCCTTGAAAAACGCATGCTTAATAGATTTCATATTTTGCCAAGAAAAAGATTACAGATGCAATGATAAGCAGATGCTGCAGTCTAACAGAACCGTAAGGAGCAGGACCTTTCCTTTTCTTTTGGCCTTTGACAGCTCTGCTTTGGAATAGTGTCATTGTCACATGCGATATCTTTTGCATACCGTGGGCTGTTACGTCATCTGTTTCTGACGATACACGTTGATACACCTTCATCTGGGATCGTGGAAAAATAAATGGGCCGTGGCAGATACTTTTGCGAAGTACAGAACGCTATCATCGTGCGGCGTGCCATTGGATATGGAAGCAGATACCAAGAACCAAATCTAGAGCCTGCATGTTTTGATCACGGTCATGTTAAGCCGTGTTACGCCTTTGTGGGACCTATGTTAGGCTTACGTTGGTCCATGTTGGGGTCCTTAGACGCCATGTTGGGGCCATATTTGTGCCATGTTGAGCTTATGTTAAGCCAGGAACGGGCCCAAAAGGAACACGTCGTTTTTGGATCATGTCGGGCCATGTTGGGCCTATATGAAGCCTATGTTGGGCCTATGTTGATCCATGTTAGGCGTTTGGAGGCTATGTTGTGGCCATATTTGAGCCATGTTGATTGAGCTTATGTTAAGCCAAGAACGGCGTGTTCCTTTTTAGCTTTTAGCCGGCACGAAAGGAACACGCCGTGCTTGGATCATGTCGGGACCATGTTGACCATGTTGGGCGTATATGGAGACTATGTTGGGCCTGTGTTGATCCATTGTTGGGGCCATCTTCGAGTCATGTTGACCTTATGTTAAAACCAGAGCGGCGTGTCCCTTTTAACGTTTTTAAGAATTCCAGACGACGACGAAGAAGAAGAAGATGACACATATGAGGAGCATCACCTCAGTAACAAAGTCCAAAATGAAACAAAGAAGACAGCTGCTGCCGAATCATCCGCATTCAATGCAAACTTGAAGCAGGGATCAGTTGGATGTAGCAGATGTAACAGATGTCAGATGAATCTCAAGTCAAGGACAGCTACAAAGACTCTGAGGAGAAGTGCTTCACATCCTGCTGTTCCAGTAGTGCCGCGCAAGGCGGTGGCGGAAGTTTCAAAGATAGGACACTATAGGAGAGGTGGGTTGTTGTAATGCATGGATGGCAGAGCGAATCCACTGATGGACCGAAAGGTGGTTAGAGTTGTGCTTTTTGAAATGGTTGCGGTGGTCACCTCAACCACAACTGCTGGATGTAGTGTGGTGTAGCGTAGCACAATGTAATTGCAGTTGCAGTGGCAATGGCAGTTGTAGTGATATTGTAGCGTAGTTTTAGCTGCAAATGCTGTTCTTGTAGTTGTAGTTGTAATGTTGTAGCTGAAGCTGTAGTAATAGTTGTAGTTGTAGTTGTAGTTTTAGCTGTTGTCGTTAACGTTCTCGTTGTCGTTGCCGTCGTCGTCGTCGTGGTTGTTGTTGGTTGTTGTTGGTTGTTGTTGGTTGTTGTTGGTTGTTGTTGGTTGTTGGTTGTTGGTTGCTGGTTGCTGCTGCTGCTGCTGGTGGTGGTGTTGTTGTTGTTGTTGTTGTTGTTGTTGTTGTTGTTGTTGTTGTTGTTGTTGTTTTGGTTGTGGCTGGTTGTCGGTTGTCGGTTGTCGGTTGTTGGTTGTTGGTTGTTGGTTGTTGGTTTTTGTTGTGGTTGTGGTTGTGGTTGTGGTTGCTGTTGCTGTTGCCGTTGCTGTTGCTGCTGTTGGGGTTGTTGTTGTTGTTGTTGTTGTTGTTGTTGTTGTTGTTGTTGTTGTTGGCTGTTGTTGTGGTTGTGGTGGTTGTGGTTGTGGTTGTGGTTGTGGTGGTGGTTGTGGTTGTGGTGGTTGTTGTGGTTGTGGTTTTTGTTGTGGTTGTGGTTCTTGTTCTTATTTATGTTCTTGTTCTTGTTGTTCTTGTTGTTCTTGTTGTTCTTGTTGTTCTTGTTGTTCTTGTTGTTCTTGTTGTCTTGTTGTTCTTGTGGTTGTCCTTGTCCTTGTCCTTGTCCTTGTTGTTGTGGTTGTGGTTGTCGTTGTGGTTGTCGTTGTTATGTCGTTGTGGTTGTCGTTGTCGAACTTCCAAAAATGGTCCAACATGGGGTGCCTTTACCATTTTGACTTCCAGATGTGCTTCGGGCCACAACGGCGTGCACTTTTTCCACATCCGATCCTCCAAAAGTGGTCCAAACATGTTTTTTTATTTTAAACATGTTGACTTGGAAATGTGCTTTGCGCCACAGCGGCGTGCACTTTTTCGACGTGTCAACTTCCAAAAATGGTCCGAGCATGGTGTGCTTTGTGCTTCGCCACAACGGCTTGCAACTTTTCATCTTTCATTTGGCCAGAGGGCCCCGCACCCGCCCCTATAGCGAGCCTACTTTTCGACCTTCCGGAACCACAAACCATTGAAAAAACAGTGTGAATTGCGACTTTCCTACCTTTTCGCGCACCTGCATTTTCTTTCTTCCCACTCTTTCTCTTCTCTGATCTTCTCTCTTCTGCTCTTCTCTTCTCTGATTCTTCCACCTCTGCTTTTCCATGTGTCCATATTGTCGGAAATTTGACTTGTAAACTTCCTTCGATGAGATCCTTTCAATCTTTTTCATAGTTTCCACATATCATACAGTCGAAATATGTTGAAATGATTCTCGCCTGTTTCCATCTGAGCCCGAAGCAAGGAGTCGGACGAAACCGACGTCAGCTCGGAGGAAGATGAGGACGACATGGGTTTCCTTGGTGCCCGTTACGAAGTGGCCGCTTCGTAACGGGCACCAAGGAAACCCATGTCGTCCTCATCTTCCTCCGAGCTGACGTCGGTTTCGTTTTGAGGGGATGAGGACGACATGGGCTTTGTCGTTTTTCATTGCACAGCGGCCGCGGCCAGACACATAGTCCCAGTCCGTGCTAGCGATGCTCTTATCAGTATATCCAATTCTATCTCACTTTATCCCTATCCCGATAGATTCAACACAGCTTGTTTTGAGGTCGGACAGATAATGCGCGGTGAAGCTGCAGGCTATGTAAGAATCTTTTGGATTTACAATACCGCTTACATAAATCGATCCAAAAATGTTTGAGGTGTGGACTTTTGCTCTAGCAAAGTGATGGTGCTGGAACGTGTGGAATGTGCTTGGCTGTTATATAGATTCTGTTTGGTCATGTCTGGTGTTATAACACCATATGTTGCAATTGTGGGCAGGTTCAAGCACTGATGGAGTCCTTGCCTTGATTGGCTGTGGGTTCTGAGGAGAGATTTGTTGAAACAGCTGAAACATGTTGAAACGCGGAAACAAGATGGGTTGAAACATGTTGAAACAATTTGCCGTGAGTGTTCCTTGTGCAGACTACATAGACTACAAGTGAGAGTCGTGATTCTCGTGATTTGAGATGACACCTTTGCATGCAGGTGCTGTGCCCGCATGCGTCCGCAATGTTTGCTGGGTGCCTCTCTTGGTCCTCCACATCTTCTACATCTTCCGCTTAGACCATCTTACATCCACCGTACCCTACTTCACCCATTCTCCAAGGATGCTGTGGACCAGAACGTGTGCTGTGCAAACCTTTCGTGGCCGACACCAAGTCTTACAAAGTGAAGGGTTTCGTTCAGGAACACTTTGCACAACTTTGCACAACACATGTGCCGAAGAGTATGCTCCTGGCGCGTTGCAGAAGTCACTGCTGCGCAGCCTGTGTTTCTCCAGTTTCAAACAACGTACAGTTTCCATGGGCTGCTTTTGAGCCACTTTGGCAACTCGTATCACCTTCCTCCTTCTCCTGCATTAAAGATGCAGAAACTGGAGGCAGAACAAAAATGTAGAGGGCAGCTGATGGCTCAATGCGATTTCATGATCTTTCATGCGAGTTCGTTATTCTTAGGCATCCGTGGATAAGCACTGGTGATTAGACAATTCAACGTTGGTTGCCCTGAAGCTTTCAAATCGCAACCGCGCCCAGTCTCGCAGAAAGGTTTTGAATAGGAAGAAGGGGTCCTTTGGAGTCTTGAGATGCTCTGATTGTTTTTTGAAATCTGGACGACCTCATTTGATTGGAAGCACGCCACCTGTCCGCTTGTCGCAGGCAATTTTTGGCCACTAATAGTAAATATACGTACGTACGTATATATATATATATTAACATATGATATGACGTGATATGATATGATGGGATTTCTCAAGTTTTGTTTCCAAACACGAGCATGATCAGACATGTATTGCGCAGCTTTTCAAGCTCAAATGTAAAAACCGGATGCAGCTCAACACTATTACTTGCGTGCGCGCATCAAGAACATTTTGTCAACGGTCACTGGTGCAATTTTCCCGGAATTATGTCGTGCAACAAGGTTTTGTTGCCAGTCCATAGAAGAAATCCCCCCAAGCCCCAGCTGTTGCTACAAAAACCTATCTCCCTCAGCACTTTCCTTTTTGCTTCTTCAAGCCCTACTTGAGCACGCAGAAGCGCAGAAGAGCCTCAACTGCAAGGAGCCAGGCTGTGGAAAGGACTGACAAGCTTCCAGAATGCGTGCTGTCTAGATGTTCAAAGCATGCTAACAGACCTACTTGTAGGGTCCCTCTGAGTGGGCTCGACATGAGTTGGAATTGAAGTCACGCTCTAGATGTGTTGGCATCGATTGCTCTGGCAGTGACTCCGCCAAGTTGCCAATGGTAGCTAGTGGTGTGCTAGTGGTATGCTAGTGGTATGCTAGTGGTATGCTAGTGGTATGCTGAAGATGCACTGGTTTCATTCTCGCCTTTTGTATCTTTTGTAAGGACAGACCGACTTGCCACTCTGGCACCATGATACGGAGTGATCAGGCCGTGTTTGTTTTTTCACGGGTCTTTGCTTGTCATCTTGTCCTTGTTTGCTTTGGATCACTGGCGATTCACTGGCACTACATGGCACCAAAGCTCCAATGCCTGAAGCTGTTTGAAGCTTGAAACAAATAAGATCAGATAAGACTGTTGCCAAATCATCCAATGCAAAATTGAAACAGGGATCAGTTGGATGTAGGAGATGTCACAGATGCCGTATGAAATCAATTGAAATCATATAAATTTCAACTGTGTCCATGCCTATAGTTTTAGGGCCCAGTTGTCAAGGACGGATACGAAGACTCTGAGGAGGAGAAGTGCGTCACATCCTGCTGTTGAAACTTTTTCGATCTTTTTCATAGTTTCCACACAGATCATACAGTTCTAAGATGTCCAAATATGTTGAAATGATTCTCGTTTGTTTCCATCTGAGTGCAAAGCAAGGAGTCGGACGAAATCTATGTCAGCTCCGAGGATGAGGAGGACATGGGTTTCCTTGGTGCCCGTTACGAAGCGGTCAGACACATAGTCCCAGACCGTGCTAGCCATGCTCCACTGGCTCCCCTATCTATTTCGATCTGTCCCATTCTATTCCTATAGGCTGATAGAATCTGATAGACTCAATGCTGCTTGTTGTGAGGTCGATCGGATCATGCGCGAAGCTGCAGGCCGTGTCAGAATCTTCGGGATCATGTGCTCATCGTACATGCTGGCACAAGACCGCTTACATTCGCTTACATAAATCGGCCCAAAATGTCTAAAGTCGAGACTTTTGTTCTGGCAAAGTGATGGTGCTGGAACGTGTGGAATGTGCTCGGCTGTTATAAAAATGTTGTTTGGTCATGTCTGGTGTTATAACTTGCGATTGTGGGCAGGTTCAAGCACTGATGGAGTCCTTGCCTTGATTGACTGTGGGTTCTGAAGAGAGATTTGTTGAAACAACTGAAACATGTTGAAACGCGGAAGCAAGATGGGTTGAACATGTTGAAACAATTTGCCGTGAGTGTTCCTTGTGCAGACTACACAGACTACAAGTGAGAGTCATGATTCTCGTGATCTGAGATGACACCTTTGCATGCGGCTGATGTGTCCGCATTTGTCCGCATTGTTTGCTGGTTTAACTCTCTCTTTGTTTTCCACATCTTCCACTTAGACCATCTTACAATATCTTACATCATCTTGCATCCGCTTTACCCTACTATACCCACTCTTCAGGGATGCTGTGCCCATCTCGTAGCTTGTCCCTGACTGTGCCTGACCTGAGGCTGGTGGGCGACTGGCAAGAGCCACGACGTGGCCAGCAGGGCAGGTCTTCAAAAGGTCAGCGTTGCGGAGGAGCTCCGAACCCTACCAGGAGAAATCTGTTTCCTTCGCGGAGGAGCTGGTGGAAACAGAAGAATTTGTTGCCTTTGATCGATCTCCCGGAAGCTCTGACGGAGAAGAGTCTGAAGGAGTTGGGCCCATCCAGGAGTCCAAGAACCAGAGGCTACCAGAGCTTCATGAGTCAGCTGAAATGGCCGAGACTGGCATAGATGTCAGCTGGGAAGATGGACCAAGTCCATTGAACCAAGAGGCTGCAACATCCGCAGCTAGTGGCGGTGGCCATGCCTTCTCTTCGGGTCTCCCTGGCAAGGCCATGCGAGCGATGGCCTCTCAAGCAAGTGATGCACTTGAGGAGGTGCCACGCATCCGGTCTGACTGACTGGCACAATGCAACGTAGAACAACCGAAAGGGGCCAGGGGCCAGGGGATGATGTCAGTAGATTGTATGGAGTTTAGGCATATTTCTACAGCACATGACAAGAATGACTGCTTAACACATCACAACATGTCATAAGAAATCCATAGAAATCCGATCCTGACATGGTAGCCTCAAATAGCACAAAGTCATAACATCACCTTCTCTTCCGGGCTTTGCAGGCAGCTAATGCTGATGGAGTTGGTTCGTTGCAGGAGTCTTCCACGTTTTCCACGACAGCGGCAGAGTTGGGCGTGCAGAGCCACTGTGCAGAGGATGAAGATGTTCCACAGCCAGAGCACGAGCCAGCTGATGAAGCAAGCGCCCTAAATGTCCTGGAGGTCAAGGAGGGTGAAAAGGATGAGGAAACGGATGAGGAAAAGAATAAGAAAAAGGATGAAAAGGACGAGGATGAAGAACTCACGGCGTCATTGGTTGCTGGCGCCTTTGTAGCATCAGATGCAGAGCAGCCAGACAGGGAACCACCGAGTTATGTGGAGTCGCAGGCGGATGGCGAGGATCCCTTTGAAGCCCTGGGCCATGTACCGCCTGAATCGGAATCCGATCTCGGAGAAGCTTCTGCAGAAATTGCAGGTTTCGCACCAGTGCTGGGAGCATCTGATATGGAGGCTGCCTGGCGAGCTGATTGTGCTGTGCATGGCGCGCCTGGTCAGCACAGTGACTCGGATATGCAAACTGATGACAGCCCTGCGGTCCAACCTCTGGAAGAGGCTGTGAAGAAGATAAGCAGCAAAGAACAGATGGCAGCAAAGATGGAGGAGAGGCGGAAGCTTGAAGGTCTGCTTCCACAAGAACCTCAGGAGGCCGCTTGGCATGTAAATGCATGTGACATGTGTTTGAGTGCTTCCCGCCCACGTCGTGAACGGATATCTATCTATCTATCTATCTACCTATCTATCTAGCTAGCCAGCTAGCTATCTACCTACCTACCTACCTATCCATCTATCTATCTATCTATCTGTCTACCTATCTGTCTGTCTGTCTGTCTATCTATCTCTATCTATCCATCCATCCATCCATCCATCCATTTGTCTATCTAGCTAGCTAGCTAGCTATCTGTCTATCTATCTATCTATCTATCTTTCTTTTTTATTTTATGCATATATACATATTACATATTTTTTTTGAATGTTGGTAGGTGGCAGATCCAAGCAGGTAGCGGCATATTAGCGGCATGAGTTGAATTTGAACGGAGGGCACCAACATGCACCAACTCTAGCCGCACCAGTTGCAGCAATGGATTACTGTCACCGACTGTCACCACTCAAGCAAAATGCATATTGGAGGCGATGCTTTTTTGCCTGTGCTCATTGCAGGCAGAACCGCTTCAGCAGTTCTTTGAGAAGCCGGGGGAGGAACCGCAGCCCCCGCAGGCTTGCCAGATTTGAAAACGTAGTCTTGGATGTTGCTCATGGCATTTTCGTGTCGACCATGAGAGGAGACAGCCTTTCAAATGTTTGTTTTGTAGAGTGGTTCCACAAGAAATTTGAGTCGTGGCGGATCGTCACAAAGATGAATTCTCACTTCTCACCCCTGCAAATACCTTGGACGATAGTGGCCTAGCCTTCGCATGCCTTCACCACGCAAGAATGTCAAACACTGTCAAACTTCAGAGTTGGAAGTTGGCAAAGTGGACTGACACAAGCAGATTCAGCCAAACTTTTCCCATCTCTATATATCTCTATGAACTTTCAGGATGGCTTCTCCAAGTTGCTGCAGGACAGGGGCAGGGTCGGAATGAGCCTTGTCAGCTCGTTGGCATGCTTGACATTGCACGAGTGCCAGTCGAAAATTGCACACCAGGAGTGGTTGGAAGGCGCCAATGTCATATTCTCAGTATTTCTCAATTCTGATATGTTCTGATGCAATCGGGGTCAATTTAGTGAAAGGGTTGTCACGCTGTCTCATGTTGCAAGGCCGTCCATGCTTTGGGGGTTGAACTGCAGCTTAGTGGAGGTTTTGGTCACATGTGGTCACTTTGGACATGAGTTGAGATTGGGGTGGGGCCTGGGCGGATGATGTCAGCCCCTATACTCCTTGGACCTTGGAAAGTCGTGGTGACAGCAGCATGATCCAAGGCCTTTCTGGCACTGGGTTGCTGCGGCAGGCGGCAAAGAGAGGTGCAGTAGAATTTCTACAACACCTCTCTTTGCCAATGAGCGCCGTGGGGCTTCCGGGCATCGCAGGTAGCTGAGCACGGCGTCCAAATTCATCCTCGCCCGCATCAATGAGAAAATGGGATGTCTAGGAACATTGTCAAGTTTTGTATTTTATAATGTCAGTACATGATGTCTGGATAAAATACGTATTTCACACACAACCCAATGTCTGGGGATTGGTAAATGAAATCCACGTACCACTGCAGCCCTGCTGCGGGAAATCGCTGCAGCACATTGATTTAATGATTTGCCGCAGCTTCAGTCAGCATTTGTCACATCTTTGCTGAGCTTCCTTGGGGCGCCAAGATTTCCAAAATACACACCATTTTTATCCATTGGTCCATTGGTCCATGTGTCAAAAAGACCCATGCGAAGACCTTTGCTTTATCTTGCTTTCTCTTCTGCAGTGATATAGCTTGCATATTTGCCCAGCGCATTCAGCTCAGCAATAAGACACAAAGCCTGCAAGCCATTGTTGCTGTGATTGCGTGCGTGTGACCACCAAAGAGGAAAACAGGCGCTCCGCGCTGAAGCCAGTTCGTTATTCTTAGGCATCCGTGGATAAGCACTCTGGTGATTAGACAATTCAACGTTGGTTGCCCTGAAGCTTTCAAATCGCAACCGCGCCCAGTCTCGCAGAAAGGCTTTGAATAGGAAGAAGGGGTCCTTTGGAGTCTTGAGATGTTCTGATTGTTTTTTGAAACCTGGACGACCTCATTTGATTGGAAGCACGCCACCTGTCCGCTTGTCGCAGGCAAATTTTGGCCACTAATAATAGTAAATATACGTAATATAAGTATATATATATAAAATGATATGACGTGATATGATATGATGGGATTTCTCAAGTTTTGTTTCCAAACACGAGCATGATCAGACATGTGTATTGCGCAGCTTCTCAAGCTCAAATGTAAAAACCGGATGCAGCTCAACACTATTACTTGCGTGCGCGCATCAAGAACATTTTGCCAACAGTCACTGGTGCAATTTTCCCGGAATTATGTCTTGCGACAAGGCTTTGTGGCCAGTCCATGGAAGAAATCCCCCCAAGCCCCAGCTGTTGCTACAAAAACCTATCTCCCTCAGCACTTTCTTTATTGCTTCTTCAAGCCCTGCTTGAGCACGCAGAAGGGCAGAAGAGCCTCAACTGCAAGGAGCCAGGCTGTGGAAAGGACTGACAAGCTTCCAGAATGCGTGCTGTCTAGACGTTCAAAGCATGCTAACAGACCTACTTGTAGGGTCCCTCTGAGTGGGCTCGACATGAGTTGAAATTGAAGTCACGCTCTAGATATGTTGGCATCGATTGCTCTGGCGGTGACTCCGCCAAGCTGCCAATGGTAGCTAGTGGTGTGCTAGTGGTATGCTAGTGGTATGCTGAAGATGCACTGGTTTCATTCTCGCCTTTTGTATCTTTTGTAAGGACAGACCGACTTGCCACTCTGGCACCATGATACGGAGTGATCAGGCCGTGTTTGTTTTTTCAAGGGTCTTTGCTTGTCATCTTGTCCTTGTTTGCTTTGGATCACTGGCGATTCACTGGCACTACATGGCACCAAAGCTCCAATGCCTGAAGCTGTTTGAAGCTTGAAACAAATAAGATCAGATAAGACTGTTGCCAAATCATCCAATGCAAAATTGAAACAGAGATCAGTTGGATGTAGGAGATGTCACAGATGCCGTATGAAATCAATTGAAATCATATGAATTTAAATATGTCCATGCCTATAGTTTTAGAGCCCAGTTGTCAAGGACGGCTCCGAAAACTCTGAGGAGGAGAAGTACGTCACATCCTGCTGTTGAAACTCTTTCGATCTTTTTCATAGTTTCCAGACAGATCATACAGTTCTAAGATGTCCAAATATGTTGAAATGATTCTCGTTTGTTTCCACCTGAACCCGAAGCAAGGAGGCGGACGAAACCGATGTCAGCTCCGAGGATGAGGAGGACATGGGTTTCCTTGGTGCCCGTTACGAAGCAGCCAGACACATAGTCCCAGACCGTGCTAGCCATGCTCCACTGGCTCCCCTATCTATTTCGATCTGTCCCATTCTATTCCTATCTGATAGGCTGATAGAATCTGATAGACTCAATGCTGCTTGTTGTGAGGTCGATCGGATCATGCGCGAAGCTACAGGCCGTGTCAGAATCTTCGGGATCATGTGCTCATCGTACATGCTGGCACAAGACCGCTTACATCCGCTTACATAAATCGGTCCAAGAATGTCTAAAGTCGAGACTTTTGTTCTGGCAAAGTGATGATGCTGGAACGTGTGGAATGTGCTCGGCTGTTACATGCTATTTGGTCATGTCAGGTGTTACAACACCATATGTTGATATATGTTGCAACTGTGGGCAGGTTCAAGCACCGATCGAGTCCTTGCCTTGATTGACTGTGGGTTCTGAGGAGAGATTTGTTGAAACAGCTGAAACATGTTGAAACGCGGAAGCAAGATGGGTTGAACATGTTGAAACAATTTGCCGTGAGTGTTCCTTGTGCAGACTACATAGACTACAAGTGAGAGTCGTGATTCTCGTGATCTGAGATGACACCTTTGCATGCGGGTGATATGCCCGCATTTGTCCGCATTTGTCCGCATTTTTTTTGCTGGTTTAACTCTCTCTCTCTCTCTTCGTTTTCCACATCTTCCACTTAGACCATCTTACAATATCTTACATCATCTTGCATCCGCTTTACCCTACTATACCCACTCTTCAGGGATGCTGTGCCCATCTCGTAGCTTGTCCCTGACTGTGCCTGACCTGAGGCTGGTGGGCGACTGGCAAGAGCCACGACGTGGCCAGCAGGTCAGGTCTTTAAAAGGTCAGCGTTGCGGAGGAGCTCCGAACCCTACCAGGAGAAGTCTGTTTCCTTCGCGGAGGAGCTGGTGGAAACAGAATTTGTTGCCTTTGATCGATCTCCCGGAAGCTCTGACGGAGAAGAGTATGAAGGAGTTGGGCCCATCCAGGAGTCCAAGAACCAGAGGCTACCAGAGCTTCATGAGTCAGCTGAAATGGCCGAGACTGGCATAGATGTCAGCTGGGAAGATGGACCAAGTCCATTGAACCAAGAGGCTGCAACATCCGCAGCTAGTGGCGGTGGCCATGCCTTCTCTTCGGGTCTCCCTGGCAAGGCCATGCGATGGTGTCAGTAGATTGTATGGAGTTTAGGCATATTTCTACAGCACATGACAAGAATGACTGCTTAACACATCACAACATGTCATAAGAAATCCATAGAAATCCGATCCTGACATGGTAGCCTCAAATAGCACAAAGTCATAACATCACCTTCTCTTCCGGGCTTTGCAGGCAGCTAATGCTGATGGAGTTGGTTCGTTGCAGGAGTCTTCCACGTTTTCCACGACAGCGGCAGAGTTGGGCGTGCAGAGCCACTGTGCAGAGGATGAAGATGTTCCACAGCCAGAGCACGAGCCAGCTGATGAAGCAAGCGCCCTAAATGTCCTGGAGGTCAAGGAGGGTGAAAAGGATGAGGAAACGGATGAGGAAAAGAATAAGAAAAAGGATGAAAAGGACGAGGATGAAGAACTCACGGCGTCATTGGTTGCTGGCGCCTTTGTAGCATCAGATGCAGAGCAGCCAGAGGGGGAACCACCGAGTTATGTGGAGTCGCAGGCGGATGGCGAGGATCCCTTTGAAGCCCTGGGCCATGTACACCTGAATCGGAATCCGATCTCGGAGAAGCTTCTGCAGAAATTGCAGATTTCGCACCAGTGCTGGAAGCATCTGATATGGAGGCTGCCTGGCGAGCTGATTGTGCTGTGCATGGCGCGCCTGGTCCTCACAGTGAATGGATTACTGTCACCGACTGTCACCACTCAAGCAAAATGCATATTAGAGGCGATGCTTTTTTGCCTGTGCTCATTGCAGGCAGAACCGCTGGTTCAGCAGTTCTTTGAGAAGCCGGGCGGTTCCTCCCCCGGCTTCTCAAAGAACTGCTGAACCAGCGGTTTGATGACAGCCCTGCGGTCCAACCTCTGGAAGAGGCTGTGAAGAAGATAAGCAGCAAAGAACAGATGGCAGCAAAGATGGAGGAGAGGCGGAAGCTTGAAGGTCTGCTTCCACAAGAACCTCAGGAGGCCACTTGGCATGTAAATGCATGTGACATGTGTTTGTGAGTGCTTACCGCCCACGTCGTGAACGGATATCTATCTATCTATCTACCTATCTATCTAGCTAGCCAGCTAGCTATCTACCTACCTACCTACCTACCTATCTATCTGTCTCTCTGTCTATCTATCTCTCTGTCTGTCTGTCTGTCTATCTCTATCTCTATCTCTATCTCTATCTCTATCTCTATCTCTATCTCTATCTCTATCTCTATCTCTATCTCTATCTCTATCTCTATCTCTATCTCTATCTCTATCTCTATCTCTATCTCTATCTCTATCTCTATCCATCCATCCATCTGTCTATTTAGCTAGCTAGCTAGCTATCTATCTGTCTATCTATCTATATATCTATCTTTCTATCTTTTTTATTTTATGCATATATAACATACTTTTTTTGAATGTTGGTAGCTGGCAGATAGCGGCATATCAGCGGCATGAGTTGAATTTGAACGGAGAGCACCAACTCTAGCCGCACCAGTTGCAGCAATGGATTACTGTCACCGACTGTCACCACTGAAGCAAAATGCATATTGGAGGCGATGCTTTTTTGCCTGTGCTCATTGCAGGCAGAACCGCTGGTTCAGCAGTTCTTTGAGAAGCCGGGCGGTTCCTCCCCCGGCTTCTCAAAGAACTGCTGAACCAGCGGTTTGATGACAGCCCTGCGGTCCAACCTCTGGAAGAGGCTGTGAAGAAGATAAGCAGCAAAGAACAGATGGCAGCAAAGATGGAGGAGAGGCGGAAGCTTGAAGGTCTGCTTCCACAAGAACCTCAGGAGGCTACTTGGCATGTAAATGCATGTGACATGTGTTTGTGAGTGCTTACCGCCCACGTCGTGAACGGTTTTTGTTGTGGTTTTTGTTGTGGTTGTGGTTTTTGTTCTTATTTTTGTTCTTGTTCTTTTTCTTGGTCTTGTTGTTCTTGTTGTTCTTGTTGTTCTTGTTGTTCTTGTTGTTCTTGTTGTTCTTGTGGTTGTCCTTGTCCTTGTTGTTGTGGTTGTGGTTGTCGTTGTGGTTGTCGTTGTCGAACGTCCAAAAATGGTCCAACATGGGGTGCCTTTACCATTTTGACTTCCAGATGTGCTTCGGGCCACAACGGCGTGCACTTTTTCCACATCCGATCCTCCAAAAGTGGTCCAAACATGTTTTTTTATTTTAAACATGTTGACTTGGAAATGTGCTTTGCGCCACAGCAGCGTGCACTTTTTCGACGTGTCAACTTCCAAAAATGGTCCGAGCATGGTGTGCTTTGTGCTTCGCCACAACGGCTTGCAACTTTTCATCTTTCATTTGGCCAGAGGGCCCCGCACCCGCCCCTATAGCGAGCCTACTTTTCGACCTTCCGGAACCACAAACCATTGAAAAAACAGTGTGAATTGCGACTTTCCTACCTTTTCGCGCACCTGCATTTTCTTTCTTCCCACTCTTTCTCTTCTCTGATCTTCTCTCTTCTGCTCTTCTCTTCTCTGATTCTTCCACCTCTGCTTTTCCATGTGTCCATATTGTCGGAAATTTGACTTGTAAACTTCCTTCGATGAGATCCTTTCAATCTTTTTCATAGTTTCCACATATCATACAGTCGAAATATGTTGAAATGATTCTCGCCTGTTTCCATCTGAGCCCGAAGCAAGGAGTCGGACGAAACCGACGTCAGCTCGGAGGAAGATGAGGACGACATGGGTTTCGTTTTGAGGGGATGAGGACGACATGGGCTTTGTCGTTTTTCATTGCACAGCGGCCGCGGCCAGACACATAGTCCCAGTCCGTGCTAGCGATGCTCTTATCAGTATATCCAATTCTATCTCACTTTATCCCTATCCCGATAGATTCAACACAGCTTGTTTTGAGGTCGGACAGATAATGCGCGGTGAAGCTGCAGGCTATGTAAGAATCTTTTGGATTTACAATACCGCTTACATAAATCGATCCAAAAATGTTTGAGGTGTGGACTTTTGCTCTAGCAAAGTGATGGTGCTGGAACGTGTGGAATGTGCTTGGCTGTTATATAGATTCTGTTTGGTCATGTCTGGTGTTATAACACCATATGTTGCAATTGTGGGCAGGTTCAAGCACTGATGGAGTCCTTGCCTTGATTGGCTGTGGGTTCTGAAGAGAGATTTGTTGAAACAGCTGAAACATGTTGAAACGCGGAAACAAGATGGGTTGAAACATGTTGAAACAATTTGCCGTGAGTGTTCCTTGTGCAGACTACATATACTACAAGTGAGAGTCGTGATTCTCGTGATTTGAGATGACACCTTTGCATGCAGGTGCTGTGCCCGCATGCGTCCGCAATGTTTGCTGGGTGCCTCTCTTGGTCCTCCACATCTTCTACATCTTCCGCTTAGACCATCTTACATCCACCGTACCCTACTTCACCCATTCTCCAAGGATGCTGTGGACCAGAACGTGTGCTGTGCAAACCTTTCGTGGCCGACACCAAGTCTTACAAAGTGAAGGGTTTCGTTCAGGAACACTTTGCACAACTTTGCACAACACATGTGCCGAAGAGTATGCTCCTGGCGCGTTGCAGAAGTCACTGCTGCGCAGCCTGTGTTTCTCCAGTTTCAAACAACGTACAGTTTCCATGGGCTGCTTTTGAGCCACTTTGGCAACTCGTATCACCTTCCTCCTTCTCCTGCATTAAAGATGCAGAAACTGGAGGCAGAACAAAAATGTAGAGGGCAGCTGATGGCTCAATGCGATTTCATGATCTTTCATGCGAGTTCGTTATTCTTAGGCATCCGTGGATAAGCACTGGTGATTAGACAATTCAACGTTGGTTGCCCTGAAGCTTTCAAATCGCAACCGCGCCCAGTCTCGCAGAAAGGTTTTGAATAGGAAGAAGGGGTCCTTTGGAGTCTTGAGATGCTCTGATGGTTTTTTGAAATCTGGACGACCTCATTTGATTGGAAGCACGCCACCTGTCCGCTTGTCGCAGGCAAATTTTGGCCACTAATAGTAAATATACGTACGTACGTATATATATATATTAACATATGATATGACGTGATATGATATGATGGGATTTCTCAAGTTTTGTTTCCAAACACGAGCATGATCAGACATGTGTATTGCGCAGCTTTTCAAGCTCAAATGTAAAAACCGGATGCAGCTCAACACTATGACTTGCGTGCGCGCATCAAGAACATTTTGTCAACGGTCACTGGTGCAATTTTCCCGGAATTATGTCGCGCAACAAGGTTTTGTTGCCAGTCCATAGAAGAAATCCCCCCAAGCCCCAGCTGTTGCTACAAAAACCTATCTCCCTCAGCACTTTCCTTTTTGCTTCTTCAAGCCCTGCTTGAGCACGCAGAAGCGCAGAAGAGCCTAACTGCAAGGAGCCAGGCTGTGGAAAGGACTGACAAGCTTCCAGAATGCGTGCTGTCTAGATGTTCAAAGCATGCTAACAGACCTGCTTGTAGGTCCCTCTGAGTGGGCTCGACATGAGTTGGAATTGAAGTCACGCTCTAGATATGTTGGCATCGATTGCTCTGGCGGTGACTCCGCCAAGCTGCCAATGGTAGCTAGTGGTATGCTAGTGGTGTGCTAGTGGTATGCTGAAGATGCACTGATTTCATTCTCGCCTTTTGTATCTTTTGTAAGGACAGACCGACTTGCCACTCTGGCACCATGATACGGAGTGATCAGGCCGTGTTTGTTTTTTCAAGGGTCTTTGCTTGTCATCTTGTCCTTGTTTGCTTTGGATCACTGGCGATTCACTGGCACTACATGGCACCAAAGCTCCAATGCCTGAAGCTGTTTGAAGCTTGAAACAAATAAGATCAGATAAGACTGTTGCCAAATCATCCAATGCAAAATTGAAACAGGGATCAGTTGGATGTAGGAGATGTCACAGATGCCGTATGAAATCAATTGAAATCATATGAATTTAAATATGTCCATGCCTATAGTTTTAGAGCCCAGTTGTCAAGGACGGCTCCGAAAACTCTGAGGAGGAGAAGTGCGTCACATCCTGCTGTTGAAACTCTTTCGATCTTTTTCATAGTTTCCAGACAGATCATACAGTTCTAAGATGTCCAAATATGTTGAAATGATTCTCGTTTGTTTCCACCTGAACCCGAAGCAAGGAGGCGGACGAAACCGATGTCAGCTCCGAGGATGAGGAGGACATGGGTTTCCTTGGTGCCCGTTACGAAGCAGCCAGACACATAGTCCCAGACCGTGCTAGCCATGCTCCACTGGCTCCCCTATCTATTTCGATCTGTCCCATTCTATTCCTATCTGATAGGCTGATAGAATCTGATAGACTCAATGCTGCTTGTTGTGAGGTCGATCGGATCATGCGCGAAGCTACAGGCCGTGTCAGAATCTTCGGGATCATGTGCTCATCGTACATGCTGGCACAAGACCGCTTACATCCGCTTACATAAATCGGTCCAAGAATGTCTAAAGTCGAGACTTTTGTTCTGGCAAAGTGATGATGCTGGAACGTGTGGAAATGTGTGGAATGTGCTCGGCTGTTACATGCTATTTGGTCATGTCAGGTGTTACGACACCATATGTTGATATATGTTGCAACTGTGGGCAGGTTCAAGCACCGATCGAGTCCTTGCCTTGATTGGCTGTGGGTTCTGAAGAGAGATTTGTTGAAACAGCTGAAACATGTTGAAACGCGGAAGCAAGATGGGTTGAACATGTTGAAACAATTTGCCGTGAGTGTTCCTTGTGCAGACTACATAGACTACAAGTGAGAGTCGTGATTCTCGTGATCTGAGATGACACCTTTGCATGCGGGTGATATGTCCGCATTTGTCCGCATTTTTTTGCTGGTTTAACTCTCTCTCTCTCTCTCTCTCTCTCTTCGTTTTCCACATCTTCCACTTAGACCATCTTACAATATCTTACATCATCTTGCATCCGCTTTACCCTACTATACCCACTCTTCAGGGATGCTGTGCCCATCTCGTAGCTTGTCCCTGACTGTGCCTGACCTGAGGCTGGTGGGCGACTGGCAAGAGCCACGACGTGGCCAGCAGGGCAGGTCTTCAAAAGGTCAGCGTTGCGGAGGAGCTCCGAACCCTACCAGGAGAAATCTGTTTCCTTCGCGGAGGAGCTGGTGGAAACAGAAGAATTTGTTGCCTTTGATCGATCTCCCGGAAGCTCTGACGGAGAAGAGTCTGAAGGAGTTGGGCCCATCCAGGAGTCCAAGAACCAGAGGCTACCAGAGCTTCATGAGTCAGCTGAAATGGCCGAGACTGGCATAGATGTCAGCTGGGAAGATGGACCAAGTCCATTGAACCAAGAGGCTGCAACATCCGCAGCTAGTGGCGGTGGCCATGCCTTCTCTTCGGGTCTCCCTGGCAAGGCCATGCGAGCGATGGCCTCTCAAGCAAGTGATGCACTTGAGGAGGTGCCACGCATCCGGTCTGACTGACTGGCACAATGCAACGTAGAACAACCGAAAGGGGCCAGGGGCCAGGGGATGATGTCAGTAGATTGTATGGAGTTTAGGCATATTTCTACAGCACATGACAAGAATGACTGCTTAACACATCACAACATGTCATAAGAAATCCATAGAAATCCGATCCTGACATGGTAGCCTCAAATAGCACAAAGTCATAACATCACCTTCTCTTCCGGGCTTTGCAGGCAGCTAATGCTGATGGAGTTGGTTCGTTGCAGGAGTCTTCCACGTTTTCCACGACAGCGGCAGAGTTGGGCGTGCAGAGCCACTGTGCAGAGGATGAAGATGTTCCACAGCCAGAGCACGAGCCAGCTGATGAAGCAAGCGCCCTAAATGTCCTGGAGGTCAAGGAGGGTGAAAAGGATGAGGAAACGGATGAGGAAAAGAATAAGAAAAAGGATGAAAAGGACGAGGATGAAGAACTCACGGCGTCATTGGTTGCTGGCGCCTTTGTAGCATCAGATGCAGAGCAGCCAGACAGGGAACCACCGAGTTATGTGGAGTCGCAGGCGGATGGCGAGGATCCCTTTGAAGCCCTGGGCCATGTACCGCCTGAATCGGAATCCGATCTCGGAGAAGCTTCTGCAGAAATTGCAGGTTTCGCACCAGTGCTGGGAGCATCTGATATGGAGGCTGCCTGGCGAGCTGATTGTGCTGTGCATGGCGCGCCTGGTCAGCACAGTGACTCGGATATGCAAACTGATGACAGCCCTGCGGTCCAACCTCTGGAAGAGGCTGTGAAGAAGATAAGCAGCAAAGAACAGATGGCAGCAAAGATGGAGGAGAGGCGGAAGCTTGAAGGTCTGCTTCCACAAGAACCTCAGGAGGCCGCTTGGCATGTAAATGCATGTGACATGTGTTTGAGTGCTTCCCGCCCACGTCGTGAACGGATATCTATCTATCTATCTATCTACCTATCTATCTAGCTAGCCAGCTAGCTATCTACCTACCTACCTACCTATCCATCTATCTATCTATCTATCTGTCTACCTATCTGTCTGTCTGTCTGTCTATCTATCTCTATCTATCCATCCATCCATCCATCCATCCATTTGTCTATCTAGCTAGCTAGCTAGCTATCTGTCTATCTATCTATCTATCTATCTTTCTTTTTTATTTTATGCATATATACATATTACATATTTTTTTTGAATGTTGGTAGGTGGCAGATCCAAGCAGGTAGCGGCATATTAGCGGCATGAGTTGAATTTGAACGGAGGGCACCAACATGCACCAACTCTAGCCGCACCAGTTGCAGCAATGGATTACTGTCACCGACTGTCACCACTCAAGCAAAATGCATATTGGAGGCGATGCTTTTTTGCCTGTGCTCATTGCAGGCAGAACCGCTTCAGCAGTTCTTTGAGAAGCCGGGGGAGGAACCGCAGCCCCCGCAGGCTTGCCAGATTTGAAAACGTAGTCTTGGATGTTGCTCATGGCATTTTCGTGTCGACCATGAGAGGAGACAGCCTTTCAAATGTTTGTTTTGTAGAGTGGTTCCACAAGAAATTTGAGTCGTGGCGGATCGTCACAAAGATGAATTCTCACTTCTCACCCCTGCAAATACCTTGGACGATAGTGGCCTAGCCTTCGCATGCCTTCACCACGCAAGAATGTCAAACACTGTCAAACTTCAGAGTTGGAAGTTGGCAAAGTGGACTGACACAAGCAGATTCAGCCAAACTTTTCCCATCTCTATATATCTCTATGAACTTTCAGGATGGCTTCTCCAAGTTGCTGCAGGACAGGGGCAGGGTCGGAATGAGCCTTGTCAGCTCGTTGGCATGCTTGACATTGCACGAGTGCCAGTCGAAAATTGCACACCAGGAGTGGTTGGAAGGCGCCAATGTCATATTCTCAGTATTTCTCAATTCTGATATGTTCTGATGCAATCGGGGTCAATTTAGTGAAAGGGTTGTCACGCTGTCTCATGTTGCAAGGCCGTCCATGCTTTGGGGGTTGAACTGCAGCTTAGTGGAGGTTTTGGTCACATGTGGTCACTTTGGACATGAGTTGAGATTGGGGTGGGGCCTGGGCGGATGATGTCAGCCCCTATACTCCTTGGACCTTGGAAAGTCGTGGTGACAGCAGCATGATCCAAGGCCTTTCTGGCACTGGGTTGCTGCGGCAGGCGGCAAAGAGAGGTGCAGTAGAATTTCTACAACACCTCTCTTTGCCAATGAGCGCCGTGGGGCTTCCGGGCATCGCAGGTAGCTGAGCACGGCGTCCAAATTCATCCTCGCCCGCATCAATGAGAAAATGGGATGTCTAGGAACATTGTCAAGTTTTGTATTTTATAATGTCAGTACATGATGTCTGGATAAAATACGTATTTCGCACACAACCCAATGTCTGGGGATTGGTAAATGAAATCCACGTACCACTGCAGCCCTGCTGCGGGAAATCGCTGCAGCACATTGATTTAATGATTTGCCGCAGCTTCAGTCAGCATTTGTCACATCTTTGCTGAGCTTCCTTGGGGCGCCAAGATTTCCAAAATACACACCATTTTTATCCATTGGTCCATTGGTCCATGTGTCAAAAAGACCCATGCGAAGACCTTTGCTTTATCTTGCTTTCTCTTCTGCAGTGATATAGCTTGCATATTTGCCCAGCGCATTCAGCTCAGCAAGAAGACACAAAGCCTGCAAGCCATTGTTGCTGTGATTGCGTGCGTGTGACCACCAAAGAGGAAAACAGGCGCTCCGCGCTGAAGCCTGAATTTTCTTTCCAACCCCGCATCTTCACCGCAGTTCGATATGCTCACTTCAGCAATAGTTGTGAAGCTTGGACGACCTCCACCTGTCCGCTTGTCACAGGGATGACATTGGAAACGAATCTAAGTTTCCCGGTAGGACCATGGAAAAAAATACAATTGAGGGACAAAAAAATTGAGGTTCCCCTGATCTGGACCCCTGTCTGCTCCTTTACCCTCTTCGTCCTTTGATCTCCGGAACTAACCCTATACAAGCCCGAAAGCAACCTTGAACAGGCCACAAACCAACTCTCAATAAAACCTAAACCAACCGTCCTACATAAACATACCTAAAACGAACTGAAAGAAGCACAAAAACAAACCAAACAACTCCAATTCCCAAATGACAGTTAAAGAGCTGAGCCAAAATACAATGTCAGAAGTCATTCCAGTGTCACTTGAACCATTTGGTCACGAGGCAATGCATGAGACTGTGGCATGCATCTAAAGCGGTCGGATCAAGAGCCAGTAGCCCCGTTGTGGCTGTGCGTAAGCCGTATCATTCACCATTTGCTGGTGATCTATTCTTGGTGTGTTGAGATTTGTATGGTAGCGGAGCCAGGCCGTGGGGGCTCCTGAAAAATACCACCGGGAATGACGACAGGGTACAAGGAAGACGTACCATCGTGGAGTTGAATTTGAGGCATATTTGAGGCATATGCAACGTCATGCAAGTGGTATCAGAGGGCAGATGAGGGCAGCAAAAGAGGCAGATAGACTCAGATAGTGGATTGGTGGTGGCTCGACTATGGGGTCAGAAAATTCAGAAAACACAGAAAATTCAGAAAACCAAGACAATTCAGAAAATTCAGACAACACAGAAAATTCAGAAAACCTAGAAAATTCGGAAAATTCGGAAACTTCAGAAATTTTCCAACATTAGATGGGAATGTCTCAGAAGAGGGGTGCCATAACTGAGTGCCCCAAGCCTTTCTTTTTTTTACTTAAAAAAAGTGAGCTTGGGGCACTCCTGATTTGAGACATTCCCAAATAAAAATACAAAAGAAGACAATTAAGAAATCAAATTGTTTCAAGTAAAGACATCTTCCAAGGAAATCTGAAATTCAGAAAAACAAATGACATTCCTCTTGAGGAAATATCTTGAACCTAAACTATTCTTTGCAGAAATTACCCCCTTTGCAGGAACTATCCTGTTCTTGAACTATCCTTTGCAGGAACTATCCTTTTTTACAACTGTTCCTTACCAACAATCATTTGCCTCTCTCATCGTTTGGATCCTGTAAGTTTTGAGCACCTTGTGCTCGCCCCCTTGTGTGAGCCAAAAAGTCACCATATCATTGCAGTACCATCTGGGATCCCAATCGGAAAAAATACTTGAAAAATGCAGGGAACTTATTCCAAATATTTTCAGATATTTTAGAATAATATTCAACTATATTTGATTATATCTTCAATATCACGTAGTCAGTTCAAATATAAAATAAGTGGAACTTAACACAAAATAGATTTTAAAAACACTTTAAACAGGATATTAGTAGGACAATAGCAACTTGTAAGATATTTACTAAACTCGTTAAGTGCCTGAAGTGAAAAATATCTAAAATGAGTGGTCTTAGTACGCCCCTGAATCCATGACGCGCACGGGACTCACTTGCATCTAGCTCTTCTGGCAAGGGCAAATCGAGCAGCCCTTCCGTTGCAGGGAGAGGAAAAGGGAAGCCAAAGAAAGGTTTTGGTCCATGTCTCATTGGTGGTAAGCCCGGTCATTCATATGCTCAGTGTCCTGATCGTTTTTCAAAAGGAAAATCAGAAGGGAAGTCTTTTGCTAAAGGAAATTTGGTAAGAGCCACAAGGAAAAGGAAACTCATATCAAACTATGACGTCCATCTGAATGTCCTGACAGCGGAATGGGGTGAGCTGGCATCGAACGGCAGAGCGTTAGCAATCATTGACACTGGTGCCACAGAAAATGCTGTTGGTGTAGGTTCCCTTCGTTTTTCCTGCAGCGTTTGCAATGAGGACCTTCCGCCCTGTCGCTTTGGCAATGGACATCGAGACAGGCACTTAGCCGGGTGGATCCTTGTGGATGTCTCATTTAACTTTTTGGGTGGCCAAGGTGGCCCAACTCCGCCACTTGGGTGCAGGCATTGTGATTCCGTATGACAATGGACTTTTTCTCCATCGATCTACTTGTGAGGAATTTTCGTCAATGCAAATGCCAAGCTTTGACTTCATGGACATGTCACCATAGATTTCGCTGAGCATCCAATTGTTTTTGATGGAAAGAAGATGTTTCATGATTCATGACACATGGTTTCAATAATGTTTGAGTAGCGACGAGAATGGTATTTTTCGAGAGCGCAAGTGGAATTTTCCCAATTCTTTTCAGCCTGCCATCCATCACGTCCTCATGATGAAGACAGCTGAAACTGATTGCAGTGATCTTCACCACCGTACTGGCCTGAAGGTTATCTGAGCTGAACCTGAAGCTGCGCAAGAGCGGTGGTGACATCTCGGACTCCTTCGGCATGCGACGATCCGAGGGAACATGGATTCCCATGTTTCGGCAGCCAAAAACCGGCCAGCTGGGTGACATGCACCAAGTGCGGTGCGAGGCTCCAGTATGTCTCCAAGAACAGTCAGCATGGCAACCGCCGTCAGATGGGTCCGGAACCACATTTGATCAAGTTGGCCATGGTGGATCTGGAGATGAGCACTCCGGCTGCATCAGTGACTTCAGACATGGTCAATGGCAAGTTGATGGAGACCAAAGGAAGGATGTTGCAGTGGGCCATCCCAACGTCAATTGCCCTGAAATGCCCTGAGCATGGCATGACCCACGCCCAATACATGGAGCAGCTGAAGGAGAACGGACCAGCGGATCACCCCAAGATCGATCCCAGTGCGCCAAGTCATGGGCTATCCCCTGAACAATGTGAACAGCAACAGCCTTCCATCCCGAGCTCTGGGTCCGGAGGAGGAACGGGCAGTTCAGAGCCAGCCACCTGCCACAGTGACTCCAAGTGCAAAGTCAGCGGTTGCGAAGAAAGCCCCAAGTCCGACTCCCAAGGTGCCAGTCAACAAGGAGAAGCCGACCACACCAGAGCTGATGGAGATCCACTCCAGCGACAGCGAGGGACCATGGAAGGTCACACCTACACCTTCGGATCAGCGTGGAAAGCTTTGAATGACTTAAAGAAAAGGATGAAAGAGGTTGCAAGTGCCGTCACTTCGAGCAAGCAGGCTTGTGATGAGCCCATGACACAAGAGCAATGTGACACTACGAAAAATTCAAAAACACACAAAAATGGCATTATGTTCAGTGGCCTTTCCCAAAGGGACACCAATCATATGAACTATGAGGTGGACTCTTTGATGACTTCACCTCACACGTGCACTATACGTGCGGAGCTATTTCTACATCAGGGCCAAGTTCCGTGTCCTTGTGGAACACGGCGTCTTCCCTCTTCCAAAACCTCGCAACGAATGCGGCAGTTCTTGCAGCTTTGGTGTTGTCTCCGGTGAAAGGATTTTTTGGACATCTTCAAGGAGTGCCAGACTTCATGGACAATTCTCCAGCCATAAAGAGGAGATCCGTGAGGAACTGGGGAGTGAAGGACCAGCTAAGGACACCAGAGGAAAGGGTAGGCAAGCTTGAGGAGGAACCACACAGAGCACCTCTCCCTACTGGCCCCTCACAGCAAATAAAAGGAAGGTTGTAGGTGGGGATGGCTTGACTCCACTAAGCGGGATGGCTTGATCCATGAAACTGCCCATCTCATCGAGGTTGCAAAGGTGGAGGACCTAGTGGAGAAGGTGGTGGTCTCAGGCAAACGTGCCAGCCCATCGCAACCGAGCCAGCATCTGGAAGGTGGTCGTTGAACCGCACACTGCACTTTGGACAGCCCCATCCAAAACAATCAAAACACCAATGGAGCGCAAAAGTGCGGGACTTGCCACTGTCACACGGCGGTTATCTCAACCCCTCTCGGGAAAAAACCGTCTCCATTCAACACAGGCCTTCCCCGCCACAGCCCTGCCGTGGTCGACTGGGCCACTTGTAACGTGGCGGCCAGGCCTTTACTTTTGGGCCGTCATTGGCCGCTGCATTCGGGGCTTCAGGGCACAAGCCGTTCTCCTCCACAAGTAGTCCTTCAAGCGAGTTCTACAACTAGACTTGCTCGGCCAACTCTTTGGTGCATTGCTGAGAATAAGCCACTTGCCACAAGGGGGGCCGGCCACTTCATGCCTACCAGGAGGAGCTCTCCAATCTCCAAAACAGTTGTCGCAAATCCCGTGGCCTGCCTTCACTCATGGGCTATGATGCGAACTGCCGCTTAGTTAGCGCTCGACATGTCTGCCCTGGCGAGCCTGCATGAAACAAGAACAGCTTTTTCTCCCACAGAAGCCTTTGCACACAGAAGCCTTTGCACAGAGCAGCTCATACACACAGAAGCGTTTAGACAGAGAAGTCTTTATACACAGAAGCTTTGACACAGTGCAGCGTTTACACAGAGGCCTTTTACACATAGACGCTTTGACACAGAGCAGCTTTTA